GTAGAAATGAAATAAAAATAGTCCTACCTTTACCGCCGCCTATATCTAACCGTATGTTTTACTCTTCTCTCCTATACTCGCTACCGCCGCGAAAATTATACCGACCGCGTACGCCGCTAATCCTCTATTTACTACCTACGCTTTCGGCGTCGCAAAATACTAGTAAGACGCATCGATCCGCGCTATCCTAACGGCGAAAAGGGAGTCCCTCTCCTAAACCTTACCCGCTCCTTACGTCGTCTCCGCCGGTCCTCTATTTACTACCTACGCTTTCGTCGTCGCGAAATGCTAGTAAGACGCATCGATCCGCGCTATCCTAACGGCGAAAAGGGAGTCCCTCTCCTAAACCTCGCCCGCTCCTCGCGTCGTCTCCGCTAATCCTCTATTTACTCTCTACCGATACTATACGTACTCCTATAGCGAAGAAAGGCGAGGTCGGATAGGAGCGGCTTTCTAATACGTAACCGGAGCTAAGCGAGCGGGGACGCTTATAGCCGCTACGTAAATAGAGACCTCTAGCTAATTAGGTAGTCCTAAAGGTTATACCCTCGCTAGTTATTTAAAGCTAGCCCTAGTTAGCGAGATACCGAACTATATTCGCTCGAATATATTAGCCGACTGTACCTTTAAGGATGCGGTAAAATTAGTGTAAGGCGATCTACGATCTACTAGATCGTCCGGATAGGGGGTTTAATTCCCTTATTAGCTATACCTTTTTTTTTTAATCTATATAATTATCTGTATTCTATAACCCTCTAGCTAATTAGATCGGTTCTAGATAGTAAGAGTTATTCGCTCGTAGTCCTTATAGAGACACGGGGTAGCGACTAGCGAGGGTATAACTTTTAGCATTAGAGGTTCGAATCCTCTATTAGCTATCCTTTTGCGCTCGCGTAAGGCGGCCGGCTATAGCCGCGAATTCTAGAGTTCCTGTACGTAATTTTCCCCGCATCCGGGAGCTGCCGCGCTAAGCGGGAGCGCCCGCGTATTTTAGGGATACTAGAACTTTATATATATAAAAAAAAACCCCTAGCCTTCTAAGGTGCGTACTTTCTTATCTATACTAAGACGAGATAGAGACTAAAACTAAACGTATCGGTCTATCTAGGGCCTCTAACTTGTCCGGTACCGCCGTCTATTTAGAGAGCGTATTGTCTTTACGCGTAGTAAGAACGAGATACAGCTTTAAATGCACCCTACGCGCCGCTACGCTATCGAAGACGTCGCGTAAGGGCAAATTACGGCCTAGAGACGACAATAAGTATAGAAAGTTTATAGACTAAAGGAGATAGATTGCTCTACCTACGATACCGTACTTAGGCTCCTCCGCCTTCTTTCTAAGTTACGACAGCGTCTATCTCTAGGGCGCGAGTACCGTACTTATAGCAGTCCTAAGGAAATATACTACTCTCCCGTTCCCGTATATATCTTTAGACGATAAAACTCTCTATTCCTACGCCCTATATCGAGGATTACTATCGCGTCGTCTATATCGATTTAAGTATAACCGAAATTAGCCGCATTCTATACTAACTATAGCCTCTTTTTTATATCGAAGTCCCTTCCCGCCTCTACGTCGAAGAAGTCGTAGTATTTAATATAGCTATCGTTTTATAGGAAGTCGAAGGGTTAGTTATATTATAGCAAAGTATCGATAGCGCTAGGAAGACAGATTTCCTCTAACAACCGTAGGTCGTACCTAACTAGGACCCTCTATACGAAGGTGCTATCCGTTCGGCTCGTTATAGTAGGATACGCGCGTAGAGGAACGACGATAAAGCGATCTATACCGAACGGCTATATAGTAGCAAGCTTTATCTGCGCGAATTCGATCTAGAACCGGTTAGTAAAAGCGCTATATTCTTAGGGAGCGCGACGGACATACCTAGCGATAATACCGAGGAAATAGCGAGTTAGACTTTTAGAGATATAGTCTCGGCTCGAACTCGTCGAGTTCGTCGAGCCTATTAGTATTCGTATATAGATTAACGTAGACGACAGACCCTTCTATTTACTCTTCCTATTACGCCTAAGTAGTAACAACGTTAAGGTTACCGTCTAGGTACTTGTCCTACGACTACTTAGGTATAGAGATCTATAGGAGTTAGCTTTCTACTACTATATACTAGACGATATACGAGAATATATACTATATATTCTTCGTCCCGAGACTCCGTCTACTAGTAGATCTTATTTATAACTAGAGACACTAATCTCGATATATGCCTAGACGGCCGGTAATCTATAACGCCGTAGTATAGAGGTTTAGGAGAGAAGCCGTTATTCTTATCTATATTACGGTTCTCGCGTACGCGGCGCAATACCTCCTTAGTAACTAGCTTATATATATCTTGTAGCGCTTCTTAATATACCGGGGCCCGGCCTATAGCGAGTAGTTAGCGAAGTCGTATAGAAGCGCGGGGGTGCTTAATCTCGGCTATAGCGCGATTTAATTCCTAATATTAAAAAGCTCGCTACGGTATACTATATAGAACGTCTATCTCTATAGCTCGATATTAGCGAAGGTAGCGTACGGCGACTAATACGCTAGAGACTTACTATTAGGGAGGGCTATAGCAGCTAAGACCGTATAGGAGGGGCGCCTTTATCGAGGTCGCTACTAGTAATATCGACAACTAGAAGGAGGTAGATATAGCTACGTAGAAGTAGTCGCTATATTAGTTATTATAGTAGTAATATTTAGACGACGCGCAACGCCGCAATATTACTATTTATGTACGTAACCGTCGCTACGCGCTAAGCCTATACTAGCTAATAGATATAAAGCGACGATATAAAGCGACGATATAAAGCGACCCGCGATAACAATAATAGCTTCTCGCGACGCGACGACGAACACTCGACCTTACGCTTACTACTCTAGCTTAGATCCTACTACTACAACGTCGGTATCGTCGCTAGGGAGGTATTAATACGAACGAAGTTATTAAGGACTCGAGTTAAGGCGAAGGAGCGCGTCGTCTGCCTCTAGCGGTATAATTCGGTAAGATATGTCTTCTAGAGCTATAAATTTATATCGTATTAAGGGATATAAAAAGATGTCTGTTAAGCAGATAGTACGCTAAAAATTACAACAAATGTACTAAGATTATCGTAGATTTCCTTCCGCAACCTCCCTAAATACTATATTCTCCCTTACGCTCGGTACTACGATTGCCCGCGCCTTAGTTTATTATAACGCTCGACTCGCTACGATACTCCTCTAGCGGGGCGAGACCGAATAATAATAATAAAGGCTTTCGCCGGACGGGAGCGCTATATATAGTTAAGAGACAACTCTACGTTACTGCCTAGTCGAAGCCCGTACTATTACGGAAGAGCCGGAAATAGTCTAAGAAGTAGATTATCTTAGCGTACTTATCGCTAAACAGGGCCGGGAGCTATACCGTCCGTTCCTAATCGCGAGTAGCACTCTCTAAGAGCAAGGCGACGCTAATACTATAGCCGGATATTGTATCGAATTAATACTAGATCTCGAGGACCTTTATAGCCGCCTTATCGGCAACGTCGTTATAGAAAAGGCTAGTAGCGATATAAAACACCTTAAGAGGCTTCGCGATAGTCGATCCTTCTACTAGCTACGATTCGAATATCTATTTAAGGTCTAGCTTCCGAGGGACGATACTAAACGAAGGAAATAAGCCGAACCGCTATAGATCGAGAATCCTCTATAGCGGGCTAAGTAGTAGCGAGTCTTACTATATCTTCGTAAAGAAAACTACCGACTCTTACGGTAATTCCTACCGAGTACCGTAAACCTCCTCGTACTAGAATTGTTAGCCGCTATATCGGGGTACGACCGCTACTATACTACTTACTATAGCTTTCTATACCTCGGACCCTTTAAGACCTTAATCTTAAGCGTACGTCTTCGCGAGTATTGCGGTAGGCCTCGAGAGACTGCGATAGGTAGTTAGTAGCGGGCCCTCGTTAGATCTATACCGGTACGACGCGAATAAGTATCCGGCGGCTAGGGGAGTTAGATCGAGGTCGGTTCTAGTAGAGTCTATAATAGTCGATCGCGATATTAGGTTATTATAGTAGTAATTAATAACCGCGCGCCTACTAAAGTCGTTATATCTCCGGACGTAGGCGCGTTATACGCAGCTACTATAGTCGTATACGCGACGCGCGCCTTCCTTAGGACTTACGAGCGAAGGATACCGCAATTTCGTATAGCTTCTCGAAGGCCGTAGAGGTCGATAGAGCTACGATAGCGACTAAGAGGGTCGATAGTATCGCATTTATAAGACCCCGATAGCGGAGCTCGCGATAGTAGGGCCTCGGTACCGGTCGTACGTACTAAATTACGCTTCCCGTAAGGCTACTAGCGCGATCGAGTATACCGCTTCGAGCAAACACCGCTAGATAAGGTATATACGACGAAGACGCCCTTTTCGAGACTACTATCGAAGTTATAGCTCGTCGCGGTATATACTACGACGTCTACGCCCTTCCGGATCGCTAAGGTATTAACGTTCCTCGCGTCCACTAATTAGAGGCCGCCGTTAGCCCGTTTTGAGCCGCACTAAGCCTAAAGGGGCCCTAACTTTTGTTAAGTTGTTATATTATTAACGAAGAAGGCCTAGGCTAATTTTAATATTCTTTTACCCTTCGGATCGTCGACTAAAACGTTAAACTAGACTATTATTTTATCTATAAAATACGCAACGTATGCTTGTCCTATAGACAGGATTTCTAGTTTATTCTCTTGTTACAGGAAGGTAGCCGCAAAAAAATTGGCTGTATACATGCAAGTCCATTGTAATGTGAAGTGTCAAATTCTACAGAATCATAAGGTGGCGGCGACAGGGACGGAAGGCACGGATAGTGATGTATGAGAATTCGCAGGGAGGAAACTGATGTCGTCGTTTGCAGGTACAGGACACCATAGCAGGAGCCTCAGCTATCATCCAGATGTCCTCCCACCTCCCTCAGTATTTCTTCCCCCCCCTTCGCCCAAGTTTCTCGTCACCTCATCAGTATAAAATTATGTCTTGCAGAATAGCAGTTTTCTCCAGCTCAGTCAAAGCATTTCCCTCCTCGGCTCGTTCCAGCTTCTCATATGTCCAATCGCTTCCAGCACAATAGGCAAAAATCTGGAAGCATGTGCTCGGGATCTCGGGAATCTGCAGTATCTCCGAGAGCCACTTGTTGTCGCCGAGGCCGTGGAGGTGAAGTTCAGGGAACGTGTAGTCGTTGGCGGAAATCGGACGGCAGGCCCGCCAGCTCCTGACTGTGGTGAGGGGTCTTTTGTTGAGCATTACGTTGGGCGGCACTGATTTGGGTGTGACGATCGGAGCAGCCAGGCGGTTGGCATTTGCCACGACTTCTTCGCCATACTTCCGGATTTTTTCTGCTGTGATGCCGAAGCGCTGCATGGCTTCTTCATTCTGGTCAAGTGCTAGCAGAGCGACTGTCGTGATGAATTCGTCGATGTCAATGTCCCCCCAAGGGTCGATTAAAGCGTGCACATTGATGTGCAATGTCAGAAGAGCATCTGACAGCCATTGCAGCTCAAAATCTGGAATTTCCATTTCTGTTGTAGAATCCAGCGACTCGGGCATTGTCTGCTGCGCCGCCCAGTGATCGCAGAACGCGCGAAGAATGACTTGCTTGCACTCAGGTATTCGCCAGATCGCGCGACGGCTCAGCCAGCGACTGAAAGCCTCCAGAAGGTCCACTCCAGCCAGATCAGTGACATACGCGAGCTCGTCGGATAATTTGGTTCTGCTACGGATTTGACCTGGCTGGAAGAGCAGATGCGCGTTACTCTTCTCGTCGATGACGTCGCGGAAATGCTTGGAAATGCGGCGACACCGTTGTATTTCTCTGGCTGGTAGCTCAGAGAGGATTCGGACCTCAAGTTCAATTGGTAGATCGCTTGCAGAAGTCACGGGGTTTATTGCATGCATTGCGGCGTTGAATCGAGCTGGAGGGAGTGATGAGCGGGCAGCGAATCGCGCAAAATGCATTCGATGGGTGGGTGTTCTTGCGAACTTTGAAGCGGCGATGTTGCTTCACTCGTCGGACGAAGCTAATATCCTGCGGCTTGTCGCTGTCGCGTGGATGGAAGGAGAGGCTTCGGCAACGGTGTAATGGCGCGAGGTATGCAAGTGACCGACTGGGTTGCAGAAGGTCGCGTCGATGTCTGCTGAGAGTTGTTGCGAGACCGTCGCGAAGTGATGTCCTTGTGACAGGGATCGTGCCGCGCAGAATGGCTCGTGCATGTGCCAAAGCTTAAAATTCAAGGAAGGCGCGATGGTATCTTGAAGAGTGAAAGCGACAAGCAACAAGCTGCATGCAAGTGAAGTGATCTGGGGCTCGATCCTACGAAATAAAGTTGGAATGACCTAGCCGCAAACCACGCCCTCCTTGGGTATCTCAGCCGTTCGCTCACCGTTCGAAATAGACTCGACTTTGCCGTTGGCGGATAGTCCAGCTTTCTCCTTCTCTAACCCTTCGGCTTCAAGCTTTGCCTTCTGCTTCTTGCTGAGCTGAAGACTGCCCTTCTCCATGGCCTCTTTAGGCAGAGGCCGTATGTGAGGCTGGCATACCCAGAAGGGGCGTTTACATCTCCGGATGGCCGCTGTACTGTAGAGCTCCGGATCAAGCGCTTCCTCTTCTGCATCGACCTCCGGCGTCTCAAACTGTGAAGGATCTTTCTCGTAGGCGAGCAAGCCTTCTTTCACCGCTTTCTCGACGAGACTGAGGACGTTCTCATAAGCATCAATGTCGCCAGCACGTGATCGAGCAAGAGCGTCCCTCACATCATGATGAGAGCCGACTAACGCCCGCAGAATGTGGAAGCAGTGTGGTTGCATGGCTGTAAGGTTGGGGTTAGTGCACTTCTCTGGCTTGCCTTGACTCTTCTTTGCTTCTTTCAATTGAGCTCGCTTCTGCTTCTTCGTCGGCGCTTGACCCTCGTCATCGGCTTTTCGCTTTGCTGAGTCTTGATGATGGACAGCATCACCATTTGTTGCTGGCAATACGGGTGCTTCTGAAGTTTGTGCTGCTTCGTTGGCAGTGTCTGGCGCGTCGAACGGCGCATCTGAAGGCAGGAAAAGCGGCTCTCTCTTGGGCGGCGCACGTCCCAAGACGTGCTCATGAATGATGTCGAGATACCTTCTCAAAACAGCATCAGCTCTGTACCCGCCTTTGCCATCTCTACCTCGCCAATATTCGCGACCTTCCTGACCAACCGGAGGCGGCGCAGCAAAAATCGAAGGGTCGTACAAATTCCCTTCCGCACTCATGATGCCATCGGCACCTGTGGCATCCAGGCAATTCTGCAGATCGTCATACTGCAAGATATTGCCATTTGCAAACATGACAGTTTCAGACGGCAGGTTGTCTCTCAGGAACCGCAGCATCTTCCAATCAGCCAGTCCAGTCTCATGTCCTTTCTGATGTCTCTGCCTGCCATGTACTGTGATTATGCTCGCGCCAGCGCTAAGGATCATCTTCGCGTATTCCAGAGTCTTCTCTTTCGTCTCTTGTATCCTAAACTTCGCTGTGACTGGGATATCCAAGCCCGTGTGCAGCGTATTGATCAGCTTATAGATCAAATCCCAATTCTCTTGTAGGAAAGCTCCATATTGTCCGCGTTTTGCAATGCCTTGCGGGCAGCCGAGATTCAGATCTATCGCGTCGCAGTATGGCTGGACTACTCTTGCTGCTTTCAAGAACGCTTCAGGATCGTTCGCGCAGAACTGCACGAAGAGAGGACGATCGAACTTTGGGTTGCCGTCCAGGTACATGTCGTCCTCTTTGAACGTCTTTTGATGCTCACTGTCTGCAGGCTCTGGCATCGCAAGAGGTGGCTTCAGGGGCTCGAAATGTGCTGCTCGATATTTTGGTCCATCTGCGAAGAGCTTCGCGTGTAACATTGGCGAATAGGCTAGAATTGAGGTTCGGAGATCTGGCGGTAAGAAGGAGCGAGTGAGCATTCGCCACGCAAATTCGCTCTGGTCGACCATGGGCGCGACGACGTATTTGGGTGAGCCGATGCTCTCGTAGAAGGCTCGCCCGTGCAGCTTCGGCGCCATGGCGTATGATCGGATCAATTCGTTGTAGAATCTCGTCCTGAAGTGGGAGAAATTTGGCAAGTAAGGTCGCAAGGAGCTATGCCATAGTATTCTATGGTGAACAGTCGGCATGCGATGCTCGTTCAAGGGCGTGGCAGAGAGAGGTGAAAGTGGTGAAAATCATTCACATGAGAAGAGGTGGTTTGGCGGTATTTGACAGGGATTGTGAATGCCTAAGGCATAAAGTCATCCAAGACTATCGTTTCATTCATTCGAGGCATATCTTACGTCCATCATTAATCGTATCAGACTACACTTCCAAGTTGGTCATAATGCTTCAATACTCCACCAATGCACTCGCTAAATCTCAAAACGCTCAGATGCAGAAGAATCTCCTTTTACCAATCCATCCCATGCATAAGTAGTCCCGTTCATGGCACGGAACTGCCAGCAGCCTCAAGTGTGCCGGCCTCAGTGTCCCCAACCTCAGCACCCAAATCAGCAGCAGTGCCGGTCGAGGTCCCATCAACACCATCAAGACCATTGGTCGCTGGTGCAGTCAAGCCACCAGTCTTGGCAGCATCACTGATAGCCTGAGCACCATTGGAGATCTTATCGAGCTGACGTCTGGCCTTCGGAATGGCGGCGCCAGCACCCTCCAAAGTGCCAGCTTCAGTGTCACCGATCTTGGCACCCAAGTCAGCAGCGCCGCCGGTGGAGGTGCCGTCAACGTCGTCAAGTTCAGTAGTGACGGCAGAGGTAGAAGCGCCGGTGCCTGCTGCTTGAGAAATGGCCTGAGCACCGTTGGAGATCTTGTCCAATTGTCTTCGTCGAGCTCCAGTAGAAGATATAGTGTTTGCGGTGTTGTCTTCAGCATTCTCAACACCATATCCAACGCCGTTGTCTGTCTGAGAGAGGACGGAGTCGCAAGCTGCACCTTCGCCAGCTAGCTGACGACGAATGAACTTAAGACCAGTACCGGAAATGGTGTTTGCTGTGTTGTCCTCGGCGTTCTCGACCCCGTAGCCAACACCATTATCAGTCGAAGAGAGGACACTGTTGCAAGCGGCGCCCTCGCCGGCAAGCTGAGGAACTGGAGCTGCCAACACGCCAGTCGCAGAGAATGCCAGAATGGCAGCAGCGATGGCAGATGTGAAGTGCATGTTGTCGGTAGTGGAGAAATCGATCTAGGTTTTAGAGGTAATGATATTGAGGGTTTTCGGTAGTGATGAAGGTTGCACTTGAAGGCCGCTGGCCAAATGGTACTTCTGAGCTGCTAGTTGCCTGGGAATTTGTTGCTGGGATGGAGATTTCAACGATGGATGAACACCGTTGTCTTTATACCACACGCGTGTTCAGCTTGTTCACGCTCGGCGTCATCGCACTGATGCCCTGGAGGCACGTGTAGCGGCGCGCTTTCGTTGAGCATACATATTTGCCGTGAAGCGAGAGACTAAGACATCGGATCAACTGTGAAAGTTGCCCTCTAGGTCTAGCTTGTAGGCTCAAGTTGACCTCTGGAGTCGTGGGCCATGTGCCACGCACACGACTTGTCAACATTTGGCGAAAGCTTGAACCTGGCACCGAAACTGGTGCTATGCAGTGTAATAGCCTAGCATGGTTAGTGCACAGACAGCGGCGTGCTGAAGGGGGCCGTGGGTTGAGAAATCCCAGAAGAAGCAACCGCGATTCGGTGCCGTTCTCAAGCCCACCTGTGGACCCCATATGATGATTATGATCTACACGCATGGAAAGACTAATCTTCTCCACGAACATGACGCTGGTGGCTAGACCCAGCACGGGATACAGCCTACCAAGTGGAACTTTTTTGGTATTGTGGATGCAAGCCACGCCACTATTCTACGGCGTCTGCCCACGCAGATATCAATCGCTTGCGTTGCGCTGTAATGACACCGAAGACGGATATGGAGGAGCACATGAATGGCAGAAACTGGAGTGAGGTTGAAGTCGATCATCGTGACCACCAGCGGGCCGCAGCTGGGAGTATTCACACGTGCGGTTCTTGCCGATCATGAAGATCATCGACAACTCCGACAAGGTATTCAAACATGTGCGAGATGCATTTGTACAGCGCGTGGCTTGGCCCTTGAATCTTATGTGCGAGTTTCCCAGCACGCGGCGTGCCGGTTCCGAGCAAGACCAACGTTCTGTGATGGACACTGGTGACTTCGTGAAGCCCTTCGCGACAAATTCTGGATGACCGGTGTGAGCCGGATCCAGGAGGCTGCTGCGGCTGCATGCAAGCCGAATAAGCTTTGTCGTGTTGCTTGACGAGGAGGCGCTTTCGAGGCGCGCAGCCAGCAGAGGGGTAGGGTCCAATGAATGGTGCGTGTGAGAGTGCAAGACAAATGATTAAGCTGTGCCATGCCGCCCCAAGCTCCTCAAGCATCGTAATGCATGTAGGATGCAAGGCTTGACTACGAGAAATCGCACAGCAACGAAGCTCGACTTGAAGCCGCAGACGCCATTACACGGAATGAGGCCTTTACATGTGGGCGTTGACGGGCGGCACCTGCTAGCATGACTATGCCGCGCCGCACAGCTCTCTCCCTCTCATGATTTGCCTCTCAAATATTGGTCGTGATGCCGTCAGAGTGGGAAGGCCAGATGGGGGTTGCCTGCAGCATTTTTGCCATTTGCCCATGGTGGCTTCTGCACTTCCACTCTACCCTTGATTATGCAGCATCCCATTTGTCTGCTTGAGCAGTTGAATCCGAGGTACAGGTCGTAAGCTCCTCACGGGTCATCTGCTCGAGGCCGTCTCCGGAGCTGATGGTCGAGCATGAGACGCAGAGCTTGTCGTGCATAGATCGACCATAGGATCTGTATACCTCTCAAGCATGGTTGAAAGAAGCGAATTGTGAGATGATTGTCCATGAGGCTGCGAGTGGTGCTCTGCAGTGCCTCAAGATGCATCCCTGCGAAGAGGCAGAAGCAATGATCCGCCCAGATTGAGGGAAAGGTGGTGACGCAGTGCTCCGACGTCTTCTGGTCATGGATGCAAGGCTGTTAGTGAGCAGGTGAAAGGTCGATGGCGAGGCAGTCGCTATGGCGAGGCATCGATTATTCGCCGTGCTGCCGTGCACTTCAAATGGCAGGTGCGCGAGACGACAGAGACATAGCATGAGAAGATTGTATGATGAATTTGATGCTCGGAAGCATGTCGTCGCCAAGGCTCTGTCAAACATGGCTGTCCACGTGCGGACCTGGCCGTTGTTGCGCAAAGAGCCGCTGGCAGTATTCTATGTACTAATAAGTGGGGCGAGAAGTCAAAGTCTCCTTCCACACTCTCTCCTGTGATGATATGTCTCTTCGTCCTTTTGGTGTTTTCCTGCCGCGTGTTATCCTCAAGGCGGACGTCGCTTACGATTAGCGAGGCCGGCCCGCTCGTTCTCAACAGCGCGCGCACGCTTCCAAGCGCGGCGGCAAAGACTTGGCGTCTTGGAATGGTTCAGCGACATGGCGGGCATGCGGACAGGAATATCGAGATAACAGACGCGGTGGCAGATGCGCGTGCGGCAAGCGCTCTGTGCGACAGCAAAGTCATCGGAAGAGACGTCAGATGATTGAGGAGACGGAGACGGAGACGGGATGGAGGAGGAGGAGGAGGAGGAGGATGGTAAATATTCTGTGGATGGATGGATGGCGGGTGTACCTGCATGCGCATGCATGAAACCGGGATGACGAGGGCTGCCGAAGCCAATCAGCGAAGTGAAACAGTATGGCGAATCTTTTTGCCGCCACAGTCTAAGACTCAGCTGTAAGAGACGAAGGTGGCTGTCGCATCTTCTCAAGCCTGTTTCGCCGTCGTGTCGCTCGTCGCCAGTCGTTCGCGCAGTCACCACTCTGTCCCACGCACGACACCAGCAGACGCTGGACCTGCATTGAACCATTTCCACGTTTCCGTCCCGTCGATCTTCATAGATCGACTTTCCAGGCACCGCACACCGCACCGCGCGCATTCTATTGTCCTCCCTGCGCCGTCCCAGTCACCAGCGAAAGTACACCAGCCTCGTCCTAGTCAGTGAGCTGCAACATCTCCGTATCCCCAATTTTCTGGTCCTCGCGCGGCCAAGAGATGTAGCAGCCCGCCGCGCCGTTATTAGTGCCTGGACATCTCTACCATTGTTTATTAGCGTCATCGTCGAACTCTCCCGCACTTCGACCTCCTTTCCCGCCGCAATCTGGACCATACCAATCAAAGGCCCGGGAAACAATGCGGCATTGTCGGCGCATGCCAGTCTTTGTTCTCTGACCAGAGCTCTGCTATTCTTGCGACTCGACTGGCTGCATTGTTCACGCCCGCTCATCTACTCACCGCCTCCCACCGCTCATTCACTAAGTCAGAATCCATTTTACCACCGCATTGACTGCGGCAGCAGCTTTCATTCACACCAATCCAACATCGCCAATCTTTCGATTTCTCCGCTAGCTGGTACTAGCATTTGGCATAGTCGGCAACACCCGTCCGATTCTTTGTGCCCGTCACACCTTGCCGTCGACATTCTTTACCGCACTAGGAAGCGCTCCAAACACGCCGATCACAGCATTGGCCCCCCTTTGTCCAAGGGTACTACTGTAGCAATCTCAACGCCGCGCCGGTCGCCATGCATCCCTCACACTATCTTCACCCTCGACTCCACCTGCACGCTACACCCAGTGTGCCCTTCGCCTCACATGCCGGCCATCTTATGGCCCCTCGACACCCCGATCCACTCCCGAACGCCATACCTCTGCCCAAACCTGGCCATGGCCAGGTGACGGACTTTGGGACGCTGCTCAATATGAGCGCCAACGCATCTCCATTCAGTCACGGCCTCGAAGGTGTCAACCAGTATGGCAACTACCTCTTCGCCAACCTCCTCGTCATCTCCTTCATGGGCCTTCTGGCCGGCACCCTACTGTACAGATGGATCAAGATGGGACATGCCCATATGCGACACTTGTTTACCATGGGAAGAGAGTCGGACCAGAGGTACTTCATGTATAACCACACACAGCTTTGGCCGTGGATTAAAAGGCACATACTTTACGCTCCGCTGTGGAAAAACAGGCACAACAGGGAGTGGAAGCTCAACAATTCTGTCAGTATGGGCACCTTGCCCTCAAGATTTCACACACTCCTTTTATTGGTCTATCTGGCTTCGAACACGGCATACTGCTTAGTAGTGGATTGGAGCAAGCCGAAGCCATCGGTCATTGCAGAACTTCGTGGCCGGACAGGAGTGCTGGCCGCACTTAATATCATACCCACCATCCTTTTCGCTTTACGAAACAACCCAGCCATACGACTGCTACGTGTACCTTATGACACATTCAACCTTCTACACAGATGGTGTGCTCGCATGTTGGTCCTTGAGAGCATACTTCATACCATATTCTGGGCAATCAATGCTTACAACGCCGGCGGATCTCGACAAATTGGAGTTTCACTGGACACATCATTGAGCTACAGATGGGGCATGGTTGCTTCATGCGCCTTTACATTCATCGTCATTGCAGCCACGGGACCATTACGACACGCCGCCTACGAAACTTTCATCATGTCTCATCGACTGCTGGTAATCGTTGGTATTGCTGGTGTCTACGTTCACCTAGATGCCGCAAATCTACCAATGTTGCCATACGTGCAGATCAGCATTGCATTTTACGCAGCAGAAGTCTTCCTTAGGTTCTTCAAAGCTGCATGGTACAACTACAGCCGCCAAAAGGGCTTCACCAGGGTGACGGTGGAATGGCTTCCAGCAGAAGCATGTCGCGTCACCTTCGATCTGTCGCGACCATGGCAGTGGCGGCCTGGATGTCATGTCCACGTCTGGATTCCACGATTCGGTCTGTTATCGACACACCCTTTCTCGATAGCGTGGGCTGAGAACAGACCCCGAAATCCTCCAATGGAGATCGAAATGGAAAAGCTGCCTCCGACATTTGGCAGCACATTTGCCACACATCAACATCGACCGAGCTTAGCTACAGGGCTTCAGAACCGGGCAAGCTTGGCAAGAATACAGACACACCAGTCGCGCAAGAGCGCCACATTGACAGAAATGGCGAACATCGCAGAAGAAACACACAAAGCAGCAGCGACAAACATCACATTACCCCGAGAAGCTGATGTCACATCCGTCTCGCTCATAATACGAGCCAGAAACGGCATGACCAGAAATCTCTACGACAAACTCTCAAAGAATGACAAACAGCCGATCATCACATGGGGCGCCATCGAAGGACCATACGGTGGACACGACCCAATGTCATCCTACGGCACGGTCATCCTCTTCGCAGGAGGCGTCGGCATAACCCACTGTATCGGATACATCCACCACCTCATGCTCCAATACCAAGCCGGCACCTGCAGCACGCGGAGAATCCTTTTAGTATGGTCCGTCCCCAACACCGAAGCGCTCGAATGGGTCCGAAAATGGATGGACGAAATTTTACGCATGGAATTCCGTCGCGACGTCCTCCGAATCCAACTCTACATCACGAAACCCCGCCATCGAGGCGAAGTTGTATCGGGTACCGGAAGCGTGCAAATGTTTCCGGGAAGATGCGTGCCTGCTACCGTCATCGAGAAAGAACTCCCCGAACGCATTGGGAGCGTGGGTGTGACGGTTTGTGGACCGGGAGCTTTTTCGGATAGTGTTCGACAGGCTTGTAGGAGTGTCGTTCAAGAGGCTAGTGTGGATTTCATTGAGGAGGCGTTTACGTATTAGAAACAGAAACAGGACCAGGGAAGAAGATCCTGGGTTACGACGTTACGGCGGCTTTTTTCCCCCCCCCAAAAATACTTTTCGAGACCGATTTTTGTTTGGTCGATTGATTACTGCTCGAGATACCACTTCGCATGGGAAAATAGGCATGGGTTTTTGCATAGCGTGGAGAAAGAAGGAAAGGTCGTTTTGTGTAGTGTATAGATCATCTGGATCAGAAAGAACAGAGAAGAAAGAAGGGAAGAGAGGTGAAGATGGATATGGGACTGGAAATGGAACGTATCATAGTGTATGGACATCAAAAAAGGGAAACGACAAATTCAAACAAAGTCCTTCATTGCTGTTTTTCTTTTATCCTATTTACTTATGATACTCACAGTGTGAATCGCTTGTATTCCGTCGATTCTTGTTTCGGGTTGATGCGGGATATTACTTATATTATAATCTCCTATGCCGCCCCATTCATCGGCGTTCTTGTCATTTCGCTAGGTCGGTCGTAGATAAGTCTCCTCCAACCGCAGCAAGCGCTTTTATGGTATAAGGCGGCCATTCATCATCCTGTGTAGGCGGTGCTTGCTGCTCCACGTTACTTAAGCGGGTGGATCTCGTTCTATGGCTGTCGACGAGGCATCACCTACACGAGCTCGAGCTCGGGGCCTTCTAGGGTCCTGTAGGCTCAATGTTCAGCTCATGTGGACGACGTGTTACGAGGGAGTCTGAGAAGGCGGCACTCGTCGTGAGGCTCCGTAGACATGAAGCCATGGCGGACGCCTCGCACGTGGCGATCCTACGTTGATCTTCCAACATATCGATGTCCACTGCTGCTGGTCACCAGGTGGTATAGCTCCATCTGTCCCCGAAGCCATCGTTGATGCCAATGCTGCATACGAGAAGTGCGCTGCAATCGGACGTTGTAGTTGTCTTGGCCTCGTGTTACAGCGCGGGAGCCAAAGGCAGGCGTCGGCTCTGGGTGCGAAGGTTTCGGCTTCAACGTCAAGGGTCTGCAGGCAACCAAACCTCCGCTCCGCCCACCTTTGGAGGCTCGTTTCACCGTTCACGTAGTAGTACGTCTGGCTTCTCCCCACGAGCAGGGAACAAGGGCTGGCCTTTGATCTGCTTCTACTTACTCTTGCCACACTAAAGCATCGTGACAATTGGCAATCTCCAATTGGCAACACACCGTCGCATCTTTCCCTTCCACTGGACCCTTCCGTCGGCGCCGGGAGCTCACCAAGAGGGTGTGCAGCACCCGCGGTCGACTCGCCTGGTCAGGTGGGACGCTGAGCACAGTGTCGCGTGGGTCGAATGAACATCGCTGGCCAGACTCCACCGTGCGACGTCCATCATGGCCGACCTACACCAGAACCCGGAGCTGCAGCAGCGACTGCGAGACCTCGACCATGAGTTGGAGGAAGGCGATATTACCCGCAAGGGCTACGAGAAGAGGCGAACCCAGATTCTGTCACAATTCCTGACTCCCGAGCAATTGCAGGCAGCGCGCATTCCGAGAGCAGATCGCGCGGAAAGCATGTATTCAGTGGAAAGCAGCAGCGCGCAACAGCATGCGAGAGGCGCGAGTTATGGCAGTATACAGCCAAGCATATACGCTCAGGACTACAGCACGTACGACGGCCAGAATGGATATGGTCAGTACGCGGCGAATCCGCAGATGCAGCAGCCGCGACCCGTCACCCCAGGATCGATGTCAGGTCCGGTCCAGAGGTTTCAGGAACAGCAGTTGGGCATGAGACCGCCGCCAGCTGCAGCGGGGCAACGACAACCATCCATAGGCGGGCTGCGGCCAGCAACGCCAGGAAGTCGCCCTGGCACGCCTGGGAGTAGGTACAGCTCGAATGGCGGGACAATGGTCAATTCTGATTATGCCTTCAATCCGGATGCCAGCAACAGTCGCATGAGCACCATGCTAGACTCTCAACACGGATATTTCTCGGACTTTGCAGGTACACAGGGAGAAGGGCAGACACCCACGAGAGAGAGTTATGGAGGGCCGCAGCGATACAGCATGGGCGAAGCCTTCTCGCCGACTGCATTAATTCCACCTCCGCTCATGCGCGACGACATGGCTCCTGCACAAGTTCACCAATTACCACTCGAACCTCGAGATGTACCATTCGCCGTATACGATCCGCACAATGCGAATGTGCCCATGTCCAAGTTTGACAACATCGGTGCGGTGCTCAGACATCGCGGGAAAATGCAAGCTCGACAGCCAGCATATTGGGTGCTCGATCCGAAAGGCAAAGAGACGGCTTCTATCGCATGGGACAAGCTTGCTTCTAGAGCGGAGAAAGTGGCGCAGGTCATAAGAGACAAGTCCAATCTCTACCGGGGCGATCGAGTGGCACTCGTTTATCGAGACACAGAAGTCATCGAATTTGCGATTGCGCTGCTAGGGTGCTTCATTGCAGGAGTTGTTGCAGTACCGATCAATAATGTGAATGACTACCAAAAGCTGTCTCTCCTGCTCACCACCACGCAAGCTCATCTTGCGCTCACGACGGACAGCAACTTGAAAACCTTTGCGAGGGACATCAGTGCTCAGAGATTGAAATGGCCAACAGGAGTAGAGTGGTGGAAGACGAACGAGTTTGGTTCGTATCATCCCAAGAAGAAGGATGAAAATGCTCCGCTGCAGGTACCGGACTTGGCGTACATAGAGTTCTCACGGGCTCCTACTGGTGATCTGCGTGGCGTCGTGCTGTCTCACAGGACCATCATGCATCAAATGGCGAGTCTATCGGCGATACTGTCAACGATACCAACGGCCGAGAATCAAGACACTTTCTCGTCGACTTTACGAGCAGAAGATGGCTCTTTCGTGGTGCCTCGTCGTGGCAGACACGAGACCATAATGTCCTACCTTGATCCTCGAGAAAGCTGTGGCTTGATTCTAGGCGTCCTACTCGGCGTATATGGCGGCCACACAACAGTCTGGTTCGAGAGCAAGACCGTCGACACACCCGGCATGTACGCACATCTCATCTCGAAATATCGAGCCACTGTTATGGTAGCAGACTATCCGGGATTGAAGCGTGCAGCGTACAATTATCAACAGGATCCGATGGCAACAAGAAATTTCAAGAAGAATATGGAGCCGAATTTCTCATCAGTAAAGATCTGCTTGATAGACTGCTTGACCGTTGACACCGAATTCCATGAAATCTTGGCAGATCGATGGCTAAAGCCGATGCGAAATCAAAGAGCTCGCGAGCTGGTTGCACCTATGCTGGCGTTGCCCGAACACGGCGGCATGATCATATCTGTACGAGACTGGCTAGGTGGTGAAGAAAGAATGGGTTGTCCGCTCACGATAAACTCGGACGGCGACGATAGCGACGACGACGAACCGAGTAGCCCGTCAACGGAGAACAATTACACTTCGTTGCTCAATTCTAGCACAACTGGCAGCAAGAAGAAGCAGAAGACGAGTCGTACCGAGCTCAGCGAAGTCTTGCTTGACAAGGAGTCCCTCAAGACCAACGAAGTCGTTCTACTAGCGAGAGGCGAAGAGGCGCGCAGACGAGTCAACGAGCCTGGAACAGTGCGATGTGGCGCGTTTGGCTACCCCATACCAGATGCGACACTTGCAATAGTCGATCCTGAGACGAATCTGCTCTGTCCGCCTTACACCATTGGTGAAATATGGGTGGACTCGCCATCGCTTTCAGGAGGCTTTTGGGCACTGCCCAAGCATACCGAAACCATCTTTCACGCCCGACCATATCGATTTGTGGAAGGAAGTCCAACACCAGTCTTGGTGGAACCCGAATTCCTGAGAACAGGCTTGCTTGGCTTCGTCGTGCAAGGCAAGATATTTGTGCTAGGCCTCTATGAAGACCGCATAAGGCAGAGGGTAGAGTGGAACGAAGGTGGAATGCAAGAAGTGGAGCACCGATACTTCTTCGTGCAACATCTCGTGGCCAGCGTTATGAAGACAGTGCCGAAGATCTACGACAGCTCGGCTTTTGATGCTCATGTCAATGGCGAGTACCTCCCTATCATCCTCATCGAAACGCAAGCTGCTAGCACAGCGCCCACAACGACTGGCGGTCCACCTAGACAGCTCGACATTCCATTCCTCGATTCGCTGAGCGAGCGAGTAATGGAAGTCTTGTACCAGGAGCACCATCTGCGTGTCTACTGTGTCATGATGACTGCGCCAAACACACTACCACGTGTCATGAAGAATGGTCGGAGGGATATCGGCAACATGCTCTGCAGGAAGGAGTTCGACAATGGCAACCTGCCGTGTGTGCACGTCAAATTTGGCGTTGAGCGCGCAGTCCAGAATCTGCCGCTTGGCGACGACCCTGCTGGTGGAATTTGGTCACCTTTGTCCAGTCAGATCAGACAGGATATGCTCGCGATGCATTCGGACAAGCAGTACTCGGGCGTCGATCACCGAGAAGTGGTGATCGACGACCGCACGAGCACGCCTCTCAACCAGTTCAGCAACATTCACGACTTGATGCAGTGGCGGGTCTCGCGACAAGCCGAAGAACTATCATACTGCACCGTCGACTCTCGAGGCCGAGAGGGCAAGGGCGTCAACTGGAAGAAGTTCGACCTCAAGGTTGCTGCAGTGGCTCATTATTTGAAGAATAAAGTCAAGGTTCAGCCAGGCGACCACTTAATACTGATGTACACGCACTCCGAGGACTTTGTGTACGCGGTGCATGCATGTCTGTGCCTCGGTGCTGTCGCTATGCCGATGGCGCCCATCGATGCTAATCGCCTCAGTGAAGATGCACCTGCGCTGCTACACATGATTGCCGACTTCAGAATCAAGGCGGTCTTGGTGAACGCAGAAGTCGACTCACTAATCAAGCAGAAGACAGTCAGCCAGCATCTGAAGCAGTCAGCTCTCATTCTGAAGGTAACGCTGCCACCAACGTACAACACCAGCAAGCCGTCGAAGCAGTCGCACGGGTGTAGGGAGCTTGGCTTCACAATTCGACCGGCTTGGATTGCCCCCGGTTATCCTGCTATCATTTGGACGTACTGGACACCAGATCAGCGTCGTATCGCCGTCCAGCTAGGACATGACACGGTCATGGCACTTTGCAAAGTGCAAAAGGAGACTTGCCAAATGACGTCCACCAGACCTGTTCTTGGCTGTGTCCGAAGCACAATGGGCATTGGCTTCCTCTACACTTGTATGATGGGGATCTTCCTCGCGACCCCAACATATCTGGTGTCACCGGTAGACTTTGCAGCCAATCCTAACATCTTGATGTCGACACTAGCGAGGTACAAGATCAAAGACACATACGCCACAGCACAAATGCTTGAGCATGCCATGGGACACAACGCAGGCAAAGGCGTGCAACTTCTCGAGCTCAAGAACTTGATGATCTCAACTGATCAGCGACCCAAGACTGATGTCTACAGCCGTGTCAAGCAAGCATTTGCGGCATCACAGCTCGACCGGACTGCCATCAACACAATCTACAGCCATGTGCTCAACCCCATGATCGCAAGTAGGAGCTACATGTGCATAGAACCCATTGAGCTGTACTTGGAGCCAACGTCATTACGAAGAGGCCTGATTGTGCCAGTGGATCCGGACCAGGAGCCGTTTGCACTGCTTGTACAAGACTCTGGAATGGTGCCGGTAAGCACTCAGATTAGCATTGTCAATCCAGAGACCAACAGACTGTGCCTGGTTGGTGAGTACGGCGAGATCTGGGTGCAATCTGAAGCCAACGCGCACTCTTTCTATGGCTCGAAGGATGCATTCGATGCCGAGCGCTTCAACGGACGAACAGTCGACGGCGATCCCGGTGTGCGATATGTCAGGACTGGAGACCTTGGCTTCCTTCATTCTGTCAGCAGACCTATCGGGCCTGGTGGCAATATGGTGGAGATGCAAGTGCTCTTTGTGCTCGGAAGCATTGGCGAGACCTTTGAGGTAAACGGCATGCAGCACTTCCCAATGGATGTCGAGAACAGCGTAGAGAAGTGCCATCGGACGATCGTCAGAGGTGGATGGTGAGTCCAAGAGTCCAATGTTTGCCTTCGTGATTGCTAACATCTAGCAGTGCCATCTTCCAGGCAGGCTCTTTACTGGTCCTCATCGCCGAAGTGCGCACCCGCTCCTTCCTTGCCTCATTGGTTCCGATAATCGTAAACACCGTCCTGAACGAGCATCAACTTATTCTTGACATTGTTGCATTTGTCGACTTTGGCAACTTCCCACGCTCGCGTCTGGGCGAAAAGCAGCGAGGCAAAATCCTCGCCAGCTGGGTCAGCCGAAAGATGCGCACCTTGGCACAATTCAGCATTCGTGATCCAGATGCTGAAGGCAGCATCGGTACGGTGGTGCCCGAGCAAGCACTCCTCAGGAGGCCGAGCGCACAGAGTGGCCTTGCTGGAGCTAACAGCCTTAGGAAGGGAGAAAGCTCGCTTCGCCATGTCGAGAGTGTGACGCACATGCCGGTGCCGGAGGAATCACCAAGCTGGGAACAGCAGGATCCATTGTCAATCCTGACACATGACACTAAAAGCCCATCGGGGACTATGGGTGGAGAGACGTTGTATACTGATGCTACGCGAAATGATAACACGCCCACTCAGAGCGAGCACGCACAGCTTACGCTCAACACGACCACAGACTATTCGCCCGTAGACCAGGGCCACGACGACGAGTACTCACATCCTCGGGCACAGTGGAACACATACGAATCTGGATCTGGGCAGTATCACCCTACACATGGATATCCAGATTACCCTAGCAGTGGAGTTGGACAAATGGACTATTCTCCCGAGGAGTCACCTGTCGAGGTGCCAGCGCCGCTCGGAACGCTCAAGGTTGCCAATAGGACTAGCAACGATAGCGATGATGACGACTGGGGTGGGCAAGCGCTCAAGGAGCTCAATTTGGGGCCCAGATGATCAAGAACACAAATTCACATTCATTGCTTCTGGGGCAAGCTCATGAGCAGTCGCTTTGCTATGTTTGGATACGATCGAGATTTAGCGCGCAACATGGAAAGAGCGGCGTTCATTGATAATTTTTCTCGGTTCAAATAATGTACAGGAAAAGAGGAGCATGTATAGGGAATGCTGGTGCGCATGACTTTTCAATCATTGGGCGGCGGGTGGGAATGGAAGGGGATGGGATGATCAGTCTTAGCGAGAGTATTGGTGTGTATCAATCTCTTGGTAAAGGCCGAAACGATACGAGTTGCACGAACGAACGGAAGAAAGGCTGGATGACACTGGCGCTTATTAGCCAAGTATTGAAACATTCTCGCGACTACCTGACGAAGGCCAACACGGAATGCGGCACGCTCGCCGATGTCTTAGACAAGACCATTCTCGATGTCGGCGCTTATTCAATATAATACAATTTCGAACGGTCACGAATGAGCGTTCATTGCGCCGATGAAGAAAATCTTGGATGAGGAAAGTTGTCTGGAATTAGGTAAGTGTTCTAGTTCTGTTTTCTTTTTCGCTGTCTTTGCCCTAACTATAATCTGTCGTTCGTAAAATTTCACGTGGCCAGCGCCAACAACACAACATAACCAAGACCGTTTCAGCATGGTCGTCGTAGGTAGGTAGGTAGGTCGGTATCTATGCACAGAAAGCAGAAGCAGACCTCCCCGGGAAAGTCAGAAGGAAGAAGAAGAAGAAGAAGAAGGAAAGGCAAACACCAGAAATCCCCATGCCGCTAAATCGCATCACAAAATCCCTCAAACCAACCACTCACTACCCCGTCCTCGTCGTCTCCGGTTCATAAAACCAATACTCCGCCGCATACTCAATCTGAAATTCCTCCTGCTGCCCTTGACAGCTTTTCGGCGCCACACCGCCCGCAGTATTGATGCGGAAGATCTCCTGAAAAACACAGCCCTCGGGGTTTTTGGCCGTGAGTTTCAACCACGGCACTGCTCCATACCCCCTCCCATTCTGTCCCACACACGCATCTTCGGGGGCGGCGGTGGAGTTGAGTTTTTGGAAGCCGCCGGCTCCGTAGGATGTGAGGGTGGTGTCGAGGTTGAAGTAGGCGGTTGTGGAGTCGGTGAAGTAGTGGTGGCCGGAGAGGTCTTGGTAGATGGGGGAGGAGGGGGTGGTGGATTTGGGGGTTGGGAGGTCCAAGGCGATTGCGGGGATTTTGGAGAGCAGGGTGGGGCTGTTGGCGGAGAGACAGGTTACGTTGAAGAGCGAGGCTACGGCGCCGGCGGCGACGGGGATGGCGGTCGTGTTGGTGAGGTCGCAGGTGTAGTTTTGGGTTCCGCGGCCGACGGCTACGTGGTAGAGTTGCATTCCGGGGGAGGGCGGTGGGAGGGGTATTGGTGCTGTGGGGGAAGAAGTGTGAGTTGGTTGGTTGTTTGGGAGGTTGGTGGGTGAGGAATTGGACTTACCTTGGGGTAGAGACACTGAGGCGAGATCGCATTGGCCGGTTACGGAGCTTTGGTATGTGGAAGAACCTCTTCCTCCCCAGTTGTGGCCTTTTCGGTTTGCCCAGTCGTAGAAGGATCCTGAGTTGCGGTGATCCCATGCCCAGCCTGGTGTTCGTTTTTCTTCTTGGGTGTATGGTGCGGCATTGATCAGAGTTGTGAGTGCGAGTATTATGCTCGCGTGCGGGAACAACATTGTTGTAAGTTGTCGTCAAGGTGATGGATCGTTGAGTGGTGTTGATCGATCAAATTTCGATGCTTTCTTCGCAGCTGAAGGTATGGATGTGTTGCTGCAGCTCAAAAGTCAACGTTCCTTCCCAACTTTTCTATATACATGGCTGGGCTTGTACAACCACGAGGTAGGTGTACGGTAGCGTTAGATGGATTAGCCGCCGTGCTGGAAATAGCACACGATTAGGTGGAGATTTCTAGAGCTAGGGTTCGAGGTCTGTGCGCTGCTCGGTCTCAGGTTTCTTCTTGTTTGCTGCTTTCGATCTTGCAACGATCAGACGTTCGATTGATCGTTAAATATTGCATGATATCCACTCGGTTGATATCGCTATGCTACAATCCGAAGGCTGGCTGTAGGCGTGCATCGTTGCGTTGACCGTCGACATATGATATGCATTGTCCAAAAACGTGCATTTAGCTTACTATAGGCGCAGCTTCGCCTGTCAGTCTGGCTGCGGGGAAGCCCTACACTTCCGAAGAGCCTTGGCGAGTAGCCACACCGCTATTTTCTTACTAAATCCACTCTTCTAAGCTCCTCTATTATAATAGAATCCTATTAATATCGTGTCGACGATTTCTAGTAGTATAGACGACTTCTAGGTGTTGTTTCTAGTATAGTATAAAGCCTCGTCTAATCGATAAGGCCTTATAGGCGCTTCTTAAGTCTTATTTCGTCTAAGGCTATACTCCTAAGCAGATAATCGAGGAAACAAGAGTGCTAATAACCGTTAGATCGATATATCGATATTAGTAGAAGTAGAGGTTGTTTAGTAAGCTATATATAAAGAATACTAGTGCGAAGAAGGATACAAAGAGGAAGCTTTTATACTAAGAGGAAGAATAGCTATATAACTACCTCTGCGAGCGTCTAGATACCTATTTTATAGAGATAAGCGCTACTCTTATAGACGAGTTTATCCGGCTACGACCTATAGTAGAAGGTAGTAAAGGAATCGAGCTTAATACAAGTATACTACGGCAGGTATTGAAACGGTAGGGGTAGACTCGTACGCGGCTTTAGGTAAAGGTAAAGGAACGCAACCTATTACTAAGGGCTCTATAGGTAATTAGGTACGCGAGTTAGCCGGTAGATAGGCTTATTTTTATCGACGAGACGGCCTATAATTAGAAAACTAGTTAGCGGAAGTATAGCTAGTTACTACGAGGTATAGCATATTATAATTATTAGTATACGAAAAGGGAAGTAAGATAGTCTATCTTACCCGCCTTTACTATCTACAGCTATTTGCTATATACGTACGTATACTAGGGTTCGATTAATAGTAAGCGATTTAGCACCTAGTTAGAGGAAGAGGTGCTACCGTACCTTGCTAATAGTCCGTTAATAATATTTGTAATAGATAATGCGAGTATCTACTATAGTAAGAGGGTTAAGGAGGCTATACTAGAAGCTAGTTACTATCTCGAATACCTTCTACTATACTCACCGGATTTGAATCCTATCGAATAGACATTCAATCTGCTTAAGAAGACTATTAAGAAGTATCGCTATAAGGTGCCGCTTTTCGAAGGTTTCTAGGACTACTTAGTGTAGTATTTATACAAGTATAGAGGCTAAAGGGCTCGTAAGTTGTTTAAATACGCTAGATATAACGTCGAGGGCCGAGATTTGCCGTACGATCCTAAAGCCTTCGAAATAAGCGCTAGATCTATATAGAACATACTTAATATAGATACTAAAGAGTCCGCATAGTATACGCAATATAAGGGTACGCCGCCGACAGTGCTAGATAACCTAGATAATTATATATTAAGTAAGGAAGAGCTTAAACGGGAACTAGAAGACTCGGATATAGACTTCGAGGATTTCGAGTAAATTTACTAGCGCCGGCAAGCGCCGAGGGCAGAGATTTAGGTAAATAGTTCGAACGCTAGCTTTTCTTACCGGTCTATTTGTTTTATAAGCAACGTATTTTAACTAATATACTAAATCGGGTCTAAATAAGTGTATATGTAGCAAGAATCTCCCGCTTATTACAAGGTTGTATATATTGTAGTAATAAAAAGAATATTGCCTAAAGAAAGCCCGAATTCGATTATATCTCGCCCTCCTCCGTAGCGGCTCTATTCGTAGCGATAATATTATCGTCCCTCTACTTTAACTATTCTCGTATAGCCTCTTTTAATCTTAGTCGCATACTATATACTTCCTTAAGCTCGAGAGGCTAGTTAGATTAGTCTATATTAGCGATAGCATCGAGGCGCTATACTGTTCCTACGAATACCTTTATATAGGCGCGGAGAGAGTCCTATTCCGCGAAATCCGGCTAAAGGGCGCACCACTAGAAGAACTCGGTCGTAGTAGCCTTAGAAATTACTATACGCGGCACTTTAATAGGCGCCTTATAACCTAAGCGATAACTAGCAAGAGTACGAGTAGGAGTCTTCGACGGCGTGCTAGGAATACGACCGGAGCTATAGGTTTACTAGTGCAGTATTCTACCTACAAATTCGCCTATTATCTTTATTATTCTACCGTTAGCCTTAGCAGCCTCGCTATTGCTGCCTATTCTGCGTACCTGCTAGCCTTAATACTTCTTCTTAATCTTGCGAGAGATTAATATAATCTCTATCGATACTAGAAGCCTATCTAGCTAAGAACTATCCTTATTCTATACATACTAGCCTTTAGCAATAGCCTAGCTTAATTTGGTTATTGCGGCTTCGAAGAAGGGGAAGTGATTCTTACTAAGCTCCTTTACCGAGCGATTAAACTAGTATATAGCCTCGCCGGCCTTGCTGCTTTGTTTATAGTCTTTACGAGTATAGAGCTACTCGTTAAGGATCTTAAAGTCGTATCTACTAGCAGACTCTAGTTTAGCGACAATTGGACTAGTATTCCTTATTTAGACCGTATCGGGGTTCTTCTTCTGCTTCTTAATTGCCTTGCCTTTACTAATAGCTGCTACTACTAGCTTAGGCTTAATATAGAAGTCTATATCTACGAAGGGGTTCTTCCTCGAAGCCTTTACTAGATCTACGGCTATGTCGAGAGCTTGTCTATAAACCTTATTACTGTTAATCTCATTATCCCCTGCTTAGTGCTAATCGCTAGTAAAAGTAGTCTTCGAGCCGTTAGCGCCTACTCGGATAATAATACGATAAGGCCGTTAATAGCTATTAAGCTAAGCGGACTTCGCGGCCTACGAGTAACTATCCTATCCTTCTATCTTCCTCGTAATAAGGAACTTTACCGGCTTCGTAGCTAGCACTCGAGCGCTACCCTTCTTAGCTAGATTAAAGACAGTCTATTATCCTTTATAATAGAAGACTTCTATACCTTCCGAGAAAGAGCTAGGCGCAGTTATTAGGATATTGCCGGTAGCAAGAGCGGCTACGCTACTAGTAGCCGTCGCCGCCTCCTACGTAGTATTAAAAGAGGAGGTAGAAGAAGCTTTAGTAGAGGAAGAAGCGGCTATTTTGCTAGGTAAAACCCTACTATTATCCTCTACTAGTACTACTACGGTCTCCTTACTTAACGTAGCCGAGGAATCTACGATTAGGTTAGGCTCTATAACGGCAATCGCTTTACCCTTCTTACCGGTAGTAGACCTACTCTTTAGACTACTCTTTACCTACTACTAAGGCCTATTAGTACCTTTTCTTATTAGCGGCGGACTAATAGCCTTCTCGAGAGTATAGATTACCTTCTTTAGCGTTTGTTAGTCGTCTAATCGCACTAGAGGCTTACCGGCGGTCGTACGTATCGGTCTTAGCGCTATTATTATAGTAGATTGTCGTAAATAGCTAGAAATCGATAGAAATACGCGTATAAGGCTTGAATACTCTATTAAACGATAGGAGGCGGGAAGAATAGCGAGATTCTATATACAAAACTACCCCTATATCCCCCCTAGTAGAGCTCGAGAGAGGTGGAGGCTCTGCGGGCCGTACTGACAGGCGAATCTGCGCCCATAGTACTGTAGAAGCAGGAAGTGGAGCTAATCTCCCGCGGCGGCATTTTGCTGTCATTCTATTCTGAGCAAATTACTCCGTTTGAGCCAGAGATGAAGCTCCGCAGAGCGAATAGCAGGCGGGGCCGGGCGCTTAGGTGCAGAGGCGAAAGCAGAATGGATTATGGCTGGCTCAAATCTGCAGAGCTGCTTGTTTCAGACCACCTCGTTGCTACGCGCTGCACCCGACACCTCTCCAAGACCTTCACAAGCTCAGTCCAGGAAAAAATACAAAGCTACTGCCGGCCTGCCATGTGAGGCCGTTGTCTCTGACCTGCTTCTCGGCCTAGTTCTAGTCGGCCACGCCTGCCATGCCTGCTCGCTGCCATAGAATATCTGAAGAACTGACAGGCCAATGCATGCTGAGACATCCTGACCTGGAAGATCGCCCAGCCTCGTCTGGATGAATGCATGCGTAGTGGCGAACCTATGACACACGGCGCTTGCGGGTGCGACGGCATGCGATGCGGAATCTGAGCTGTCACTGAGAGCATGCTCTGTACGGCAAGCTGACTTCTGCATTGCACAGAGGCTGCATCCCCTTAACGAAGGCCGTAGTTATCTCCGCTGAACACCCACCCTAGCAGCCCCCCTGCTCGGTTCCACATCTGATGCTAAATTCAGTGTGGCCCTATACAAACCTGCATCGCCCCTCGAACTGCGAGGCTGTCCGATTAGGTCTCGGATTTAGCCGTAGTAGAGCTAAAGGTTAAGAAGCCGATACCTTTACGAGTCGTCCTTTATAGCTAAAGGCTCTATAGCTATTAAACCTTAGCAAGTAAAGGAATATAATGCCGCCTAGCATACTAAGTAGAAAGGTTTATAAACTACTTCTATAGATAAATATAGACTAATATATATAATAAGGGTCCGGTCCGCTTCCGCTTAAGGGAAGAGTTAAGACAGCGCCGTAGACTATAGTCTAAAGGTATAGAATTAACGGTAGAAGAGGTCTATAACTTAGTGCCGCTAGCGAGTCTATTAAAGCTACGCTTGTCTACTAAGAGTAAGCGCTAGAAGGCAGTTATTAAGCGTCTCTCGAAGCTCGAGTTAACGGTAAAGGACTTAAGGATAGACCTAAACCTAGTAAACTAGCAATAGGCGGAGTTAGCGCGTACTAAATATAAGGTAAAGGATAAAGAAGGCTCTTAGTAGAGCGACGAGGAGGTTGTTAGGGTAGCTAAGTTTAATAGCCTATAGAAGGAAGTAAGTAAGCTAAAGAATAAGGTTGTTAAGTTAAAGTCGGCGTTATAGAGCCTACTAAAGGCTTAAGTAAAGGTATTATAGAGCCTAGCGTAGAAGCGGCTTCCGGTTAAGGTTAAAGTCTAGCAAAGAAGGCGTATAAATCCGGCTAGTAGTGCTATATAGGCTTACAAGTATTGCAGATAGTAATAGGACTATAATAGGAATACGACTTAGTTATATAGTGTTCCTACTTGCTATCGAGAGGCTAGTATTTAAACCCCTAAGCCGTCCTTATATACTTATAAAGGTAACAACGTTAGCGTAGAAGAATAGGCTTTATTGCATATATAGCTCTTCTACTACGCTCGAGGCGGCGGAAGTCCTTATCTATAGGTAAGCTATTACCCTTCCTAATCTAATAGCGTCGCGATCGAGAGCCTCTACTATTATAGGTATAACCTAAGATAAATTAACCGTTGCTTCGAGGAGGCGGCGGAGTTAGTATACGTAGAGCCCTTATAGTAGCCTCTATTGCTTCTATCTTATTAAGCTCTTACTATCCGAGTTAGACTATTTGCTATACTAGCGATATACGGAAGTCGCGTTAGTAAGTAAGTCGCTAGTCTTTAGTCTACTTCTTATCGCTACGGACGAGAACGAATAAGTTAATTACTATAGTATCTAGTAGGAAGTAGAATAGTAGATGCTAGCCCTTTCTTAACTTGTACTAGGTTAAGCAATAATAGCGTAGCTAGTTATAGATATTAATACTACCTATATAGTTATTATATAAGGCGGCAACCTCTAGAAGGTCCTTCTCTTCTTTGCTATCTATCTTCTAGTATATTCGTACGTGTTTGTCGATATATACGTTGTTTCCTACTCGAGGGCACTCTCGAAGCCGTCGTAATCGCTCGAATAGACGATACCCGGTTATAAGGAACTAAATAAGGTTCCTATCCTGCTAGATAACCGCCGCTATACCGTAGATTGCCTTATAAAGCAGTGTATCGTAGGGAAACCGCGTACTCTTCCGATTAAGTATCGGGAAGGTCGAATTCTTCCTCGTACTATCTCGTTTTAGTATCTCTAGTTTCTCGAAGGTTTTGCCGCGCTATAGCTAAGAAAGTAAGCTAGATCGTATAGTACCGGTCGCCGCGATGCCTAGGTGCCTTAAGACTGTAAATAATAGCACGTTGTTAAATAGATTGTCTATATAAATATAGAAGAAGTATTATAGGAAAGGAAGTTATAGGATTAGTCGAAGAATAGCCTACCTAAGCGAGCTTAGCTTTAAGCTAAGCGAGACGGTAGGCGATACGATTAGGCTTTCGGGTCTCTCGGTAGCGCGGTCCGCGCGGTCGGTACGGACCGCGGTAGTATAACTTTCCTTTCTTACTTGCTATACTAAATACAGTCCTGTATTCAATCCGTAACTAATACTACTAGGACTACGGCTCTTACGCTTACGACGCTTCTTATTACTCTCCTTCTATCGGTCTTTCTTCTCGGCGTCCGTAAGAACCTCTAGAGCTACTACCGGGTACTAAGCGACCGTCGAAGCGATAGAATCCGTATCTTCTACCTCCTACTTATATACCTTCCGAGGGCTTAAGAATAAGAAGGAATATAGGTACCTATCCTTATATAGATATAATATATAATATCCGATAGGCGTTAGCTTGCCTCTTATTATAATTATATACCTAGATTTGCCTATAAACCGGACTATACTCTCGTTAATCGATACGTTAGTACTAGGTACGACAATCTCGCGGAATTTGCTACGCAATATATTAGCAAGCGGTAGTATCTAGGTCTAGGTAGGTAAACCTCTTCTACTTAACGAGAGCGCGTTATTCCGGTACTATAAAGCAGCCTTAATCTGCTTAAATCGCTACTCCTTTATATACTTAGCAATACTATACCTTAGCTAGTATCTATCTTCGCGCTAGTAATCGGCCTTATCGGATATCTAGATTGCGGATATATATATAATTAATCTAACGAAGATCCGTATTATTAGCTTGTCTACCGGCTTCTAATTATAGCTAGAAATAATAATCTTATTATCCTTCTTAAATTGCGGCTTATTGCTAGCGTACTCGTTAGTATACTCGATAAGGCGGTTTATAACCTTATTAGTCTAGAAGAGTATAAAGAAGCGATATTAGACGTCGTCTAGTAACAATAAGTTACTATATAGGTCCGTAGGCAAATTAACCTGCCGCCGGTAAGAGGTACTAGTTAGTAGCTCGTAGCGACCTTCTATTCTATCTCCTTCCGCCGGATAGTATAATCCGCCTACCCTACTATCTCCGCCTATGCCTTCGACGTCGTTATCTCCTTCTACGACTACTAAACCCTTATTATCTACGCTACTTAGTATAGGTTCTCCTGCCTTCTTAAAAATCGGCTCTCTTTCTTTAGTTAACTAGTTAGTATTTAACTTATTGTTATCTATTAAACTAGCGGATATATCTAGCTAATTATTATCTTTATCGTCGTTATAAGCCTCTTCTATAAAGGCTTAGAAGCTCGCTATTGTATAGCAATTATATGCTTCTTAGCGGCTTAGAGTTTGAATTTATAAAGGTAATTAAGTTAGTATAGACGACCGATAGCGGCGACTGCAGCTAAGCGCTTAAAGAGGCATAACGCACCTATAACCGAGACTAATTGAGGCCTGTTTATTCACCTACAGAGCGGCTTCTATATGCTAACTAAGTGGACCGTATAGGGGTTAATGCCTGTTTTGCCGACGAACGCTCCGACGCAACGAGTTTTTACAGGGGATGAGCCTGAAAAATCGTCTAGCCCTCCCTGGTGGCCTTGCAGCCTTGACCTGGACAGTAGATCTTAGCTGCAACAGCCGCTTCTGTGAGAACTGAACCCTGATTAGGAAGTTGAGAAGGCTGAATGCTGGCATCACCGAGCATTTGCGAGCTCGACCAAACGTGTTTATGCATCGCTATCACCTTCACCGACACCTTGTTGCACGCTTGGCGCTGCAATATGTCCAAGTCCATTGCTTCGACGCCAACGTCGAGACCATCTCTGCCACAATGAACACCAATTTGCATTTCTGTTCGAATTGCTCCTCTAGCCTTGGAGGATTGCCCTGCACAACCAAGGCCATCAGCTACACACCGCACGCACAATGCTGACGATATCTGTCTGGACCGTCACCATCGTCGGTCTTCCACTGTTTCTGCTGCTGGATCTCTTGGCTCTAGACTGGCAGCCGCCCTTCGACGCCTGGCACATCAAAGAATCACCACCAACAGCATCAGTTTGACATAAGCTAGCTGCACTCTAGCTCGCTCACTCGCTCCATCATACCACGATAAATCACTTCTTGAAAAGGTGTCATCGAACAGCTCTGCGGCGTCATGCTTGCAGAAAATGTCTATCCTGGGCGGCAGATATATCCAGCAATCGCTACATTGCCGGGATTATGGTAGCCCACAGCAGTTTCTCTGGAACTACCGCTCAGCCCGAAGGAGCCTGATCAATCGAGATCCTTACAACCTTTGACGATGAAGAAAATTTCAACAATACAGTTTGGTACAATACTTCGAAGACATTATATAAAGTGCTTTTCTTTCGTATCGGAGATCATCGCAATTCGTCTCTCCGGAAGATTTTTGTTGTTATTAGATACTTTGCAAAGGGCACGCAGCAAAACTCCAACCGTTACGGCGATGATAGTTAAAGGGGTTTAGCTGCTGTATAATTGGAAGGCACGATTGAAGTCAGTGCATCGAATTATATTAATGCTATTGCTATTAAGGGTGGAAGGAAAATTCTTCTATATCACTTCCTTCACGAGTTGGAGGATTCATCCGTGACATCTTACAAATTTTGAGGGGACCTCGAAGAGCAAGGCTAGACTATTAGGTTGCGCTTTTTCAGCTGCATAACGAAATGAAATGGCATGGATAAGGTCGTGTGGAATGTGCTTTCACGTTGGCCCATGTCAACTTGAGACTGGACGAGGAGGTAGTAGTTCAAGCCTTTTCTGCTGAGCTCACGTCTCACGGACATATGTGCTTCGCAACGCAAGTCTTCGCAGAAAGACTGCATTGTGCCAAATTGCGATTCGAGGGCGAGGTCTCTGGTACGTTGCGTGTTTAGCCGTGACCTTGCTGATGGAACCTACTTGGAGAAAGGAAATTGTTATTGGTACATCTGATATCACATCCTAGGCCTTGCTTTGGAAAATCTCTTTCTTCGCAAGGGTTGCTGCGGCTGTTTCCAAATCGGTTGATCTGGATCTGCACCGACCAAACAGTTTACCGTCTCATTGCCTTCTCCAGAATCATTGATCTGAGAGCCAGTCGGCGCTCGGGATCGGCCAGTAAGCTTGACGTATGCATCCAATGCATCTACAAGCACACGACCCGTACTCAATGCTTCCGTTGCCCGCGCATGCGAGTACGTTGTGAGCAATTGTTTCGCTCCATCACGATCGCCTGCTTCAATCAAAAGCTTTGCAGCCTTCTCATATAGCTCGACATCTGTCCGTGAAGCGTTCTCGAGCCCATGAACAACTTCTTGGACAATTGGAAGATATTTGTGTGGGTCAGAGCACGTGTAGTAGAGGATCTGCTTGAAGACTCGTCCGGCGAAGTGAGTAGCCTCTTCATACTGGAAGTCGGGATTCAGGAAGGAAGAAGATGCTTCGTCTGTCAGATAGCGATGTTCGGAGTATTCTGCCAAGACGCTGTTCACGCCAAGCCACCACGGGTTGAAAGGTGCTGTCACAGACCCTGTCGGAGCAATCCAAATCCGCAGAAGGTCTGCATCGATGCCTTCGCGCAGAGATACGACCTGTCCGTAGCCTGCTTCATCGTCCGAGATGCGGTAATCGCGCACACGTTCAATCAGGTCTTGCTCAGTCACGGGAGCCATGGCATATGTAGCATCTTCCAGAGCTGCCGGTGACATGTACTTGAAGCCTCCATCCCTAGCGGAATAGTTCCCTTGTAGACCGTACACATTGAAAATGTTGAACGGAACAGAGCCATTGGGATTCCACCAGCCTTTCTCGATGGCAAAAGAGACCAGGTTCGGAGAGCCCATATATTCAGTGCTGTTCTCAAAATCGACCGGGAAGTCTTGGATGTAGCCAGGATACAGCACGCGAACTTCGCTAGAATGCAAGCGCTCCGCAGCCCATAGCTTCTGACCACCAGCAAACTCAATAACAACCCATCCTTCGTCCTTGTCGGCGATGAGATGACTGTTACCGCCATAGTCCGCATAGCCATACTTTACAATCATGTCACCAATGATCTCCACGCCTTCACGAGCCGTGCTAGCTCGCTCCAGAACGACTCGAGCAAGATCACTATATTGAAGACCCTTCTGAGGCGTCAATGTCTGAGCCAGCTCCCACAGCTCACTCCTCGACTCAGACCAGACATCACGAACGGCAATTCCCTTCTCGCTCAGCCCGCCATTGGTAAGCGGAGCTGGAAATCCTTCATAGTCCGAGTATTCCATGGAGATATAGCGAAAGGTATGGTTGACTTGAGGAATCTGGATGAGCTCTCCTGGTAAGACCGCATCTCCTGTGACACCGACTGTGATGGTGTCATTCGGACCGTGATCTTTGGCAGCGAAGATTTGGAGCCAATGGCTCGAGACTTCTTCGCCTGTACCTCCAACCATAACGCCGCCGTCTGCTGTGAGGTCTTTGCCAACATAGAAGGCATAGCTGGCTGTCGTTGATTTTGTGAAGTGAATGATTGACAATGCTGCGGCAGCCAGGATAGCGCCTGCTTTCCCTTGCAGCATGCTGGGCTGTCGATGAGGAGAATTTGTGAAGCTTGGCAGCTGGAGTCAGTATCACAGTTCTGCATCAGCGATTTCACGGATCATTATTACCTTGAGGCATCCATGCTCTCGTCGAGAATCTAAGGCAAAGGCCATACCAAGCTCGGTCTAGGGTGCAAGGTCGTCTGCTTGGCTCGTTGGCCGCTTGCTGCCCGGCTGCATCTTGCCCGAGCCGAGTGCCTGGAAAAGTCGATTGATGCTATTATGCGTTTCTCTAAGAGCATAATGCGATTGCGAGTGATTGAAAAAAAAAGAGGGAGGAACGAGCAAGTTGCAGTCAACTCTTGGCGTTTTCGTTAGCCGAGCTGTGTTCTATCAATAGAATTATCGTGAACTCATCAAAATTTCATGGTCCTCATCAACCGTTGGAAAGCTTCAATGCAACCACACCCAAACAACAACAACAACACAACACTCATGGATAATCGCGCCTCGCTTTGATGATTGCGTTGACCATCTCGTTACCAGAGCCCCAGCCGGCCCATGCCAGTCCATTGCCGCCGTCAAACGTCACAGAGAGTGTACCCCAGATGTATCGTCTGCCGTTGACGTTCTCCCAATGCGGACCGCCTGACTGCCCTCCAGCACAATCGGTATCAGTATAGTAAGGAGCGGTGCCATCGCAGTCCCAGGCGCGATAGCCCTCAATAGGATTTCCATCAGTACGATATGGTCGTGTCCCGCTGTCTTTGTCTCCTGGATATCCCATGTGGCGGAAGATTGGCTTGTCCTTTTTGCTTGGGTCTGGCAGTTTGGCTCCAAAGAATCCAAGCTTGTCTCCCAATCTTTGGTCAAGGATCATGACAGCCCAGTCACCTTTCCAACCACAAGGCGTGCCCCAAGTATAATTGCTGGTAAATATCTGTTGAACATGGGCACTGCCATCGCGAGCGGTTTGGTCGTAACCAGGAGAGAATGTGCCGGTTGCGCCGGAGGCGATGCAGTGTTTGGCTGTTAATATGTGGCGAGGTCCGACGAGTGCGCCAGAGCAGAAGACACCTGGGATCTGTTAGCAAATGACCAATGCAAGACGTGCTGGATAATTCGCACCATTTGACCATTGGAGTTTGCCCACGGCATTGAAAGGATAGCTGTTGTTGTTGAACAGGTAGCGATCATCGTTACCATCGATGAAACGACGTTGTATAGCAGTTTCTTCGTCCTCGTTTTGGTCGTTCCCAATCGGGGCCACCCATGAAGCAGGCTCTGCAACAGGTGCAGTCTGATTGAGTGTCTCATTGAGTTGGAGTTCGTTGTCGTCCAGGACGCGTAGATCGGGGACAATATCGTCGCTACCATCCGGCTGGAAGTCCGGGTCATAGCCTAAGGGTTTGCTTGTTTTGACTTGCCAGTAGGGCTGAACAGGAGAGCCATGCATCTTCAGGGCGAAGCTCAAGAAAAGCAATGTGTATATCGGTCTGGAAAGCATGTTTGCTGATGTGCTATCTTTTCGAGAGCCATGACAGCTGATTAAGTACTCTTTGAATATGTTCCATGTACAACCGCTGGAGTGCTGGCGTTGTTAGCCTGCTTGTGCAGCCTGCCCGACCTCACCAGCCTGGTGGCTCTCAGTGTTTTGCCTCTTGACCCTCAGAATCTGACAATGCCACAGCGGCTGGTGCGAGCCATTTCACGGGAAGAGGAGCTTGGACGCAGGTCTCTCAGGCGCGCTTTGCCGTGTGAGAACTGAACGACGCTGGGAGCCGTTTCCTAAGCCACAGTGCCAATGCTGTCAGCACATCTTAATTCATCCAAGCCAGCCAACTTGTGCGAAATGCATCAGGCACTGTATCTGGGCCTGCAACATTGAAGGCGTGACTTTTGAGAATGTGGCCGCACTGATTCGTCTGCTCCAGGTTCAGTCCATCCGCAAAACCTCATCTGCGATATATCCCTGCTGCCAACTGCGCCAGCTTGGCTTCATTGCACACTTCTCGATTGGCACGACCTCGCCGTTCGTGTTCACGTAAGCTTCGAAGCCAACGGAACCGGCTTTCTTGGCGATAAGATGATCTCGCGCCAGCATACACAGCCATGCGTCCGCAAGATCGCCAAATGTAAGGCATCTCGTAGCGGCTGCTATGTCCTTGCGTATCAACTCGTCATGGGGAAATTATTCAAGCTGGACCTTCCATGTGTTCTTCTTGACCGCCGGCAGCTTCCTCCAAGAGCCCACGGGAAATGCTGAAGTATTGCTGAGTTCTCCTATTAAGACCTTTGATGAATCAATGCAAAGTCCGAGGATTTGCTGGTCACCGTCTGCAAGCTGATGGGATAAGCCAACTACTTCAACTGATTCGTCTCCAGCAGTTCGAACACGCCGAGGGCTCGAGCGGCGGCCGCAAGACCTAGGTTATATTTGGCGTTCTGCGACTGCATTGTTGTCGAGAGGTTATCGAGGGACCATGTGGTGTATCTCAGCGTACATCTACAATGGCACAGCAAGAGCATTTGTGCTCAAGTGAGTGTCATTCTCTGATGTTCTCTTGACTTCACGTCGTCCCTCTTGTTCCCATAGACACTTGTTCGCAGTCGTATCGCGCCATGAAGAACGGAATCTCAGCTTCGCTCAAGGCATAGAACTTTGCTCTCATGCCCTGCTCCCAGGCCGTCTCATCAGAATACTTGAACAGTGTGTCCATAATCATGCCGAATGTAACACCTTGTTGCCCTTCTCCTGCCGTCAACAGTGGTCTTTTCGAATATCTTCTCGGAACTCCAAGCAAAATAGCAGCCGGAGCTGGCTGACACGGAAACATCCTACGCCAGCTCCCATGACTTTCATCACGACGAGGAAGCCGCCAGAGCTCAATCTCCCCACATGCGAAATGCTGCCCAATACCGATCGCGTGATACGTGTGGAAGAATCTCGGCTCAACATTAGCTGTGAGTAGCGAGCTTGTTGGGTTGGCTTCCAGATGCAGCTTCTGTCTGAGCGGAAGAGAAGTCTTCGCTACGAACTGCATTTGGCGACATACTGCTTCGCATCGCAGTACATCTCGAGCAGGCAGGTATCCAAGTATCATCTCAAGAAGCTCGAAAGTGTTGTAGACCTGCTGAGCAGCAGCCATTGTCGTCCGACCCGGCACCAGCGCGCATCGTGTTCGGTTGAGCGCCTCGCAATTCTTCTATCAATGTGCGGATGTTGGCGGAGCAAAAGCGATCGCAACTGTTCGCAGAGTCAGTCATAATGGTGATAGGGAGCTGCGATAACTGTGCTCCGATGACTGTTCTGGTCACGTGAAATTGAGTTCGGCCCCAAAACACGATCTAAAGGAGCTCTTCACAAGAACCCAAGCATCTTTAACTTGACAGCATTATTAACGACCTCGACCTCTCCATATCGTCTCCTTTGCATTTCCGAGATGGCGATCACCGATAGTCACCTACGTCCTTGCAGCGCGAACAGAACTGCGTCATCCTAGATCCTTGTTTGGCCACCATGCCGCAGTCCGCCTGCTTCTCGGAAGGCTTGAATTTCGAGATCGCCAGACGCTCGTGCGTGGAGGCGAACGCTCGTCAACAAAGATCAGAAAGAATTGAATTGAAAGAGCGGGATGGAGCTTGAAACAAGTGGCTGTCCAGAGAGCAAACAACCTTGTCCCTTCGTGCAAGCATAAGCGCCTTACGTCTCGACGCCTCAAGAGCACAAATGGCAGCTCTGAAGAGATTGATATACTCGATGCTATCTGTTTGTACAATTCGCCGTATCTCCGTTGGGATCGCTAGATCTAGGCATGCTTGTCAGGTTCCTGTGACACCTCGCCGAGCAACGGCCTAGCGATCAATCACCGCAAAGTGCCTGCCTTCTACCGCATGGCCTCATCCTCTTGCGCATACAGATGCAAGGAGAGGTGAAAACTCCGATTGACAATGGGCTGACTCAAAAGGTGGCGAGGTAGTGCTCTACTTCACTTCCCGTAAACCTTAATTCTACATCTAATCCTATTGTTCTTTTTGTGCGCCAAACATTGCTCGCGCTGCACTTCTACGTCTCGATAGGGAGGACAAGGCGAGCGCACACGCATCGCATCGAGCAGGACATTCTTTTTAACATCGCTTCGCAATGCGCTACTTTCCCTTGATCGCAGCCTTAACAGGCATAGCAGCATGCGCCGACATTGATATGGAAGGCCTCCCAGACACAGGACTCGACACATCAGACTGGACAACGGGAGAAGCACCACCACTCGACGACCTCGTCAACCTCGACGACATCCAGATCGCAGCCAAAAACACTCTTTCAACCAAAAACTACGCATACTATCGCACAGCAGCTCTAGACGAAGTGACCTACAACGCCAACCTCTTCATATGGAACAAGATCCGCCTAAACGGCTTCAGCTTCGCCGACGTCTCAAACGTAAACCTCAAAACCTCGATTTTGGGCCACGAGTTCTCCGCGCCATTCTTCATCGCCCCAGCAGCAAAAGCAGGAAAAGCCAACGAAACCGCAGCAGAAGCCGGCCTCGTCCAAGCCGCAGGCGCAGCAGGAATACTTTACATCCCCTCAATCTCCTCAACCCTTTCAATCGAAGAAATCGCAGCTGCATCAAACACCTCCGACCAAATCATGTTCCATCAAGAATACATCTGGTCCAACACGACGAAACTCAAAGACGAACTGTCTCGAATCAGGGAGTCTGGCTTCAAAGCTCTGGTTCTGACAGTTGATAACACTGGAGTCAACGGGATTCGAAACCGTCAGATGCGTTTCTCAAGCGGGCTGGCAGATGATCGTCATTCCGCAGATCTCACGATTTCTGCGCTAAAGAAGCTGCAAAAAATGACGTCTCTGCCCATCATTCCGAAAGGTGTCAAGACGGCTCACGATGTGAAGTTATGCGCCGATCTCGGATTCCCAGCCGTATACATTTCCAATCACGGAGGTCGAGTCGTGGATCTCGCTCCTACAGCTGTGGAAATCCTGCTCGATGTGCATCGTCTATATCCCGAAGTCTTCTCACAAATTGAAATCTACGCGGATGGGGGCGTGAGGAGGGCGACGCATATCCTGACATTATTAGCTTTGGGGGCTAGAGCGGTGGGAGTGGGTCGGAGCGCCATGTTTGCGAATGTCTATGGCGCAAAAGGGGTGGGGAAGATGATTTCGATTTTGAAGGAGGAGTTGGAGAGTACGATGCAATTGATGGGGCAGTCGGATATCGATGGGTATCGAGGGAATATGACATTTGTGAATACCAAGCAGGTGGAGTTGGAGTTCTTTGGAAAGGTTTTCGATGAGGATTTAAGTTCGCGGCCGTTTGTTTTTGGGAATACGAGTTATGGGAGTTATGGGAGGTAGATAGTGGAGTGTTTTGGATAGTTTTTGGGATGCTCTGGGTGCTTTGGGATAGATCATGGAGAAATTACTGCTCACAGCGCATGGAATGATTATGTTTGATGGACTGTGAGATATGCCTGAGCGCAAATGCCGAGATACATAGGCATGGGAGTGTCGTCCATGGATCTGTAAGCATGGTGGCCTTGAGTCGTCGAACACGAATTGGATGCAGCTCTAATTTGCTCGATTGCATGCTGGCGCTTCTCTTCCTCAGTCCTCTTCTTTTACGCTTCAATGACATGTGGCTTCTCGGCTCGCCCACTGGCGCTGGTGATCTTGGCTGTGACCTAGTCAGTAGGTGTGCAACCTATGTTTGAAGGGAGCAGAGCTTACAGATGTCATTGTTATGCATCCTAGGATTCTGGGCCGCGATGGCTGCGTGGAGGTCGAGACGATAGATCATGAATGCGTCCTTTGGGCGTGCTGCACTTTTAGTCTTGCGCACGAAATCCGAGACGGTAGATCACGAATGCGTTCTGTGGGCGTGAAATCTTCTCTGCACTCGTCTTCGTGTGCGTGGATGTAGCGGCGACTGCTTTTGAAATCTGGGGTAAGCCCTAGTTGTAATTTGTAGAGGATGCTTCTGGGCAGCGGCCGGTCTAAGTTCCTTGGGAGGGCTCCGCCTAGCCACCGAGGTCTAATGGACCTACTGGAGAGGTCGAGCATTACCGCTATCAGCCTGCACCGGAGCAAAGACGGGCTCTCGGGCGGCACGCCTGAGGAATTGTCAGCATGTTGGAAGGCGATCGTCAATGTGTACCCACCAGATGATGCTCTCAAATAAGAGGCAATGCTTATCCGTGCGTGACAGCCTTTTCATGCCGTTCGCAAGCTCTGCAGACAGCATCGTTCAGCGGTCAGCCAAAGCCGCCCGGTTCTCACAACACCTCGAGAACCAAACCCACGGCCTCATCGAACTGCGCCCTTCCCGTCAAATTTTCGGCAGCCTTTTCAATCCCCATCCCAATAACCAGCAACCTCTCCTCAGCGGGGTTCCTCATCAACAGAGCACTCCCGATCGTCGTGGCCAAGGTCTGTCCCACCACTTCATCTTCTGGTTTGGTGCCTCCAAGAATCGTGGTGGCAGTAAGATGACTCATTGGTAGGAGACTGTTGTCGGCAGAACTGGATTGAATGGCAGGATTCATTGGATCAGCTGAGTTGAGAGAAAGCGGGACATGGACCCAGTGCGACAGCTTTCCTGATTGCGAGATTGTGATGAGGATTTTGTCGGTGAAGGCCATGGAGTGGACTTGAGTTGGGGTGTTGTTGATGAGGCCTGCCGCTTGCTTTGAGGGTGTAGGAAAGGCACACTCGGTCACGAAGGGTGTAGCCATAGCTGCCTCTGACAAATTGTGCCAGCCGTCGATAGGACGCCAGAAGCCAGAAGGTGCGAATGTAGAGCTAAGGTGCTGATGACGATCAGGTCAGTGCGCTGTGGGGAAGGCCAGCGCACACTCACTTTCTTCTCACTTTCTTCGACGTGATGTTGCTGAAGTCATGTTGAACATCTGATGCCAATGTGAGGTGAGGCGAAATTATTTCGGATCTGACGGACCGATCTCCGGTCCCTGCAATCAAGGATTCTGGGGTATCGGCTGTAGGAAAAAGTCGTTGCGCAAAGCATTTCAGATCCAGCATTTGCTTTGGTCAACGATGTCGAAATTTGCGCCGACGAGGGAGAGGAAGCATAGGAAAATAGCAAAGCAACAGAAGGCTCAATCAATTCCGCAAAACGATACAGACCAAGCCAACCAACTCGAATTGCGACCCATTTCAGCGAGCGAGAAAGATGAGCGACGCGCGAAATTACAGGCCGAGTTGAAGGCGCAGCAGCCAGAATCCAAGGTCTCGGCGAAGAAAAGAAAGCGGTTAGACAAGTACATCGATACGAAGATCAAGAAGGAAGAGAATTTGGAACTGTTAAAGAAGCTAGCCGCTCAAAAAGTCGATACCAGCTTGTTGCAGAGCTCGAAAAAGCTGGGCCGAACAAACGAGACGAAACGGGAGCGCTTTTCGCGCGCATTGGCAGAAAAGAATGCTGGAATTGATTTAGATGGACAGCAGGACGATATACTTTATGAGCGGAGACAAGAGCCAACCAGACACACGCACTCCGCAGGCGAGAGTGAGCATGAGACACCGCAAATTCCCTCGAATGACGCAGTGGAGCAGCTTGCACCGGAGTCAAAGCCAGCCGGCCTGTTTGGAGACGGGCTATTTGGAGGCGGTCTGAAAAGGCCTCTGGAGATAAACGACTCAGGCCAACCAGTAATCAAGAGACGGAAACGTGAGAAGAAGAACAAGAAGGCCAAGCCAGACTTCGTGGTAGCTCTGCCAGAGCCTGAGGAGCCGAGCGATTCAGAAGCATCCGACGAGTGGAATGGCTTCAGTGAGAACGAGAGTGAGGCAGAGGTAGAGCCAAACACAGCGTCCGAAGGCACATCAGAAGATGATGGGAACTCAGAATCACTAGAAGGCTCTGAAGACACGGACACAGACGACAGCTCCTCAGGGGGCGACGAAGACCCGGAAGGAGACAGCGTTAAGAAACCAGCACGAGTGTCTGCCTTCAAGGCATGGGCAGATTCGCAACGCAACGAAGCTGTTGGATTTACGCCGAGTGCACCTCCCACCAATGACGAATCTATAAGAGCAGCATTCAAGCCGCGAGCACCTTCTCCAGACCCTGTCGCTTCAGAGACACTGGTGACCAGCCCAGCCGCTGAAGACGCGTACCGACCTTCGAAAGCAGTTGTCATTCCGCGAGACGATGCCGTGCAGGAAGCACGATCACACTTGCCCGTTGTGCAAGACGAACAAAAAATTGTCGAAGCAGTCCACAATAATTCCGTCACAATAGTGTGTGGTGCAACTGGATCAGGAAAGACAACGCAGTTACCTCAACTGCTTCTCGAAAATGGTTATGCTTCGAATGGCATGATTGGAGTGACCCAACCACGGCGAGTCGCTGCAACATCAGTAGCGAAGCGCGTGCAATACGAGTTGGGAGCAGAATTCGGCAAACAGGTCGGCGCTCAGGTCCGCTTCACGAGCACAGTGAGCAGGGATACGAAGGTCAAATTCATGACTGATGGCATTTTGTTGCGCGAGATCTCTCAAGACTTTGCGCTTTCGAAGTACAGTGCCATAGTTCTCGACGAAGCGCATGAGCGGAGTGTCAACACAGATATCCTCATCGGCATGCTCTCTCGTATTGTCCCGCTTCGACTCAAGCTCAGTAAAGAGGACCCTGTTAAATATCATCCTTTGAAGCTAATAATCATGAGTGCGACACTCCGGGTGACCGATTTCCTGATGAACGAACGTCTATTTCGCAGGACGAAGCCTCCAATAGTGCAAGCCGAAGGCCGCCAGTACCCGGTGACCGAGCACTTCGCACGGCGTACTCAGCGTGACTATGTCGCAGAGATGGTGCGCAAAGTGAGTCGAGGCCACAAAAAACTCCCGCCTGGTGACATGCTAGTGTTCTTGACTGGCCAGGACGACATACAAACTGTGGCAAGGAGGTTGAGAGAAGCTTTCACAGGAGATCAGGAAGGCTTCCAAAACTCGAATCGCAGGGCACGACCTGAAAAGCCTGTCAACGACTATCTCGAGGCGAATGAGGATGACGAGGCGTCTGAGGACGAAGCCGAGATCACTGGCTTAGATGAGGACGAAGGAGACGCAGAATTCGCTGTCGAAGTCGACCCAGCTTTGTCTGGATCGCAGCCGCGCGGCGCCCTCAAGGCACAGATACTTCCTCTGTACGCAGCATTACCAGCGACTCAGCAGGACCTGGTGTTCCAAAAGACAGCAGATGGAGTTCGGAAGATCATCTTGGCGACCAATGTCGCTGAGACTTCCTTGACCATCGATGGTGTACGATATGTCTTTGACTGTGGACGCAGCAAAGAGAAGGTCTATGATGTCGAGACTGGTGTCCAAGAGTTCAAAGTGGACTGGATCTCGAAAGCCAGTGCTTCACAGCGAATGGGACGTGCTGGCCGAACTGGACCTGGGCACTGCTACAGGCTGTACAGCTCCGCCATCTATGAAGCTCACTTTGAAGAGCACACTCTACCAGAGATTTTGAGAACGCCGATCGAAGGGACAGTGCTGCAGCTCAAGAACATGAGCATTGACAATGTAGTCAATTTTCCGTATCCAACACCGCCGGAAGGCAAACAGCTAAGTCAAGCAGAGAGACTGCTCAAGAATCTCGGCGCGATCGATAACAGGACCGGGAAGGTCACTGATATCGGCAAACAACTGATCAACTACCCTGTAAATCCTAGATTTGGACGCATGCTCTTGCTTGGCAAGCAGAACAATGTGCTGATATACACTATTGCCCTGGTTGCGGGCTTAGCAGTGGGCGATTTGTTCATCCCACAGCCCCACTTACCGCAGGAAGAGCTCGAAGATGAAGACAGCGACCACAGCGGCCGGAGGAAAGCCGGCTCTTTTGCGGACACACAAGCTGAGAAGCGACGACAAGCCTACGGCCGCGCCATGGCCAACCTCGCCTCTCAAGACGACAAGTCGGACGCGATCAAAGTTCTCACAGCAGTCGCCGCCCATGCACAAGCAGAAGCGCAGGGCAGTGCGAGCTCATTTTGCGCGGAAAACTTCCTTCGAGAAAAAGCCATGGCAGAGGCCCAGCAACTCCGTCGTCAGCTCCACAATATCATGCAGAAGCACGTCGACGACCCGTCAACCGTGGCCTTCACACCGACACTGTCTCCGCCCAGCGATCGTGTAAAGAGCATCCTAAAACAGATCGTCGCCGCTGGATATATCGACCAAGTCGCTATTCGCCGCGATCTGCTTCCCAATGCTGTTTCCACTGGACGCAAGCCGCGCCGAGCCATCGAAGTTCCTTACAAAACTCTGTTATCTTCGAACCTCGAGATCGATGATTCGGTCAGTCTTCAAGATCAGGAGCTACAGAAAAGCGTTTTCGTACATTCTTCTAGTGTACTTGCACGCCTCTCACTAAGCGAGATGCCGTCATTTGTCGTCTACTCGACCCTCAGTCGCGCGACGTCCAACCATATTGGGGAAGCGCAGAAGCGGACGCGTATGCATCCGCTTTGCACGGTCAGTCAGAAGCAGCTTGCTGTACTGGCTGAAGGCTCGCCATTACTCGAAATTGGCAAACCGATTGGCAAGATTGAAGAGATTGGCACTGGTAAGAGACAGTGCTGGGTTGGCGTCGCTATCCGTGATCCTGCCGCCGTGGGAGCCATGGGTTGGCCTTTAGGGGCTTGGAAGGTCATCCAGACACGGAAGGGCAAGGAATGGGTCGTTGAGAAAGTGCTGGATCGTGGGAAGTGAGGGTTTATCGTAGCTCACCTATGATGGCATAACGCATCTATGCCGCTCTTAATTTTGAGTGATAGCCTGCCCTCAAGCTCCTTTCTCGTCAACTCTTGTTGTGAGCATTCAACGAGCGCACATACCTTCCCAGTCGGAGTGGCTGTGAATGACTCTCCTGCTGTCGAAACAACAGGCTAGTCGCTGGAAGCTTGGAAAGTATCTCAAACATGGAAGCCAAAGAGTTGAACATGGAGAACGTGCTAGTAGTGAGCATTAAGGGTTACTCACCCACGATTCGAATTTTCATGCAGCTCTCTGAGTCTAGAGCAATAATCGCCTGCTCTCTATATTCATCATCATCACCCCAGAGAAGCGAGCCTGCTTTTGCAGTTGCGTACAATCAAACCACCCCGTTTCGAGCTCTTCGCGGCAGTCCACACAACAACTGTCTCGAGTGATGATTCAAAGCACAAATACCTTTCAAAGCCACGCTGAGAGCGTAGAGCTATCCATCTCATCGGAGTCGAGGGTTGCAACCATGGAAGAGGTGGACAGTCAAGAGTTCACACGGGGACTACCCAGGTATCTCCTCGTGTTTTTATCGACACGAATGCACCGAAAACAGAACTGATGAGCGTTGTATCACCAGTGGAGCAGAGCAAGAATGGCACAAGCGGTCATGCAAAGAGTTCACACGGGGCCTATCTCCTCGTACTTTCATCGACACGAGTGTATCGAAAAGAGAACCGATGAGCGTGGAGCAGAGCGAGAACGTGAAGCTGTCATCCAAAGAGTTCACATTCTCCTATGAACCTATCCAGCCGCTCTGCAATTTTTGCTACTGCTGGCCTCCAAATCTCGGGGAGCGCGTGTATGTAATCAAACAACCCCATTCCCACCACAAAGCAGCAAAGCAAATCCCACTCCCACCACACCTCCCAGCCATCCCATATACCAAATCATCACCCCCATAAGCGAGACAGTAATCACACCAATATAAGCACTTCTTGTATCCTCCCGCGACCCACCGCTTCTGCTCGAGAAGGTTAGAATTTGTCCGAGAAGTTTGGCAGACCACCTGCGTGCCAAGGTTAGCAATCTTTTTTTCTTTCCCCGAGATAAGATAGTCAGAGAGTAATGCTGTCTCTGAGACTGCTGCATTCGTCGTGCGTATTCGCTCGGAGTGAGGGTGGGTTATACATATACTTACAATACGAGCGCTAGAGCCGTGATGACCACCCGTAAGAAACCATCCGCGGTAGCGACAAGAGGGGACTGTGGAGTCACGCGTTGAAGGTAGGTATGTGCGTTTTCCAAAGTAGCGTGGAGGTCGAAGAGGAGTTGTAGGAGGAAGAGGACGGAGCGAGGGAGGAAACGAAGAGCGGAGCGGAGGGTGTTGGTGATGGTTGTGAGGAGGATTTTGTAGGACGCGTTGGCGGGTTTTCCTGGATTTTGTTGCCGGATCACAGCTACCTCTTCGATATACTCGTTTCCGCGCTTGATGCCGTAGCTGCGAAGTCCTGCGTCGTCTGTGATGGAGGCGATGGTACAGGGGCCGAGTTTGGAGTGATGGTTGAGGGAGAGACGCGCGACCTAGAAGCAATGGGTCAGCTTTGTTTCAGGGGATGCTCACTCCAAGCACAGCTGCGACACAGTGGTACGGTCTCTGATACTGCTGCCTCGGTCGTACACACTCGGTTGGAGTCATGCGTTGTTCACAAAGAGACACCCACCTCTTCGGCCACAGAGCTGGCTTGCTCTAGAGTGGCGTATGAGCCATTCAGGAACCTCTCCGTACCTCGTTTGCCGTCGTGGTCGTAAATGAGGCCGAACGTGTAAACCTTGTATGGACCGGTCTCGTTCATGGTCTTCTTGATGCTGTCGGTATTGTGCTTGTGGCTGTCTCGGGATGCTTTGGCGGGCGTGGCGGAGTTCCTGGCGTCACCATTGTGCTCATACGGCTCTCGAAATCTTGTGGCCGGCGTGGCGAAGTCGCCGATGGGTGTTGAGGCGATGGATCTATATGGACTCTGGGTTGAGTCAGTAATTTTAATGCCAAGGGACATCGTTGGTGGCACTGCTTACGTTTCTGCATGCCTCCAGTGCTGCGAGGGCAGCTGCATTTGGTTCCCGTGAGGGAATTGGCCGATCATTCGTAAGGTGGTGCCGACCCTGATCTGCCATGTTGCAATTGGAGCGCGGCCAAGTTGAGTGTCTCATGATGAAGACAGACGGCGATGATGGTTGCGATGGTGGTCGCGATGTTGAGATCGAGGCCGAGATCGAAATTAGTAGCGGTGGACTCAGAACGCGAAACAAAGAGTCCGTGCACTGCAGAATCACAAGCTGCTGCCTGTGCCAGTGAAGCGACACACTGATGCGGAGACTTATGAGGACTATTTACAGCAGATGACGGAGCAAAAGCTACACGAAGGACAGAAGACATCTAGGTCAAACTCACATTACATGTTGAATCGAATGCTCAACGAAAGGACGCACTCATTCCTCGACCACGATGAGTGTCAATTGCTCAAGAATCCTCGGCTTCATCAGACCCGCTATCTTCGCCCAAAGCTCCTGCTAGAGGATCCTTGTGATCGAATGCGTACTTGGCTCGCCGCTCTGGCTCCCACTTTGTGATATCGTACTGGTCGCCGCCAATGTTGTCAGTTGGAAGGGCAAGAATGGTTGGCCGCCACAAGTAGTCCTCACGATATTCCCTCAGCTGGACACTAATTTTAGCAAGATTCGTTGCTGTGGCCGACAGGCTCAACATACCAATTCAGTCCACTTCCACCTTTCAACCTTTGCTTTGCCAAAATCGGTGTAGCCCGTCACTTCTCCGAAGACTTCATCGATGCCAGAGACACCTTGATCGGAAAGATCGATACCCGCTTTCTCCGCATATGCTACAAGAGCGTTTTGCCAATCGATCGTCTCTGCATCTTCGCCATCTCCGTCCTCGCCATCACCGTCCGAGTCAAGGGCCGGATCCTCAATCTCAGTAGCGTCATGAGTCTTGGAAAAGAGTAGGTAGAGCGCCATGACGTGGCCAAGGTCAAGGAACTTGGAGTCTGCTTTAAGCTGGCCAATTCGATCAAGCTCGTTCAATGCGGTCAAGATCACGCAACCGATCATGGCGTTCAGTCATTCGACCTTCTCGCCATCGTCCACCATCATGTATGGGATGCTGGCGTCTCGCTTGACGTAGTTGGCAAGAGCCGTGACTATAGCCCACATCTGTTGATAATTGTAGCCCTTGCCTTTCTGAGGCTTCATCTCTTTGTTGAATGCCCGGAGCTGTTCTCACTCAGCCTAAACGCTCTCATGATTCGCTGTGTCTAGTCTTACCATATTCTCAAGCACCTCGATAATGCCGTAGCCCAAGAAGTCGTTGTAAACGTACATGCCGAACGTGTCCGGATCGCGATTGTCGGTGTCTTGATACGCCGCGTCTAGTAAATCGAAGCTCTCTCGAAGCATGATCCACTTCCAGTTTGGATGTTCGGAAGCGCTCTTCTTCCACACTAATTTGCTTTCCTCATCCTTACCATCTTCGGCATCGTCCTCTGCCCATGGCGGTCTTCCAATGCAAGCATACTCGTACTTGCCGGTAAACGTGGACCGCTCAAATTGTGTCTTTGCATTCGTGCGCTGTCTCTTTGGCTTTGCATCTTGAGAAGCGCGTGAAGGCACACGCTGCTCGTTGGGATTCAGCTCTACCATACCATACCATGTCGCGAGAACAGGCCATTATGAGGCCCGGGATGTTTTCCAAGGACAATACCTTTCATGTGAACCCGAAACGCTGCTTTGACATCTGCTGAGTCGTGATCCATAGGTCACAGCTTTCTTTTCTCTTTCGATGGCGGCGGCTTTATGATACCCACGAGCACAAAGTTGCACGAACGTTGCCTCACGCAGTACAGGAATAGTACCTCCAAGAACGAGAGTCTAGTCAGTGTATGAACATGCCTTTGGCCATTGACGTCCTACAGGGAACTTCTCAATGCCATTCCATCTCGATTATACCGCTGAATACTTACCAGCATGCATTCACAAAACTTCATCTTCTGGTTTATTCCTATCTTCAAAGCTTCGCTCTCTGACTTCCAAGAGCTTTATTTTCTTCTAAAGGCTGGTCCCAGGCACCTCCAAGCAGCTTACGCTACTGGTTAGCACTCTCAGAACATCACTCACGGTCCAGGGTTGATGCTCGCCTCCTTAGGAATATCGGATCCTGCGGTTGCGGCCGTAGCACCCGCGTCTACAGGGAGTATCACGGCGGTCATCCTGAACGAATATCATCAGCATAGCACAATCGCAATGTTTTGAGATCAGAAGTCGCACCATCGGGCTTCATCGCCAGCCAGAAATCGAATCGCGGCACCAACGTCCCACGCCGTCCCTTCAGTCTTGAGTAGGCTTCGATTCTTCCTGGCCTCTCTCGCTTCCTCAGACATCCCACCAGCATACATCATCGGTGTATACACCATTCCAGGGCATACACAATTAACCCTCACGCCCTCCTCAGCGTGATGAAACGCCATCGCCTTGGTCATATTCTGTCCAAAAACGATTAGCCCCAACACCCGCACCATCCCTCACCACCTCCATATAAGCACTCACCACAACCGCACCCTTACTAGTAGGATACAACAAATGCGGATTCCCCCCTCGAATCCCCGCCACACTAGCAATATTCACAATACTCCCCCTCCACTGCCCAACATTCCTCCTCATCTCGGGAATCGCATACTTACTCATCATAACCATACTCCCAACATTAACCTCCATCCCCTTCGCCCAAGCCAGCATATCAACCTCCACCGCCGTCCCACTCGCCCCACCGACTCCAACGCCATTCACCAAAATATCCAATCTCCCGTACGTGGAAATCGCGAAGTCTACGATTTTTTTGCAGTCGCTTTCGACGGCCACGTTGCCTTGGATTGCGATTCCGGAACCGAGGTTGTCTTTCTCGATCATTTGGACTGTGGTTTCCGCGAGCGAGACTTTTAGGTCGACGCAGACGACGGAGGCGCCGGCTTCGGCTAGGAGGATTGCGGCGGCGCGGCCGTTGCCGATGCCGATGCCTGCGGCTCCGGCGCCGGTGACGATGGCGACTCGACCTTTGAGGGAACGGGAGGGGCGGGTGAAGTGTTCGGACATGATTTGTTTGTTTCTCCAATGGTAGTGGTTGGTTGGATGTTTTGTGGTCCTTTCCTAGAACAGAAGAATTTAGAACTAGCGTGTTGGTGCGAGATGTGGCGGGGTAGTTGTGTGACGCATAGCTGAGGTCACATGACTCTTGGCAGCGCACGTGACTCTCGGCAAAACCAGGGAAATATCAATACCTGTTCTTACCGCCTTTTTAGATAGAACTAGTCAATTAGAACGACTATAAGAGACACCCTTAAAAACAGTATTATAATGTAACTAATAGGAAGGGTACGTAACAGTTATAAGCCCGGGTTTTACCCGTAGTATTAGAGACTAAGAAAGGAGGAAGAATTTTCTATTCTACGAGCAACAATATTAGTAAAAGGAAATTAGTTTCTACGATACTAAACAACTAACTAAAGCACCTACTATCTCTTTAAGATTATTAATATGTCTTTAATAATAGCCCTCTTATTAGCTAGCCGTCTTAGTAGTACTAAATATATTACCCTTCGAGGCCCGAACGACTAGGATCGATAGTACGAGCAAACTAAGACTTATCTAATAGGTTACGAGACCTAGCTATATGCTAATCCGTATACTACGCTACCTATAGAGCCAATTTAGCCTGCTCTACTAGTTATAGATAAAGAACGCCTATAGGACGACTAAGTCTACTAATAGGCAATCCGTCTAGAAAAGGATTTCTATAATGTCTATATAGCTAAGTTCAATAGGTTTAGAACGGCCCGTAGTAAGACCCTCGAGTACCTAGTAACTATAATAGATATCCGCTATTACTTAGAGATTACTAATAATAATAAGCTGTCCCTACTAACCCTTCGATTAATTATAATAAGACTAAAGGATAAGCTAGCGCCAAATACTTAGTAGTAAAGAACTAACTTAGTTAAAGAGCTAAATCGTTTAATCAACTTAAGGTAGGTAAAGGATCCTAAGCAGTAGTATAAGGAATAGCTTAATCTATACAAAATTATAAAGAGGATATAGTATATAGAACTTAATAATATAGTTGTTTACCTCTATACTATAGTAGCTAATATAGATAAAACCTATAGTAAAGGACTCTATATAATGTACTAGGCCTTACTAAACACTACCTACTTCTATTAACTGATTAGTATAGTACGAGACTATGCCCGAAATATGTTAGGACTATCGACAAAGCGAGGAGCCTTATTTGGAATTACCTACGATATAGAGACTAGTAAATCCAATGCCGCCCTTTAAGGAGCCTCCGAAAACAAGGACAAAGACAAGGACAAGAAGGACAAGAAGGGCACCCGCACTCTAAAATCTTATATAGAACTTACTAGCGTTAGTAAGAAGAAGGTATATAAGAACCGTAGCAAGTGCTTAGTAGTCAACTACCGCCTTCGAGAGAAGGTTAAGGAGAAGGATAAGGATAGCAAATAGTAAGGAAAACTAAACTACTTTAAAGGCTACTTACGCCGAAACAAGGACTTCTGTTTAAGACAAGCTAGCTTCTATAAGGACCTACTAGCTATCAAGATTGCTTAGCAGCATTATAGATATAGCAAGGCTAATAATAATACATCTAACAAGTTGTTACTAGCCTACTTCTTTAGCCCTAATACTCTATTATTATCCTTTATAGGAACAACTAGATATAGACAGGTTAGTATAGGAATATCTATTAGAAAATAGAACCCTTTTAATAGACTAATATATAATAGTGGATCTAATTACTACATTATTAACTATCTAGGTCGATTCAACTTTACTCCCCTCTTCCTACTATTAAGGTCTATAGTAGCAACCGGAATAGGCTATAATAGGGTCGTAGCTATTAGAAAGGCATTATTCACGGTTAAGGCTGTTAGTAGCAGGCCCCTATAGATTGAACTAGGAGAATGCCTATACATTCTAAACTTCTATACTAATATAGTCGGTAGAGCCCTATTCTTCTAGCGAGGATACAAACATTAGGAAATTAATAATACCCTATACGACCCTTAGCAGAAGCCTCTAGTTAAGTTTATTAGACTAGATAATTAGATACTATACTTTGATATAGTTAGCATAGTAGATAACATACCTTTACTAACCGAGTAGCTAGCCGATATAGAAGGTCGACTACTTAAATACCTATTCTAACTCCTATTAGCATACGCAACAGCTCGCCGCTCCGTACGTCTACTGCTATCGAGGCAGCTTACTCTTTAGCAGATATATAAGATCTTTAGGCACCTAGGTGCAGAGCGAGCAGAAGAGCTAGTTAACAGGGTTGATAGAATAATACGGGACCTCTTATATAGAAATAAGGTACTAAGAACACCACTTTGTCTAGTGTGTATACAAGCTAAGGGTAAGAAGCTTATATCTAGAAGGCTACGAAAGCATAATATGTTAATTCTTATACTATATAGCTACATTGCTGCTAATCTAATGCAACTAGATCTAGCCTACAATAGCGACTAGTACATCTTCTACGCATACGACCTAAATACTAGACTTCACTTTATATAGACAATAAGTAATCGTTAGGAATTAACACTCCTTTAGTGCTAGAACCAGTTAGCAACCTTCGTACGTAGCATTAGCAGAGATATCATCTGTTTGTTATCTAATAATAAAGGAGGCATATTAGGCTTTCGGTTTCGATCCTATCTACGTAATAACTATACCACTTAGAGGCTAACAGCACTATACACGTTAGAACAGGACCTAGCTAAGCGAGCAGGCCGCACTATTATTAAGGTAGCTCGAGCCTTAATAATATATACTAGGTTCCTATATAGCCTATAGCTAGAAGCAGTTTATATAGCAACCTTCCTAGCTAACAGGTTACTAAGATTACGCAATACTAACCTACTAATGCGTACACTATACGAGATTAGGACTAGACATAAGCTAAATGTAGCCTACATCTATTAGTTTAGAGCAAAAGCATATCTAGTAATCTACGGCACCGAGATAGCTAACAGTAAGAGGAAGGCTATACTGCTAAATACTATAAAAGTAGCCTTACGAACACACATTAGATACCTCTATAGATACGAAGGACACTCTATCTATCGGATTTAGGTGCCTTTACGAATAACGGTGCTACGTACAAGAGATGTTGTATTTGATAAGACTAGGTTCTATAATAGATATAACGCTAACCTAGGCGTTACTATAACTAACTAAGAACTAGCTCAATTCAGTAATCTCGAAGAGCTATAAGCACTAGCCTCGGAGTATCAATTTAACGATCTTCGAGAAGGATACGACACACTACTAGACCTAGTGCGGTTTAGAACTAAGGGGGTAGATATACTAACAGGACCTAGCCGGCTTATAATAGTCGACCCTACAAGGCTAGTAGATAAACCTATTAGACAAGAACTACCTCAATTATCGCCGACACTACTAACTAAGCTACAGCTCGTATAGGTACCGAAGAGGCTACGTTTAGATCTCACTAATTAGAGATTATATAAGCCTAAACTAGGGGAAGTACCTACCTATTAATAGGACTTTCTAATTAACCTACGCGAAGTACCGCAACCGCGTAATAATATACTAAATGGATTAGTAGACCTAACTATTAATTAGCAACCTAAGACTAAGAACGATGCTAGCAATTATAGCCCTGCTAACAATATAGACGCACTAGGTTACGCAGACGACATAGATATAAACCTGCTACGAGCGGAACTAGCTAAATTGCTAATACTAATTAAAGCAGCTAATGTTTTACATCGTTACTTACTAAATATAGGAGGGCCGCATTATCGAGCTAACAATCCGAACAAACGATAGCGAATAGCCGCTATCTATCGAGCCGGCCGTTATTATATTAGCGATCGAGAACAAGCGAGAAACCTCCTACTATTTAGTAGCCTTTATATAGCGGCTAAGTACGAAGCCCGATTAACGTATACATTAGTATTAAGTAATTAAGCCGACAGCAATCTACCGCCGCTTCTACGAGACGAATACGATTCAAACCTTATACCGAAGGTGTTAGACCTACCTATAGAGCTACGTAACTAGCGCTAGGTGTTAAAGAGCCGGTTTAAAGAGCATTAGATATATGCTATAAGAGTAGAGTTCAATAAGGCCTTAAAGATAGGTACATTTAAATAGGTAGATATAGAGGAACTAATAGACAATACACACCTTCTGCCTCTTACCTAGGTATTTAAATACAAGAGCGATGCTAATAGACGGCTAGTTAAGTTTAAGGCTAGAGTGTATATAAGAGGAGACCTATAGAAGAATACCTACTTAGATACCTATGCCTTAACACTCGCTATACGCGTATTTCGAGCCCTTATAGCTATTACTACTAGGTTCGACCTTGAAGCTAAGTAAATGGATGCAGTTAATGCCTTCTTAAATGCTAGCCTGCTATATATACTGTACTTGAAGCTACTAGAAGGCTTTAAACGGAAGGGCATAGTGCTACAGCTGCTTTAGGCTCTCTATAGCCTATAAGAGTCACTAAGGTTGTAGTACAATCACTTTACTACTATATTAGAGAAGCTCGGCATATAGCTAGTCGATAATGTCGACTGCCTATATACAGACCCCGACAAGCATGTATTTATCTTCTTCTATATAGACGATATAGTACTATTGTATTACCGTTAATACAAATAGAAGGCTATAGACCTAAAGCAACGGCTAATAAAGGAATACGAACTAAATGACCTTAGTCTACTATTATAGTTTCTTAGTATTTAGGTTGTACGTAACTGTAATTACCGAAAGCTATAGCTGTTATAGAAGGCCTATATAGAAAAAATGGGTTAGCGGTATAGAATTGACGCTAGAACTAGAAGAAGGGCCGACTTACTATTGCTAACTAGATACGAGCCCTATAAGAAAACAGACGGTAAGAAGGCCTTACAACACCTAGATTTAACAGTAGTACTAGCCTATTAAAGCTATATAGGATCGCTCAACTTCGTAGTAGTACAGACTAGGCCTAACATAGCTAAGGCTGTATTACTACTGTCTAAAGCCCTTTAAAATCTACGATAAGAAGACATAGCTGCTGCAAATTGGTGTATTAAATACCTCCTATAAACGAAGGACCTATGCTTAGAATACAATGCCGACGGACTAGCAATTACAGCGCATTCTAGCTATTAGTTAAATGAGTTCTACGGAGCTTCCGATGCCTTATATAGCGACTATAAAGGCACTAGACAGTTATTAGAAGGATGGTTATTTAGCCTGTTTAATAGCCTAGTCGACTAGAAAGTAGCAAGACAATTAACCGTTACTAAATCTACGACTAAGGCTAAGCTACTAGCCGTATTACATACTAGCTTAGAGCTAATCTGGTAGAAGCGATTCTTTAACAACATTAGTCTTACATTAGACACGGTGCCTATGCTATATTGCGATAATACTTAGACTATTCGCATTATTAAGGCTAATACTAGTAAACTAGACACTAAGCTTAGGCATATAGATATCTACTAGTGTTAGCTCCGCTAAGAACATAAAGTAGGCCGAATATAGTACGAATACCTAGCTATATAAGACATACTAGCTAATAGACTTACTAAACTCTATAGACTATAGAACTAACAGAGGTTTATATAGCAACTTAGGCTATTAAGGCTACTAGCTAATAAACTATACGAAGATAACTCTATATAATAGGTAGTAGTAGCCCCCCCCTATTTACTATTAATTGTAACTAAGTCAATTAAGTATACCTTTATCGATTAGCGCTAGCAAAAGTGTCTAATACGATAGCGACGACTAACTAGGGCAGCGGATCTAACCTTACTTCCTAATACGTTATTATCGCCTATATTATTACTTCGAACGTTACTTCTACTAACTAATAACAAGTCTGCGGCGATTGTATTAGTGCTAGTAATAATAGTGTAGTAGTCTTAGCTAAGGGTAGCGTCCTTAGTTAAGTTACCTATCCTAATTTATTAAATCTGTTTAACTAATGTATATCCTTACTTAATCCTTCGTCTAATTAAATAGACGCTACCTATGCGATTGATCTAATAAACGATAGTAATAATATAAAGGGCTTAGTTCAATTTAGTTAAACTAACTTTACTATACAATACAAGTACTTAGATAAGGCTTAATAGTGTCGGTCTATACTTAGACTACGTAGGAAGACAATAGTTCCTAGTAATAGGGACTATATATAAAGGTGCATATACAGTCCGGATTATGTAACGATATCCTTCTAGGGTAATCGGGGTATGAAATAAGACTCTCTTATATATAGTATAGATTTAAACTAATTTTTTATTATTTTAATAAAGCACTATATAAGAAGTTGAAAAGATTAATTTTTCTTTTATTTATATATAAAGAAGCATTAACTACCTTACCCAAAATGGAAGGCAAGCCTAGTTTGCATAAGCTAAGGGGGTATGTAACGTATAGCTAAGGTTATATAACTCTTGGCAGCGTACGTAACTCTCGGCAAAACCAGGGAAATATCAACACCTGTTCTCACCGCCTTTTTAGATAGAACTAGTCAATCAGAACGACTATAAGAGACACCCTTGAAAACAGTGTTACAATGTAACCAATAGGAAGGGTGCGTGACAAGTTGGAGTGAATTGTGAGTGAGGGGCATGGATGGAGAGGACGATGACGGAGCTTATGGCTTGGGCTGAGAAGGTTTGAGACGTGTAACATGCGATACCGGTGCGTAAGATAATACAGAAAAGGGGCTTGGGTGTGTATGGTATTCTGTTTGAACAAAGCCCGCGTGAAAATACATATGACAGATCAAGCATGATGGCTGATATCTGGGCAGGTCCATCTCGCTCGGTCTTTGTTCGCCCTCCTAGGGATTATCACGACCTCATTGGACCCGCTGGTATGTAATGGAAGTATGCTGAGTCGTGCGCTACTCATTCGCAGCTTTTGCTCCCTCGTGGAGGAGCGCGTGTCATAAGATCCTTGACTTGTGATCATGGGACCGTGGGTGAATGCTCAGTCGATGTCAAGCTGTGGATAGGTCCTCTTCAAGAACTCTTTCACCTGACGGTTGCAGCCGCCGTTGCTACAGTCCTGGCCGAGATTCAAGACTTTGAGTCCTTCTGGAGTCCTTGCACGGGAGAGAGCAACGTATACCTGGCCGTCTTCAAAGGCTCTGCTCAAGTCAACGATGACCTTGTCGAGTGTCATGCCCTGTGCCTTGTGGATGGTCATAGCCCATGCAGCTGCTAACGGGATCTGTGTGCGAGCAAGGAGGGAGTATGGTTTGTCATTCCCAAGCTCCTCTACCGCACAGTGAGCCACGACAGTCTTGATCTGGCCGTTATCAAACTTCACTCGAGGCCAGCACTCATACTGATTGAGGTCGCTTGCCATGAAGCGCTTCACTTCCTCCGTTTGAAGTGCGGCGTGACTACCCCCAATTAGCTCGGCCTCCTCATTGACGACTCGCTCGCGTCGGTCGTTGCCATCGAGGGACGAGGATCCGTCGTAGATATTCTTCGGCCTAGGCAGGATTGCGCTGTCGTGCTTCACAAACGAAATAATTGTTCCTTGGCTTCCGTTAACGAGGCCCTTCTCGATGTCGATATTGGTCAGCAGGATGACCCGCATGCCTTTCTTCAGCCGCAATTTGTACTCGTAGTTATGATCGTCTAGAGCAACCAATGATCTATCAAGTACGGACCGCTCGCCTTTGTATCGCAGGTGTGGGTGCTGTCTTGACGGCTTCCAGCAGTCCTCAGCGAAATATGCGATCTCATTTTGCCGGATACTTCGCAGCTCCAGGTTGTTGACATGGTTTACTTCTTCTCGCGTTGAAAAGAGCTGTGTGCCTCCTTCAACATCACAGGGATGGTTCTCGAGCCAATCTCTCTCGGCTTGGGTCCACATCTTGCCAAGTCGACGTTTCTCCAGAATCGTCTTGAACCGCTGATCTTCTTGTCGGTGAATGCCCTTTAAATGTATGCATTTGAAGTTGGCCTCCTCCCAGGCATTGGAAAAAAATGCCCATTTGCTGGAGTCGAAGAATGTGCCATGGAGATCACAGGTATATTCAGTTCTTGGAGTGACTGCTTCCAGCTCATGCCCACATTTGAAGCAATTCTTCAGCGGCTTGACGGGTGGCAGTTGACAGAAGTCACCCGTCACAATGATCTGCAAGCCTCCGAAAGGTCGATCGTCCTCGCGAGCGACCTTCAGGACTCGATTCAGTCGCTCCAGAAACCAGTTCTCGACCATAGAGATCTCATCAATGATGAGCACATCGATATTCTGCATTCTCTGCTTCGAAAAGCGATTCTTGGCTCTTCTTTCAAGCTCGCTGATACCTTCCTTCATAGCAGCTGGTGCCCACCCTGCAAACATCCAGGTGGTGCGTCCTCCAATGTCCAGTGCTACTTTGCCAGTTGGCCCAACAATCTGAACACGTTTACCCTTCGCTCGAAATCCGCGCGCCACGAACTTTAATATGGTGGATTTGCCTGAGCCCGCCGAGCCTGTGTAAAAGACGTTTGCGCCGCTCAGTGCCAAATCGATGGCCTCTTGTTGGTCATCGGTAGGAATCACGAGTGGTTGAGTGGGTGGTACGGACGGTGGAGATGATGCCTCTTCTTGGTCCGAGTCGGGATCATCACTGTCTGCTGTCTTGATTGCGCCACTCCTATCATGTCTCGTTCTGCCTTCTGATATCGAGGGCAGCGGTGGCGGTGGCATATTAACGAAGTTGTTGTCCTCGTTGCTGTCATCAACCGAGAATGGTGTTCGCGAGTTCGAGGCATGACGACTTGGCCGGGAGGCTCGAGAGCTTTGAGAGCTTTGAGTCGTGGAATCTGAGCTTGACCGCGGCTCGGACTGGTCGCGCTCCTGCTTGACGACAGTGCCGGTCCTGGGGACGTAAACACTCGCGGCTCTGGAAGATCGTGCTGGTTCTCCATATGCTGGTATGTAGTATTCGTCATCCTCAAGCGAGATTGGATCCTCTCGAGTACCTGGAGCTGAACGTGGAGACGTACGAGCTTCTGGTACAGAAGCAGGAACACTAGGCTGGGGGTAGAAATTTTGGGTAGCAGACGAAGAGCCCGTTCTGTTTCTCCAGACGCTTCCAGTGCTCGATCGAGCCGATGTCGATGCCGAGGGGCGGTGGAATGTTCGAGGCGCCGGTGAGGAACGAGGTATGTAGCTCAGGGTTTCATCAGTTCTGGCGCGCTTGAACATTGACGGATCGAGTTCGTCATCGCGCTCCGAGGCTGCGCGGCCAGGCATAGTGTGGGATGTGTGGATCAACGAGGACAGTCTCTAATCTCGCGAATTAGCGATGCATCTGTCTAAAGCAGACGCCCGAACTTACCGTTGCGGAAAATGTCAGCGAGAGCGAGATGTGTCGTGGACTTGGTGACCTGTGAGGTTTGAATAGTGGTCATACCACTGCAATTGTAATTGCTCTATGCGCAGGTGGTTGAACGAGGGTGTATTGTTCAGTGGAAGAAGCCAAGAGAAGGTGCAGACGCTTTTGTGCAGCCATGCGAAGTGTGAGCATGTAATATTCGGAAGTTAGCATGTTGTGAGCTGCAGTAGGCACTGAAGTGAGCTCAAATGTGCATATGGAGTCTGCACAGCACTCGAATTGGTGCAGTCATCAGCTCGCTTGTACAATGCTCAACGCATAGTCGGCGGCGGAAGAAGCAGGGTGTACATGGCAAGGACATGAAGAGTCTTGACGCGACGCAATACGCTTGAAGCCATAGTCCCTCTTTCTCCAAACGTTGTATCGATGCTTGTTTTGAGTGGGCCTCACTTGCAATTGTCCGCTCCATCACTTTTGAAGAATGCGTTGTATCCACGCCGACCGCTTTTTGGCGCCAGACACGCAGCCACAGCGACGAGTTTCCTCCATCAACTTCGAGCACAAGGGCGCTGGCGCTCATTCTGGGCGAAAGCGTCTTGACTTGTTCACTTTTTCGGCTGTGCTCCTTCGTAGAATCATTGAGCTGGTGTTGGTGTGGTCATCGACTCATCGCTGGGGACGTTGGCACCTTACGTTCGATTCGATTCGATCCGACTCGTAGCTGCAAACTCGGAGCCTGCACATTTCATAGTCAAGAGAAAGGTACATCGCGCATTTGAAGAGATGTCGTCGTTGGCTCCAGCGGGGGCTTGGGGGCTTGGCGAAAGGGCTTGGCGAAGGGACTTCGCTCAAAAGTATATACTGTGGAACTACTTATATAAGCTCTGCGATGACGATCTCTTGACCATCGGGGCAACTCTTCTCTCTTCTCTATTCTCTGCACACTGCGAAAACGTATCCGCGACCACACGAGAAACACTATCCCTCTCCAAACCACTGACAAAGTGGCGACTTATGCGACCTCAACCGCATCCATCTATTCCAATGTCACCACAATAACACTCGCCGAGGCCCGTCTGGGGACATATCTGCACTGTGCGCGAGCGCGAGCAGCACGACAGCCGCGCAGAAAGAGGCCGCAATAACATATCGTGCCAGGCAGGTGTTCTCACTGAAGCCTGGTGCACAAGAAAGACATATTCAACCACGACAAACAAGTTTCTGATTGCCTCCTCACCCAATCAACATGCCTACCCTCTCACTGGTCAACTTCAACATCGTCTGCGCGACCTTGGGTGGCTTTATTACGGCCTTCGGACTGGTATCGTACCTGCTTAAGGAGAAGTTCTATCTCTCCGAAGCTCTGATCTCCACTCTTGCTGGTGTGCTCTTCAGTCCCCATGCCGCCAACTTCATTCGGCCTCTGGAGTATGCCAACAACAATGAGCTTGATTTGGAGACAATCACCTTGTACTTCACGCGCCTCGTCCTTGGTGTTCAGCTAGTCCTGGCTGGTGTTCAGCTGCCTAGCAAGTATCTATGGAACGAGAGGAAGAGCTTGTCTATTTTGCTTGGACCAGGCATGATTTGCATGTGGATGAGCACTTCTCTGCTGGTCTGGGCTCTCGTTCCGAACATAGACTTTGTCATGGCTATTGCTGCCGGCGCCTGTGTAACCCCGACTGATCCAATTCTGTCGAACAGCATTGTCAAAGGCAAGTTTGCGGACAAGAATATCCCACCCAAGCTTCAGAAGATTATCATCGCAGAATCTGGCGCCAATGATGGCCTGGGCTATCCTTTCCTCTTCTTGGGTCTCTACTTACTCAAGTACGCTGGAAATGGCGGGCTTGGCCAGCATGGTGGAGTTGGTCATGCTTTTGCCTTGTGGTTCTACGACACATGGGCCTACGTGATCATCATGTCTGTAGCCTATGGTGCTTTGGTAGGATGGCTCGCCAAAGAACTTTTGCACTGGGCCGAGGAGCGACATTACGTTGACCGAGAGTCCTTTCTAGTCTTCGCCATCACTTTAGCAGTAAGTGCACATCTACCTTGCTTTGCGGACTTCCAACTAATCATGGGATAGCTGTTCATCGTAGGCACTGTCGGCCTGGTTGGCTCTGATGACGTACTTGCATGCTTTATCGCTGGCAACGTGTTCACTTGGGATGATTGGTTCAGATTGGAGACGATGGACGACTCTCTGCAGCCCACCATCGATATGCTGCTCAACGTCGCCATCTTCATGTGGTTCGGCGCCGTATGTCCATGGCACAGCTTTGTGGACAACAATGTCATCCCAATCTACCGTCTTATCCCTCTGGGCATACTGGTCCTGCTTCTACGACGACTGCCATTCATTTTGATTGGCCATAAGACGATTCATCAAATTGAAGAATGGCGCCACGCTGCTTTTACTGGATGGTTCGGTCCGATTGGTGTCAGCGCAATTTTCTATCTTTACATTGCGCGAGAGTTTCTACGAGAGGTTGAGTATGAAGGACACGAACGTGTGGACGCTTCGCGTGAGGCAGAAACGCTGAATGTAGTCGTCTGGTTTCTCTGCATATGCTCGATCGTCTGCCATGGATTGTCGGTTCCTCTTGGAAAGCTTGGACTTCACCTACCACGTACGATATCTATGGCCATTTCTGAGCCTGTCTCGCGTGGCACCAGTCGCTCCCGGTCGCGACAGACATCCCCGGTCCGTCAATACCACGCGGGAAGTGAACGATCGCTGGCTCGGTCTTTCCGACGAAGACGTCCAACTACCAGCGAAGTAGGCGAGTCAACAGGAACATCTAACAGCGTATGTACATCCATGGGATTCATCCTGAACAGTTTCAAGAATTTTTTCCGTCTAACGGAGGAGGAAGCCGGTGAGAGTCGCGAACCTGACCTTGATGCAACGCGCCAAGACGAGAGGATTGGACGCACCAGTGGGATGGGCGAAGGCTCTCGTCCAGAGATCTCGCAACCAACTGACGCAAGAGTGATTGGCAATACCATCAAGAAGTCGCCCGCCGAATACCAAGACTCTAATGGCGCTAAATCGAAGAACGATGATTCGCCCCGTTCCGATAGTCCAGATCAGAAGAGAGCCGCTTTTGCAGATGACCTCCAGCCGCACAACCAGGCTGCCTCCGGCACAGCTACTCCTACCAGTGCCACCTGGCAGAGAAGCATTCGCTTCCCAGACGAATCTGCCCACACAAAGCTTAAAGAATAACAACCTTAAGCAGCGACGTGCGATTCAGCGCCGACATGCCATTTCCTCGCTTGGGTATGAGTGAGTTTTGCTGCGAACTTTTTTATTTTATATGTCTGAAATCCGTAACGATGGAGAAATGGTGTCGTGGTGTCGTGGAAGATTTCAATTCGAGCATTTGTGCAAATTGCTACCTCTTCGTTACACTTTTTTTCACTTTCACAGTCGTGCAAAATGAGAAATGTTGTTCCGCAGTAACCCAGGAAGCAAGATCGCTTGAGGCACTAATGCTATCTGAGCACAGCACGCTGGATAGCGTATCCAGGGTAGGTAACTAAAGATATTCTTGACGACATCGAACTACGTGTTTCTCGGCATACCCAAAGGTGTAACTGCCCTGCAGATGGGACGTATCTACCATCGTCTTGGCAGCACCAAGCTTTCATCGAAGCTCTTGAGCCAAGTCACACGTTCATCTTTCCGCGCCACTTCAGTTCACTTCGTTCTTGACACTCCGGCGCGCGATATTCTACAGCTCAGCATCATCGAAGTACTGGAAAACGTCGACGCAATCGTTCCTACAAAATCCAGCTCTCGGGAAAGTCATCACTATCAACTGCTGCACTCTGAAAGCGAGCTGGAAAGACTGTTGACTGTTGGCATCTCGCCGGCTGTACATAATGCTTGCTTATATCCTACTGAATCGTTGGGGGCTGAGTTTGATAATAAGACGGCGGGAATGTTAAGGAGGGTGGTCGATGGGGCGATGAATAGAAGCGTTGGAGCGAGGATGAAGACAGCTTGATGAAGCTGGATGTACTGTAGAAATGCTGCAAGCTATTCCTTGATTGATGAGCTGCATCTGCGGGAAGGATGCCGCACGATCGGCAGAAGGTGGCACACTGCACAGCCAACACAAACACTGGTGCCTGTCGTGCCTATAACAGATTGTAGACAGGGCGTCGAGTTCATCGCCCAAACACTCCTCGCCAGAAGAGCCACCACCATGTCCGCAATCCGTATCTTCAACAACATCCCCCACATCGTCCGCGGTGGAATGCACGACGAAAAAGCCTCGAAATCTTCCATCCATTTCTGGAGATGTGGTGTGAGATTTTGGATCGACGTCTCAGGCCAAGATATCCTAGGAACTTCATTCCATGAAAAATGGAAACCACTGATTCGAGAAGAAGACTACAAAAAGGTGTCCTTGAAGGAATCCACAGAAAACAAATGGCATCCACTCTGCGATCTGATAATCTCCACATCGATGGAACTTTTGCGAGAATTGGCGCCGGCCGAGAAGGAATATTGGAGTAGTCTTGATGATTATTTGCATTGTCCGGGCTATAAATTGAGGATCAAAGCGGTTTCTGGGAAAGATGCGGTCGAAGTCGAAGTAGCCGAAGGTCCGAAGTTGACAGGTGCATATAACATGGCACCGGCTCCATTCGAAGACTATCATGCTGGATCGAACGATCTTCCAACATTTTGTAGTACTGATCTCGTGGTGCTCGATAAAGAGCAAGATTGGCGACAGCCTCCTCAGAAAGTCCAGGCACCGGATGGCAAGATTTATTTTTTCAAGGCTTGTGAGCAGAGTGCTATGCACATGCCAGATCAGAAGGTCGTGAATCACTCGCTTGACGCTATCGCAGCGCATTTGAGTATTTATGAGCTTATGCTGGCGCAAGACTTCGAGCCTTTGCAAGGTGTCCTCACTTTCCAAGGTCTTGTGACGTGCGATTGTGTTGATGTTGGAAAGCATGAGGTGGAGATGGGAAAAGCTGGAATCGCTGGGATTCTGCTACCTTGGACTGCGAAAGGTCGGACTCTGTTTGAGATTTGTCGAGATGCGGATGATACTGGCAAGGCTAGGATTCTTGCAGTGAAGGATGATTGGAAGATGCAGGTCGAGATGGCTGTGGGTGGTCTTCATGAGAGGGGTGTTTTTCTGGGAGGCCGAAAGGACTGGGCTTACTTGAACTATCATACTGTGATGATCGATGCGGATGATCGAGCTTGGCTGACAGCTGGTCTTCTATCGGTGGCTGAAGATGCGAAGCAAGCGGCGAGGGAAGGCTGCGAGCAAGATGTCAGAGCAGTGAACCAATTGTTCGAGGAGTGGTTGCCGGCTCAGGTGTCATGATCAGGCTGACATGATCGTTCCCAAGGCGATGGTTGGAGTCGGGAGAGAGATTCAGTGGGATGCCGTGCAGGAAGCCGCCAGCAAGTGGACTTAACGCCGGGTTATATAGTCCCTGATATATCGACGGCTTCACGTATCCTTTCCGTTCAACCTTTATCGTCTTGCCGTCATGAAGGTGTTGTGAATGGTCGTGCCGAGAAGTGCTGCGGCCGTTCCTTCATCTACAAAGTGCACGTGACGTGAGAAGATCTATGACCACGCCGTCGACATGTGATTGGACAGGCAGCACATCCAGTGCATCGGAAAGCTCTCGGTTCAAGGCGAAATGCGTCTCTAGTCTGGCAATCTACGCTCCCTTGGGACAAACAAACAGTCAGTCATTCATCATGCTGACCGTTGACAACTTCAGCAGCTGCGGTTGAACCGCATGACCCTTCCCTTCCCTTCCACCGAGCGACGACATACCGCCGACGTATTCTACCGCGAAATCGAGCTGTCCAGTATGGAGAAGGTTCAGCGGGAGATCGAGAGAACGGACCCCGATGTCCCTTTCAGAGCGACCGACAAGCATGTCCATCACACCTGGGCCAAGACATTTCAATCGCGACCAGAGCTGTACATCAAGCCGCGAACGCTCGCCGAGATCCAGAAGATTGTAACTCTCGCACGGAGATGTCGCAAGAGACTTGTGATCGTTGGTTGCGGTCACTCGCCCTCCGATTTGACTTGCAGTAGTAGCTGGATGGTGAACCTGGACGACTTCAGTAAGGTGCTCAAAGTCGATAAAGCAAAGAAGACACTGTTGGTGGAGGGCGGCATCAGACTACGGAGGCTGAACGACGAAGCCAACCAACATGGCTTGACGATGCGAAACCTCGGCAGCATCGATGAGCAGAGCATTGTAGGCGCAATCTCAACTGCGACACACGGTAGCAGCTTACGGCACGGCCTTCTCTCTGACTCCGTCCGGAGCTTGAGGATAGTCCTCGCCAATGGCCAGGCTGTACGATGCAGCAGAGATCAGAACCAGGAGCTGTTCAAGGCCGCACTCGTCTCCCTCGGCGCACTTGGCATTATCGTCGAGGTCGAGTTTGAAATGGTCAATGCGTGCAACATCGAGTGGACACAGACACTGCTACCCCTCAGTGAGATTCTGCAGACATGGGACAACATCCTTTGGACGCAGAAAGAGTACACGCGAGTGTGGTGGATGCCATACATGAAACGTGCTATCGTTTGGTCCGCCGACAAGACCGACAAGCCATTACGTGCGCCCGTGGACAGTTGGTATGGCGGTTCCGTTGGCTTCCACACGTATCATAATCTGCTTGCCCTTTCGAATTGGTTCCCGTCCATCTTGCCATGGGTGGAGTGGTTCGTGTTCGGCATGCAGTATGGCTTTCGAACGGGTCAAAGCACCTCGGCTGTGGAACCATTACGCACGGGACTGCTCATGAATTGCCTCTATAGCCAATTCGTGAACGAGTGGGCACTGCCACTCAGCGACGGTCCGGAAGCTATTCAGCGTCTATCCGCCTGGCTCAATGGCGAGCCTCGAGAGAAGCACGAGATTCCATTCAGCAGCAAAGGCCTTTATGTACATTGCCCCATTGAGGTCCGGGTCAGCGACACTTCCAATGACCCAGACCGGGTGCGACCGTACCTTGACAATACAGCTGAATATGGTCCGACGCTGTATTTGAACGCCACGCTCTACCGTGCATACCTCAGAGATCCTCCTTGTCGGGACCGCTACTACGAAGCGTTCGAATGGTTGATGCGCGACATGGGAGCCAAGCCGCATTATGCCAAGAATTTCATGTATACCTCCTCTGAGCAGGTCCAGGAGTTACTTGGCAATGGACTGCAGCAGTGGAGCAAGGTCCGTGACGAAGCTGATCGTGAAGGCATGTTTATTGGCGAATGGCATCGGCGCACTCTCGGTCTGGGAAGCACACGCTACGCACTCGAGGAGCGTGAAGTGGCTCGCACGAAAGCATCAAACGGCGGGCAATTATGGGTTGGAGAGGTTCGCAAAGAGTCAAGCGTTCAAGAGGCTTTCCCAGAACAGCCACTATCGCTTGCCGGTGACAATCTCACGCCGCTGAACATCGACACAGTAAGATCTGGGAGCCCACGTACCAGCAGCACTGCCAGCAGCTTCGACATGGTACATGGCGCCGAGACGGAAAAGAGCCATTTATGGCACGACAGCGAGCACGACGAGGATGAGGATACTGACCAAGTCGAGTCAAGATTTCATGGCCACCCAAAGCACAAAGTCTCTGGAACTGCTGTTTTTGATAAAATGTGATGTGCACGGCAGTTCACAACAGGGCTGAATAGGACGATTACGAAAAGCTGAACGATGCATGCATGTAATGTGTAACTCTTCACTCGTCCCGATCGAGTTTTGATGATCCTGCTCAATCAATATGGTTTGAGGAAGTACTTCCTTGCGAGAATTCTTGAAGAACGTGGCTCCTCTAGATTAATCTACTCTAGGCAGTGGAATTGCAAGCATCGGACTACTTCGTTATCAGACCTGTTGAGATGCCGGTTACAGTAAGGAAGAGAGTTGTATGAATTCGATTGAAATGGAAGGAAAACAGTGAGTTGTTCGCAAATATATCGTACCATTCATTCTTGCACACTTCTAATCTGTCGCTAATATCACGAGATCACAGGTCGTGAAAATCTGGAGTCGTTCTTCTCCTCCTAATATACAAACAGTCCACGGCCCGTCAGATTTTAAACTGCTTCTTTCGCCTCTGTCGATGTCTGTGCGGAAATCTGCGGCAATTCTTGACCCTCGTTCGTCGCCTCTACAACTCCCGCAAAGCTACGTCTCTTACTGCTTCCGTCCGGGACGTGGAAGCGATGGTCAATCCTCGTCAACAGGAACATGTAAAGAATCGAGATCTCGATCAGGAAAGTGAAGACATAAAGCGCCGCCTTGGACTGGTACCAAGCCGGATCGCTCTTCGGTCGAGGAGATTCGAAGTTACTGCCTGTCTTGAATGCAGAGCCGAGTGTACACAGCAAAGCTGAAGTCAAAAGGATTAAAGACTTTTGTCCCGTACTCCAGGTATCGAGTCCACCGGACGAGTCCTTGGTACCAAACTCCTCGGCTCGAGGGGATTCTTTGAGTGACCAGGTGATAGCCAGGATGACGAGAGGCACAAGCGTGACGAAGAGCAGGTATGTCATGGCCACGAGTTGGATATCGCGACACGCTTCTCGGAGCTCGGAATCCAAGGTATAGAATTGGATGACGATGAAGGTGATCACCAGAACCAGCGCCAGACCAACGAGTCCGTAAAGGATTCTGAAAAACACCCGAAGGACCGTATGCCAACCTATCTCAGGCTGTCGCGCTCGAAGTATCCGTTGCGCGAAGACCAGATTAACCACATAAACAATCAATACCCCGGCGCTCAGCAAAATCTGTGCGGCGATATTGAGCGATACGTTTGAAGGATGGTATGCGACGGCGATGCGGAGGGAGCAAGTCACGATTCTTGCCATGCTGAAACCGAAGAGTGCGGCGGAGATGAAGAAATGATGGGTTTTGCGTCGGTTGAGTTGGTAGATGGACATGTGGCCGGCTGCTGAGCCGGCGTAGATAGCGATCAGGATTGAACATATTACGACGTCGGGAATGGGCGTTGGTTGGCCGCCGAGAGAGGCGATTTGGGGGGCGTATGGGGGCTATAGATTTCGGTGAGATTTCTGGGCATTTATGAGGGGATGGAGATTGACTTACGCCTTGAGGAGCAGTGGTGGACATTTTTGCTTGTCTTATCCCTGGTTGCTAAGTAGTGTGTATGACCGGCTGTTTTGTGCTTGTGCTTGTCGTGTTTGGTTTGTATCCGATTCTGTGGCAAGCGCCAAGAAGAGTGAAGTGCTCAAGTAAGGGGGCTTTATGGGAAACTTCTTTGTGTGTTCACGGCGGTATGGATGCAGTATCTATCATATAGAGATCCTACCGTGGATGATGTTCCATATAGCGCACCAACGATCGGACTTACGGTGGTGCGATCTCATAGCTACATGGCATGAGGTGGCGTCGCATTCACAGCGACGTAGATGCGTGCCGTTTGAGGGCGCTGTGCTGGTTCCATGATTGGTAAGGAGTTGGAGTTGGAGGAATCGAAAAACAAAACAAAGCGGCTGGCCGGACGAAGGTTTCGACCGAAGACCGAGGGCCCGGCCCGTCGTGCTCGTGTCTTGGCAGACGTAGAAGCAGAGCTTGGTGAGACGACGCGGTATCTTTTATCACGCACAGCGCAGTTGATTACTTACATAATACTGCATTGTCGGCGATTACTCGTCTTCGTTGATTGCCTGTATTCTGTCTATTCTATCGACTAAAAAACAGTGTGAAAATTCCTCATGTGCCAAGAAGTCATGTGGCAGTCATGTGACTGAGCTGATGCGTCACATCTTTCAGCTCCGATGTCACAGCAACGCAGTCGCCGTCTTGTTGTCCACTCGTCAGCAAAGCATCTGCTCATCGTTCGTCCGTCGCACGATGGAGGGCAGTTCAGACGGAGAGCCAGCGCTGAAACGCATGCGGAAAGGCACCAAGAGCTGCGTGGAATGTGAGACTTGGCGTGCACATGCATCGTCGTCCATTCACTCACTCACTCACTCCTGCTACAGGCCGACAGCGCAAGATCCGCTGCATCTGGCAGGCAGCAACAGACGCTGCTTGTCAAGGCTGCCAGCAACGAGCCCGGGCCTGTGTGCCACAGCTGTATGCCCGTCGCTCGGTCGACCCCAATCGCGTCTCTTCCCGGGATCGCATCTCGCGACTGGAAGCTCAAATCGCACACATGGCCGCGTCGGTCCAGCACAAACCTCAACATGCCACATCGATTTCGCTTTCGGTTTCGCCCGAGCAACGCGGCCCGGGAGAGCGAGACTCACCTGCCTCTCCCATCCCTGACGTAGACTCGGAGCCTGATACCGTGAATGGTGAGCGTGCGGCTGAACCCGTCCGTGAATGATGCATCATTTCAACTTCATGCTCACTGAGGCTGGATCTCTCTGCTGAACGAACACGAATAGGTCCAACAACGGCTGCGCCCGCTCATCTCAAGTTTCTGTTCGACAATCCCTTGATCGGGCCGGATCAGCGACTCGCGGAGGGATCGCACGAAAGACCGCCGTGCTCGAAGCGATATGCCGATCAGAGCAGAGCGAAGCTCCAGCATTACCTACCCACCACACATGTCGGTATCCTCTGCGCCAAACCAACCACGCCTTCGCTAATCTTGCATCTGCAGGACGTCGCCGAGACATCTAGTTATGCGCCTTCGTGGATGTCGCTTTATTACCAACTATTCCCCACAACGAGCACCCAGGGCAGTCGGGATCAGCTTGTCACGAAGCATGAGACAATGTTTAGCACAGATGTTGACCCGGTGGTCTTGGCGCAATACTTATTGTCGTTCGCCATCACCGCTCGTCAGGTCCCAGAACACTCCATAGTGCTTTCGTTTGAGCAGAGAGGTGAGCCACTCGAGATTCATCGCCCAAGTTCGAGGCAGTGCTGACACTGTACCAGGCTGGACAGATATCGCGAGCTACGTGCAAGACTTGATGCAAGCTGTTGAACACACCGTCATAACACACACCGGCCTCGCCTCAACGATCGAAGGCATCTCTACGACGGTGCTCTACCTCAGGCTGCAGCTTGGTTTTGGCGCGGTGAAAACACTGTGGCTCACACTTCGACGAACCATCGCGATAGCAGAGCTTATTGGGCTGCCCAGAGCGTGGTATCATCGGCCTATGCCCCATGCCCATTCAACCCTCATTGATGGGGTTACGGATAAGATCGCACTTTGGGAGAGCATATGCGCAACCGATAGACTTGCTTCGATGATGGTGAGTAAAGCAATGCAGAAAACAGTCATCGAATACTTACTGGCTATTGAAGTTCAATCTGCCTCCTGCCACTGCAACCCACCGTTTCCCTCGGAAGCAGATTGTAGATTCTTCGGGTACAGTCCTTGCTCAGCCTTACATGTTCGAACTTGCTGGCATTGCTATGAGAGTCCAAGAACTCGACGAGGCTTATACCATCGGGACATCTCAAGAAGAGATCTGTGAAAAGATTTTGAACATGGATAAGGATCTCCGCTCACTCAAGAGCTCTACGCCGATATCCTGGTGGAAAGAGGAATTCACCTTCCTTTCGGCAGACGCACTGGTTCAGTTCTGGCATTTTTATCTCACGGCACGAATTCACCTGCATCCAGCGATGAGCAACGATGACCACGACCAGTACTCATACAGTCGTATCAGCTGCGTCGAAGCCTGTCACGCCTTGTCACGACGATACGCAAACATCCGAACAGCCCTACCTGCTGGATTCTTCGTTTGCCGCATCGTCGACATGCAGATCTTCACAGCGGGAACATTCCTCCTACTATCTTCTTACGGCCGACTACAGGTCCAACACAACGACAGGCACGTGTTCCAGCCTCCCCAAGACCGAGAGCGTGAAGACCGGCTTCAAAGTCTCGAGCGCATGGTGCAGACCATGGAGTTCGTCCAGGACCATGTGGGCTCGGAATTTGCGCGCGAGGCTGCAGCTGCAATCAGAGCGCTGTGGTCTCACTTCAAAACCGATACTTCGACTAATTCTCAAGGAATCACCCTTACTATTCCATTGCTGGGCAAGATCCACATTGGCCGTAAAGATAAACCCAACCCGCAAGAACGTACTGCACAAGCTCAATCACTCCAATCTATTCCTCAGGCAACGAACACCACGCAAGGAACGAATGGCGACTTCACCATCCCTGCGGACGCACAGCACGGCTCATTGTCAGTGTCTTCTGCACAGCCTGTGGATACGGGCACAATGCCTTGGCTCATGGAATTGGATATGAACGCCACAACACTGCAGGATCCCTTTTGGGTGAATGATTTCGGTCAATTCGATCAGTGGATGAGCCTGAACAATCCACTTCAGCTCTAGATCTTGCTCTCGTGTGGAAGGGAACGATGCTCCGTCATTCCGCGCCCCCAAGTGATACCAATTCATATGCCAAGAGTCGTCGAGCGGGCGTGTTTCGGTTATACATCCTTAGCTTCCTTAGCAAGGCGCTTGCCTCCTGTATGGCTGGCATCTCAGCAATGCTGTTGAGAGTCTACGCTCAGAAGGTCCTGCAACGATCGTGTACGGTTCTTCTCCCAACCACGCTTCAAGGAATCTTTGTGTTTGATGATGCTGTCGCTTTCCGTTTGTGTCTCACGCATTTGTAAGGAGCTTATAATCGAACCGTCGAGTCGTATAACAAGGGTCTGACTTGCGTATTCAGCGTCTCCGTAAATCTATGGTCGACGCTTTCTTGACTGCCCTCTATATCAGAATCCAGCTCATTCGATAAAACCGCAGTAACCACCGGTGAATACTGAAGAATCTCAGCACCGACTGCACCTCCTAATTTTCCCCTTTCTATATACTCTTAACCTTCAAGATTCTATACCTACTGCTCCTCCTCTACTAATTCATCCTAATTCCTAGTATATATACTATATAGCACTTAATTTAATCCGCTCGATCCGCTTATCTTGTAATCTAGTTACGGATATATAATCCTTTACTATTACTCGCTAAGTTATATATATATATACAAACGTAACCTACCTTTAGTCCTTTTAAAAAAAGAATCCTTAGGCTATTATTCGATCTGTTTAAATAGCCGCACTAGTAATCGACCCTAATATAATATTAACCTCTAGTATATACTTATACTTTATAGCAATAAGGATTCTACTAAGAAGACGCGATTTAACTAGTCCTTTTTTTAAAAATAGAGATATTAGTAATACGGAGTTATATTTCTTTTACTACTAAGGGTTTTTAGTAGTAGTCGGTTAGGTATAGAAAGTACTTTAGAGGATGTTATACGAAGTAAGGACTTTTATATTATTACTTCTACTACTTCGAATATATGTTTTTTTTCTTAGATTAGTATAGTAGGGTTAGTATTGTTCCTAGTATAATTAGAAGTTGTAAGTGTCGTTATCGACGACTTTCGGTACTAGTACTAAGGCACCCCAAGCTCCTCGAGGATAATGGCGACTTTCCATAGGGTTGGTCCCAGGACATGACCGTACAGCTTCAATGCTGTGGTAGACATGTTTTTCGATTGGAAAGTCAAATGGATAGATGTTCAAATCTCAATGCGAATGTCGAGGTGTATTGTATTTATAATATCCATTGACTATTAATTGACCCCTCCACCCACTGACGTTTCGTGCGAAGAGGAATCACTGTGAGGTCTAGATCCAATGAAAACTAGGTATGCAGACGACCTCGTCAATTGCCGCGGGAATAGGGCATCATTGAACTGTCGATGACAACCCTGTAATTCCGAGAGCGTTGCCTCACCATCACAATTCATGACAAGTGAATGCGGAACGTCTCCACGTCGAGAATGGTTTCGAAATCTGCGTGGTGCTCTATCTGCAAAGCAGGATCAGCTACTGCAGCATACTATCAAGCGACTCGCCCGTGACCTCCTCGATCTGGTGAATCCATCTAAGTGTCTCTCTCTCCACAAATCCATCATCGTCTTCTTGCAATTCCGAGATGAACGCGAGCATTTCCGGAAGCAAGTGAAGCCAGTCAATATGCAGCCGATCTGTCAATGCTCTCTCGCACTTGACAGCTGCCAGTCGAACAGCGGCGTCTTCATGGCGCATGTAGGTCATGATGATCCTATTCATCTCCTTGTGAAGGTCTGGCGACTGCACAGCAGCAGCGAGTTCGACAATGGCAGGAACAATGTGCTGAGTGGCATCAGTCTTTGAAGCGCGCTGAAGGCGACAGATCAGTGGCTCCGCGATGGGTTTGAAATGATCTGGTGATTGCCAGAAGTCGCCCTGATCGTTCGCGAAGCTACTGGCGAGAGCGTCCAGGACTATGTGCAGCAGCTCGCGTTCATGCGGAGAGGTCGGCGATAAGGACTGGAGGAGCGAGGCAGCATCTTCGAGTAGATAGCTCGCGTAACCGGTCACAAGAGACTTGAGTTGCTCGAAGAAGGCGAGAGCAAAGCTGAAGAAGCTTGTCTTTCGGAGGGTCGTAGCGAGTTCTCCTTTGCGAGCGCTAGACCATTCGTTGAATCGGACGAAGAATGGCCGGAACGTGGCATCATTCAGCTTCAAGACTGTATCCATAGTCGTCGAGTTCACTAACTCGGAGAGACTGGTCGTATCATTTTCGGCGTCGGATTCCGTGAGTATTCGTCGAAGATCATGAGCTTGCAGTAAAAGCTCGGATAAAACCTGAAAGTTCTTCGAAACCGTTGCCTTTGTGTAATGCTGGACGGCTTGGCGCAGTGCTCCGACGTGGCGGAGGGCTGCATCTTCATCCTGCTCAATCGACAGCGTGACGACTTCTTCCCACGTCTCTCTCAGACTAGCGAGAAAACTGTCGGCGGATAGCTTCTTCGCGGCCAAGGATGAAAAACTTAGTGCCTGCGTTTCGCCCGAAGCAGCAGCAAGAGCAAGCAGACGATTCAAGTGCTGACCTGACAACATCCAGGGTATGTGATCGAGAACGGCCAGACCGAAGCTGAAGCCTGCATCGAGCATTTCTATATCTTCCTCATCCTCGTCATTGCGATACGCTTCGTCCATGTATTGAGTGATGGTCTCCAAACTTTTGGGCAGAATTGGTATGAACTCATCTCCAAGAACTTCAATCATGCTGGCTAAGCAGAGGACAGAGGTCATCCTGAGGCCCTGCTCTCCACTACCAGCCCCCAGCGCATGTTGGCCTGCAATTTGTTGAGCCACGCGGAAAAGTGACGCGCGATCAGTCTTTCCAAACCTGTCAGCGATGCAGTCGATGCACTTGATCGCAGCGAGGCGGGTCTGTACGGGCTGACTCTGAGCCACGAAAAGAGCGCACTGCGGCAATAGCTCGATAAAGATCTTCTGCAGCGCCGTATCACCGCGCTTAGCGGCCTTGACGCGCTGCTCCAGTGACCAGAAGACCTGGCGGCGGATCTCGTCAGAGCCTGCCTGCATAAGAGTTCCGCTGGCTTCTATGAAGTCACTAGTAGGCATGAGTCCGAGCAGCGAGGTCAAGACATTGGTAGCACTGTCACTGAGCTGCCCGTGAGCTTTGAGCTGAAGTTCAAGTTGCATCGCCCTCTCGAGAATGACAGAGTAGTTGTTACGCAAAGCATCAGCTCCATCGCCTCCCTTCTTTAGTTCCTTAGCAAGCAGTTTCCGCAGTGCTCCATTGGAGAGCGTAGATGCCAACCCTTCCAGAAGTACGGCAGTCGAAGCTGTTGCCTGCTCAGCAGTTTTCTCCGCATAGCCTAGAATGGTGTCTGACAGGCCTCGCTTTGCCCTCAGTGTGTCGAAGACTAGATCGAGGATTCGCTGGACGGCGACCAACTGTGTGGATGGCGCAAACCTTTCCATCAGGGATGAGACAAATGAAAGTGCTGTAGGATCTTCAGGGTATCGCTCAATGAGCATGGCTACGATAGCGGACAGCGACTCGTTAGCACCAAGAGTCTCCACTAAATTGTGAAAGAGTCCAGCCCGGCGATGCAGAGGAATGTGTTCGAACGCAGCGGTGAAGCTCAGGAGAAGCTCAGCGGCGCCTGAGATCAGATCTCTACCTCTCTTCTTCAAAGAGGCTGCCAAAGGTGGAATGATTTGGGAGACAGTTTGGTCGGTGACATGCGCGCTGTAGTCGTCACCTTGCTTCAGGATGGTCGCACTCATGAACGTGAACAATGGCATGACACTGTGCAAGACAAGATCTGGCGCCCAAGAGGCCAAGGCAGACATCAGAAGCAAGGCAGCTTGATGCACCTGAGTGCTTGAAGTCGTCCTGACGCACTCGACGATCAGGTCCGCCCTGATGACAGATTTGTCTACGTCCTTAAATGGGCTCGACACAAGTCCATTGACAACTGAAAGCAGATTGTTGATCAGCAGACCTTGCAGGTAGACCAGCTCCGACTCCAGCGAGCTCTTATAGTGATGCAGCTCACTCAGGATGTAGAACAGGCCCTCCAGTAATTGAGGGTGCTTTTCTGGCTTTGCGCCCTCGACCAATTCCAAGACGAACGTGATTCTCTTGATGGCAAGATGGAGCTTCTGCTTGTCGATGCTGCCAGACTTGATTACGTCCGAGGTCCTTCGCTTCTTGGCTGATGGCGGTTGGCTTTGGAGTTCCGGGACGCTAGGCAGAGTCTCGACTAGCTGAACGAGAGTGCGAGTTGGCAATTGCAAAGCTCTGAGTGTCTCTACTGCACCTGTCTGAACTTCCTGTGAGGCGCCAGAGTCGAGACTGAGGGAGACCAGCCAGCCAACGAGATCATCCTGAGCCGCTTCTTTCATGCTAGACCAGAGATGGCGAAGTCGTGAGAAGCCAAGGGCACAGCACTCTGTTACGGAGGTAACCTCCCCGATTGCCAACGCTTTCAGGAATTGTACCTCGTCCGAGCTGCGGCTCGAGACATTGGCCAGAAGCATCTTGCATAGATCACGCGATGCTTTATGATTTGCAGGGGAAGCCAGCTGACTAAAATAATGTTTAATGTAAGGAAGCAAGATTTGTGTCCTCGATGAGCCGGCGGTCTTGCCGACCTTTTTGAGAATCTCCAAGAGACTCAACTTGACTCGAACGACCGGGGTGAGAACGACGTGACTCGCGAGGTTGGAAAACAGCGCGGCGCGTGACGCTTGCTTGAGTTCCTTGCGGTCTGATCTGGCGGCGCTGGAAGGGGCATTGATGATGTCGGTCAGGGCCTGTCCTACGTAGGTCTGATCAACGACACAATCTTCGAGGATGGGTAGCAGCGCGTCTGAAAGGATTTTGTGAGCGTCCGCGTGAGTAAGCCAGTGCAATGTGGAGCTCTCTTTTCCGTAGACGTCGTCCTTGGCCCAGACTTTCGCGTCGGCCTTGGACTTCTTCATCGTTCTGTAGATGGCTTCCAGACTAATGCAAGCTGCAGCTGCTGCATTACGCACGGAGCTTGCAGAATCTGCGAGGGCTGAGATGAGATAGGGAATTAAAGCCTGGAGATCACCAACGTGATCTTGCAGGACGAACTGTTCAAACAGATCCCGAGCGATCTGTAGAGCTCTTGATTTGGTTGAAGATGGCAGCTCGCTTGTCCAGACACGAGCAAGGAAGGACAACAAGTTCGGCTGCTCGAATGCGGAGGATTTCTGAAGCGCAGGTGCGTTGAGAAGCGTTTCTAGGTCTCTTTTCGCGAGTGACACTTTTTGAAACGCAGAAGCGTATTCACCGAACAGCCTTTCATGCTTGACCTCAAGGAACGAACTGTCCTTGGAAGGTAAGGCTGGGAGGTCGCCCAAGGAAAGATTGCTCTCATTGGCATCAATCTCCACGTCATGATCGATGAGCATAGGTTCAGGCTCAGCTTCTGCCTCACTCTCCATTGCGCCTTGTTGTATTTGGAGAGCGAGATCCGAGTCCAGTTGAGCGAGATTGATGCCAGCCTTTTGCGATGCTTGTTGTAGTAGACCAGCCACCTCGTTCTCACTAACGCTGCGCGTCACGGCTGCCACTATGGCTTGACCGCCGGAGGGTTGCAATTGAGAAGCTTGGGTTATAGCATTCTCCAGCACCAGCAACTTGCCTTCTTCGGGTAAGGCATCGGATTTTAGCAGATCTGTCAGAAGCGCCGACGCATCTGCGCATTCGCCTTGTGTCAACCCATCGATCGCGCTGACAGCAATGCCGGTGAGTAATTTGTCTACACGATACTTCGCGCCAACATGTTCTATAGTCAGCAGGAGCTCAGCTTCGTCAAGCAACGCGCGGAAAGTGGGCTTGGAAAGCAGGAGTTGCTGTTTCTCCTCGGCCAAGACAGATAGACACACTATGCCATCTTCCACTATTTGCTCCGTCCAAGCAGTTGCGACGGCCTCCATCATCGCATTGAGGACCTTGTCAGCCAAAGATGCTTTCGTGGCCACTATTGTCATTATCATGCAGGATCCGAGATACAGCTCCGGGACGCCTTTGATACCCAGAGCAGATTGCAGAATGGGCAGAAGTTTGAGCAACAGATCTTCCTCCTTTTGTCTTCGGACCGTCTCTCTACCTGAGCGGGTAGCATCGATCATGGCATTCACTGCCTGTGCGGTGATACTTGCCCAAAAGCCGAGCAGCAGAGCAGAATGGTATTTTGCCTGGGCAACACTGAGCACGTGTTGACTGAATGCTGTAAAGAAGGCCGAGACATTGCTTGCAGCCATGACGATGGCATGTCGGGGCGGGTTCTGGGCTTGCTGTGTGACATATGGATGGAGAAATCGGAAGGTCGGCGGCAGCTGGTGTGGTAGAATGGAGAGCAATGCTGTAAAGATGGGCGAGGAATGGTATGGCAGAAAAGCGAAGAGGACCGCTTCGGTGTTGTATTCCTGCACTCTGAACCTCCGTACAAGCCACTCGGCCGCTTTCATTGCTGGCTTCAAGAGCAGCCTGCCTCCCAGCAGCGCCAAGAATCGCTCGATCACTTTGTCCAGCTCAGCGTTTTCTTTGGCGGTCATGCTTGTGCGATCCTCGCTTTTGCTCTGTTCGCTGAACAAACTTCGGGAAAACGGGATGAATCGTGCGTCGAGCTGGCACAGCTCTTCGAAGCCCTCCAGACATAGTTGGTGTATGGTATCGAAGGTCTGCGTCGAAGCGTCTCGCGGGTCGAAGAGGAGCGATTTCGCATGGCGAGCCTTCTGCGCCTTGAGATCGAGTTGATGTGTGCTGTTGGCGGCGATGGCAGCCAACTGCTGCTGAAGAGCAGTCGCCATGACGCCCTCATATGCGCCTCACTTGCACCTTGTCCGTAAGGCGGCGCTGTCCCAGTGAGCAGCAGCGCGGTGTTCAACAGCTTGGATAATTCATCAGTCCCACGCCAAGCTTCCTGGAACTTTTCGCGTCTCACGAATTCTGGCACCACACTCAGCACGTAAAGTCGCGGGACACTCGGGCCACATTCTCCTCCGCTCCGCCACAATAACATCCGCTGCCTCGCGTCTTCCTGTGGGGGTCAGGCAGGTACTTATCAGCAGAAAGTCGCAACGGGTACAAGACTGACTTGGCGGCCAGGTAAGATGGTATCTGTTCATAATGACTTCCATCCCGAAATTCACAAGCTTCAAGGCCAAGCCAAAATCTGCCGCGTCTGAACGCAACGATGTCGAGCGCAATGGGAATGCAGATATCTCAAGCGACAGACAGCGCTCAAATTCAGGCAGGCTGGAGGAAGTTGATGACCGCCCCGACTTGAGCTGTTCGCCTTCCGACCAGGGATCTGGTGCCAAGCGACGCCACCGGAGTCCAAGAGCAGACAACGTGTACGGCCCAAGGAGACGCGAAGGCCGTGACTCTGACCGCAGGAAGGACGGCAGTGAGCGTCCCCATAGAAATAGACATTCCCGCCGGGATCGGCGCGAGCATGATCGTCGCCATGACAAGAATCACACGCCAGAGGAGTGCGAGGAGTCCGACCTGTTCCTGATCGACCGTAGAGGTGACGCCAAGAATGTTGAGTACGGCAGTCTCCATCGCTATAGCATTCCACAGCACAGACGGGTAGGCTTCGGCTTTGTGGTAGGACTGCCTGTTGCCAAGATTGATCGCGAAGCCAGCACCGACAAGGAAACTGTGTTCATTGATGTGAATCGGAGCTCGGAAAAGCAGCCACGCGCCCTCACTTCCACGGCTGCTAAAGCACAAGATGCGAAGCTCCGTCTTGTCGTTCCAGCGGGAGTGAACGCCGATGGTGAGAAGGATCGTGATTTCATCTGCTTGACGGCACCTCGCAAGAGGAAACGGGATGCCGACGTGGAGGAAGGCACGGCATCCGATGCAGCACGCGATGAGGAAGACGACCTCCGCGTTCGTCAGCAGACGTCCGTCTTGTCGAAGCAGGCCAAGGCCAGCGCGACTGATCTCGGTGCCTGGCTCGCTCTTGCTGAGCATCAAGCGAAACTTGTGCGTCCCCGTGGCTCTCGCGATGGCGCTTCTTTCTCCGCGTCGGAAAGAAGAGCGCTGGCAGATCTACGCCTGTCGATTCTCAATGAGGCATCGAAGCATATTGTCACAGGCAACGCTGGTCGCGAGGCACTGCTTCTGGCCATCATGGAAGAGGGCCGTCACATTTGGGATGCCGTCAAACTTGATGCCAAGTGGCACGAGACACTGAAAGAGTGCAGCTCAAGCATCCTGCTGTGCACCAAGTATCTTGACTTTGTCCAGCACGATTCGGTCTCTTTCCGCTACGAGACGTGCAAGGCTGCCTACATCCGCTGCCTCCATCTGCTGCGTGACTCCCAAGCTACGAGTAACGCTCAGCATCGAGAGGAGCTGGGAACTGCTGCAGTCTATATCTTCCTTCGCTTCACAACTTTCCTGAGGGATGCTGGCTTCGATGAGTTGGCAATTGCGAGCTGGCAGGCCATGTTGGAATACCACTTATTTATGCCTGCAGAACTGGTCAGAGCTACGTCGGAAGACAAAATTGCCTCTTTCGAGGAGTACTGGGACAGCGAGGTGCCTAGAATTGGCGAAGAGCATTCGTCGCTTTGGTGCGAGGCACATGAAAAACACACGTCTGCGGCTCGCGCATTGCCGACTGGCCAGACGCACATGACAGACTCCGTGACCTCTGTAAGCCATCTTGCAGACGAGGAAGCCAGATTGCTCGGCCGTCTCGTGCTCCCGGCAACCATGGACGACGACTCGCTCACCGACCCTTTCCGACATGTCATGTTCAGCGACATTCGTGAGAGCCTTGTGGATCTGAATGTATCGAAAGCATCTCTCATCAACGCATTCCTGACCTTTGCACGCCTACCCAACCTCCCATCACTCGGACACGACCTCGCACACTTGCGAGATCCTCATCTTGCTGCCGCTCCTGCTGCTCTTTTGCGAGCCCCAAAGTGTGCCCATAAGCTTCGCGCGCGGCTTGAAACGATCTCAAGTCTCTTCGAAGACGGCTTCGACCAATTTCAGGCTTTGGTGCAAGAAACCCATGATGAAGATCTGCCTCGATTTGTCGACCGCGTGCTGGAATCATTCGCACATTTGGTGGACGATGATGAGCTTCGCGGCGACGACGACCATGTATTGGAGTACCATCTTGCCTTTAAACGTCATCTCTTTCCGGACGGAGCTCCAAAGCATGCAAAACGTCTTCTAAAGGGCAAGCCGTCCAGCTTGCGGCTATACAATGCCTATGCTTTGATCGAAGCTTCTCTCGGCCGTGCCGAGAAGGCTGATACGGTATGGAAGACTGCGCTGCGTATGAGCGACAATTTCGATTCGAAAGATGACATGATCCTTCTCTGGCATAGCAGGCTTGTGGCTACTGTGCGACGCAAGGATACCAAGAAAGCATTGTGCGATCTTCTGTCCACATCCAACGACATCGCGACCGCGGAGAGTAAGGCCCAACATCTGCAGATGCGGCGGGAGCTTGAATCCGGTTTTGACCGCGCTATGCTTTCGGGTCATTTCCAGCGCGCTGCTCTATACGGTGATCTACTGGCGTGGCTCGCCTATCTTGCTGGAAACAACGGCGTTACGAAAGCCATCGCCCTCTATCGACATTACGATGTTGTCTTCACCAAGCAAGACAATGCAGTCGTCACTCGGGAGCTCATGCACCAATTCAAGGCGAGCATGATGCACTACCACCTTGACTGTCAGAAGCAATACAGACCATCGGCCTTGCGCCACGAATGCGAGTCGAGCCTGGAACTTTTCCCAAGCAACAGTATACTGCTAGATTTGCACCAGCGCCTTCAAACACAAGACCGTTTACGGACTACATTCGAAGACCAAAAGCACAGTAGCACGAAGCCAACAGTGATTGAGTGGTCCCACAGACTTAACTCAGAGATCCATCGGAATGAGACGTATGGGACCACGGGCAATGTCATACGAGCAACATTCTCCAAAGCACTTCTCCACATGGACAGCAATGTGAGGCATTCACCTGCACTGTGGCTGACGTGGTTTAATTGGGAGCTGGGAAGACTGGAGAGCGAAAGCAAGGCAAAGCAGGTCTTTTTAGATGGCTTGCGGCATTTACCCTGGTGCAAATTCTGGATTATCTTGGGCATGCAGCACCTGCGCGACAGCTGCAGTGATCGTGAGCTGAGGCAGTGGCATGGGGTGATGATCGAGAGAGGGCTGAGAGCAAGAATTGAGCTGGAATGAATGCATCTATCGCGATGATCACTGGGACCACATCACACAACTATACTCTGCAAAGGGTTGACCACAACACGGATAAAAGCATGTTGAAGGAGTCCAGAAATAAGAGCATCAGCCTGATCTTTGTCTTCGGAGAGTCCAAATGCCGGCATGCCTTCGATACATGCCTGGACGGCTGTGGCATACTTCCCGCCCATGGATTGCTCAACGAGGGCCATTACGCCTTGCTCTGGATCTAAAATCTTGTCCCGAGTGCTCTGGGGTCTATGGCTCCCCTTGGTCTGAGGATGTCCATCCTTCTTCGACAGTTCGGACAAGACTTGGCTGATGGGCTTCCAGCAAGCCAGCTCGATGAGTATGATCCCGATAGAGTATATATCATATGTCTTTCGGAATCTATTGCCGCGAGAGTAGTCGGGATGAATATAGAATGCGGATTTGAGATCGGTCTCTCCTGGTCCCGTCGTCACGGTGTCCATATCAATAACTCTGGAATACTCGAATCCACTGATGTACGCTGGACCGAAAGTCCTCACGCCTTTCCTGGGAAAGAACACGATTGCCTCCGGTCTTATGCCTTTGTGTAACCAATCAACGGTGTGAAGATATAGCAGCCACTGCGTCAATTGCTGCGCGATAGCTACGCGCTCTCCGAGTGCTGCTGGCTTATCCTGCAGTCGAGCTGACAACGTCGTTCCAATGGACTCATCAATCGATTCGGCCGGTGGACGGTAAACGAAGCCAAATCTGTTTCGCTTTCGATCGTCGTACAGTCCCAGGAACGGTGGCACGCAGAATTCTTTTGGCTTTTCTGGGGTCTGCAGGAGTGATCCTAGACGTTGCGCGCGACTCAAGATTGTTGCATGTGGTCTGGTCTCGGTTCTACCTTCACCAAGGTAGTGCGGCTCTGTCGTATATGGTTTCCACTCGATCCATGCCGGCTGACCTTCAACTTTTGCACTTTGGCGAAGCGTTGAATCAGTGACGTCGTCGAGCACTATTGAAGCGATGACGGTCTTCGTAAGCTCTGTATCTGCGAGAGGGCCAGAAGGTGTCTTCTTCACTCGTATGGAGAAGCCTGTGACTTGCGAGATCAACATTTTGAAGGCTTTCTCCGAGCAGATCAGGTCTCCGCCAGCAACTTCTTCTTCTTCTTCCAAGCTACTTCGATTTACCAGAGTAGATCCGCCCCAAGAAGCAACGGAACCGTTGAAGATGCTTTGCGCTGAACCCTGGGCCGCCATATGGTGTAGGGTCAACAGCTCGTTCACATTCTTGCTCATTGCCGTCATGCCTAGGAGGATCTCTTGGTTTTGTCGAATCAATTGAGCCATATAATCTGGTGAAAGTGTTTGGAGCAAGCCATCGATCAAGACGTGAACTCGGTCGACATTCCTGGTGAACTCCGATTTGTCCTTCAGGGCCCAAACCAATCGTTTGGGTTGTTTGACTATCCTTCCTGCGCCTCGCGTCCAGGCCATGATGTGGTTCAAACCCTTCTTGTGTCTTATCGTACTGCACCCGAGTCTCTTCATGCTTCAGTCCACTCTTGGATGCCCATTCGTCCAACCGAGAATACTCATAGCGGAGTCGAATCTTCAGTCCGACACATTCTTCATCTGCATTGGAAGCAGACTCGAAATATGCGAAACCTAGACCATTAGCGACTGCCCAAGCACTGTTCGGCGGCTCACAGCTTACCTTTCACGACGCTCTCAAATACTTGCATAGAGAGTTGAGCTCCTCCGAGAGCAAGTCCTAGAACGGTAGTCCCAACTGTGATTGGATCCATCGTAACAATGCTGTTGAGAATTGGCCCTATCTACGCGTGTTTGGTTTCCCCGTGCCCGGAGTTCGATGTGGGTGCAGAATTGCGTCGATGCCAATGTACATGGATGGCTCATGCTGGAGGTATACTTGACCTGCGGACTTCGGCCCCGACACTGCCACAATTGCTGCTGCGCTGCGCTTCTCAGCCTTTCCAGAAGGCAAATTAATTTCTGCCTTCTTCTTACGAAAGGTCGCCCTTTCGCTTAACTTCCCTGCATGCATGCGTGGTGTGGCTCAATGGCGCATGCAGGCCCCCACACCGGCCTCTCGAGCACGCCAGTAATGTTTGGAGCGCCAATGTCAGAGATGGCACCCATATATGCACAGCCGCCGAGGGTGGTCACGGCCGCACTCACGATGGAGGTGTCGGTGGGGAAGGGAAAAAAGCTTGCTGCCAGCCGTCCTCCATGTTCTCATCCAAGCTCCCGCGGCTTGGGTACTCGTCGTCCCAATAAGCTGCCCTGAGCCTACCTACCTGACCTTTGAAGCTCCAGAATTTTGTCGCATCCATTCGCATCCCATCGAGACGACCCTTTTCGTTTTGCACGCTGGACAGGCCCGGGCATCGCAGTGTTCCAACGGTCCGCTGGTGCGGTGCGAATGAGCGGCCACAATGTTGACGTTAATCCTCCGCCGGCACTCCTGGTCATTCAAAAGAACATGGCCAATTCAGCGACCAGGATACCAACGAATAGGCGAAGTACAGATCTCTCAAACACAAGACGAAACGATATACCTGGCCCAGCACATAGAAGAAGTAGCGGTTCAAGATCTTCCATCCCACACTCTCCGACGGCGCTTTCGAATACACCATTGCCTGTACGCGCTCCGACATCATCGACACAATTCTCGGATGCCCCAAATTCTTCGAGTGGTCCACGGATAGCTGTGAGATCTTCGACACTCTCACTACCACAGTATCGTGATCGTCGGCTGAGGATCTTTTGCCTCCGGGAGCACACGGATGAGGATCCTGAGTTCTTGGTCGATGTTCTGAAGCATGTTTCGAACATCTCTGGTGACAAACAGCTACCGCGAAAAGGTGGCCGATCTATCGTCTTATGCGTCCATGTTCTCAACGAGAAGGGCGAAGAAGACCGGGTCGCTGCTAAGGTCCTCGAAGTCAATAATTCTCTCACCGAGAGCCTTGCGTTAGCAGAGTGGCATATCTTACAAAAGTTTAACCATAAGCATATCATTGCCACAGCAGGCGCTTGCAAGATGATCTCTTACGATAATGATGACGAGGATGTGCCTAGAGTCAACATCGGCATACTTCTATACCCATACGCTCCTTATACCTTGAAAGACCGAATCGAAAAGATCGCGAGAGCAGAGGGCGCCAGGCGTGTTGGCATGTCAAAATTGATGCTCAAGTGGTTTGCTTGTTTATGTCATGCCGTCGTCTATCTGCACTCCGAAGGATCGAAACACAGAGACATCAAGCCAGAGAACATCCTCGTCGACAATGTAAACACCGTGATCCTGGCAGACTTCGATCGCGCAGGCGCGCACTATGAGGATCCTAGGATGCTAGAGTCCCAGGGGCCGACACCTCGGACCGACCGATATGCTCCCGCATGTGTGTTCGACGAGACAAGCCCTCGTGGCCCGGAGCGTGACATTAATTGCCTAGGGTTCTGCTTTCTTGAGATGGCAACTGTCATACTGGGCGAGACGGAGACGAAGTTAGTCCAGCACTTGCATGCCAAAGCAAAAACAAAGAGTCCCGGCATTCCTCCCTATCGAGAGGCGCTGGCAGATGGAAGCGTTGAATCATGGCTGGCACATCTTAAGAAGACTTCTCACTCACGGCCCGAACTTGTTCCGATCGACTCGTTCAAGCGAGTTACGGTCGAGGAGTTCCTGGGTCTGATCCTTAGCATGATGAGAGCGGATTCGTCACAAAGTCATATGCTTCGACCTGCTTGGGAGATTCTCAGGCAGCTTTGTGACCCGTGCGAACATTGTGGTCCAACCCTACCGCAGCAGGTATCCTCGGAAAGCCAGCAGCAACTGGCTGCCGATCGCCCGTCGAACAAAGTCCCTCGTCGTCAGTCAAACGGGGCTTTGGCTCCCCCGTCATCTACCACTCACAGTCCACTGTCCGGGCCTTCCCGGTTCCATGCTGATGGAACCGCGATGGAAAGGAGAAGTACTGAAGATGTCTCTTCAAACAAGGAGGTATGTTACGACACCGATAGAGACGATGCATCTCGCTGACTCCAGACAGAATCAAGCGCCTACTTCAATTTTGAGCGAAGAAACATCAGATCGGCTTCCTAGTAAAAGTGAAGAGTCAGATGACGAGGTCACTTCCACACCAAAATTGACCGTAACCAGGACTGTGACTGGCAATGGAACCATCACAGTGCCTCTACAGTATCATCGTAACGTCGTCGATGACACCGATGCTTCCGAGAGGCCGTTGAAACGACGTTGCCCTGCGGAAACACTGGACAGGAATCGAGTTCCATCGCAACTGGACAAGATAAATGAGGTTTCAGTCGGCCCGCGTGCGAAAGCATCAACGTCTGACTCGGAAATGCTCCGTACAAGTCCAGCTCCACAGAATTCACATCCACCAAGCGTCGACAGCCAAGAAAACCCGGTGACTGACGACCGGGCGCTCACTCCATCGGGCCGCAAGAGATCCTTTCGAAACTTTGTGGATCAAATCAATGGTTCTCTCGTATGCTTATGGGGCTGCGATCCTCGCAAGAGAGCAGCATTGAAATTGAAGTCTCGAGTCAAGCAACGTAAGTTTTCATCTCTCTCTCTCTCTCTCTCCAAGCATTCGAACTGACCCCCCCACTGATACACATCACAGCCTCTGTTTTGACCGGAAATCTTTATCACATCGACTCCCGAAGCGGTAGCAGACTCAAGGTCGAAGAACTCGGCCTTGTCGTGACCGTCAGGGAGATCTTACCTTTGCATGCCAATATTCTGCGAAAATGCGGGGTTTTGAAAGCGATTTTCGTGCATCAACCGTCACTGGAGACGACAGTACAATATGTCAGATGAATCCAGCGCATCATGATTTGTGCACGTGGTGGCGAAGAATGGATTTGTAATGTTTATATGTAAGATAGCTATGAAGCCGACTCGGAACATCAATCACCTCAAGCTTCCGCGGCATCAGTAAGTCCTCTGCGTCGATCCGACCATCATTGCATCAATACCGCTCCATTTCATTTGCTCTGCGAACTCTCTCGTATCTTGGGCCGTCTCGAGGGGGAACAGAGGTTCTACGCTAGCGCTCAAGCCCGCGTAGGTTTCCCATCTCGAAGTCCGACATCTCTCATGACGAATATCCACCAGCAATATAGCCCATTTCCGGAGAGTCGACCGGATGGGCATGCCTTCCTGGCACAACGACTCGGCTTGTTCTTCGATCGACCTCAAAGATTTGCCACTCGTCGCGCAAGGTATGCGATCGTAATCGAAGGAGTCGATGCGCTGCCATTCGCGAAGCATTCTGTCGTCCTCTTCCGAGAAGGATCGCGCGGTGCGTCCGCCAATGCTGAGAAGGGCTTTCACCGTCGAGCCGTCTTGACGATGCCGGGTATTGATCTCGCGATATACATCCTCGGCAGGATTGGATCTGTACAGGCCGCCGTCTCTGAAGGAGCCATGTTTCACGCTATCGAGCTCGACTTTCTTGAACAGCTTCGGTGCTGCTGATGTCGCTCGACATGCGTCGATCACAAGTATGTTATCGGTGTCGATATATTGGCTAACTGCTTGCCGCCGTTGCCTCTCAACCGCGGAAGGCTCAAAGGAAGTGATGGACCAGGATTGCATGATGCCCTTTCTGGGCTTGTATGCCACATATACTATTGATTGACACTTCCCCTCGTCAGCTCTCATTCGATGGGCGTCAGGCGCATCTAAAGCTCGCCTCAGTGAATCCATCATTGCCAATGAGTTTTGCGACTTGGGAGACTTGGTGGGAATCTGTGGCATTGATCTGAATACACGAGATAGGCCGGGAGAGATTTCGCTCCAAATTTCCGTGTTGACATCGATGGTGTCATGGATGCTGTATCGCATTGTACCAAGCATGACAGCTGCGATTCCTCCGGTGCCACTGCCGCAAATGTAGTCGAAATAGTGACATGGTCGAAAATGGTCGTAAGAAGGCCGTCCTTTTCTTGATCGCGATGTATCCTCGTCGGCGACTTGATACCGCGGTGAACTGTAGCTATCACTGATCCATGGATCGCGAAGTATCTCTTGGTCCTCAATCTCCTCCAGGAGGACCCGCAAAACTATGAGAATCGCAAATCCACGCAGGTCGGAGCCGTCTAAGCTGAGCACTATTTGGCCTTGCCAAGGGTCATCTCTAATTGGAGGAGATGTCGGCCTTGCACTCGGATTGTCATTGTTAGACCAAGTACTCCTCTTCGGAATTGAGCCTGCATTCAGGCCCTGTGGTCGTGGAGCAGGGCCAGATCGAGCGGCCGTTTCGTAGAATGCTTGGAATGTGCAGACGAAGGCCTTTAGCTTCTTCGTCCCCTCTCTGAAAGTCATATCTTCCTCTAGTCTCCTCGGAATGCGTTTCCTCATCCCATGGTTCCTTCCGAAGTGCTCGTGGGCCGTTTTTCTGAGCCTTTTCACAACCATGCTACAACTTTGTACGGTCTCTCGAAGTCGTGACTCGCCAATGCATTGTATTGCTTGCGCGTAATTGATCCGTTCGAATTTTTCCAGCACCGCTTGAAGACTCCAGAGGTCTTTCGCAACGTCTGTAGTGTCTCCATTCTGATCTTTCCATAATGAATGCGTAGTCACGACGATTGCGATGAGGCTCGACAGCCCGGGGTTTTCGATGCCCGCTGACATTGACGTGGACGGCTACGAGGAATGTTCAGACGACGATTGCAATGGATCCACGTAAGAAAGGGTGGTAAGGAGCAGAAGAAGCGCCGAAACAGTGGACTAGGAAGACGACCCGAAAGGCTGCAGATTGCTGTGCCGCCGGGGCGCTCGTGAGCATCACACAGCCTCCTGAGTGGGTGTCCTCATCGACGCAAGCATCCTCACTGGAGCTCTCCTCAGAGCTCTCTTGCGGCTTTTCGAAGCAAGTCCTGAGTTGATGACGGCTTATCGAGCTTCCAGCTGCGGACAGTGGCTGGGGGTAGCATTGTAAAACACTTAGTGACAGGTCCAGACACAGGTCACTGCAGACGAAGGTGGTCAAGCAAGAAAGTGATCTCGCTCGATGCCTTGGAGGCTGATGGATGCCAAGCGAGAGGCCGCTTCGTGGGTATGGGTATGGGTATGCACAAGATGCACAAGATTGTGGCTTGCATGAAGCCGCCAATCCCATGGCAGTGTGAGGCACACATGCATTTGATGCAGTCACCCCGCTGCATCCTGCTGACCAGAGATGTGGTGACAGTAACCCTGGCGGCCTGTATGGTCGGTCAGTCGACCAGAATGCCATGCATATTCCTCCCTTCCGTTCTGGCCCCCAATCTTGCTCGGCTGTGTGCTGATGGCGCACCTATCGATTTCAGGTATCATGTTCTACAACGGGCATAGCAGCCAGCCTTGTATCATGAGTCGTTTCGCAGGCAGGCCTCGTCAGCCGATGACTGCCAACAACAAGGCTGTCCGTTGCAAATCTCAGACCAGCACTCATCAGAGCCTGATCCACTCGCATGCATTCGAAATAGCGGCTTCGTATGGTAACACGTTCTGTTATCCTGGCAAGTCGTTACGTTAGCAACGACGATGCACCGCTGCTGGCCTGGTTTTGTTGTTTTGGGACAAATTTGGGCTGCTCCTTAAGTAGCCTTTCGGAGGGCATGTCTCAAAGTTGCCGCATTTGCCGTTAGCGAGCTAGTAGGTAGGAAGACACGTCACTTTAAGGAATTTTTTAGTCGGATAGGCACGAGTCGGTTTTGTTCTTTAGTAGAGTTATAGAATTTACTCTTTATTTGTCCTTAGGTCTAAAAATCCTAGAAATAAATCTAGCTCGTAGCGCTATCTTCTCTCTAGAATATAGTAAGCACTCTTTTATAATCTAGTCGATATATATTAGATATATATTCTTATGCCTCTATTAGACTTACTAGTATATTAAACTATTTCGAAAGTTTTAAGCTATTTCCTTAAGAGATTCTTAAGATATCGTCGTCGTCGCGATTTACGATTCTCGAGCGATTTCTATCTAAGATACTAAAATTTCTTAGTAAAGAACTTCGAGATAACGACGATAATATCTCGAGAAACTCTAAAGGAAATAGTCTTAAACTTTATAGGATTGTTTATTTATATATCTTCTCTATATATATAAAGTATTAGGCTTATATCTATAAGAATACGAAAGCTGTAAGGGTTAGTAGCTAAGCAGTGAGAATGTGCACGAAACTTTGAACTAAACTAAAGGGAGCACTAAATTAATATAGCTGCTATTTATATAAGACGAACTACGAAGAAAGGAAGAAGGGTGCCTTAGAGGGAGAGCCCCTTCCTTAGTATTCCGCCCTGCGGCCGTCTAGCGCGTCCGACGCGTAAGCGTAAGCACGTATGTCCTACTTATCCGCTGTCTCGTAGCGCCTTTGTCTCCTAGCTAACTAGCGTAGCGCGCGTATACGAACTCGTTTAACCGCTCTTAAGTAAATATATTTCTCCTAGCTCTTCCCTACCTTCCAGTTCCTTCCTACTACTCGGATCTGTCCTACGACTCTGTATATCTCGCTTACTATCGTCCGTATATACGTACGCGTAGTTTAGTATAGTCCCGTCGTTCGTATGTTAATATATAACGTGTTGTTCTACTATATACGGCCTCCGCGGGAGTCCCTAAGATGTTACGTTATACGGCTAAGTAGGCGACCTAGGCGTACTAGGCGTACTAGGCGTATTAGGCGTACTAGGCGTACTAGGCGTACTAGGCATACTAGGCGTACTAGGCGACCTAGGCTAACTAGGCGACCTACTTCGCTAGGGGCCCCTACTGCTAAGGCAACTTAAATCCGATATTACTTTATAGTATAGCGGCTAGCTTATAGGACTTGTCGGTGCTTTCTAGGCAGCTACTATAATAGTAGCCCCCCCCTCGTTCTACGCGGAGTTCCTACGACGCTAAAGGAGGTCCGTATATAATAGATGCTAGTATTCTTGTCCTAGTTCGGGTCGGAGACCTTAATCTAAATTCTATTCGTACGCTTCTCGGAGAAAATGTTCCGGAATAGCTCCTTCTATTATCGTATAGTCGGTATAGTCTCGTAGGAATTCCTCGATTACTTCGCGGGCGAAGATAATATAGCGTAGAGGTTCCTAGGTCGTGTCCTCGTCTAAGTACCCCTCCTATTGTACCTCTCCCTACGGCCCGGGAGGGTTAAGATTTCCGAAATTTGTGTTACTAAAGCTCTATCCGATAATCGCCCGTACTGTACCTAAGGCAGATTCCGGCTCGTCTTCGGCCTAATCGGTAGCCTCGGTAGCTTTTAGCATCGGCGGGATGTCTTCGGGGTCCGCGATTTCTCCGGCGGTTCTTAGGTTAATAACGTGTTTAACCGGGTAAATGTTGAGATTTTCTAGGAGATCCAGTTCGTATACGTATATACCGATTTTCTTTATAATTCGGAAGGGTCCTAGATTTTTCTAGTCGAGCTTTTTCGAAGGTCGGTTAGTTCTAATATATCGTAAGTCGAGGTAGACGTAATCTCCGACCTAGTAATCTAGCGCGGCGCGTCTGCGCTAATTAGCGTAGTGCTCGTATACTTCTTAGATATACCTTATCTCGTCCTAGAGCTCTTAGTAGGTCTAGGCTATTTAAAGAGCGAAGGTATCGGCGTCTCTTTCCGGATCGTTTGCCGGGGGCTCTAGTTCGATCTCTATCGGTTTTATACCGGTTCGAGGGTGAAATCTAGTAGAGGCGTAGAACGGCGTAGTCTAAGTTATAGCCGACTCCTAATTATTAATAGCAAATTTAATAGAAGGCGTCAATCTTAGCTAGTCGTTTTAGTAGTAATTGCAGAAGCACCTAATAATTTGCTCGATCTACGCGTTAGCGCGTTCGGTTTGCCCGTCGGTCTACGGGTAGTAAGCCGTTAAAAGGCGCGCTTAAATTTTCAATCGTTCGTAGAGGCGCTTCTAGAAACGGGTAACGAAATTCGGGCCGCGATTAGATACAATTGATTTAGGTAGGCCTATATCTTTCTATACGTCCCGGTAGAAGACCTAAGCCGTATTCTTTGCGGTTAGGCTACGGGCATTTAATACCTTCTTGCGTTTCGTAAGGCGGTAAACTACGACTAGTATGTTTTGAAACTAGAGGCCGTTAAAGTCGGATCCTTTCGGTAGGCCTATAATAAAATCTATTGAAATGTGTTGCTATAGTCGTAGAGGGACTTTAAGAGGTTTTAGCAGCCCTTGCGGCTTACGCGTATCTGCTTTCGCTCTACGGCATACTACGCAGTTCTTAACGAATCGGTCGACATCCCGGTATAGATTAGGCTAGTAGTACTACTTCTAGAGCTAAGACAACATCTTAGCTCGACCGGGATATGCTATTCCGAGAGGGTTGTAAGCGGAACGCATAATCTAGTCGCGTAAATCTTCGAAATCCGGGACGTAGAGGGCATTTCTAAATATTGTACAGAGTGCTCGCGGTAGAGTTCTACGGAGCTCGTACTCTAAGAGAGAAACATTCTCGTATAACCGCTCCTCGTTCTATAAAGCTTAAATTAGACCTTTAGTAAAAGCGTCTTCGGCGTATACTATCGTAAGCTGCTGTTCGAGCTAGGTAGGTTCGAGGAGGTCCTATACTTCCTCTTCGCTTTCCTAGTCGCTATCTAAGCTTTCTAAACTTGTATCGTCGTCGTCCGAGTTATCGTCGTCTCGGAGAAAGGCGGGAGCGGCTATTAGTACAAAGGATGCTACGAGAGGCTCTAGGCCGGTAAAGTCGTCTCCGAGGAGCTCGTATAGTTCCTAGCTAAGGTTGTACTCCTTAAGGATAGACTGTTCTTTACGCTACGGACCTCGATCTAAAGGCGAGTCTCTATTACGCCTCGTAAGTGCGTCGGCCTATAAGTTTGCTTTACCGGGCGTATACTAAATAACGAAGTTAAACCGGGAAAGAAACTTACTCTAGCGTACCTGCCTACGGCTAAGGATTTTGCTCTTAAGAAAGTAGATAAGGTTCTTGTAATCCGAGCTAACCTAGATCGGTAACTTAGAACCTTCGAGTTCCGGACGCTATTCTTCGAAAGCCTTAACGATTACGAGGAGCTCCTTATCGTAGATATCGTAATTACATTCCGCGGAGGACATTTTCTTAGAGAGGTAGGCTACGGGCAGCTACGCATCTTCTGGGGTCGTTCGTTAAAGGAGAACGGCGCTAGTTATACCGTCGGAAGCATCGGTTTCTAGGCGCGTTTCTTTATCGAAGTCGAAGTACTATAGGATCGGTACGGTCGTAAAACTTTACCGTAACTAGTCGAAGGCTTCTTAACAGGCTAGTAACTATTCAAATTTGACGTCTTTCCGCGTAAGTGCCGTAAGTAGACGGACGATTCCGCTAAAATTCTGTATAAATCTCCGGTAGAAGTTAGTAAAACCGAGGAAGCCCTAGACTTCTTTTACGTTTCGTAGCACTCCCTAGTTTAGAACGGCTTCGATCTTGCCGGGATCTATTCGAATACCTTCTAAAGAGACAATAAGGCCGAGGAATTTCACCTCTTACTTATAGAATTCGCACTTATCGATGTCGATATACAGTCTAGCTTCTACGAGTTTCTTAAGTACCTTTTCGATATATTCGTAGTATTCCGCTTTCGTTTTGCTATAAATTAGGATGTCGTCTATATACGCCGAGACGAAGGCGTCTAGGAATTCTTTAAGCGTATTGTTAATGTATAATTAGAACGTACTAGGTCCGTTACAGAGCCCGAACGGTAAGACTAGGTATTCAAAAAGGCCGTAACGGGTTCGGAAGGCTATTAACTATTCGTCTCCCTTAGCAATACGGATCGCGTTAAAGACGGCGATTACGTCGAGCTTAGTAAACTAGCGAGCCTTCGAAAGGCGTTCGAGCGTTTCGTTTACGAGAGGGATTAGGTAGCGGTTCTTTTTCGTTAACGCGTTAAGGCCCCGGTAGTCTACGTAGAAACGGAGACCTCCGCCGGGTTTCCGGGCAAATATAACTAGTACGGCTACTTCGGAGGAACTAGGGCGGATAAAGCCCTTTTGTAGGTTGTCTTCGAGGTATTTTTTAAGTACGAGGAGCTTATCTCGAGACATCGAGTAGAAAGGGCCGTACGGCGGCGGCTTGCCGTCGATTAGCTCGATTTTGTAGTCGATACCTAGCCGGTACGGTAGTAGAATATCGGCGTTCTTCTTCGAAAACTAGTAGAGTCGGTGCTAATACTCCTTTAGTAGTTTCGTTCTTAGATCCGTTAGTTCTTCGTCGAACTTTCGGATAGCCTTCTCGATATCCTATATTATTATAGCGAAGATCTAAGTACGTTTGTCGCGGGCAAGACGCGAGAAGGCAGCCGCGCTAATAGCGAATACGGTACGATCTCGGGGAGTATCGGAGGTAGAACTAGATTCGTTAAAGCAGTGCTTAGCGTAATGCTTACTCGTAAAGGACAGAGATTCGGAGGCCTAGTCGATAACCGGGTTGTGCTTTTTAAGCTAAGGAAGACTAAGAATAACGGGGTAAGTCTTCGGGAGTTTCGTAAGGAAAAACATAATATATTCGGTATACGGGCCGATAGTAATAGATAAGTAGTAGATCTAGGTCACCTTACCGGCGGCCGCGGTCGTACCGTTAAACATTTCTAACTCCCGAGCGTACGTAAGGTCTTAGAACGTTAAGCCGAGCTCTCTCGTATAGTCGTAATCTATAAACGAGTAGCCGGTTGCGCCGTTATTAATAAAAGCTATAGTTTTCAATAATTTCTTTTAATTTCCTATTAACGTTTCTACTACGAAAGGCTAGTAGACTAACTCTTTCTCTATAGCCGAGCTAGAGAAAGGGAAGGTAGCAGTAAATACTCTTAGTTTTAGAACGAATAAACCTTGCAAGCGACTATATGCAAGGTTTAAGCTTTTCCCTAGCCGCTCGGGGTAGCGCTAGCCGGTAAAGGCGTATCTAGAGTCGTAATATTCGCGGCGGCGACTCGCTGTATCGTTAGCGTGTTTAGCTAGCCGACGAGAGACGGGTAGAGGCGAGTAATATATCCTTTTACTCCGTAGTAGATGTATTCTCCTACCGTACGGCGACGCTACTTCTCTTCTTCCGAAAGCTTGCTATTTACTAGGGGCGCGCGTAGACGGGCGCCGAGCGAGGCAGCGCTTAAATCTATCGGATCGGCGGTAGGCTAGGCGCCTAGCGGTATTAGGGCTATAGCCGGAGCTAGTGCTAAAGCCGGCGTCTAAGCTGTCTATAACTTCGACGGTAGCGTAGCGAACGGCGACGTAAAGCGACCGGCATTCGTACGGGCGCCTCCGCGGTTAGCGATAATTTTCGCGAAGTTTCGAGTCGTATTATCGATACGCGTAAGCAAGGCGTACAGTTCGGTAATGTTTAGATTCTCCGTATCCTTATCGCAGACTTATAGTATTATTTCTTCGCTAAGGCCGCGTACTAAGATCCATTTAGCGACGTCCGGGGGGTATTCGGCGTACCTAATCTCGTATTAGAAGGCGGTATAGTACTCTTAGTAGGTCTTGTTTGCTTACTTGAGTTTGTCTAAGTTTAGGCGTATAGTTTGCTTACGGTCGAGGTCGCCGAAACTAGCGTCGAGGGCCTTCTAGATAGTAGCCGTTATAGTTGTTTCTGCATTTTCTAAGAGGCTGCGGCAGGAATCGAGGGCGGAGCTACCGAGTAGAGAAAACATAAATCCGGTCTTTAAAGCTTTAGTCGGATAGTAGTCGGCGTTAGCGAGAAAGCGGATCTTAACCTATATCTTAAATTCTTCGTATACTTTACGCTTACCGGTAAAGCGTTTAGGGTCGCTTAGCTTCTTACTCTTGTTCGAAGTAGGTATAAATAGGTAAGAAGCGGGTGCCGCGGCGCCTAGGCGAGCAGAGGCGAGCTACGACTAGAGGCGGCCTACCTTATCTTCTTTTTCCGCGATAGAAGCATTCGCGTCGCTAAGAGCCGTACTAAGGCTAGTACGGGAGACCGAGAGGAAACGAGTAGCATCTTTGTAAGCCTTAAGCAGGTTAACGAGCAGCTCCGGGTCGGTAGCGTAGGCGTAATCTAGCTGTTTGCGCGTAGCGGGGATTTCATTCTATACTAAGCTTAAAAAATCGGGTACGTCGTTAGGTCTTGTATTTTAAATCTATTCGTTAGGCGTGTCTATCTTAATAGAGGCGTTTTTTGAGGCAGTTCGTAATATAAGGGTTAGTAGCTAAGCAGTAAGAATATATACGAAACTTTAAACTAAACTAAAGGGAGCACTGAATTAATATAGCTACTATCTGTATAAGACGAACTACGAAGAAAGGAAGAAGGGTGCCTTAGAGGGAGAGCCCCTTCCTTAGTATTCCGCCCTACGGCCGTCTAGCGCGTCCGACGCGTGAGCGCAAGTACGTATATCCTACTTGTCCGCTGTCTCGTAGCGCCTTTGTCTCCTAGCTAACTAGCGTAGCGCGCGTATACGAACTCGTTTAACCGCTCTTAAGCAAATATGTTTCTCCTAGCTCTTCCCTACCTTCCGGTTCCTTCCTACTACTCGGATCTGTCCTACGACTCTATATATCTCGCTTACTATCGTCCGTATATACGTACGCGTAGTTTAGTATAGTCTCGTCGTTTGTATATTAATATATAACGTATTGTTCTACTATATACGGCCTCCGCGGGAGTCCCTAAGATGTTACGTTATGCGGCTAAGTAGGCGACCTAGGCGTACTAGGCGTACTAGGCGTATTAGGCGTACTAGGCGTACTAGGCGTACTAGGCGTACTAGGCGTACTAGGCGACTTAGGCTAACTAGGCGACCTACTTCGCTAGGGGCCCCTACTACTAAGGCAACTCAAATCCGACATTACTTTATAGTATAGCGGCTAGCTTATAGGACTTGTCGGTGCTTTCTAGGCAGCTACTATAACAAAAGCTATAGTTTTATCCTTTGTAAAGGGATAGCGTTAGGGGCTCGAATTTATTATTTATTCCTAGGGCCCCTATACCTAAGAATAAGATACTCGGCCCGATAACCCTAAGTATAAGGTAGCTATACCCTAGTTACGAGAGAAGCTCGCCTTATACTAATAAAGGTACTAGACGAATTTAGCTATATCTTTAATACTACTCTAAATACTACTCTAGGGGTAGGCCTAGGATTCTTAAGTCTTAGCTTCCTATTCGAGTACCGTTCGCTACCGCTCTAGGCTTTTAATACGTTAAAATACTTAGTATAATCTAAGTATAACCTAGTCTTTTAATATAACGCGTTATAGAGAGACTATTAGTAGAGCCTATACGCTCTAGTATAGTAACGGTATAAGCTATATAAGATTTCTACTACGCTTAACTATATTCGGATCTAGAGCGGCATTGGGGGGGGGGGGGGGGGGGGGTAGTAGCGAAATCCGTCTGCTATAGTAGCTAATTGCGCCGAGTTGTTACTACGTGATTCCCCGGATTTCAGAAAGCTGAAGCTCTGATTGGCTGCATTCTATACGAGCTGGCGGGACGGACAAACTCGGCCTCCGAGAAAGATAGCCCAAGGCAAACTGCTACGACGAAGAACCGCGACGACGACGAAGATAGAACCGCGACCTCGACCTCGACCCGCAACGACGAGCGACCTGCAACGACTAGCGACTTGCAACGACTAGCGACCTGCAACGACCAGCGACCTCGACTAGCGACCTAGTAACGACTAGCGACCTGCAGCGACCAGCGACCTCGACCATCGACCTACAACGACTAACGACCTACAACGACTAAGAGTGCCTCGCTACTACGGCTACGTATAAGGGTATATAAGGCGGAAGCTTCGCTCGCAATTCGTAGGCACGCGGAGCCGCCTACAAGCACATATTAACCGGAAACCACAACCCGACGAAAATAAGAGGACACGAATCCTCATACCGACAACTTATGCTGGAAGATCTGCCTCCGGAACTGCTTGGAAATATCCTCGAGTTCATCGATACTCCGCCCTTCGTCCAAGAGCTTCCCCCATGTATCGACGCCCAGAAACGGCTCAGGGAGCTTTGCAGAACATCACTGGTCAGCAAGGCATTCTGTGAAGCAACCCAGCCATGCCTGTACCGTGTCATCGATATCACTCCATTGAGGAAGCCAAACATTCGAAAGTTCTTGCGAACACTGTGGGGAAATCCTGCCCTCGCACGTTTCTTTCAGGATCTTAGCCTCGGCGAACATGTAATGCGGGCAAAGGAAGCACCCTCTCAGGAAGAACTGCGGTCGCACGCTGCCTTATTGAACACCATCGGGAATCAAGATCTCGAAGTTGAGATCATGGAGAGTCTCATGCAGGGCTGTCCCACTGCCCAGAATGCTTTGATTCTCGCCCTAGCAACTAACGTCAGGCTTCTGGATCTGACACTCGCGGACCCCATTAGACAGAATCGCGTAAAGCTTGGATACGTGCAAGGGCTCTGCACATGCTGTCCTAATATGGCACAGTGTTTAGGCAGTATTCTGGCTCGAGACTCTTGGAGCTTTGGAAATTTGAGAACACTCACACTGCGGAGCTCACCCGAGCAAATCCAATGTACGACTTACGATATTCAAAGACAGCTCTGGAGGCTACCCCTGCTGGAAGAAGTGGTATTGTCCAAATTCTGCACGTCATCCAGCACGGGGACGATTTCACTACCTAGCAAGAGCACAATTCGCAAAATTGTGTTGGACCATTGTACGGTTGACAGTGGCAGCATAGCTTACATGATCCAAGCATGTAAGGCGTTGACGGAGTTCGAAGTCCTGTGTCCGAGCGGGAGGATCGATGCTGAAGAATTTCTAACAGCATTGAAGGAACATTCGGCGCACTTGGAAAGCCTGACGATCAAGACTCTTTGGAAGAACCGGCCTCTATTCCAAGACAACAAGCCCATCGGTAGCCTTAGTGCCTTCAAATCCATGCATTTTCTGGAGCTAGACTCCGACATGCTGACAGGCACACACCGATGGGGCTCCGACTCGCTGAGCTTACCTGACCTGCCGCCGTCTATAAAATGTCTCAAAGTCAAAATACGCAACAACCTTTCGGAGCTGGTCCCCGTTTTACGCTCGCTGCAACCGAAACTGTCTCCGTCACTCGACCTCTTGAAGGTCACTTTCCCATGCGACAGCCTTCTCAATCGTGAATACCTTGACGTCATTCAAGAAGAAGACATGTGGGAGAAGCCTGAGGCGGCTGAAGTGAGACTAGATAGGGGCTGGAGCATCACCTTAAGCCACACTTCCGGGGGATCCGGTTTGTGCTTCAGCTGTTGGAAGGATAAGAAGAGCGTAAAAGACAAGATCTGGCCACTCGCTGAGCAGATTATGAATGTTGGGGTTAGAAAATTGCTGGAAGAGTATTACGCTAACTGTGTCTTTGATGAGAATTTTCGATTGGATGTCTTTAAGGAGAGTCTCTGGAGCCTTCCACCAACTGCTGAAATATAATCATGCGCGACTCTAGACTCTGCTTGAGAACAGTTTTCATAGTCTTCTAATCGTTGTCTCGCAGCTTGTTGGACCAAGTATCGAGAGAATCAGCAGAAGCTAGAACGCCGTGCAACGACCCTTACCAATGCCAAAACTCCCCCCCCCCCCAATCTCCCCCCTCTTCCTCATGCCTCACACATACTCCTCCGAACACTCCACCGCAATCGTATCCGTCGCCACACATTCAATCCCCCCCCCCTCCCCCCAAACCCATTCTTCCTCGCCTCCCACCACGTCGATTCCAACACTCCCGGATTACAATCCCGACTAGCGGCAATTTTCCATTCCAAAGGTCCAAGAAGTCCGGATTCCCCATGGCAGAAGGCGCCGTCGCACAAAAATCCGAGAAACTTTTTTTTGAAATTCTCCCAGAGCCCACCACAGATTCCTGGGACGTTTGTGGCTGTTGAACATGGATGTGGTTGATGTTGAAGCCGTCGCGGCAGACTGTGCATTTTGTTGTGGCTTCGGTGAGCACGATGGGGGTAGGTAAGGGCTAGATATTGCATTGTAGTGTGATTTCAAAGATGATTGGGGTTGAGAGGGAGATGGTGGTTGGGGGTTTGCTCGATGAAGGCTTTTTTGCATGATGAAGTTATACTGGGCTGATTGTCTTCGATCACATATCTGATACGTATAGTATACAACACCAACCATTCCGGCCCTGTACTATGTCTCTCGCTGCCTCTTCTTCGAATAGTGTTGGTGTCCTCGAGTTTGGGATTCTTGAACACGCTTGTGAAGCAGGTGAAGCAACAAGTGGGCCGCATACCGGCTGAACACATTGGGGAGGGCAAAAAAAATGAAGTCTTCGCTGTGGACACTCTGTCATTTCAGTCAGGACAAGGATGTTCGCCCACGTCGAACGGAAGACATGAGTGCCGTACGACGTTTAGGAGAACAAGCCGACGCTTGGAAAGGAAAACAGTTCATGCTTTTCTCCATCTGGCATGCTATGGCCAGGACCTAACGTCTAGGTGTTGAGGCCACCATCAACACTCAGAATTGCTCCAGTCACAAAGCTCGCGTCATGAGAGAGTAAGTACATAATAGCTTTCGCAACTTCTTCCGGATCAGCAGCTCTTGCGATCGGACTTCCCCCAATGAGCTCCTTCTGTTCATTTCCTCGCTGGAGTTCCTCTCGAGCTTTTCTCAGCATTGGGGTGTCAGTAACACCAGGAGCGACAGCATTGATGCGGATTCCACGTGGTCCATACTGCTGTGCCAAAGATCTTGTTAGCCCGACGACTGCATGCTTCGATGCGATGTATGCGTGCGGCGTTCCAGGCGTAGCGCGAAGTCCAGCAATCGATGCCACATTGACAACTGAAGCTCCATGCTTCAAATGCTTGAGTTCGGATCGTAGACAGTTGGCCATACCATTGACATTGACATCAAAGACCCATTGCCACCCCTCGGCACCGTGCTCATCCTCTTCATGGAATAGAGCAGTCAGTGGTTGAACCGTGTTTATGACGCCTGCAACGTTGGCAGAAGCGTCTAAGCGCCCAAATTTGGAGACAGTCTTCTCGATCCAGTCGTCGACTTCGGTCTTTCGCCTAACATCCACTTTCTCTGCCAGGACTGTAAAACCCGAGGACAATTGTTCAAGCTCGACCTTGGCTTTTTGGATGCCTTCTTCTGTGACGTCTGCGATGCTCAGTATAGCTCCTCTCTCTGCGAGAAGTCTTCCAAGGGCCAGGCCTATTCCAGATGCTCCACCCGCAATAGTAATGACCTTTCCCTCGAGAGTATCTGGCATAGCTTGAAGTGATGTCGGATTGTGGATTTTTCTTTCCACGGCTGTTGATTTGGTTGCATAGCTTTTACGTGAGCTAAGAGCTCTAGGAAAGCTCGACATCCTTTGTGGACCTCTGACTGTCCTCGAAGAATGTAGACAAGCAGCTCTCCGCGCAAGGCGCGACGGCATTACTGTTTTGGCCAACATTGCAACCAAAGACAGAGTTCCACGGAAGCTGCTGCTCGATACGAGCGATTTCGAACAAGAAAGATGTGTTCAAGAAACCACAGAAATCAATGCTTGTGTAGAAGAGAGCTAGAGGTCTGAAGTGAGACTCAACAATTGTAGTTGCTCCTTTTCAATTGACTTCAGGGACAAGTATGCACACCCTTGACTGAACAAGCATTCGGCGCGGAGCTTTCAACCTTCCTTTAGAACAGGCACTTGCAGTATAAATGAGGGGAATCGTTCAAAATACTGGGCAGTTCAATTGAAGTGACAACCGAAGATCTCGCATGTAGCCGAGCGACACAATTTCGGAAAACAAGAACCGAAAAGCCGGTCAAGTCGGCTTTGGCTTGCTACTCATTGGTACAGGCGGTGGAGCAGCTGAATTGTCGCCAGATTGAAGAGCATTCACAGCACTCAACCCAGCTTTCTTCGGTGGAGGAGGTGGTGGTGCTTTCTTCTGCGCTGCTGCGGCGCTGAAGGCTGAAGCCGGTGCTGAACTTGTATCGTTAGATGCGCCAGTATTCATTCGTGCAAAGCGCTGTTGCAATTCGTTCAATTGTCCGCCACCTCCATTCTGATTGAATCGGCTTGCGACTCCATGAGCCATACTGGCGGCGCTTTGTACTTGCTGAGCAGAAGGTCCGCTTGTGCCATTACTGCTTGACCCGATTCCTAAGCCGGGCACCGAGACTCCAGCTTGTCCTAGCCTGTTCATAGTACTTTGATTGATGGCCGCTGGATTGTCACTGTTTTGCCTCGCAGGAAATGAAGAAGGAGAAGACCCATTTTGGTTGAATCTGCTAGCAACACTTTGCGCCATAAATGCTACATTCTGCTGAGGAGATGGAGCACTCAAAGCCTCATTGTACGTGGGCGGTGGCGGTGGAGTATACTCATCCGGGTATTCATTCTGTCTAGGCGGGAGGAATGGAGCCGGTCCACTTGGTGAAGAAGTCCTAGCCGGCGCAGCAATCGTGCCCGTGGTCTGTCTTGGTGGTGCTCTTGGAGGTAGCACTGGCGATGCTACTGTCGCTGTGCTCGCACCAGGACTGGCCGCGCCATCCGCATCCACATTTCTGCGTACAGGTGGCTTAGGCAGGTTATCTGTCCGCAGGCCGGAGGTATTCATTCGATATGGCTCTGCCTTCTTGGCTTCAATCTCTGCCTGTTCTCGTGCCTCTCTTTCTGCAGCCTCCTGCCGTCTACGCTCAGCGTAACCAGACTCTACTAATGGACCGCCCAGTCCAGCTCTTGAATTACCCGAAGCTGTAGACAGGCCAGTACCTGTTCTGCTGACTGACTGGCCATCTGGACCATAGTAGGCGGAATGCTTGGGCGGCGGGCCAAATGAGTCTGGATCTCGTAGACTCGCAAGCGGCCTAGACTGATGGTTCCTAGCTTCCTCATATGGGTCCTTCTTCTTCTTGCCTAAGCCGACATTGGCCTTCAGGTCGGACTTCCAGTTTTCCTTGGTGATAGCCCTATCTGTTGATGGGTGCCACCCGCCCTTGGCGAGACCCTTCATCTTATCCATGGTGGCCGAAGTGTCTATACACGCTTTTGTAGGTGAGCGGATATCATTTGGCAGGATCACCCGGAAGAAGTTCTCTGTGCTTACATTGAGTGCCTCACGCGATCTGCCGCGTATCCCGCCGAGACAATGAAGTCATTTTGCCAAGACAAGGCTGAACGTCCCTGTAATGTTCTCAGGCCCCTGCCTTTGTGTTCATCAAAGTCAAAGGTCGAAGAGTCAAATATCGCTCAAGGGTGTCGAGGATATCATTAGAAATGAAGATGACTTGCCCGCAACAGCTCATACGTCTTTTCGAGCCTGCCTATTGCACCAAATCGCAATCGTGAAGCAAATGCGAGAGAATCTATAGATATGTGTGCGATCCCCGGCTGTGAGACCTCGTAGATATCTGGTTCGATGCCACTCAGCATGTTTGCCTCTACAGATTAAGGAGCGGTCATGCCAACCGCTACTGGAGGTCTCCAAAGGTTACAACTTGTACCTGGAATGAATGGTGTCTACCATGCTATGGAAAGGCACTTCGCCCGAGGCTTCTAGCGGACTGTCGCAGATATGATTTGTGCCACAGACTCATCGATGACAGCCTTCCACCGTTATGGGACAGCTCCAATAGCGTACAGTCCTTTACCAGCCGGTGTTTGAGCGGGGAGAAACAGACAACAGTCAGCGCATGCTTCATCAATCACCGCCTGCGCGCTCTGAGCAATGATGGGAGCGCAGTTATAGCCACGCCTATCAGCACTCCTGTTCCCATCGGCAGATAGTAATATAGCCCTGTATCTGACCATGACCTGGTTGGATATCGCGCCGAATGCTTGGTGTCTTTGTCCCTCTGTATATCCTCTAGATCTTCTTCCGCGCAGCTAAGCTCATCGTCAGAGCCCATGTCTCTTCCATTGACTACGGGCGCCGTTCTGTGAACTCCGGCATTGCGGAGGTGGTCTCGTGTCCGGCTTTCTCGTGTAGCGAAGGTAAACGATTGCAATTGTTCGTGTAGGTCTTGCAATTCTGGGCTAACAGTTGGCATTTGGGAGGCTTGGAAAGCAGCGAGCAGTAGTGACATGACGGGAGAAGCCAAGAGGAGCAGAACACCACGCGTGGCTGATAGCAATGTAGCAATGCCAAGACTGCCAAGAGGTGGTCAAAGCTGAGTCAATCGACGGCGACTACCAAGAGTTGGCACAGCCTCTTATTAATCTCTCCCTTCGATTCGGCCAAATAACCTCTTTCTGCTTACGCACAAGTCGAGACTGAATTCGGCCATGTCGCGCGCCGGGCAGAAAAGATGCTCTATCGAAAATGTGCCTGAAGAGGTCTGCGTTTGGCTTATTGAACTTCTCTCCGCACGATAAAGGGATATCGCAGCCTGGGCAGCCCAAGTTGCGTCGCAAGCAGCGACAGACCTTCCCTGTGTTTCGAGCTCGTCCCAGTCATTTACATTGAAGGAAAAGCTTGAGCAGCAACGCTTGATGATCGCGCGAGCTTTAAGTGTTTCCGCGATGCATATCAACGAACAACCACGTCGCTGCATCATGCACAGAACGACCCGTCTTCGACGTTGAGATCGTGGCAGTATCATATCGCTGGCAGCAAACGGCAATCTCACAATCTTGACCCGCCCCATGGCGCAATTCGCGAACTCAAAATACTACATCTTCCATGTCTCATCGAACTCTTGCATCGTAATCCTTGCAGGCTTGCGACATTGACACACCTCTTCCCAGCAATTCGAGCACAAAGATCTTCAAACTACAAGACAATTTGGCAGTACACCACTCAACGTTCCCACTTCGGCATCTCTCAAGCTCCGCAGATCATCACATGCTTTGCGTGCCGCTGTCATCCTATGAGCGGCGAACGAGGATGGCGCACAGAGGCAAGCTTTATCGACTGGGGAATCATTTCGCTTCTCTCATATCTTTGACGTCGCCTTCATGGGCAAGCATCATACTGATCATGTTGGGTGAGCACGAGGGTGGAGGTGAGCGCTGTATTTCTTTGTAATGATCTCCTTTCAACTTCTTTCTCTTGAAGCGCTTCAAAGAGCAGTGAAATGGCAACTGAGGCGAGCAATAGAGGTATGGTCACTAGCATCCACTAATCTCAGCTCACATCATGCTCACGATGGAATCAGTGCCACCTCGATACGATTCTCTTCTCGGCACAACAGTGAGCCTAGGTCCGCTGGCGGAGACCTCAATATGGCAGCCTCATTACTCCAACAAACCTGATCCCGATCCAACGACGACATTGTCTGGAATGAGCCTTTTCGACCACGTTCACGAAAGGTTCCGCGGCGGCATATTATTACTAGACAACCTCTTACGATTCATCGAAGGCTCAGGTCCTTCGCACTGCAACGACTACAGGAAGGGCATCGATTCACTTCTCGGCAGTCTGGTCAACATGGCGAAATGGCTTGTCGGCTTCCTGGAGAGCGCCAAAGCAGAACAGAAAGATGCACCGTGGACGAAATCTGCCATGCGTGGATTACGAGTTGATCTCCATAAATACTCATCGAAGGTCATGAGAATAACGTCACTGCTTGGAAAGCCTCGCGCAACCAAAGCGGAGGAATACAATGTGTAGAGATCAGCTATGTGCTGTGAATCTGCCCACATTGGATTGATTGTATTATTGCAATGTATTGATGGTGTACGATGCTACTGCAAGGCAAGAGAGGAGGATTAGTGACGAGTGAAGATGACTTTTGCACTCGTGTAAGAATATGAAGGAAATGTACAACGCAGCCGTTGATGGCAATGAAAGCCGTGGCGGTTGAGAGGCTTTTTAAGACCTACTGTGTCTGTATAACATTGGGAGGAAATCTGATAAGATCTTGGCACTGAGGGATGCAATGTAGTAGTATTTTGTATCATACTGACTGGCAAACTGCCATGACGGATATCGAACTCGAGACATGAGATTTCTCTACACTACCGACTAAGGTGGATTCGACAGCGTCTGTATCTGACCCAACTCTCGTCATTGATCATTACCTCAAATTATATCATAGCCATTCCGCCCGTCCTTCGAGTTGGTTCTTCTACACGCGGCACTGGCAGGTATTTGCCGTTATCGTCCTTCGCCTGGTATCATAAGTCAGCTGGACTAAAACTCCCAGATTCATCATAGCGCTGTCACTTGATTCTTATAGCTTAGTTATAAGGCACGATCGTCTGGTGTTGTGGTGGCTATACATATCCCGCCGCGGCCTTGGCGTTGGAGGTCCAGCAACCGGCGCCACTGGTCACCTCGAGAACTGAGTGCTTTCTGAATTGCGCCCATCGCCAGTCTACTTCGTTGTTCGCGTTTCTGATACTGTTGACCTTGGCAAGAAGGAGTTGTTCCATGCGAGGAGGAAGTCATCATATGTGCCGCTAGCCTCTTTTGGACGAAGGAAATCTTGAGCCGAGCTCCGTTCTGCCCGTTGGTTTCTGAGAGCGACGCCGACACATTCGACGAGATACTTCAATTGACCGATCACGAGACGTCTCAAGAGCAAGATCGATATCCTCTCTCAACAGATCTTGGCCTTGTGCTGGAGCCATTATTGCAAATGTGTAGTTCCACCTTCCCTGTCAGCTAAGTCTTCACTCCAAAAGTTCCTGCCTGCCCGGTTTCGCGTTCTGTCATCCACATTCATCAAGCGCTTCACTAGGAGCATGAGCATAACATGATGGAAGACTCATCAGCAGGCTCAACGCGGAGAGAGACCAAATCGTCCACAGAGCAAACAAAGGAGGAAAATTCAATCACCTTCCTAGATGGGCTGCGGATTCTCGCCGGCCTGCTCGTCCTCAACTGCTTGCTAAGCTACTTTATCACTGGTGATAGCTTCCTATGGAACTACACACCCTGGTGGTCGCGACCAAATGCTTTGGCGGCAAAACTTGTATGATTCACCAGTGGTGTCTAATAATAAGCATAGTGAATCGCGGTGCTAACTTGGAGCTGCAGAGGTCTCCTGTCATCCTCTCCGAAGCACAACTTCTAGCCTACGATGGCTCCGACGAATCGCTCCCGATCTACCTTGCCGTCAACGGCACCCTCTACGATGTGACCGGAGGTTCCGGACGCAGGATCTATGGTCCTGGCGGACCGTACCACGTTTTTGCAGGCCGCGATGCTGCTCGTGCGTATATCACAGGCTGCTTCAAGGATGACAGCGTACCAGACTATCGTGGCGCTGAATGGACATTTATTCCAACCGACGTTCCGCGGTTTGATGAAACAGGAGATGAGGAGTTGTCTGATCAGATGAGAGAATACCGATATGAAATGGTTGGGAAGGCGCTGGAAGAGACGGAGAAAGCGATGCAGCATTGGCAGAAAGTTTTTAGAGGGGACACGGGAAAGGATTACTTTGAGATTGGCAAAATCAGTAGGAATTGGGATGATATTGCTGCGAAGCCTATGATTCCGCTGTGCGAGTCGGCGGAGAAGAAGAGGCCAAAGTCGCAGCTGGATAAAGAGAGAACGCAAGCTGAGAAGGACAAGAAGAGGCAGTGGGTAAGAAGGGGCAGGAAATATAAGAAGCAGTATTTGGACACAGTGAAGGCAGCGCAGAAAGAGAAAAGTGTTGGTGATAAGGAACGTGAAGAGCTGTGAGAAGGTAGGATAGATTTTGAGCGGAGAGTTGATGTAGGAAGGAAGGACTCGTGCCTCTCTGAGTTCGCCTCCAGGTCTATCATTCCCAAACCATCTTCAAATGGTCGTTGCCGTTGCGGGCATCCAAGTCGTGCCATAGAAATCGTGCTCCAAGCCAAGAGCCGAGCGTACACATATCCAAGTGGTGACCAAAGCATACTGAGGATGATGCCTCAAAGTCATGATCAATGGTAGCAAAAGACTCCATCGCTATGCTTGCCAGAAATGCAGAGCTAAACCAAAGCGTCGTCATAATCGATGCCATTAAAAAGTCCAAGTACGACATCAAGCATAGGACCTCGAAGATCCATCGCAGATTTCGTGTCATCGTCCTCTCCCCCAAACATTCTGCGATCCCTTGAAGTCGCACTCTCTTTTCGTAGTAATTGCGGTCGTTGAAGCGGTGTCACATAGGGAGCTTGCCAATAAGTATTGATACATGAGGTCGACCACATATGTTTGGGCGATGTCGTTGCAGATTGATCCGCTTTCGACATCCCATACACCGAGCTTTGTCTTTTTGAGCGACTAGGACGATGCCTCGTTCGCTTCCTGTTTTGTTTCTGGCCCATTTCAAGATCAGGAATGTGTAGGTTGTAGAGTGGCATATCCAAGCGAGCGTTCATCTTGCCGAAGAGAGTGTATGTTGGAGTCGAAGTGAGCGAGCAAAGGTTGCCACCTACCTATATATCCAAGTCCGATGATTCTGGTTGGGCATCTAAATATTAGCTCGTGACTCCGTAGTGAGTCTTTCCGTGACCGGAACGCCGATTGTGTGCTTCTACCAAGAAAAGACTCATGGGTGTCATCAGGGATGAGTGTGGAACCTTCGTTGGTGTTGGGCGTGGCTTTGTCTCGATGAGTCACTTGGCGGAGAGTGGAGTGAGCAACACCGAGATATGTCACATGTGACTCTCGCAAGACGACCACGATTGCGCGGCGTCGTTGCCACTGGCGGACAGCACTTCTCAGAACAGGCGGCAGCGTTGGAGACTGATCTAGCGACGGTGAGCTGTTTTCACGAAGGATGCAGAGCCGCCGAGAAGCGTCGCGACGGAGCTGGAACCCGAAAGCGAGATTCCTGCCATCGCGATCCATCCGCGATACCACGTGCCTTCGTTCCTTCGTTCCTTCGTTCTCGTTCGTCCCTTCGTTATCCATCAGTTTGTGTAATGCAGAACCCCAAGTTGTTTGGCACCTATGAATGCCAAGATCTCACTCAGCTTCGAGAGATGGGATCAAATGATGACCTGAGATCAAGCGGTGCTTCGACACATGCGTTCCCTGGGGCGAGATTGATCTTGCTCGCTGGTGGAATCGCTGCTTGCCTACCTTAGCTTTGGCTACGGTGTCGTTCGAGCTTCGCAGAATCCATGGCTTTCGTTGGCATTTTCGGGTTGGCGGCTGGAATGCACTGTAAGATCGGAACACAGATTCTACTCAAGAATACATGTACCCATCAGCATGATGTTGATCATGACGGCGAAGTCGCGATGTCTAAGCAAATCTATTCTTGGAAGCTTCGCCAAGGAAACAGCCCAACGGCTGATCTAGACAATCGTCGTTGCTTTCTAGCCTTTCCACACAACGACAAGAGCTCGTGTCGAGATCGCAGCAGAATATAACTCGGAGAAGATCTTCACGATGGAGAAGCTCAGTGCACAAGAGAAGGCCCATTTCAAAGACGCATTTGCACTTTTCGTACCTCACTCACTCCTTTAAAATTTCAGGCACCAACTGACCACGTGAGCACAGGACAAGAACGGCGATGGTATGTAATCAGCCCTATATCGTACAGCCTTGTAGGCCCAGCTGATATGACTTTCCCAAGGCGAGATCTCGGCGGCGGAGCTTGGAGAAGTGATGCGATCTCTCGGGCTGAAGCCGACGGATCAGGAGTTGCAAGATATGTTGCAGGAAGTCGATGCAGACAATAGTGGTAGTATTGATCTGAATGGTACGAGGCCCAACCTTTCAACTGTCTGGAACATATGCAATGCTGATGATCACTCAAGAATTCATGACAATGATGTCGCACCGAGCAACGGATGTCGACACAGAAGAAGAGCTTCGCCAGGCTTTCAATGTTTTTGACCGCGACGGCAGTGGCACCATCAGTGTCACTGAGCTTCGAGATATGCTTAAGGCGCTCGGTGACAACTTGACGGATGCCGAGGTTGATCAGATTATGAAGACTGCCGACACAGATGGCGACAAGACGATCAGCTGTAAGTCGAACGTGGGAATTTTTCAAAGTACTGTATTGACCTTTACATAGTTGAAGAATTCAAGAAGATCATGGAGGATAGCACCTGATGGTATTACGAATGATGGGGGAAGAAGGCACCACTATCTTTTGAAAAGCACAATTTCGCTCAGAATCGAACAACAGTCAACTCACGAACGACAGTGGAGGGTCATGGTAACGACCCGAGTACAGAACATCCTTGGGAGAAGGCGACAGATCGTCGATACCCAGATTGAATGATTTTTTGAAGGATCTTGCATGTCTTACTATGTACTCTTGGTATGGTCGCGTATCACTTTTCCAACCATATGTCTCCCCAGACTCGGCAGAGCATAATCTTCACTCGGAATCTCTCGAGCAATGTGCTTCAGCTCGAAACGGATGAATATCAGGTGGAAGCAGCCTGTTTCTTGGCCACTCTAATTGCATGCATATCAACACAACCCATTGTCGCCAGTCTAGACGAGCATGGACGAGGGCTAACGAAGACGTGACCTTGGCCTTAACAAACTGAGGAGATCCCATGAGTTGCGTCGTAGGTCTGCTAATTAGGGACTTGCCATATGGCCTCGTTGTGATGTGATTTAAGACCGAGGGTGATGAACGTGACAAGATTGCCAAGGAGACTCGGGAGGCTGGAGCACGCTCGGGCCGACTGACGGCCGCAATTGAACTAGATGCCACGAGACACTTTCTGAACAGCTTGACATTGACACTGCACAAGTCAATACAGTCAAGATGGTCAACCTCATATGGACGACGCTCGCCGTCGCTGCATTCTTAGCACTCAATGTCTTCGCTCAAGCTCCAGAGGTACAGCAACATACGCACTCGATTCGAACCACCTCCACCTAACGCCGCAATTACAGGTCGAAGACGTGACCGAGGGCAACGTTGAGGATGTCAGCTATGAAGACATGCAGAAATACTTGGCGGGCGAGGGCAAAGCATGGTCTGGCGATTCTACCAAGTCAAATCTGCCCTTGAAGGTGGATGTCAATGTCTCATTCCCAGATGCCGAGATCTTTGGAGTCAAGATGGTTAATGGTCGCCCAACTCGCGCATTATTGCACATCGCAAATAACGAGGACAGCGAGGTCAATGTTCTTGTTGCGACCGCCGGCCTATTCACACCTTTGGACACCCCAGGCATGCCGGATCCACCACAGAACCTCCGCAACCTGACTGGGGCCAAGTTCGGCACGGTAATTCCTGCGAAATCGAAGGAGACCTTGACATATGCCTTTGCGACTGTCATGCAGCCTCAGGACTTGACTCTGGAAATCAAGACTGTCATCAGCAGAGCCCAAGAGATGTACACCTTGACCATCTTCCGTGAGAACGTCTCGATTGTGGAGGCACCAGTCTCGTTTTTCGATCCGCAGATGTGAGTAGCACTTGCACGTGAGCTGCAGGCAATCAACTTACTGACACATCCTAGTATCTTCCTCTACCTCTTCCTTCTCGCCGCGTTCGGTGGAACATGCTACTTCATCTACAACACTTGGATCACAACCCTCTTCCCACAAAAGAAGCGCGGTGGCAAGGGCGGCGAAAGGGCTCAGCGTTCCAGCACCGGCAAGAAGCCAGTCAACCCTTCTGAGCAAGTCTCCGTCGTGGGCGCTGACGGCCCAGCTGTCACTTCCGGTTCGCAGGGATATGATGAGAGCTGGATTCCAGCTGGTCACTTGAACAGGCCTCAGGCCCGAAGAGTCGGAAGCGGACGACCAAAGAGCAGGGCAGCATAGGATAAGCCACGGCTTCAAATGAGTCACGCTCGAGACAACAGCATCTGGAAACGATGCTAGGAGAATGCAATGCCAAGCAGCCCTGTGGTTGCGCAGGAAAAGGCCAAAGACGGCCTTTGGGCGCATTACTGTTCAGAGCAGATAATTTTGGCGAAAACGAGAAGATCAGGAGCAGCTGACATAAGAAATTAAAAGACCATTGAGTGTCGGCTAGCATAGCAAGCAATAGGATACTTGCCTGTGCGGAACACCGTGCATACTCGCAGCGTGAAACATTTCCAGAGCTCTTTCGCCAAGATTTGAAGCTCAAGCTTCAACCTTGCAGCAATAAGCTCATCATCTGCGCCTTCGGCTAATATCAGAAACACCACAGCACGGAGGAATAGAGCCCAGTACGCATATCTGGCTAAGAGACCTACCGAAAGAACTCCGTCTCGAAATCCTAGAATACGCAGTAACATGCGAAAAAAAGCCATGGAGACACGATGAATTGAGCAGAGCCTCAAGGAGGATGAAAAAAAAAATGCAGATCCGCAGTGCAGCTCTTCTGTATTTCGTGAAGCATCTCTTCACGCACGCCTGCTTCTCACCCAACGGCACCCCCCATCCCATGCATACATACCTCTATACTTCGGACTCTCAAACTGCTTCCAACCAACCCTGCAAAACATCTCCCAGAACTTCAAAAACCTCAACCTTCAACGGCCTACAACACTCCACCATACTCCTCACCAACAGGGGATTTGGGGAGACGTCGAATTGGCGGGGAGGGGGTGGGTTGGTGGTGGCCATTATGGTGGGCGTTTGCTCAAAGCCAGGCTGTGTTTTGAATGAGTGGATGACCTGTACTGGTAAGTCTTTCTTTTTTTTTCCCTCTTTTCACTAATGGGGACGCAGTTGTCGAATATGTATGCAGTTTTCATGTTATCGGCAATTGGAGAAGCTGCTAGACCCGATATCGCCGCAGACGTGGCCGTTCTGCTATGTCATCATTGTCTGCATACAAGCATATCGCCGTGTCTTGGTATATACAGATCTGTACAGGGCGTCAAGTCGTACAAATCCATGCTATTAGGGTAAGATGTGTCCCAAGATCCAAGACGCCTCGCTAATTGTGAGTCACAACAAGATAAAGCGCAATTCATGCAACATCTGTTACCATTACTGCCCTGCCCCGGGCGTGCCGTTTGCGTCACTCGGCGGTTGGTGGTTATTGCCGTAGAATTGCTGCATCATCTCTGGGGTAGAGTACGGATCAAACCACGTATTCATGTCGAGCCCTAGTATACTCATGTCGACATCTTGACTTTCGATCATCATATCGCCAGGCATAAAGTTCATGGGAAGCTGCCCGGCGCCCATCAGCCCGACCGGCGCGGGAGGATAGTTGTGACGATTAAGGTCGCCATTCATGTTCGCGTGAGTGCCTCCGCTCGTGGTTAGCCCATGCATCCTCGGATGCAGATTGTGAGGTGGATGTTGGTAGCCAGAAGAGTTTGGATTAGCTGGTGAGGCCGTGCTACCCTGTTGGCTGAACGTAGGCGAACTGAGCGCAAGCAATGACTCTGCGTCAGAGTTCTGTATACCTGGGAATCTTTGCTGTGGCTTCTGCCTGGCCAGATTGTCCTGTCCAGACGCTAATCTCTGTGAGTTGGTGGAGCCGGTTCGGAGGTGGCCAGGGTAGTCGACGTTGGATATTTGACCAGTAGCAGCTTCGTATGCAGATGGGTTCAGCGAGCTGAGCCGTGGATCTATGTTTGAGTGATTTGCAGCATCGCTTGCATAGTGCCATGCCAAATTAGTGGAACTGGAGTCCATATTGCCAGTCAGTGTCCAGCCGATTGCTGCTACGGTCTGTTAGTACCAGGACCATGCCAATGTCGATTCGATATGCTCACCTTTGCTAGGATCGCCGAGACCAGGGCTGCCAGGCACCTTACCGAAGCCCTTCGGAGGCCAAAATGGCGACTGAAGGGCTGGATTTGTGATGTATGGTCCCCAGCTCAGCTTGCGTCTCCAGCCAGGCGATGTGAACGCTGGTTCCGGCCGGGGCTGCTCCAAGGAGCTCTCCGCTTCCTCAGCGGTGTAGAGAAGTGGGTCACCAACGCCCTCGAACTTCTGATCGAGGATGGTCAATATGTACTTGGCTCCAGCCCAGTAGGTCTCAAGAGACTGCAAAGCTTTGTAGCAAAGCTGGTAGTGTTGATTTGCGGCAGTCGCCAACAAAGTGTGCTTGGCAAGCTGAGATTTTGGCTCCGACGCAGAATTAGCGATTGGCTTGCCGTTTGGCGAGTTGGTGATGCTGGGTATGGAGACCTTGCGACAAGCGACATCGAGCGGTGTGCCATTCGATGATGATGTATGGTCTGACGTCGAGGTTGCATCTCGGCTCGAACCTCTGCGTGGACTAGTCGCGCGACTTTGGGCATTACTGGTGGCTGTCTGCTCGGCCGTCTCCCTCAAGAAGGCACAGGCGGCGATGTAGATTGGTTGCGAGGTAAAGGGATTTCCAAGAGAAGCTTTGGCGTCCATGAGGTGTGAGTAGCTGAGTATATCTGCAATGGTCTTCGCACTGCTCATGCTCAACTGTTGCGAGTTTGGAAACAGCTTGAGCATACGTCCAGAAAATGTCATGAGGAGAGTCGGCTGGTGCAACAGCACAATCAGAGTGTGGAACCAGAAATGGAGCAAAACAAAATTGGTGCCTTCTCCAGCTTTCATGTAATGTTGAAAATTGACTGCGTCGAAATGCAGTTTTAAAGAGAGCCCTTGATAGAAGTGGGTGACTTGGCTCTCCATGGCTGCTAGTCGCTTTGGTGTGTCTGCTGTAATGTCTGTTGCTTCCTTCAAGCTGTTGAGGAGATCGGCGACTCTTCCATATAGATGCACAATCCTGATCAATGCCGGGAATGGCGGCGGGTACTCGGACTTGTTGTTGGGCTGCTCCATGCAAGGAAACGAGAGCTCGATGTCCTTGTCGCGTAGTGTACTTCTTCGACCAGTGCCAGAAGAGACCACACGATCAAGAAAGAATATGGCCCAGAATGTGTCGACACGCTCACGCTCAACCTGCTTGGTCTCTTCTGCGTCTTTCTCCTCTTCCGGGGTCTCTTCCTTTTCTGCGTTTGCTTTCTTGCCCTCTTCTCTGCTTAGACTGCTTTCTTTATACGGAAGTCCTGATCGTGCTGCGTCGCGTTGTTGCTGTTTAACCATTTTCGGCGTGGGACCGTCCTTTCCCATGTATCTCAAGCCTTCTGTCTTATGCAAACCAAGGTCCTGTGCCATTCGAATGGAGATTCCCAGGTACATCCACAAGCCACTGTCTCGCTGCTCTCCGAATTCATTATAGGCCAGAAGCAAGGCGGCCTGCGCTGCTGCCACCGTGGGACAGGGGAAGGTATCTGTCAATGCTGTCTTTGCGCGCTGTGCGAACGCGTGACCGTATTCGGCTGGAGTCGACTTCTCCCCGTCATGGCCAGCAGGGTGGGTGAGCAAGGAATGTGTTGAAAAGCGAGCAGCAAGAGCACAGACTGCATCGACCAAGACGGGATCGACCTGTTTCTCCTCTAGGTCTCGCAGAAAGCGCTCCCTTTGCAAGAATGGGTAATTGCATCCAAGATGTGTGAAGAAGGTGTTTGCAAGGTGGGTTATCAGCTCGCTGGGGGGCACGGCGGAGGTATCGTAGAACGGCAGAGTGAGAGGCGTTCGGACGTCAGACTCCACAACTGTTGGGGTGGTCGAATACAATGCGGTGACTCGTGTTTCGGTGGTATGGACGACGTTGTTCAAGGACGGCGATCGTATGCCTCCATCGGTGGAAGCGCGGGCATGGGGATCTGTATCGTTTCTCTTGACCTTGACCACCATCTGCTTGAAACCAGGCATTATAGCCGTGGGACCTAGCCATCTGAAATAAGGCATGCGATTCCTGGGGCCTGAGAACAGCGATTCACGTGGTTCGCCATTTCGTGAGGCATCTGGAGAGGCAGGTCGACGTTCGGTGTAGCTTCGCGGCGACTGGCCGGCCGAGGGGACTCTCGTCAGATCAGTGCCTCCTGACTGTGTTCTGGAAGGCGCATTCTCTGGAGACAGGGGACTGCTCTTCGCGGGGTCGACATTTTGCGGAGGCTGTGCGGGTGGTGGGCGCTGGGTGGCATCGGTCGTCTTTCGGGTTGGTGTTGGCGCGGCTGTTTCTGTGTAGCCACGGCATTCGAGCTTGTTCTGTTTACAGGTCTCGCAGAACGGTCGTTCGCCGGAGCAGGCAGTCTTGCGTTTGCGACATGTCAAGCACGCTGCGCCAATGCGCCGGCTAACGAGGCTCTTGTCAGGGCTGGTTTGGGTAGATTACTGGCTCACTCTGGACTGACCGTTTCGGGTGTGGAGCTCCGTAGTTTGTGACGAAGCGCAAAGCTCGCTGTTGTCAATGGAAGAGCAGAGGCAAGTGATGGGAGAGGGGAGACGTACCTTTGGGCTGCTGTTGTTGCTGTGCTTGCGACTGCTTGGGTGGTGGTTTGGCAGCTCCAGCTCCACCATCAGCTCGTTGCATGTTTCACATGAGAGCGCTCAGGCTCTCACAGCGCACGCGTGTTTCTGACTGCTCCCTACACGTACCGCTCGCGCTTTGCGACCGCCCGATCCCGGCAGTCCAGCTCCGTTTCTGCTGCTAGGTATGTATTATTGGGAGATGTGTGGTGTCAACACGTGTGTGGTGTGTCGCAAATGCAGTGCCTATTCTGAAGTAGGTAGATTCTCGGCAAGAGCATGGGCGGCAAAGAAGGGTAATTTGGAGGGCAGGAACAATGCAACGGCGTCTGTGTGCGGAGAAAGCTGCTAGGATAGAACTAGCAGCTGAATGTGGAGTTGGACGCGGCAATACCAAACTCTTGGAACGAGATGCTTTTCGTCCTGCCGCCATCTCCGCTGTACGATGGCGCGCCGCCCGTCCCTGATCGACACAGTAGATGCAAGCCAATCGAAGCATCTGGCGGGAGCGGTGGTGGTGATGGCGGCGGCGGTGGTGGAAGACGACGGTCTGTCTCCACTGTAGCAATGAAGCCCTACATAATACATCCTCCGCATGGTGCTTTTGGTCTGATCTGTACTGTATTCTATACCGAGAATGGGCTTGGCGACGCTCGGTAATTAATATTGAGCGAGCGGATGGTGCCGACACCGGACGCGACGCAACCGAGCACCATGACGCTGCCTTCACAGGCACCTGCATCTTGCTGCCCAGCCTTGAAAATCGACCGTCGACAAGAACTCCGACTCAGCCTCATCGAGCTAAGGGCTGGGCTGGCGAGCTGGCATGGAGCCATTCCTCTTCACCTCATCTCTGAGGGCCGCCTCTTCACTGAGTACTCGCCGTCAATTCGTCCACCGATCGATTTGCGCGCCATGCTTGCTGCACACGTCGACCGCGCAAAAAGCTACGCCAGTCGCACACCCTACTATCCCCGGTCCTCCGCCATCAGCCCCGCAAGCAGATGTATCATTCCCAGAGACGAGAGTGGCCAGGAAGCGACAGCAAGCTGAAGTGCTGAAGAGAGCCCAGAATACTAGCATCGACCCATCAAAGCCGGGATCTGCATTGCAGAAGCGTTTCTGGAAAAATGTGTCAGTCATGGAAAACGAGCATGGGAGCTTGCAAGTCATGCTGGATGGCCGACCGGTGCGCACGGCGACGAGGCAGGTGCTCACTCTGCCAAAGTCCAAGAGAGCCCTTGCTGCATCCATTGCTCTGGAGTGGGACCAATTGGTGTCTGCGCAACAAGCCTTGAAGCAGCACTACATCCCGCTTACTTCTCTCACATCGCGCGCCATCGATATTGAGACTGCCGACAAGCAAGGCGATACAAAGATTCGAGAAAATCTCGTGAAAATGGCAATGCGATATCTCAGCACAGACACTCTTCTCTGCTGGGCCCCAGAGCAGAACAGGCACGACCCCATGGAGCAGAAGACGAAAGTGCCTCTGCGGCAGCGGCAAAAGAATATGGCAGAGCCCATCATTGCCTTCCTCACAACCCACATATTTCCCGGAGTCGACATCGTACCCGTCCTGGCGGAAGACAGCATCATGCCCATCTCCCAATCCGATACTACGAACGAAGTCATTCGAAACTGGCTCAGCGGTCTCTCGGCATGGGATCTCGCTGCAATAGAAAGATGTATCCTTGCAACCAAAAGTTTGCTCATAGCCGCGAGGCTTCTGGTAGAGTGGAGTCACGAATGGAAGCATGTACACACCGCACCACAGAAGGATAAATTTGGCATAGAAGAAGCGGCCGAGGCTGCCACATTGGAAGTTCTGCATCAAACGGAGCAATGGGGAGAGGTCGAAGATACCCATGATGTTGAGAAGGAAGATTTGAGGAGGCAACTCGGTAGTGCCGTCCTGCTTGTGAGTTAGTGTACAGCATCATAAACCGACAACCAGTCACTGCATATGGACTATCGAAAAGTTCCCAGTTTCGCTGAACGATAGGCTTGCTTGATTCCACGGCAGTGGAAGGAAGAAACTGGAGTTATCGCCGTCAGCATGGATCTGTATGACTGCTCTTTCGGGGATCACCAGGTTTCCTACATGCGAATCCCATGATCGATATGGTCTTGAAAGCCGTCAGCTATGAAGCACCTGCTGTACCATGCTTGATGCTTTTGGGACCGAGAAGCTTTAGAAACAGCATCAAAAAGAACTACCAGCGAGACAACAAGGACAGCATCACAGCCTAAGTATCCTATTCCCATCTACATCTATCGCTTCTAACGACCACAACCCAAGCTCTGCACCCTTTTCACCAGTTCCCCATATCCGTTCTCACGCCCCGCCTTTCCCGACCAAATCGCTAAAGCGCAGGCAAAAAAAAAATTCCAAAATACAGTATTCACCCATCCCAATCCTAATCCCAAACCAAAAAATTCCCTTTCACCTCCACCTCACAAAATCGCCGCAAAACAACTCAAATCCCCATCCAAACCCTCCCCCCGAAACTCCTCCAACACGGACTGAACATCCTCTCCCCGTCTCCCCTCATCTTTCTCTTTTCCGTGTCGCTCCATCATAACCTCCCTTTCCTCAGCAGGCAAAGCCTGAAGTTTCTCTCGAATGGGAAGCGGGATTCTTTCCAGAAGCAGAAGGTTTTGAGAATTTGGGTTGTTTTGCTCTTGGTTTTGGTTTGGGGATTCTTCGATGCTGTTGCTGCGGCGGGGAGTGTATTCTTCGTAGCCGAGAGAGCCGATGATGAAGATGAAGGCTGTGAGGGCGGTGCAGAAGAGGGTGAGGGAGAGGAGGGTTGGTTGGTAGGTCATGTTGGGGGCTTTTCTTTTGGGAGGGGGGGGGGTTGTTTTTGAGGATGTGGGTTTCTTCCTTTAAAAGAGAGATGGATGTAGGTAGCTTGAGTTGTCGTTGTGGCTGTAGTTGTTTTGTTGGTTGATTCTGTGCTTCTGTAGTTTGCTCTTCTGTCCGAAAAATTTCGCGGATGTTGTTATTATTGTAATTCAAAGAACGAGAAGCAATGTGGTACCGTCTATAGCCTCGAATCGAAGGTGTCCTCACGCGAACCGAACCTCTTCGTCACCACAGTCCTCAGGTGACCGACTGTGACTAACGTACCAAGAATGGTGCTTATAAGCTTCCTGCACCTATACTTACCACGTGCACAAGTTCGCCGGAATGACTACAAGATACCGAACATCGTAAGACATTGCCTTGTCTCGGAATTTGGTCCTACGTATGAGAGCTTCAAGATTTTGGATTGGAGACTACAACTTGTTATTTCCGGAGTGCGGAGCTAGCGGCAAGGACCGGGTATATAAGTTTCAGGACTAGACAGTTCCTTAAATAACCGTTATTATAGCGGGGATTATTCGAACAGCTATTCGTCTTTGAAATGTCTATATACGTATACGAGATGCCTAGAACCTAGTAGAAGACTTATTCTTCTACTATTTAGTATTAGTAACTACTAGCACTATTTTCCAATTTGTTAAGTAAGTAAAAGTCTAACTATTTTAGATACAAAAGCTATAGAAATTATATATAAAAAGTTATAGAAACTGCTATTTATTTAGTAATACTAATAATTTTAAATTTGTTCGTAGTATATATTAAAAGATTTAGTTATATATTAGTTTGTTACGATATAACACTATTGTATGTACGATAGCAGGCAGCGGTTACTATCGACCGCTACGGTCGCTATTGCTACTAATAGTAGAACTATTATATAGATAGCTTGCCTTACGGTACCTTAGAGAATGTATTAACTTTTATACCGTATAACCGTTACGATACCTTCGTACTATAACCGTGTGCCTAGCAACTTAGTAGCTTCGCTTAACACTTAGTTAGCTTCTATACTAACTACTAGTCCTTTATCCGAATCGACCCTAGTTATTATAGCTACGACGAGAATCGACGCGATTAGCTACAAGTCCTACCGATCTTCCGCCGATTACTACGATTCAACTCCTACCCGTTACGATAGTACCTATTCGATTTACTACCCTTCCGTACTATACCCTACCGACGCGCGAGCGCCTTATCGGCGATCCTATTAGTACCTCGAGGAGATAGTAGTAGTAGTTTCTACCTTTAGTAGCAATTGCCTACTATACCTAGGTCTAGGGTAGCTGCTTTCCCTAGGAGGACCTGCCCGATAAGCTACGCTCCTCTACCTTTAGTCGGTTCTCCGTTGTTGTCCTCTATTTAGAGACTATCTCGCCTCTACCCTCTTACTAATAGTTTACCCGCCTACCGTAGCTCCTTCGGACTCGCTTCTAACTCCGGTAGAAGCCTCGAAATTAGCTAAGCTAGCAGTTTAACCGCTGCCTTAGTACTGCAATCTCGGATTGCCGGATATAGAGCCCTATATCCTACGTATCTGTTTCTATATTTAGAACTACGTTAATTATAGCGAGAACTTCGCGACCTAGCTTAGGGCAAAGTACGGCCGAATCGACTTGCTTACCTTATACGTTCTATATTATTACCTGCTCGTAGGAAATCCGCCGCCTCTATAGGCTAAAATCGAGGAACTCTACCTAGACGCTCTTAATAGTTACAACTTCCTAGGATAGTAGGTAGTAGATAAAGGAATTCTAACTAAATCGGTTAAGGAGCTTAAAGCCGCGCTCCTAACGGTGCGCGATTTACGCTATTACCGTTAATTTTACCTAGAGATCTATCTACTACTTATAGTAGAGTAGCGCCTACTAGCCCGACTGCCTTAAGTCCTACCGCGGCCTATAGTTTCGCCTATTACTACGGTAGAAACAACCGTACCGCCGGAACAGCGTCCTAGTTCGCCTAATAGCTCGCTTAAATCGGTTTTCTTATAGAGGCTACTTAAGCTACGATACCTAGCGGACGAGAATCCTTAGAAGCTAAGGGGGCCTCTGCCTAAGACTTCCCTTAAGGAACTGTTAACTAGGCCTTCCGATCTGTCGACGTCGCCGTTCTAGGATATCGGTCGCGGCTAATTGCCTCTAATAAACGACGGCCTCGCCGACCCGTAGGCTAACGAGCCGCGTAGTTGTTTCTAATATCGTACCCTAGTAGATGCCTCGTAGACAACTAAGGAGATCGATAGGGCGAATATCGCTATATAATAGAACCGTTAGCGTTATAATTATCTTCGCGAATTAGCTAGATAGAGAGGAGTCTATCTTAACGAAGTTGTATTAGACTTTCTAATAGAATAGGCGATTTTACCGCTATTAGCTACGCGTAAGCTAAGTCCGCCCTAGCCGAACCTAGGTTAATACAATTACTAGTAGAGGGTAGACGTATATATAAATGCCCGTAGGCATAGCCGCTTGCGTCGGGGTAGGTTTGCGCTAGGCGATCCGCCTAGTAATCCGCCTACCTCTATTTAGGCGCTTTATAGTTGAATTCGTATATGTGCTCGTAACTTCTATTCCGCTATACTACATTAAGGTTAGCGCTATTCGAGATCTTATTCTAGCGAAGCGCCTAAAGCTAAACTGTTCTAAGTAGGTGCAGGTTTAGCTATTAGTACTATACTACGCATAAAACAGGCCTAATATCTTAGCAACTATTAGTCGTAGTATAGTATATAGTAGAGACGGTTCCTAGATAATCATACTAACAAGATTACTATACATTTTAATAACATTGTTCCTTTATAGATTTAAGAATTATAATTAGGAAACGTAAATCGCTAGTCTCGGCTAACTCGTTTGCCTACCCCTATATACTTTACTATTAGATAAACGACGCTCTTATGTATTAACAAAGCGTAGGAGGTCTACCTTTCTAGTGCTGTCTACAACCTCCGCGTATCTATTTAATCTGTATTCTAACCTAAACGGTCGCCGCAATCTAGTAGGGCAAACTAATCCTTCGGCCTTAAGTATCTATCTCTTTAGTACTACTATACCGGGCGCAGTTATACCTAGCAAGGAAATCGATTAGAAGTACTTTCCGAAGGGCCTCGAGCTAGTTTGATTAAAAATCCGAGAGGTGTTTCTAGCGGCTTCGTCGCTCGACGGCGAGAACTTAGTAGCGAGACGTCGGCTACAATCGGGCTTAGCAAGAAAGTTAATCGGACGATACTTGTCGAGAACCTCTAAGTGTTAGCTTAGTATATAGCGATATGTTGAGAATCGGTGTGTTTAGGTAGGCGGATAGCTGCAGAAGTAGGCTCGGCTAAATTAGTATAACTTAACGTATACACGTCGCAGAGACTTAATTTTTAAATCGCTATGTTCGGAAATAGCAGCGCTACAACCTCTACGTATTAGATATGCTAGTCTTCGTTAGTGTAGCGAGATCGTGTTTTAATAGCGGAATCTACGATAAAAATTAGCGGTTTAGCTTTAGGCCTTTAGGTAAAGGATTAGGTAGAGTAGTGTGTAATTAGTTATTCGGAAGTCGGCAAAAGAACCCTAAATTTGACTATATTACGTGTGCTAATCTATTCCGCTACTACTACCGCGGAACGTAATCCTTAATATACAAAGGCCTAAACGGAGGTAGGTAATCCGCCTAGTAATCCTCCTAGTAATCTACCTAGAAATCCTCCCGACGATCCTCTACTACCGCTACCTAGTAACTTCGATTCGGGTAATTCCTCTCGTAAGCCGACGTAGGGTTAGCCTTTGCCCTTTCTGCTATTAGACTTATAGGGTCTACTATAGGAAGGTAAGAAGCAACGCTAGAAACACCGTCGGTATAGGGATAATCCGAGTAAGGATAGATCTTTATTTAATAGTAAGGATTCGGACGACTCCGATTAATCTTCGTTAGATAATAATAGCTCCTTAGATAGTAGTTATTATAGATACGCCCGCCGTCGTAGATACTATTAGTATTATCGGGACTACGTCGCGGAAGCGCTAGTTTCTAAAGCGAGTTATATCTAGAGGCACTACGCCTACCCCTAGTAGCTATAGTTCGATCTAGCGCATCTTAGGTTCTTCGATCCTCTACTTAGCGTTACGGATTATAGCGAGGGAGACTATGCCTTAGTTAGGAACAAAATAACATACCGTTTAGTATATGCTTTTATCGAAGCGGCTAAGGATTATACTTATATTATAGAGTAAGAGACAGTTCGTCTTAACCTCTCTCTTTACTTTCGAGGGGTAGCGCTTAGTTAGTATTATAGTTACCTTTCTAGCCGTAACCGAGCAAAACTCTATAGCGGACACGGTCTAAAGCGCTAGGAACGTTGTCTTAGTAAGAAATAGAAGGTCCCTTTAATAAAGGCGATAGATCTCCTCGATAAGCAATGCTACGACTAGTAGGATATTACTTTAGGGCGTTTAGTAACGGACTTTATTATTAAGACAGTGCGACTCGCTAAGGATGCCGGCGTACGGAAATCGAACCGGCTCTTAGAAGCTTACCGTCGAATAGACCCGCGCCTTTAATTAAATATAGACGAGCTAAATTGTCGTATAAAGGTCGATAAGTAGGTTACGTACTACGAGAAGCAGATATTAATCTAGGAGCATATACTTTCGTCCTCGTCTAATTGTCGCTAAGACGCTACAACTAGGAATAATAGCCGCGCTAGTAAGGCTGCCTAGTAGAACCGATATAAAAGGAACGCCTCTTATACTCTAGCGAGCTTCGCTCTAGTAAGAGTATCCCCTAACTACTAGAACCGCGATGCCGACCGACTAAACCTACTACGCCTTACTAACGCCTATTAGCAGAATCGCCTGCCTAACGCCCCTTAGTAGAATCGCCTACCGCCGGTAGGAAATAGTAAAGAACTATCGAAGGGTAGTAGCCCTACCTTCCTCCTAAAAGACCTAAAGCGAGTCGATTCGCGCCTATTTAATCGATAGAATAGAAAGCGCAACGATCGAGCTTGTAAGTAGGCTAACTTTGCCGATAATAGTAAGAAAGCAGGCGATACTGTAAATAATACTAACTAAGCTAACGACGTCTATTAGGAGGATAGTTAGGAGAGTAATAGGAGAACCGACGCAGATAATTATAGCTATTTTAGTAACGCCGGAGAAGACGCCGACTACTTTACCGACTCTTACGACTCTAATCCGGGCTTAGAAGCTTACTTTGCGGGCATAGGCGATCGCTCGCTATTAGCGTTAAACTCGGTACTATAGGCTAAAGCGTCCCTACTAGCGGCGATCTAACTATTTACCTCTACGAAGCACGCTTATAAGATCTGTAGGTAGCGATTTAAGTTAGGCAACCTTCTATACTAGTATATTCGTAAGAAGTATATAGAGGCGACGACGCCTTCTACTATTATCGAACGCGTATTAGCAAACCCGGAAGTAATTTAGTCGAAGGCGCCTCCGTTAGCTTAGTAAGGTTACGCATTCCGGAATTAGCAATATATAACTTTCCCTCTTCGGTTGTTACTATCTAGTATATCTATATAGGTCTGCCTAGATACTAGCTATACGCTTACTATTATAGAAAAAGACTTCGTTTTAACCTATCGCCCGGACGTAGAGATACGTAAGCTACGCGAACCGATCGAAATCGGCGGTATCGCTAGCGCGTATCGCTTCGGGGAATACGTTATATTAGATATGTTTGTTTCGGTAGTAAAGACGGACGATATAGTCTCCCTAGTACGAATAACTCGTAAGGTTTACCTAGTTCCTAAACTAAAGGCAAAAATCCTAGTTAGTATAGATACGATTGCTTTAGAGGGAATAAAGATCGATATTTCTATACAGACGGTTACTATCGCTAGTTAGGACAACGCCCGCTTTAAAGTAGCTGTTAAGCGTAAGAAAGGGAAGTCGGTTTAGCGCCTCGTAAGGCTAGCGGAGGATGTAACATTAGCGCCGCGTACGGTCGCCCTCGCGCTAGTTAAGTATAGCGGTAACCTCCCTAAGAGCCGGGATTTCATTCTTAATGCCGGTTTCTTAGTCTAGCTAACTAGCAATATATAGGGATTATCGTTACAAGCTCCGCCTTTAGTAATAGCGTATAATTAGGTCGTAGACGCTAATTTTTCTTATATATATATTCGTAACGATACGACTACTCTAGTAACGATTCGAGCTAGATAGCTACTCGGTTCGTTAAGTAATAGGACTATTGCTAGGGCCTACTATATCGACGTAGCCGACTATAGACTAGTAGGATTGAGTTCTAACGCTTTTACGGCTATACGGGATATGCTAAATACATAGTAGAAATACTAGTACGCGTTAGGCGTAACGATCTATAGTAACGATAACTAAGCAGACTAAATTGCTATAGTAGTCGAGCGGTACCCAGAGCTCTTTACTAATCGCTAGACGGTCGTTAATATTCCCGAGCACAATTACATGCCTATCCTAACCGTATTAAATTACCTAGATCTGTTGCCGCCCTCTCGTATAATTAACCTAGGTAAGAGGGATCGTAAAGTAGTAGACAAGATATATAACGACTTGCACCGCTAGGGGAAGATGCAGTATATAACCGAGCCTACGCTCTTCGGCTTTCTAGTGTTTGTCGTATAGAAGCGCGTTACTAATAGTAAAGGTAGTATAATTAATAAGCCGCGGGCGGTAGTCGATATACGCGCCTTAAATAAGGTAACGATCCCCGATAGCTATTAGATACCGCTCTAGGCGGACCTCTTTATACAGTTAGTAGGGTACTAGTATATTAGTACTATAGACTGCCTAACCTTCTTCTACTAATAGGGCGTAAAGCCGGAGGATCGTTATAAATTAACGATTAATACTTATCGTAGCTAGGAACAGTATAAGGTCGCTATTATAGGATATTCGAACAGTATCTAATTCGTATAGCGGAAGCTAGATTAGATCCTTCGCGACTGTCGCAGCTTTGCGCAAGCTTATATCGACGATATCGTAGTGTTTTCGAAGACGTTACCTAAGCATCTCGATTATCTAGAAGCGGTCTTCTAGAGATTAGACGCCGTAAGGATTAGTATTAGTCCGAAGAAGACTTTCTTAGGCTTCCTCTTTGCGACTCTTTTAGGTTAGTACGTTAGCGGCCTCGGTCTAGCTACGAGTAAAGAGAAAATCGTAGCGATTACCTTACTTTAGTTCCCGGAGAATATATAGAAGCTAGAGTATTATCTCGGTCTAACTAATTAGTTGCGGCAATACATCCTATACTACGTATAGATAGCGGCGCCTCTATAGGCGGAGAAGACACGCTTATTAAAAGGGGCGCTAGTTACTAGCAATAGTCGTCGCCGGTACGTCGCCGTTACGACGCTAGGTAAGAACGATTAGTACCGCAACGAGCTAGTAAAAGCGTTTCGCTTGTTATAATCGATGTTCTACGAGCTCTCCTTTCTATACTATTTCGACCCTAACTATCGCTTATATACTAATATAGATTCCTCTAAAGAGTTTAGCTATAGCGCGGTACTCTACTATATCGATAGAGACCTAGACCCTATTCTATCTAAGGGAAAGGCGTAGTTGTTTCCTTATTATAAGGTTTAGCCTATTTTGTTCTTAAGCTAAGGCCTAACTTAGGCGGAGATACGATATTAGCCGATAGAGCTCGAATACTCGGGAATCGTATAAATAGTAAAGAAGGTAGGCTATTTAATGCATGCTTTATCGAGGCCGACGACTATCTTTATAGACTACTATACCGCGGTCGGTCTTACTAACTCGGTATCGATAACTACGACTACCGATATAGGTAAGTAGAACCTAAAATTAGTAAGGGCATCGATATTCCTTTCCTAATATCGAGTCGATATAGTTTACCGTCTAGGGCGGATATACCTAGTTCTAGACGCCCTTAGTCGACTTCTAGGAGATATAGAGTCGCCTAAGCTAACGCCGGACGAGGAGAACTTAGACCCGCTCTCTTACTATACCGACGCTACGCCCTCTTCGGCCGATCTAGAGGAAGTAGCCTACTTCTATACGATATTAGTAGAGCTAGATCCGGATTTCCGACGTCGGTTAAACCGAGCGTACGATAACGACGAATATTAGTCTAGGGTTTTGCGACTAGTTCGATAAGCGTAGGCGCGGAATGCTTTAGAGCGTCTCTATTCGGAGGGAGCTAATATGCCTTCGGTAACGAAAACGCTAGTTCGGTATAAGGGTAGCAAAAATCCGGACCTATTCGTAGGTAATAAGTTTAATAGTCCGCTAGGCATTCGATTCTTTAAGAGGGACGGCCTCTTATATTTCTATAACTAATCTTTAGGGCGCGAGCGACTCTATATCCCTCGAGCCTTAATAGGCGAGATCTTCGAGTAGGCTTACGATAACCGTTACTACTAAGGCTTTTAGCGCGTCTTCGACTACATTTAAGCTTCCTTCTTTATATATCGACTCGCTCGCTACCTTCGCCTTTATTTAGATTATTATTACTAGTATCTCCTTTTACGTATCCCTCGATACGCTCCTTATAGCGAACTTTACCCGATCTAGAATGCGGAGGGCCTATACTATACTATAACGATAGATCTCGTAACCGCCTTACTAGTTACAACCGATAGTTTTAATATACTATATATAATTACTTATAAGACGTCTAAGCAGGTAGCAGTCGTCCTAGGCAAAGAGAACTAGAAGGCCTACGACTAGGGCATCGCTCTAATCGATAGGCTTTACTTAATAGATATAAGTTTGCTAGTAGTGCTTATCGCTAACCGTAATCCTTACTAGCTAAGCGACTTCTTTAAGGGCGTTTTCTCGCGCCTACGTACGAAGCTAGCTACGTCTACGGCCTACTACCCTTAAACCGATAGTTAATCCGAGCGAACTAACTAAACGGTCGAGACGGCGATTTATTACTAGTTAGCGGATTATCCTAGCGAGGATTAGACGACGTTTATCCTATAGCTATAAGCTACGCTTAATAACTCCTATAATGCGACTACCGGTTAGTCGCCGAACGAGGTTACTATAGGCGTAAGGACGAATCTCGACTCGCTTAATATACTATACGACTATCCGTATAATAGGGCAGTAGCGCGTAGCCGTATCTAGAAGGAAGTCTAGGATGCGATTACTTAGGCGAACGTAAAAATAAAAGAACGGTATAATAGCAAGCATAAGCCCCTATTCCTTAAGCTAGGTAACCGTATTATACTTCGCCTATACCGTAGTTACGAAGTACTAGGTTAGTCGTACAAGTTTAGCTACCGTTTTAAAGGGCCTTTTACGGTTCTCGAGAAGGTCGGACGACTAGCCTACTATCTCGAGTTGCCGCTATTAATGCGTATCTATCCGGTAATATCGGTTTCGTAGTTAGAAAAAGCTCCTAAAGACCTAGATCCTTTTAAGAGAACTATTAATTACAAGCCCCTATCCGTTATAGCTAAGGATAGTCTAGGTTCTAGCGACGAGGGCGACTTTTACGAAATCGAGCGCTTTCTCGGGCGACGGACCGTCGTCCGAAGAGGCTAGCCTATTCTCTAATACCTAGTAAAGTAGAAAGGGTATAGGAGCGCCTATAATATATAGTATAATATCGACGACTTAACGGGCGCAGACGATCTGCGTAAAATCTATAATAACGTATACTCTCTAGAGAAGGCACTGCTATCCCGTACCCTCTATAGGGTAGTAAAGCGGACGAGAGCTCGCTAGCCTTTTTTAGAGGTCGCTAGCTCTACCGATAAAGGCGAGGCCGGACAATCCCTCGCGGTTCGTCGTAAATCGATACGACTCTACGGCGCGACTCCTTCTTTAGAGTCGTAATCTACCTAGGCGTACCCTTATATCGTTATCGTAACTACGTTACTTAGGCAACCGTTATACGTAGACGCGGGCTATCCCTTATTTAGTATCGATCTTTCCGGACGATAAGAGAGCTTTCTATTAATTACCGATAACGAATAGGAACGGCCCTCGAGCGCGATAACTGCGTCCGTCGCGGGAAACGTAAACTAGTAGCTTTTTAGAAAAAATTTCTATAGCACCGATCGCGATATAAGCGCCTAAACGTTATATTATTCGAGGCGGATTTATAGCACCTATCTCGCTTATACCGTAAGGCCGATACGTTCGACCTCCTCTAAGAAGCGATAGCTAAGGAATATCGTAAAAGCGAGGATCGAGAACCCTAGGATACTACGATAGGGAATAGTAAGGTTAACGCTCCTTATAGGGAACCGCTACTATTAGACGGTCTAGGATCGGCCGGATAGTCCTTATTTGTTACCGGCTTAACGCCTACGCCTAAGCTAGAGAGTAGGGCAAGCAATAAGGATATAGTATTAGATACTATAGTCGAGAGGTATACGGCCGCGCCTAAGCTAGATAATATAACGGATAAGGAGGTTGTAGTATTAGATACTACGGTCGAAAGTCGTATAGCCGCGCCGGAGGCAGATAATATAACAAATAAAGAGGATACGGTATTAGACGAAACGGTCGAGAATCGCATAGCCGCGCCGGAGCCTAAGGATATAACGAACGAGAAAGATACAACGCTTAATACTATAGTCGAGGAACGTACGGCTACGCCTAAGCTAGAGAATTTAGAGAGCCTAGAAAAGGATTTAGTAGGTAGAGAAGACGCAATAGTAGATTAGATCGGCGAGTATCGTAGAGAGATAGATAACGCTACGCTCTACCTATAATAAACGCGTCTAGAGGAATATAATACTAACCTAGTATAGACGCTAGAGGGCTTTGCGATCCTCGCTATAGCGGAAGGCAATCTTCGATAGACCTTTCGTAAGGCGCTATCGCTTATTTCTACTAACGGCAGTTTAAGTACTAGCGAGGTTTAGGCGGTATTAAGCTACGCTACTAAGAATAGATATATACGGCCTTTCCTAATATTTACCGAGGACAGATTAGATATAGAACTATACTACGTATTAACGGACTCCGGTCGACAACTATTATAGCAATACGCCCCGTTATTCTTAGGCTGTAGTCGTATTAACGATACGCTAATAGCGAGCTTAGCACCGTTGCCCCTAGCTAATAATATAGACGAATCCGATTTAGAATTACTCGAGGTAATAGCTCGCCCGCAATCGTAGGGGACGCTAGATAGCGAGTTTAGTACTATATAGCGTTAGACTATTGCTAGCCTATCGATAGTGCTTCCGAATCTAGACTATCTGCTCTCTAATATTAGACGGTTCTCCTTTCTAAAATATTACGTACTAGCGGTTATCGCGGCGGTTAATCTAGATTACGTTTTCGATAGGAAGTCGTTTATATAGGCGGTTATAGCGCTTACTACGAAGAAGAAATAGTTAACAGAGCTAGCGAAGGCGTTACTAGGCGAGGGCCGATAGACGGGCCGAGCGCTCTATAAGGCTATAGCCGACTACTTTATCGATAAGGACGACCCTCCGCCGCACTATTTAGGTAAATAGGAGTTTGTTTAGAAGGGCAAAGCGTCGTAGGTCGAGATTCTAGAGGCCGAGAAGCTATAGGATATCGTACCGGGCTTCTTTGCCCTTTACCGAGACGCCGCTACCTACGCGTCTAGTAGCCCGGTTAATAGTATAGAAAGCGGCCCGATTAATCCCGTTAGCGCGTAGCCTTTTAACGCGCCTTCGGCTTTAGAATCGGTACTACTGTTAATAATACCTGCAAATCGACTAGCTTTACTAGAATTACTATCTCCGCTAGCGCGTATACTTCCTAATTTACCGCTACTATAGGCACTCGCCTCCCTAACGTAGGCGCCGAGTAACGGCTCGCTATAAGCGCCTATACTAGCTCCTCCTAAGCTCCTAGCTACTCCGATCGAGTCGGTTTTTAAGGAATCTCCGGTCCTATCCCCTAAAGAACTCAAGTTCGAGTAGTAGCAGCTTCGAGGCTAGCGCGCGCGTTAGACTTTAATTAATAAGCGTCTTCTTCGCGCTAACGAGACGCCCGAGCAAGCTACAATCCGGTAGTACGTAGAGTACAAGGACTATAATAAGAAAGTCGATATGCTAATCGCTGCTAATCCTATAGAGCGTAATAAGAATAGAGACGTACGCTTTATCTAGGCCGCGAAGCTCGCACGTAACGCGTACGCTAAGGACGCTAACGGTCGGCTACCTAATCTTTTTCGCCTATACCTATATAAGCGAATAGTCGAACACTATTTAGTAAGGCTTTAGTATTACCTACATTATCTATACCTTATAGCTAGCGATCGGCGCTTCTAGATTCTACGCGAATTGCATTAGTATATAAGTAAGCTAGTTACTGATTCTAAAAACCTACTCTTTACGCAACTGTGCTTCTTTTAAATTATAAACAACGATCTCGCCTATAAATACTCTATCTTTAGGACCGACCTCTACTCGGACGGTTACGATACGTAGTAAGAGATTTACGCGATTCGCTTTAGCGAGTACGTAGCGCTTATAACGGCGGGCGAATTAAAGGAGCTTCCTAACCTAGCTAACCTCGATACGAATTTTCTACTAACTGTTACTTTCTACTACGCGAAGTTGTAGCACCGACTCCTAGTAAACATTACCCGCTTACGCGAGAACTTCCTTAGCTTAAGCACCTATACCGGCGACCTACGATTCTAGCTAGCACTGTCTCTAATCTATAATAGAGCCGTCGGTCTTATAGTACGCGCTATCTTACACTTCCTATAGACAGTCGACCTTATATAAAAGTAGTTCTACCGCTTTGTCCTAAAAGAATATCGCGATAGCATTATAGTAGGCAGTTACCTAGTCCTATATAAGCGTAGCGAGAACGGTAAGGACGTATCCTACCGTAACTACGGTAAGGAATACCTAAAGACGGGTAAGCGACCTATTAGCGAATACGTCGGAGCGACGAAGCATTATAAGATCGATCTAACTACCTACGGCGAAGTCTAATTCTTATAAATAGTAGCTACTAGACGACTCTCGATAGTGCGCCTACCTCTACTAGACTCCTAGCTTAAGGACTATACAGTTTAGCTACTACTAATTAGTATAGAACTTAGTACCTAGTCGGCTATATAGCCCTATAAGTAGTACGAGTTGTCCCTTAATTCTAGTAGTCTGCCCTACTTATACCGTCGTAACCTAGGTCGCCTAGCTATTACCTAGGACGTCGTCGCTTATACCTAGCGGTATGTTACGGTCCGTAACGCCTATACGCTTCGCGGTAAGAGCTATATATCCGCCCTCTATACTAATAAGGCGCTTGCGGATACGAAGGCTACTAATACGTCGCGTATAGAATAGTACGCTTAGCTTATAGGTAGCGGTCGCTACTAGAACAGTACCTATGCTACTAATAAGGGCAAAGGCATACCTCTACTACTCCTTAACCGTTAATACCTAGTAGACTTTAGCCTAGTCTACTAGCTAACTTAGATCGATCCGGTATACGCCTTATCTACCTTTATCGCCTATATCTAGACGCTTAAGGACGGCGCTATTCCTAATAGATTAGAGCCCGCGCTAACGCTATAGTTCTACAATTTGCTAAAGACGGTCGCTACTAATCTAGTCTTCGATCCTTTAGGCGTCTAGGAGCGTATTATATAGGGCAATACTATTTTTAAGTACGATAAGATAGTAACGAATAAGAATTACTAGTAGTATAATATCGACTATACTTAGGATCCTATAGGCGCATTCCTAGTACCGTTATCCGACTACTCGCTAGACGAGACCGACCTTACTAACGCGTACCTCTTTAGCAAAATCTTCCCTCCTAAGCTCGCGACTTAGGCTAAGCCGCAACCTCCGGCCGTTGCCCCGCTAACTAAGGCGATCTAGCTAAACTCCTCGCGCGTATTACTATCGACTAAGTTAAATACTCGCTAGAAGCTAACCGCTAGCCCGTTCTTAGCGCCTCGCCTATTATTAAAGATGCCGCTACCGTCTAACCTATTCTCTACGCCTACGAAGGCTCTAGCTGCGGCTTAGCTACTACCGCCTAACAATATAGTTACGTAGCTATAGTATAAGCTCCTAGCGCTTCCGATACGCTTACTACCTTTGCCCGCCCTATAGGAAAACACTATAGGCGCCTACGGACAATACTAATATAATATAACGGCAATTAGTATACGTACGCTTAACTTACAAGCTCTCTACTATATACGCTAGTCCGAGTTAGCAGCAACCGAGGTGCACTAGCTATAATAGATACTAGCTAAGATATAGATCCGCGAAGCAACGGAGCGCTAGATAGCCTAGTAGTATCGTCTTTCCGCTACGGTCTTAAAGGAGTCGCTTACGCTATCGCTAACCTATCTTTACTACGATTTCTTACGCGTCGCGCCGCAATAGGCAATCCCTATACTATACCTAATCTACGAGGACGCTTTTAAGCTGCTCGGCGGCGTATAAGGCAATACTACTAAGGATAAGATCGCAAAGCTTAATATATAGATAGCCGACTACTTTAAGCTATATAGTGCTATGCGCGACGCCGATATGCTACTATTACTAGGTGCCGACTTCCCTAATATCCCTATCGATTAGTTAGACCGCGCTACTACTATAGCGGACGTAGTTAATACCTCGCTATCCGATAACAAGACTATAAAGACCGTCGCGCCTTAGCCGTAGCTAAAGGCGGTTTAGACTATACCGACTAGCTTACGCGACGCCCTTTGTAACCATTGTAATAAGTAAGTATAAAACCGACGCAGTTATTACTAGAGAGATACAATTCTATACCTAGTATTACTATTCTAGTATACTGTTTAGGCTTAGCCTTTGTGCGACGCTATTACGCTCTTTTACCTTAAACCTTCCTACGGTGCGGCCTACTAAGGACCTTTGTTTTAGGATACTATAGACAGTGCCGACCTTTTTTATAAAAAGGGAGGCTATTACGATATAACACTATTATATATACGATAGCAGGCAGCGGTTACTATCGACCGCTGCGGTCGCTATTGCTACTAATAGTAGAACTATTATATAGATAGCTTGCCTCGCGGTACCTTAGAGAATATATTAACTTTTATACTATATAACCGTTACGATACCTTCGTACTATAACCGTATACCTAGTATAGTTTCTATAATCTTAGAAGATACTAGTACTACGGTATATACTAGTATTACTAGACAAATATACTAGTAGGTAGTAGATTAGTAGAATAAGCGTTCTTAATATAGAGATTATAGAGATTAGACTATTAATATCGTAGGCAAAATACTATGTATACTTAGTATAAGCTAACTTGAAATTAATTGTATATGTAGCTCCCGGACATTCTAGACACATGTTTTAAATACACATTTCCGGATAACATTTCCGGGAAGTATGCACATTTCAGGAAGTATCTGCCGATAAATAGTGTACATTTGAGGTATTGTCCGGGTGAGTTGGAAGACATGGTTAGTCTTCACGCCGGAACGTTTACGATGACGAGAGCGGTCGGATGATAGAGTGCATCAATCGGAAATGTGGTGCATAGTTGTAACGATTTAAGAAGGCGAAGATGAGTCGGAGATTGAAGGCTCGTCGTTCTCGCTTTCGGTTGCCGCTCCCAAGTGTCATCCAGACATCAGCAATATACTGTAGGCCAGTATGATCATCTCGCATTCGGCGACTTTGCACCGCAGCTGGGAGAGTGGCGGACCTCGACCATACTAACGGACGGCATAGCGAATCGAGTCGGCATCGCGAGCACGATAAGACGACCTCCAAGCCGCTCGCAACATTCGTAGGCATTGAAGCAGCTCATTCGAGGCCATAGCACTTGAACAGTCTTGCCCGCCTCGCCGGTTTGGACGAGAGTGAGAGTTCGTCCGTCGAATATACTTTCAGTAACAACATCCTGCAGCAGCCGATATTTCCTGCGTCCAAGAACTGTTCAAGTCGTATCTTAATTTGGTACACCAAAGCAAAGGGTGTCGAGCAAGGCCACAACATTTTGCAGACACGTGGCCCTACCAGCAGCCGGAAACATCACGCAGAGGCTGAAAGTGCTCAGCTTCTTTCAGCACTGTGGCCAGTCGCACGGATTTTAGACGCGTTCTGTGATCTGGGAAACACAATAAACTATACCTTCAGCAAAAGTCATGTCTCTGTAATGGACAAAAGACGTAGCAAAGAGTCTCCTAATCAGTGGGCATGTCAATGCTCGCCAAGCGTGAGTCGCTCTATAAGCGATGTATGGGTCTCACATGGAGTGCATGAGGCAAGCACAAATCCAGCCTGCCACAGGAGATGGCTGTGTGGTGAGGTGCCATGAAATTGGGCGGATGCTAATCTGCATATATGACGACGCCTGCAAAACTACGACTTGGCACGGTGACCAGTCATCTTCTATATAACTGAGTGAACATTGCTCTTGATCGAAACAAGCTGATCGAAACAAGCTGTCCGCGGGCAAAGATGTACTTGACATCGCTGAATGTCGCATCGATCTCCATATTCTTTCTACATGTCGCTCATCGTTGGAGGTCAGTCACTCGTGTGAATTTCCAACGATACAATGCTAATCACGACGCAGGCGGCACTGCTGGCCTCGTGCTGAGCAACCGACTTAGCGAATCCGGAAAGCACACCGTAATCACCTTCGAAGCTGGAGGGCCACCGACCAACGCAGCTGCATACAGGACTGCCGGTGGCAATCAATTCGTGCCGTGTTGTAGTATTATCAGAGTTGCAACTCGAATTTCATAGGCTGTCTGCAGGCCTGCAGGATAGAAAGGATGCATTCGTGTCTGGTCAATGATGAAAGAGTGCCGTGATTTGGTTTTCGCCGCAGCCTGATGCGTTTCAGTTTCAACCACTTCGGATTGTCGGAAAAACAACGACAGCAGTCTTTCTGCCGGATCTGATCTTCCTGCCGCGCATCGACCGACTCAGACAAAGGGCAATCATTTTGAACATCGACATTCCCGCCGGTGCATGTGCGCGAATCCGAACGTGGGACAAGATCTCGTGAAAGGTCTCGCGGATCACCACAAAACGCCTGACTCGTTCAGCGGTCACAAGTAAAGACCGGGCCATTCCATCAATTGTACCTCGGCGGCTTGCAGCGTCTGCATTGGAATTTAACCTCTTGCCAAGACAATTCAAGTTTAGAGCGCACCAGTGACGTGCACGATAGAAAACATTACCGACTTGCGCAAGAGATTTGACATCTCCAAGATATTTTGGGTCTGGATCTTGAACCTTTCGCGCTCAGTGTATACTTTTATACAACAGGTCTATTCAGAGTGATCTGTGACAGTGTCAGCGCAAGCACTCGAAATTCTTTCGACGAAGGATGAACACTTACCACTATGGAAGAGGCAAGCGCACATTCCTTCCGGGTATAGTCTTACACTGCGCTGTAGCCGCCTCTACTGCCTCCGCTATGCATCCGGTCAGAGACATTGCTCGTCCAGTCCTTCACGATATACGGAATGTCCCGGATTGTGTCGCCATGCGGTATTAAGTCCCAGCCTCGAGCGCCATATCGGTTGTAGTTCAGCCATGAGCCGAAGATGATGTAAGCTGCGATAAGCAGGAAGACGATGATCAGGAACCAGGTGAAGAAACCCCAGCTACCTTTGCTGCTTGAAGGCGTCTTGGCCGCTTCGCCTTCGCAAGCGTACTTTGTCTTCCAGTCCAGCCGTAACACGCGCACGTCCTTTTCAAGCTTAAAGCTGACATATTGTAATGCCTTGCCCTTGTCCAGATCTGGCAGTGGCTCCTCTTTCTCATCTCCATCTTTCTCGTCTTCTCGCTTGCTCATGGCGCTGTATGCATCAAAGCCCTTCATCTTGGGGTCCTTGTCGAATCCTTCGATACCCTCCCACTCCTTGTCACAGATCATGGTCACGATGGCCTTGTGCGGCTCTTTCTCATACATTCCACCTTGAAGCTCTATCCTCACGCCTTCCTTCATTGAATCGCCAGTGCTTGCACTATCCTTAAGTCGAGTAAATTTGGGGTCCAGATGTCGGCCATCCCCGAGGGTGTACTGGCCTGCGATCGGAATCACTTTTCTTGTAAAGCCGTCTGGCGTCTCGTCATTGTAGTCCTTCTCAATCCCGCACACCCTGGTTCCAGACGGACATTGTAGATCTGACTTGATGTTCTTGTCCTTCGCCAAAGGTTTGCATAAGTCGATGGTAAATGTGGTATTGGAGATTGAAGGGGGCTTGCGTTCCAGAAGATGCACTGCTTTCGGGCCGCCCAAGGGCTCGAAGTTGAAGGAGGCCTCGTCGGCGCGAATGTGCTTGCAGTCGAGCGTCACTGCTGAAATGGCCGCGGGAAGCAGTGAAATGGCTGAGAGCAGGGCGAAGGACGGCATGTCTCTGGGAATGGTGGATGCCTTGCGCGGCGATGCGCGACTCGGATGCGCAGAGTAAAGTTGGAACTGCCAGTCAGTGAGCGGGCAAAGATCGTGAGAATCTCAGAGGATGCGCTGTGGTCTTGAGTGTCCAAGCAGAGTATTAGAAGAGTTTCAATAGAAAAAAGTCGATGGCTCAGTATGAAGTGGTGTAGATTGTCGATTGTCTCGATGCTCGCAGTAAGCCCCAAGTTCCGACTAGCCGAGAAATAAGCTTTGTAAACCGCTTGGTCAAAGCGCCCTCAATTTTCCTCCAGCGACTTCATCTCGCACTTTCTCCTTCACTCATCGACCTCCATCACATGCCAATCGACACTATAGGCCGGCGGATATACGATGCCCCCGGACCAGGCTGTTAGTTAGACTTCGAGACATCACAGTTGTCCACTAGTCTTGGTTAAGCAGCCCAGAGAAATCACCACTCTCTTTGTTACCCTCGATGCTCTAGAATACACACTCCGCTTCTAAAGTATGCAGGTAGTATCAATCATTGCAGAGACAAGACTCTCCCCCGCCATCGCAGCTCAAGCAATTCTCGTTCACTACGCTGCATCATGTCGAGCTGAAGAGCTACCATGCCATACCTGAGCCAAGCATCCAGAGCAAGATGTTGAAACACAGCATCTCAACTGCGCCTCTTACGCGTGTTGCTTGTTCTCTCTGATTCGGTCAAAACCAACGCGAGAATAGCGCCGAAGTCGCCATCTACCGGGTATTGATGATATTTTGGGCATCACCATCCCGGCAAACCAAGAACGTACCGACATGGGTGCCAACCTTGTCAACTCATCTCCCCAGTTGCCGGGTAGAGCCTCCCTCGGCCTTCAAGTGTAAGCATATACCAACGTCGCGCCATCATTAATAGCTCCATTCTAGTCGTGAATGTCTGTCTGGACAGGGCCTAGACGTGCAGCAAGTTCAAACGCCACGAGTAGACAGAAGCCGCTGTGGAATACCAGCACCACCAAGACGCCGACCAGATCGGAAACACAATGCTGCATCTCTACCTCCTTCCTCCCGCCCTCCTCCTTGCTGTCGCCAATGCCCAAAAATCAACCTTCCAATCCGACATGTCCCAAGACGCCTCCCGAGCAGCCGTCTCCGCATCCCTCATGAACATAACCTTCTCAACCACAACAACAGCCGACTGCGCCCAAAACACCACCAACACCGACGCCCTCAGCATAGCAATCCGCACCGTGCCGAAAAAATCCACATGTTTCAACATAGCCGAAACATTCTCCGGAAACAACACCTCCGCTTACTCTACGAAAGGCTACACCTGCGACAACGGAATCGCATGCGGAGTCAACTACACAGTAATGTCCTGGTCCTACAACTCCGCAGCAAACTACTCCCAAATCTGGTATACGCAGACACGAAACCCATTCACATTCCACGCAGCCAACGACACGAAGGAACCCGTCGTCGGTGGCAGACTCACATTCTCTACGTTCAATGGAGAGGATTGTAAGAAAGTGAAAGTCGAGGGGACGGGACATAAGGCCGAGAAGTTTGAGTGGAATTGCAATTCTGAGGATGGTGAATGTAGCACTGTACCTTTTCCGATCAAGAGTTTTTCGATCAGCATGACGGATCCTGATGATGTGAATGATCGGAATTGTACGATTGCTAAGACTGCGGATGCGAGAAGCAAACATGAAGAGCAGAGGACGAGTACGGTGTTCATTGCGCTTGCGGTTGCGTTCGCCGGGGTGGCGTTTTTGGTATAGAGAAAAGCGGAGGTGTTGTATAAATATGAATATTGAACATGATGATTCGTGTGAATCTGTGTCCATGCTTTCTCGCTCTCTATGATCAGCGACCTACAACCCCCAATCTCTCCTCACAGTCCTTCCCTCAGCTTTGATACTGACGTACCAAAGCTTATATGCATTCATAATGTAAATCCCACCAGGAGCGAAAATGAAATTATTCACACCTTTTCCGCCAACCCCGAATTTGCCAATCAGTACACCTTCCTTGTTCCAAACATGTATGCCATCTGATACTGCCGAGTAGACATTGCCCTTGGTATCGGTATGGATACCATCAGGAATCCCAACACTAGTGTAAGCGAACACTTGGCGATTCTCCAAACGCTTGCCGTCAGGAGTGATGTCGAAGCGATAAATCGTGGCTGGATTCGTGGCATTGTCTTCGACTAGTTGATGGGGCATTCCGGTATTTGTGACATAGACGTGTTTGTAGTCTACAGAGAACTCAATGCCGTTAGGAGCAACGAAGGAGTCGGCTACTGCTTGAACAACGCCGGTGTTAGGCTCGAAGCGGTAGACTTGGGGACGGATGGATGGCTCTAGACCAAAATTCTGCCAGTAAGCGTAGCGTGCGTCGGTGAACCAGAGGTCGCCCGTGTAAGGGTGTTGGATCACATCATTGAGCGAGGAGAAATTGCCGCCGAGGAAGTTGTTCAGGATGACCTTCGTCTCGTTTGTGGCTGGATTGACGACGGTGAGTTGACTTCGGTGGTTGTTGATGTCGCCTTGATCGCAGAAAACGATCTGTTGTCCTTCGCTGCTGTTGACTGGAGTCCCGACAGGATAGAATGCAGCACCCCCATTGGCCTCTGCGACATTGTCGTAACGAGTGAAGCTGACATCGCCGGTCTTTGGGTCGATGATCGTCACGTTGATTGGGTTGTCGAGAGAGCCAGCCCAATTTGAAGTCGCATAAATCTTGCCTGTCGCTTGATTGTACACGCCTGCTTCGTGAAAAGCATCGAAAGGGAGCTCAGCAACCAGCCTCTGAGTCGAATTTGTCCCAATCACATCGTCGGCGAAAGATCGCTCGTACGCCAACAAGGAGACGTGATCAGTTGATGCATTGGTAATCGAATCGAGACTTTTGGCGTAGTCGAAGCTGGCCGCGAGTCGCAGTACATCGACGTAGGTGATGTTGACCATCTTGTTGGGAGCCGAACCGTATCAAACGTGGGTACCCAGATGCTTCTGGCTTACTTAAACCACGTTCTGAAGAAGAAAACGTGCTGAGAAGGTCAGATATTAAGACGTCTGCCATGCTTTGGCCGATGCTACCGTCAACGGCGCCACTCGCACGTGGTACAACCCGGTGTTGCTCGGTTGCCAAGAAGGGTAGCTGAGGATTCCAGCAAAGTGGCTGCGACAAAGTGGAGGGGCCGACTCGTGTCGGGTACGGTATGACTTGATGGCCAGAAACCATCAATGTTCTCTCCTTCGCTTAACGCGTTGTTCTTGTTCGCAGTGTACCTTATCTCTTGAGCGATTTCGGCGGCATTTCCAAGATCCACCCAGCAGTGGAGCGCTAATCTTGTCAGACCATAATTTGACTGCTATCATGACTTGCACTAGGAAAAGCTCTCAAACTCGAGGCTTGTTGCTCATCGAATAGAGAATGGGGTGAATCCAACAAGCAGAGTAGTCGATGCTCGTCAGTAGTCTTTAAAGCTTGGTCTTAGCTCAGTCTTGCTTCGTTCTCGTCCGGTCGATCGTGCCACTTTCTGTTCTTGTACGCGTATACACAAGCGTCTCCTCAGACTGTTCGCGGTCCGGATCGGTCGTGGAGACGATATGGTACGAGAAGTCAAGCTCTCCGACAAGCTCTTTGACTCCAGCAACCAAGCGACGCAGATCGTCATGGATAAATCTGGTACCGAGCTGTATGACAGCGAAGCTTGCATAGCCAGGTTCGGCAATGTGTCTGACACTCAAGAGCTTGTTGTCCATCTCCTCAAGCTTCTGGCCAAGTGTGTATGGCTCTGGCACTTTCAAATACGGAGGCAAAGGCTGCTCGCCAATGATCGAAGCTGACAGTAGTACGAGAAGGGTTGTTACTTGCTCGGAAGTGTAGTTCGCTTGGCCAATTAGCTTTTCGAATTGGTGTACCCATGCAAGTCCGTGCTGCTCTTCGCCCTCTTGTCGCAGCTCCTGGAAGCTGTATGAAGCCAACGACACAAGCGACATGAAATTGAGAATGCTTTGAAGCTGATTGATGAGCCTTTGGTATTGCTCACGCGGGAACTTGCCCCCTATTGGGATGTCAAACTTCAAGAACTGCGACTGTGCTCTTAAGCTGGAGAGTGTGAGGTTGGCTTTCGCGTAAAGCTTGTTGCGTGCTTTCTCCAACCTTCGTCCAGGACTGTCCTTTAGCGTCATATCGCCGGTCTGGTTTCGCAATCTCAACCGGACGATCTCATGCATGACCGAGTAGTAATTGGCCAGCAGGTACAGTGCAGAGCCCAGTTGTCTCCGAAGCTGATTGCGTTCCGTGATAGGGTATGGGAACCACGTCCAGATCCATGCCACGAAAAGACCTCCGCAGACAGTCGCCAGTCGGATGGGGCCAAGCTCGTAGATGGGATAGTATGCTTGCCCATTCGACGTGGCTCTCTCAACGCCCAGCTTTCTAACTTGCAACTCGTAGCCGATCATCAAGCTGACAGTGATCTGGAAAATGACGCCGACCGGAATGTATGCAGGATACTTGAGCATGATGTAGGCTCCGATGTGCATGGTCAGGAAGTAGAAGATGATGCTCCCGGCGGTCTTTTCGTCCACGATATACCAGGCTACCCAGGCAGCGATCAATGCCAAGAATGTGCCGCCTGCACGTAGGATGAAGTTTCTGAGGCTTTGTCCAGCTGAAGGACTCATTGCGATAGACACCATGATTTGTGCCCAGAACAGCCGCTGTTCGGTATAGAATGCTTGTGTATCTCGAAGGTAGCACACAATGGCGATTGTCATCGTTGCAGCCGAAGCTCGAAGCCCGAAAGCTGCTGCTGGAGATGCAAAGAAATGTGCAATCTTGCGAAGGACCTCACCGCCTCGCTCGAAAGCGTTGGCTGGTGGGAGATGTTCTGGATCTTTCCGTTTCCTGTATGCGTCTCCCAGGTAGACCTGCGCACGATGGCCCTCGCTGGTCATACCATCGTTGCTGTCTCCGTGCGCATCTTCGTTATCATTAAACAAGCTGATGAACCATTTCCGCAGTCGCTTCCATCCTGGCACGACGATGCGCTTGCGGCTGAGTTTTCCATTGTCTCGATATTGTTCAACTGCGTGAATCAGGTATGAGGTCCTCTTCGCCGCGCTTATTAGCAAGAACTCAATATACAGGCAGAGGAAAAGTTGACGACGTAGCCGTCTGTGAGGATCCGAGAGCATGCCTTCATTCATCCATTCTGGAGCTTCGAAGTCGACGCGATCTGGGTCCTCGAAGAAATTTCCGGGGAGTTCAATACCATGCAGGTGGCACCAGCCTCTCAGCATTGTCTTTTTACTCTCAACAAATTCAACGCTTCGGTGCTGGAAGACTGTGAAGAAACCTTTGTCCCCGGGTCTCGGATCCGTCCCCTCAGATTCCACATCTTGCTTGCCAGCATTTTTCCAGCTTTTCTTCGGACCAAGTTGAAGGACTATGCGGACGTGTTCTAGACCCTCATCAATGGTCTGCGTGATGTGATTGAAGGGCTGACTTAAGTGTCTCATCAATTCATGCCATTCGTTAATAGCCTCAATTCTCATCTTCTCCGATTCATTGTGAGCATCGTCTAGTGTGGCATCCGCAAGATCGACGTCTCTATCCCAACCTCGATCCTCTGCAATGCGAACGAAGATGTCTGCCATGCAGCTGAGACCAATGGTGGGAACCATGACTCCACGTATTAGACGAAATACCTCTTGAATGTCGTCCGGGCCAAGTTTCCCTAGTGCAACTTCTCGTTTCGCAAAAGGCATATCGGTGGACATTTTGCCATGTAGTGCAGCAAGCGCTTGCATTTTCTGCTTGAATACCTTTGCCTCGGGGCTTTTGGGCAGCTTTTCACCAATCGTGTTGGTCGATTGAGCAGCAAACATATCTTGGCGCTCAAGCGCGTGCATATAGTCTAAATTAGCTTTCAGTGCTCCACGCAAGGATGCGATATATGCAGTCATTCCTTTGAAGACGACGTCTCGAGAGTTGACAGGAAAAATCAATAGAGAGACACCCGCTCCAATACCGAAGCCGGTAAGGAAGCCAATGAACAGCTTGAGCGCGAACGAATTAGCATACGCCATGGTCGGCCATTGTGGTCCGTACGTCATGGAAACGTTGGCAAACACTGCCCACATGATGCAAGGAATGTTGTACCTGTAAGTGAGTGAGAAGAGAGTCAGCGAAATTACGAACAATGCCGCCCAAAATTCAAATTCCGTGTTGATGCTGCGAGGCGATGCGACCACAATGACCATCAAAGTTTGCAGCTGTGCAAAAGGAGGTGAATTCACACTTACTGCGGCAACTTGGCTCGAAGCACACTGATGCAGAAGATCTGGAACATCAACCATACCCCTGCAACGGCAGACGCCGAGGAGTTGTAGGATGATGTATCTCCATTCCTGGCCTGTACACAGCAATACATGGCCAGAAGTGATACGCTGCATCCAATGCAGAGAAGAAGTATATTCACAAGCAGCGTCTGGATGAATTTCGCTCGCGGCATTATCACAACCGTAAGGATCGTCATGATAATCGATAAATAGCCCAAGGTCCCGTAGTAATCCGCCCAAGGCGTAGCCTGGAATGCAGCCAAAGTAATGGTCGGAGCGACCGAGCTTTTGAACATGGTCATGGAGGTCCTTTGATCGACTCCATATTTGGACCATAGTGCCTTGATCTTCGAACTGAAAGAAGACTGCTTTGACTTCGATTCTTCAGGCGCACTCTCCATCTGCTCCTCGATTGTTGAGCCAGTGTGAGTACGCGCGTACGGCCCTCCATTCCTTGTTCCCTCGGTTCCAGCCGAGTCAGAGCTTGTTGTCCGCCTCGACTCGACTCGCTCCATTGTGATGCAAGTATTTGGGCTCAGGGATCCTTAAGTCGATTTCGCTTCAGTCGCTCCGCAGTACCTCAATGATACCGAGTTGGTGGTTGTCGCTGAGGAAGCATGGCCGAGGTGTGCAATGCAGATGGCGCTCTACCGCTACAAACATTAGGAGCAGTATCCGAGCGCTTATCGCACCTCATAAGAGACGAGATACCAGGCGGGCTAGATGTATGAAGAAGGAGAGATTCCCGCGCGTGATGTGAGCATGAGGGTGGCGAGCAAAAATTGTCGTCGGGCAGATATCGCCGTTAACGCATCGGCCGGCTCAAGGCGGCTTCTATTTCAAGATGACTTCGGCCGGAAGATCGATGCCGAGTGGTATGGTCGACGCTCACAACGAGCACTGCATCTGAGCTGACAATGGAAGGTGCTGTAAAGGACTCCAGAGACGATATTGAGATTGAGCTGCAGAAGCGGGCGGTTGTGAAAGCCAAGCGTGCTGTCGCCATCTTGCCTGCCGATTTTCGTGCTGTCGACTGTTGTAGCCTCAGGCAGCACTGCTCGGGCCGCTGAATCTTGGCGCTTCCACCGCAAATTGCTGCTTCCCGCACATCATCGCATCGAGACTTTGCTGCGCAGACGTCGCTTTCAGGACCAATACTAACACAGCAGCAGTCACGGTACGCACACCCGCTATAGCGACACTTTGCGACCGTACTGACTCTCGCAAAGATGGTCGCCGCAAAGAAGCACGTCCCGATCGTGAAGAAGCACACCACTCGCTTCAACCGCCACCAGTCCGACCGCTTCAAGTGCGTCGACCCATCATGGAGGAAGCCTAAGGGTATCGACAACCGTGTCCGGAGACGATTCAAGGGCCAGGCCGCCATGCCAAAGGTGCGTTGAAAGCGATGCATGGGGAAAGAGAAAAGAGCATGGAAGGAGCAAGAATGGACACAGAAGGAGCAGTGGGGAGAGAGACGCTCACAAGAGTATGGTGCTGACAAGATTTTCACATACAGATCGGCTACGGTAACAACAAGAAGACCCGCCACATGATGCCATCCGGCCACAAGGCTTTCCTCGTCAACAACATCCGTGACTTGGACCTCCTCCTCATGCACAACCGCACCTACGCTGCCGAGTAAGGACAAATCTGCTGCTGAGGATGAAGGGCCAGGATACTGATATGAATTCTTGCAGAATCGCACATGCAGTCTCGTCGAGAAAGCGCATCGAAATCGTGGCCCGCGCCAAGCAGCTCGGCGTCAAGGTCACCAACGGCAAGGCCAAGATCACCTCCGAGTCGTAAACGTGTTTCCTTACTTTATGATGCGGGCAATGTGACTACAGGCGATGGAATGAAAGCAGGAACTGGGATGGCGTCATTGAAAGGGTGCAATTGCAATGCATATTCGAGGTTGCTTTATGGGCCAGACCACTGTTCAGCGATTTTTGGCTGGTCTGGAGGTCTCTACATGAACGCCGCCAACGCCTCGCTAGAGTACTGCAGTACGTAGCGTACTGAATCGCGTGAAAGCATGAAGAAATGATGATGTGCCCACTGTTCCCATCTCACACGAAAGTCTTCAGACATGTCAAAAGGCTCCATTCAACCCCTTCGTGCCGAGTCCATTAACGCCAATGCCATGCCAGGATATCATATCGGACAAATGCTGTCCGAAAGCCATGGTCGTCCCCACGGCCCACTCATCACTCCTCCATCTCATTCTTCTCCACCGCCGTAACATCCTGCGTCGCCGCACTCCAGTATGCCTTAACATGAACCTTGAATTCCGCAATCGCAACACCGAAAAGCTTCAGTAATGCAGTCTGATGCGAATTCAACTCCTGTCCCTCCTCACAAACCACAAATTCCTGATCCAGTACAACCTTCCCCTTCTCAAGTCTCGTCGGCATTCCCCATTTCCTCACCATAACCTCCAAACTATGCGGCAGCGCCACATCATCTTCTTCCGCAACCTCTCCACCCCTCGAATACACCACACCTTTCGGCACCACAAACCCTCGGTTCGCAACAACCCCAGCCCTAGCAAAATCCACCTCCACATAATTCTCAAGATACTCCAATACCTCGCTCGGTGCTCTATTCGTGCATAGCAGCCCAACATTTCCCTGCAAATATTTCGCCAATTTGGCAAGACCAGGCGCACATTCATCTTCAGGACCCGAACCGAGAGCTTTTGCCATGACTTTTGTTTTCCCGTAGAAGATTCTGCCGTCGGACGAGAACTCTTGGCGTACGTTCTTTATGTATGTGTTTCGCATGTTGGAGACGTCGAAGACAAAGATGTGGGCGTATGTGTCGCAGGCAGATTGTACGGCGGTGTAGAGTGCTTCGCGGACTTCTTTTGAGGGCTTCTTTTGGACGTTGGAGGTGTGGATGATTTTGGCGCGTTTGGACTTTGGCATTGTGGTGGATTCTGAGAGGGTCTGCTTGTTGAATGAGAGGGTGGCTTCGTTGCCCGATGTGAGCTCTATGTGCCGGGCGAAGAGATATCTGGTATGCGATCAAGGTCGAATCTCGAAGCTCAAATTTCAGACCGTTGCAAGGCGCTAAGGCACACCTGCATCCGCCAAAGCCGATAACCCCGTTGTGTTTATCCCAGAATCGCGTCCTTCTCTTCAACGCTGCAACACGCGCATTGAAGACTGAGGTATGCGTGTAGGTCACGACAATGGCGTCGAATAAACAGACGACGACTGCTCTACTCACAGAGCACTTCCGTTATACGCCGCTTACACTCCTGGACGACATCATAAATACTGTGAACGAATTGGTCTTCCGAGCAGTCAACGCGATTGAGGAGGGTTTCGCGGGTACGACAGCAGAGCAATTAGGCTTTGAACTGGATAAGAAGACTGCAGCTACCCTGCCAAATGAACAAGCGCGACGCGAGGCGCTCAGTGAATTGAAGCAGAATGAGATCGACAATGGCATTGTCAAACTGGAAAGTCTGCTGAACGCGACGGTGGACAAGGACTTCGACAAGTTCGAAATCTACACGCTTCGAAATATCCTTTCGGTCGGCCATGAAGATGATCTTGCAAATTGGGTGCGCCTGGACCACTACAAGGGTGTGGATGTGGTCAACAGTGACGAGGTGCCGACGCCTGAAGCAGTGCAGATGCAGAGGCGCAAGCTGCATGAGACTGCGAAGCTAAATACTTTGCTGAGGGCCGAGGAGGCTAAGAACGCGGCCGTGCTACAACAGCTCAGCTCATTGATTGGAGCCGAACCAGAGAATGAAGGAGCAGAAAGTAGTGCGCCATTGGGGTTTTTGAACGCGGCTACTCAGGCACAGCATCTGACGCAGGACACGAAATATGCGCTCAGCCAGCTTCCGGCCTTGCAGCAGCTACTGGAGAAGCTGAAAGACGCCATGCAGTCACTTCCGGCAGCACGACAGTCCAAGTATGACGATGAGGATGGTCCTGAAGCTAGAAGGAGACGATACTTGGAAAGCCAGAGCAGAAGAGCGCTGGAGAGGACAGGCATTGATCCCGACTCTTCTGCAGGTGCGTCGCTTGCGGCTGGGAGAAAGATGGGGAGGGACGAGCTGGAGGGTATTGAGGCTGTCGCACAGGCGTTGGGTGGAGCCGAAAAGAAAAAAGACGCGACTTGACGTGCAAGCTCGTTGCGAGGTCACGAGCTATCAAAGACATGAACGAGAGACGAATGACTTGAGAGATTTACGATCAACACGAGGCGATTTATGGTTCTAAGAATGCACGAAAAATATTTCCATTGACTCAGGAGCGAGGAGCGGCGTTGGCAAGCAACGCACATTCGAGTGGTCTTACCTACGGTGCTACAGCATCTGGTGAGGTGAACCCGGACTCAAGCCTCGCTTGTCGATCCTCTGCGCATCGAGGACGGAAATGGTATCAATCTTCAGCTCGATCAAGCAATGCAACACGATGACTGTTGCTGGTTAAGAACACTTAAGAGCGCTTCCTCTCCGGACATCGCACTTCCAAGACAACAACTTCTTGCACGCCGAAGTGCTATCAGCATGTCGACTGACGAGAATGTCACTCTCGTAGTGATTGTCACCACCAAACCAGACAAGGGAGAATTGGTACGCCGCAGACGGAATTCTGGATACTTATTATGCTAACGGCGACAAGTTCCGCAAAACGAGCGAAGAGTACTATCACTCTTTCAAAGACAAGGAACCTGATTGTATCCAGTTTCAATTCCACAAAGATGTTACTGGAGCCAATGACAATGGAAACGAAAGGTGGCTCTTGGTTGAGCGGTACGACACTGAATTGTTATCTGGTCATCCTGATACGTGCTAAGACCTGCCAGTTATTCTTCGAAAGCAGCTCTAGATCTCCATAGATCCTCGGAGGGTCACCAGAATATGTTCAAGATTTTCCACCAGCTGGATCTGCTCGATGGCATGCCGATCATGTTCGAAGGAAGTCCCGTATTCGGCCATGCGTAGCTGGCCACGTCAAATCTTCTTCACGTAGAAAGTCTTTAGCACTGGTTCTTCCAAGATTTGAAAGTACTTCTGAAGTTTCTTCTCACCGCGAATTACGTCCGCCTTTCTACGCACCAATGATTGTTCCATGCTTTCATCTTGAAGGCTTTGTAAGATATGTCGTCTTCCTGCCATGGATGGGAAAGAATATTGTAGGCAGGATAACCACGTTGAACCGTAGCGAATTCGACAAATTCGAGAGTCTGCATTGATGGGTCGTTTGCTTCGGATGCTGGAGCTACCTAGGCGACACGAGATTGGACGTGAGTGACACAGATCAACGGAAGTTGGAGAAGCAAAGGACCGGCTTCTAAAGTAAATCTGGAGAATAGAGCAGCATAGTCACAATATAGCTATAGCTCATTTCAAGTTCTGCCTTTCCTAAGTGCCACCTTCATTGTGATGCACGACATTCCAGGCACGGAAGGCGGTCTCCTCTCAAGCTTAGATAACGGCAGATTGAACGCAAATGAATTCAGGAGACCTGAATTGTCGTTGCGTAGCTGAGATCCAGACATCATATTGTCTAGTCTCCCTACGAAACGCTAACACTGAACTTGGTCGTAGTGAAAGTAACACCTTGTCCTTCAAAAGCTTCCGTACCAGCACCGACACTAACCAAATACTGATTCTTATTGAACTTCTGGTTCGACACAAGATAATTGAAGAATTGCTTCAGGTCGCCGTTGAAATTGTTCACCGTGCGCGAAGCTACGAACGAGTAAACGGTCATCTTTCCATTTGGTCCCTTGTACAGTTTGAAATTGATGCCACCGATTGTCGTGCTTCCGATTGAGGTTTCTGAGCCATCGGCGCCCTGAAAGTATTTACGTTAGCATCATCCACCCATTCACATATATATACGGGAGAAGACAACACTCACCCAAGTCGAACTTATCGGTCCAGCACCTCCGAACGCAGCAAGCCAAACCATGATCTCGAATTCCTTGTCGCCGGATGCAGAAGACGAAGTGAAGAGATCATACGCAACGTCAGCGACCACAGTCCCTGAAGCTGTGTTGGTCCAAGACCATGTCGAAGGAATCGAAGAGATTGCAGAGATTTGCTTAGGCTTCAGGGAAGTGAGGGCTGCGTTGGCGTAAGATTTCGTCTGGCCTTTGCCACCAGTCCAGGACCACCTGTGAAATGCATCAGTCGATCGTCTAGGACAATATGAAGGATATTTGATCACGCGAACTCACGTTGTAGACCAGGACAGCACTCCATTCGCCAGGCCAGAGATGGAAAAGCACTGGCTACCCGAGCTCGCGGCACGCTTATTCCATACATTGTTGTAGACTTTGTATCCACCAGTGGCTGCGCTGCCCCATTGATCACAATTTTGGGCTCGTGGCTTGACGGTTTTGCTTGCCGTTGGGATGGCGGATGCTGAAGCCAAGAGGGCCGCAGTAAGGAGTGCTTGTGTGAACTTCATAGTCGCAGATCGAACGCTGAAGGCTTCTGAGTTGGTTTCACTAAGGTTGGAAGAGAATGAAGGAGAATCGGGGCCAGCCCTTCTCTTTTCAATAATAGAAGTGACAGTGAAGTCTCCCAGTAGTGAAGGCTGTGCAGGAACAGGGAGCTCGCGAACAAGGAAATATTCTAAGCATATCCTTCCTCACCTCTCAACTTGCTGAGCAGTACATTTATGAATAGTTGCAAGTAGATCAATCAAGAAATTACCCCAGAACATCTTCCCCCGTCGCCCGAAACGATTGGAGACAGCCTTGTCTGCAAAAGAGCTAGTAATACTTAAAATACGAGCGGATCTTATTCTTGGCCTTCCTCCTCGAGCACGAACTGACAGAGTATGGAGTAGGTACTGCAAGACATCAATTCATTGTTTGAGCTTGAATACTGCTGTCTTTAATGCCATTGATGTTAAAAGCTTGTGGTGTACTCTAGTAGAGGCTTGGGTTGGAAGCGAAGGATTGTGAAACGCGCGGTGTTGCGTGTATGACAGAGACACGGATTCATCATTCTCCAAACCACAGGTGTGGGCGGCGACCGTTTCGGCAATGAATTCGTATATGGTCTTCTAAGGTTGTACGTGGTGATATTTACGGGCTGTAAGTTGCGGTTGCATGGGAGAAGTTGCTAGCGTAACTGCGGGGCGCGACTATTCGTAACCTGGGGCCGCTCCGGTCTCGGTGAGACTACATTGTTAGTAATCTACACTGTAGAGCATCGCATAGTAACTTCTAATGCCTATGCTAGCTGCTTAGTAGAATAATAATATAGGAAAGAAGAATTAAGTAAATAATAGACGTAGAATTTGATACTATAGCTAATCCTAACTATTCTAGGCATACTACCTACCTAGCAAATAAGGTTCTACGACCCTCGTATTAACGTATAGTTCCTGCTATATAATCTTAGTATAATCTAGTATATTTACTAGCGCCGTAGGTACTAGTAGAGCCCTCGGAGCGGGCGGCGGCGGCGGTAGTAGCGGTAGTAGCGGCGGCGGCATTATACTCGGCTTACAACTACGTAGAAGGGCTTAATAATATAGCTATCGATAGCGATAGTAAGATTAATAGCGGCGGCGGTAAGGTTAAAACAGCGATTAAAACAGCGGTAACGGTGAGGTCTAATAGTAGAGAATATAACTAACAAATTTGCCTTAGGCCTCCTCCGCGATCGGATGCCCGGATTCTCGAATAACCGGAGTGGATTCTCGAATAGTCTCGCCCCGGATCCAGCGGGTGATGACGCTCTTGCGAAAGTAGGCGTGGGGATATTGCCGAGACTTCAGGACGCTCCTACGAAGCGAGTATGTTCTCTTTCATCGATCGCGCGAGATACAGCCTCTGAATAGACGCCGTATCCTCTGCAGAACCGAGCCAGATTCATGTCTGATGCCCCGACCTGAACCTCTTCCATTCCGAAAGTAAGGCGGCATTCTCTTCAAATACTCGGCATTTCCCTACTCATTCCGAAGCACGAAGCGATATCGGTATGGCAACTTGTGTTGGCGAAAAGGTGCAAAGTAGCGAATCGCCGCATTGACCAGATCTCCAACAGTTACGCCACCATTTTGCTTGACTTCCTCCTCGTGGATAACCGCAAAGCAACTCTTGTGAACCAACATGGTGACGTGCTTGACAAGCGGCCTGGCTACCGATAACGACATCCACGTGTAAGCAGTGTCTGCCTCCAGTTCTGGAACATCGAAAATGCTTGCGATTTCCAACTCTCCCTGCTTGAGTTGTGGATACGGCCGGTGCCAGGCCTGCTTCTCACGGTCGGTGTGCCAGTCGAAGATGAATTCCGGTAGCACAGCCGGCACATGAAATGGTGATGCCTCCTCACTGCAAGCTGCTGGGACGTATAGGGCTTTCTGAAGGCGAGCAGATTCGTTGATGACATCGCGGAATGCAGTATTTACGCGCTTCCAGATGAAAAGGTCTTGCGGACGGACATCCTCCAGTATGTGCTCGGCCAGCTCAAAGATCGCGAACACCTTTGCAGCGCTGCTTTGGATATTGTTCTGCGCAGATCAGCACCGAGCGCATAATGTAGGCGGGAGTCTTACTTCTGTCTTGTCGCGCGCAGCAGATCTTCGCTTCTGCTTCCTGATTTCTGCCTCTGCGGTCTCGAGCGACAGGGACTCCAAGTCATCTGCAAGCAAGTCGACAGCATTGACTTCTGGCAACGGCTGTAAGTCATGCATCAATGGCGAACGTGATGGCGGAACCATCGCGAACTTGACGAGCCCAGAAATGGAAGTGCTTGACTCTGAAGTGAGCCTGGCAACGGCGCAAAAGTCAGCCGCCGATGCCAAGCACTCACATGCATGAGCGTTGCCGCGTCGCAAAGTCTCAAAATCATGGTCACAGCACACTTTGGATCATAGCATCAACATTGACATCGCTTGGATCTCATTAATTCTACTTAGATGCATGCGAACTTGGCAACACCGCGTGATATATCCACCCGCTTCCACGCTCTTTTGTCGCTGCATACACATCGGCACTTCTTGGAGCTTTCAGGTAAGTACTATCATGCTTGTAAGACTCTTACAATAGAACGGTCAGACACGATTTCAGCTCTGTATCAAGTCAGCAATCGTGCTACTGGGAAGCTTACTCTTGACGAGCTCGCCAACTACAGGTATACGAATTGGCTGAACCATAGGAATCAGATCATACTGCGCGAGCGTCCAGTGCTGCAATCAAGCCTCGACTGGCAGGGAAAATGGATAAGACAGGACAAAAATCTCTCAACACCTTGGACGCTCTGGGGCTCGGCCTTAAATATCTGGATCGAAGCCGTCTAAGCACTGATTATTGATCAATCATCAACTCATTGAATTGTAAAGACAGCACTCGTGCTTTAGACTTCTGGCCCGTGTTTAGACTAGAAATACTCGTTAGTCAAAAGATTTGCAAAGGCGATGAGAAGATCCGTGACTTACTTGATCTGGATCGTCTTGGTCTGCAAATACTCATTCAGACCTTCAAGACCACCCTCACAACCATACCCAGATTGCTTCACACCACCGAATGGAGTGTCCGGAGCAGGGAAGTACCAGTCATTGACCGCAATGGTTCTGATCGTGCTTCTCTTAGAGCAGGCTGGTCAAGACGAGACGGCCGTCGAGTTTAACCACCTCCCTAAGATCTCGTTGACAGCTTCCGGCTGCTCCTACAGTACCCAATGGCCAGCGTCAAGTGGATCAATAGTGATGTTGCTAAAGTATCGAGACATGTTAGCCCAGATTAGTTCCGGGAAAATAGCATCCAGACTAGTTCCTAGGAAAAGAGCAGGCATCCGAAACAGTATACTTTTAGCTCGGTTAGCATTGGATCTCTCGTCCTCCCAGTCCATCTAATACACTCTGTACCAATTGTTCGGACCACGAAATCCTTGCTTAGCGAAGTTTTCGAACCATATGTCGAGTGTTGTGAAGTTGATTAGCTGCGTTGGCTGCAACGTCGGCAGTTGATCCAGATTATACCCATCATAAGGCGAAAAGGCACTTTGATTGTCCTGAGTTAGCCCACCGTACGCGCCATTAAGCAGGTCCCGGATCTGAGCCCGACTCTGGAAGTTGCGCTCCCAAGCAAAGTCTCGCCACTGCAATTGGTACCCGAGCAATGGATATGTCCCATTTTCAACGAACACCGAGAGATCCACCTAAGGAGTGCCCGACACTTTGAATACCCAGGTATATGGCACGCTGACGGTGAAGAAGGCCTTGACCAGATCAGGATACCAGATTGGCATCTTGTAGGCAATGCCCACACCCCAATCATGACCACCCACCTAAACTCATTACTTATATTGACAAATGGCCACATGATGCTATCCGGCAGTAAGTAATCGCCAAGAACATCGCGAGCTTGTAGGCCGTCACAGCATGAGCACAGCCCCATAGCACCATCCGAGGAACAATAAGGCTGGCCATTGATTACTGATCGATTGAAATCTGGGCTCGTCCGAGTGTGAATGATGGCTCTTTCTGCGTGGACCACATCATCCTTTGCCCACGGCTATCGCACCAGCATTCCGGACAGAGAGTGTCCGATCGTGAGTATTACTTCAACCAGAACGGCTGTGCCATTGCCTTGAACCCACCCTCAAACAACATGATGCGATTGCTTTGGTCGAGCGGAGTTGTATACGTGGTGAGTTCGTAAGACCGTGAGCTTTGGGCAGAGAAGAGGTGCCGATGTTGATGCATTGCTTCAATGAGAACGGTCGTGCTACGGCGCTGAACAGTAGAGCAGCATGTACTGATGTGTTGGATCGACCGGCATCTGGCACTATTCTATGTCGACTGCGCAGGAGTCCAAGACGGAGTGAAACACCATCAAGTCCTGGTCTGCCGGCCCGAGAGACTCCGAGAGACCCTGAGATTGAGATCTTCTAGAAACGCGTAAGGGACAGGAAGGGACATTTGCTCGTTTCTGCACTTCACTTCACAGCAACCAACATTATTGAACGACTCTGCGACCGACAGCAACGTCAAGCCCAAATCTGCGCGCCTTTAGTAGGGCCATAACCAACTTGATCCGTAGCATTCCCCGCGTCAGAAAACATGGACTTCTCCGACAGCACGACGCAATACACATTAGGAATCGCAACCCTCGCCCTACTCGCCGCCTACTTCCTCCTGCAACCCACGGGTCTCGTAAAATGGCTCCAGAAGAAAAACTACCAATACGAAGTGACATTCTCCCTATACATGCTGACACCAACCGAGAAATTCGTCTTCAGTAAGTTTGGCGCAACCCGTACGTACGTACCCCTATCTCTCTCATACTGACATTCTTTCTTTTTTCAGACTCTATCGCTTTCCTCTCCCTCTCAATGCTTACCATCGCTACGTTCATGTACCTTCCCGACCACGTCATGACCATCAGTCGACGAACGTACTACTACTTTGCTGGTGGTGACGGCTCGGCCTCGCCCAGGTCTGCCGCGGAGAACTTGTATGGCACTGCGACGAGAGCGGCGGGATGGGCGCAGACTGCTTATCAGGCTGCTATGAATAGAACGGTGGCGGAGGTTGCGCAAGAAGTTGCGACGAACGCGGCGGAACAGGTGCCGTTGGAGGTGAACTGAAGAGTCTGTGGTGTACCGATGAGAGGGAGTGCAATATGCAAAATTTAGCGGCGGTGTTCAAGAGGCGTTTTTCTTTTGCGGTATCGAAATGACACGGGTGTGGTCAGTAATGAGCATTTTTCGGGCATTGGGGCACAGAAGACTGGGAATTGGACAAAGTGAGATGGGTACAGCACTGGCATGCATATATGGGAGCATAACTTCAAACGCATCGCGCAAAATTGCAAAATCATTTCACGGCGCATGTCAAGGGTTCAAAATTCGTTTATTTTGTCTGCTTATACCACAACTGCCTGCAGGTCGACTGCCGAGTTTCGACTGATCTCGTAACTGAGGATCGAATGATCAGCATAAGTCAGCATTAACCGCCACCGCTTCTGCTCGTCTAGCAAATGCTCAGTTCCCTGTATGGGGCCGGCAGCAATGCCAAGTAAAGGTGCGAATGGCCTCTCCATCTGTTCTTCTTGGGAGGCGAAAGGTACGATTCTCTCAACCCGCATCGCATACTTGGTCTTCTTCTCGGCCTTGACATCTTGAAGGTGAGAAGGATATCGAGCTGATTTGGAAAGCTTGGTCAGAGATAAGATCATAGCTCTGCCTTTTTGGGAAGCTAGGACGACAATGCCTATGCTGGGAATGTAGGCGTTCATGTTTAACCTTTCATAGACGTTCAGCCAGGCGAATTCTTGTTGGACGAGTTGGTGGAGAGCATTTGTGAACCCGACAGTGGGTGATGCGAAAGGATCTTCTTGCCCTCTTTGGTTCGGTGGTTGGAGCAGGTAGACGTTCCTGACGGAGGCGTGAAGAATTGGACAGGGAAGGTCGCCACAAAAGCCGGCCTCTTGCTTGGAGAAGAGTCTCGGCTCGTTTCCATAGATCCGGCGGCCACCATACATTGCGGAGAAGGAAGGTGAGTCTTCCGTGCCTTCGTCATCCATATCGGCATCAGCTAAGTATTCCAAATCATCATCGTCTTCAAGGTCATAATATGCCTCGAGATGTTCCTCGACATCGGAAAGGTCAAGTTCGACTCCTCCACTCTCATTGGAGTGCACTTCCGAGCTTTCATCCTGGGTCGTCGTATCCTCGGTTTCAGAAGATGTGGTGGTAGGACGCAGACGTGGACTTGACGTGGTAAGTGGACTGGATATCGATGACTGCCTATCCCGCAGCTTTCGCTTCTTGTTCGAGGTGAACTTCTCCGAGCAATCGGGTACGTGAGACACTGTGGCGCCAATATCCCATAGCTTCGAACCATGCTGGACACCCGGGAGGGTTTCATTTGACTCCAATCCAACGGCTGCGTGGAAGCTCTTCTCCGGTATAAAAGACTTTCGGTCAAGAAAGAGGATGCCCCAACCGGAGTTGAAGCGATCATGGGAGGTGAAGTTGGCTGAAGCCACACCAAAACGGAAGGTCTGGGCTGGCTGCATGTTGTCCAGATCTATGGATCGACAGAAGCCACTAATATCAGTCGTCAGCAACCACTTGCCTTTGGGGTCGTCGCCGGTGTTGCAGAAGCATATGTGAGGAATGTTTGATGTGCCATTGAAGACCGACGCCGTGGCATCCAATTGCCGTGAGGAAGCACGGTGCGCTTCCGCATCGTTTGGAGTTGCGTCTTCCGGCTCCGCGACCAGTCCAAACTTGAAGACAGTGATGCTATGCGTGTTGGCACTGACTGCAAGTATGCGCGCTTGGGAGTGGATTGCCAATCCCCACGCCGACTTTCCAACATTGCTTTGGAAGATCGGCTTCACTTCGTCGGCTCGAGTATCAATGCGACCATGGTGCTCGGTTCGTCTTTCGATTGCTTGGAGAATGTGTCGCACGAGGAAAGCATCGACATCGCCGTCGTCTCGCACAACAGCTACGACTTCTTCGTTGCCGAGGAACTGTACGACTAGGTTATTGATCGAATGTGGATTAGTTGAATCCAAATAGCCTTGGAGTGCCGGTGTCGATGGCTGCGAGGGCACAATGAGTGCAGGCTTGGGCGGCAGTGCCTGCGTGGAGAAGTGCGGCACGTAGACATAGATCTGGCTGCTGTAAGCCACGAAGAAGAGGTTTTGCAGCTGTGATAGGCCGGTCTGGTGGCAGAGTCAGAGGCATGTTCTACAGACCGCTGCGGCATGCAAGACCGCGGTTGCACGCACCAGATTGCACCTCCATTGGGCAATGCGAGGCCCATCTTCGCAGTCGTTCCCGCGACGCCGTTTGCCAAATCTGCCCTCGTACGTCTGGACGCCCGTGGCGACAATGGACGCTTCCTGGAAGCTCCGCTTGCCCATGCCCATGCCCATGCCCATGCCCATCGCCTGCCCATCGCCTGCCCATCGCCTGCCTTGGGTGTCGTCTGGCGGTGGGGATGTGTGAGGACTGACGTGCAGAGTGCAGACGCTCTGGCGAATAGCACGGAATGACGCCGGGCAGTTTCGCTGCACCGCACCTTCGCACCTGAAGAAGTGCGTCGTGATACAGCTGCTACGCGAAAATGCCACCACTTTGTTGCCTGAGTCGCGCACGGCTGCCTGCTTCTCCTTTTCGACTTCCACTTCCACTTCGACTTCACGTCCCAAAACAGCACACGGTGATCGGAACGGGCGCACGTCTCGCCGGTTGAGGAATCCCATCAACAGGGGCCCATGCTCGGCCACGCACACCCACTCGCTGCTAGCTGAGTGTTCGCCGAGACAATGCTGTCGTTCTGTCGAGAATGACGCGCGAGCCAAACGCCGTGCGACCATCCACATCTCCTCCTACTGGCCGCTGCGAAGAAGCTGCAATGGAGCCCGCCGTGGCCGGTGCCGTCACCAGCACCGTCACCGTCTCCGTCACCGTCACACCACCCGGCCGGTCGCATCGAGCAGACCGTCCGTTCCGCGGCCACTGTCTCTTTGCCAGCTCACTGCGGCCTGCGGGAGTCGACTGCTCGCCATCCGCTCGTCTACGCGCATGAGGCACAACTGCCGGCGCATCCAGCCCAACAATCCACTAGAACTATCTGCTCGACTGTACATATCGCGCGGATCGCCACTCCGCCATCGCCATCGCCATCGCCATCGCCATCGCATCTCCAGCATGGTGCGACGCAGTGATGCACGTTGCAGGCGCATAGGTATGTAAGAACACCTGCTCCTGCCTGTCCTGTCTCTCATGCACATGCTCGCTAGCTGCCTCCACCGTAGCCCGCACGCCTGTCACTGCTGGGATCTGCTCTCGTCCAATATAATTGTGCGACTTTCATGCCGTACAACCACTCATATTTCCTCCTTTTCATTGTTTAAGCGACCCTGCGGCTCCTGAGCCATTGTGTCACTTCTTCATCCCATACCGCGCTGACTGCGGCTTATTGCTGCAGCTATCACGAAAGGCAACTGGCCCGTCCAGGATCTTCTTAGCCTTCACTCCGGTCTCGACGTCTTACTGGCCTACTGCACCGCTGGAGAGTCCGTAAAATCCTGCTCACTCCATTGCTAGCCCACCTCGAGTACATGCAAAAGACCAAAACAGGGCTCTACGCCATCAAGTGTAACACATGAAACCGCGCATACTCCCGGCTCATACACGCTCTCAAGCATTGCCGATGATCGCGCAGAAATTAGACCTCGATATCAATCCTCGATGCCAGCATCAAAGGCATATCTCGAAGACATACTTATAGCTTCATCGCCGCCCACCCCGGAATCGACATACTATGCTTGATCCACACTACACATCTCCATACGATAACAAGAAACTCGAAGTCAATCTCTGGCTGCAAGACATACCATCACCCTATTCACGCATTGTGTATCCTGCCAACTACGCCCTACCTCAATCAACCATCACAAACAGTTGCATCTACGGGCCGTGCATCATGGTCCGAGCCTCAGAAAGAAGCTTGTCCAACCTTGCCAGCTCAGGCACTGTCCTACTCTTCACACCAGTCGTTCATCCAGCCGGCGCGGTTAAGGCGACCAGTAAGACCTCGACGCAGATGAACATCGACCCTTTCGAATCGCTAGGCCGTGCCCTAAGCCGCTATCACAAGCGCATTCGCCACGTGCCATACGTGCCGAGAATCGGTTTCACAGAAACACACGATGCCTTCCTCAGTCAGGCCGACGCCGTGATCGTCGTCATGTGCGAGCCAGAGACGTTCAAACACGAAGGGCTGGGCAACCAAGGCGATTTCGTGGAAAGCGCGAACGAAGCACTGAAAGAAAGTCTTGCTGGACGACCAATGAAGTATCCGTTGATCGTCATCCAATGTGGCAATCAGGAGGGGAGTTGGTGGCCCGATGCTTCATCCTTCGAGACACTGATCAAGTGTCGTTCCTATGACCAGGATATGGCGCTGGCGATTGCCAAGAGGCTATTTTCATGATTCGATCACGACCAATCGATCTTGAGGATGGAATCAATTATCGGACCCGTCGAGTCGACTTTTGAGCTGGAGTTGAACTTTGATGATTTCTTTCCCTGGACGGCAGTTATGAGCACTTCTGATCTGATGCGAGCGTTTGGCATTCCATCAGCATAGCTTTTTTTTTACTGTATCATATACGCTGGAGAAGGGAATGTTGCTGCAATTTTCGTGGTGGATCGTAGTTGTTTGGAGATACCCCGATACCCTGAAGGGCAAGGCAAGGCACACTCGTTCTGGTTGGGAATGGGGTTTTGGCATTGGACCTTTTTTGCGATTCCGGTACATAGGTATACGTAGAACGCTGCCCATACATACTTATCTTTTCGTGCATGTCAGAGGCTTCGAGGCAGGTGGAGAATTTTCTGGCTTACCTACACAAGAATCTCAAGATTTTGGGGTATCGTATGGGTTGTCTATCATTTATCTCTTTCTGCTTCGAACAAGCTGCTACTCGAGGAGCGTTGCTTGATCAGCCGGTCGGCAAACTATCGACCACCATCTCGCCACCGTTCAACTGACTCCCACCACCATGCACCTGCCTCTCGCCCACAAACTCACTAGGCCCACTTTCCCCAGAAGAATCTGTCTGCGTACTCCCCGACTTCATATTCGCCTTCCTCTTCCTATTCATCTCCTCCTCATGCGCAGCATCACTGAAAATTTTCAAACTTCCCACCACCATGATCACAACAGCGAACAGCGCGGCGATCGTGCGTCTCGTCAAAACCCATCTCAAGCCCTCAACCTCAGATTTCGCATCAGCCTGCAAATCCACGGTAATCTGATAATTCAGTCTTTGAAGCTTGGCTTCTACGGAAAGTTGTTCGTTCCTCACGGCCATTTTTCGATCATCGAACATGCCTTTCAACTCGTCCTTAAGAGCTGCACTTTCTTGTCCGAGTCTCTGGGTTAGGATTTCAACTTCGTGTTGGAGTTGGTCGCGTTCTGTTCGCATTTTCTCTAGCTCGGCTTTCCGGCGCGCTGTGACTTCGGTTTTGAGCTCGGCGCAGGCTGCGCGGAAGAGGTAGGTTTCGTTTTCGACTTGGGATTTGGAGACGAGGGCTTCGCGGGCTAAGTCCATATTCTGGGCTAGCTGAAGACGTACGGCTTTCATTGTTGTAATTGCTTGTTCTTCGGACCAGCCTGAGTCGACGAGGCGACGTACGAGGCCATAGGTGTCAAAGTGGTGAACGTAGCGAGGTGTGTCAATGTGAGGTGCTTTGTCCGACGGAGTGTGCTCGTCAAAGGTTCTGTCGGGATGCTCCTCTTCCGCCGACTGCTGGAATGAGGAGCTGGACTGCTCTTCTGCGTGCTTGCTCGGATCAGGGACGGTTTGTAGAATCGACTCTAGAGGTTTGTCCGGTGGCGCATCGGGTATGCCTGGCGGCTTTTCTGTTGGGTGAGAGCTTCCAGCATCACGCATGGGATCTCCGTGTATCTGGGACGAGAGCCCTCCATCTACTGTCGAGACATCCTTCTGCTTGGTTTTTTGCGCTTCCTTCTGGTTCTTGACCTCAACCTCGCCAGCTTGCTGAAGCTTTCCATCAATCTTGGGCAGCGCCTTCTTTTCCTCCTCGGGCTGATCTTGCTTGGTCGGCGGACCGAGGCCTTTTCCTCCTCCCAGATGCGGTGGCGGCTCGTTCGCGGTGCCATATCGTGGCTGCTGAGGAGCTGGTCCTGCTGGTCTCCTCCGTTGCGATGTTGGGTGATAGGCACGAATGCGAACTGCAGCTCTGGCAGACCGGGCGGCAGGATTAGAAGAATCGAACCCTTTCGCCAGCATCGGCCATAGGAAAGGCAGCCTTGGAGCGGCCATATTGGCCGATGCGTAGCCTGATCGCAACAGTTCTGCGAAGTGCTCTCGCTCTTGCTCGTGACTGTTTCACAAACAAATGACATCGGCGAATGACTCGGACCCTGGCCTGCGCAAGGGTCGCACCGGGAATGCGAAGGCTTCGAGTCGATTCCTCCCAGGAAGATTCATGATCACGGCACACGATACAATACATCGACCATATCTTCTTGTGGCCAGCTACAGCCAGCAGGTCCTCACTGAACACGTTCGAAATCATTCCTCACGAAAAATCTGGCCGTTCCTGCAACGCGTACCAACAAAAGCAACTACGGCAGCATGGCCCGATACCGTCTGGAGCCGACGTGGTCTTCACAGAGGTCTTCTCGTGCAGCAGACGTATTTCAAAGCAGATGGTAGAAGTGTGACAAAGAAATGTGGGAAGTACTCCCTCTTTCTGCACTCCACGGCCCGAGACGTATGAACTTTCCCGAAATGTACCGTCCACACGGTAGAACCCACCATACGTCGTATCGGAAGTAGTCACCATTCGTAGAAGAGTCTGCTCACGAAGCATCAAAGGCTTTGAGATCATCGAAGATGCCTGCAGCAGAGTTATGTATTTATTAGCTTCCTGTCACTGACGATGAAGACTCATATTGTTACCACCAGCACATGGCAGCAGCGCTCAAGCACATCACACTCGGGAAGGATCAAGCATAGCTAAGGCAAGCTGCTCGACACTTCATGGCACCACAACAATCGATACCACTGGCCGCGAATGTCCTGGGCACTATTGGCACGGTCCTCTGGTGTATTCAATCACTTCCACAAATATGGCACAGCTACCGCACAAAAAGCACCGAAGGCCTACCAGCCGCCATGACCTTTCTCTGGGGCACGTCAGGCTTACCCTTCGGTGTCTATGCTATCTGCCAGAATTTCAACATACCCTTACAGATACAACCTCAGATCTTCGGGTTCTTGTTCACAGTCAGCTGGGGCCAGTGCATGTACTATGGGCGTGGCTGGAGAGCATGGAAAGCCGTACTTGCGGTAGCAATCATCGCTATCGTGTTTGCGGCACTGGAAGTGGCGCTGATCTTGACTCTGAGACCATTGTATTGGAATGATGGGGTCGAATGGCCTATCACCATGATCGGAGTGGTCGCATGCGTTATGCTTCTCGCTGGATTCATACCTGTTCCATTCGAGCTTATAAAGCGTCGAGGACGAGTCATTGGTATCGACTTCTGGTTTCTCTTGATGGACTCATCTGGTGCCCTGTTCTCTCTGCTGTCTCTGCTTGTGCAAGACACCTTTGACGCAGAGTTTGGTGCACTGTACATTCTTTGCGTGGTATTTGAGTATGCCATCTTTCTCTCACACGGCGTGTGGCTCTTGAGGACGCGCGGAATTCGCAAGAGAGCTCAGGAAGCACAAACCGACTATGACGATTTTCCTGAGGCGATAGAATGGCAAGCCAAAGCATGGACACTTGACTGGCTGTCCTTGAAGCGCATGCGGCGATCGAAGATAAATTTAGAGGAAGATGTCTCGAGGCTCGATGAACCCGTCGATGCCAAGGTATGATTGCATGGACGCAATGCACTGCTCGTAGCAATCCAGGCTATTGGCGGTCTAGAATCGCTACTGTCTCCCTTCCGACTTGCAGCCTCAATTGCCAAGATGCCAGACTTTGAGCATCATGCTAGATTCTCTCGCCGTCCGAAAGTCGAAATCATTTGCCAGTCGCGGACCAAATGGCTTCCAGCAATAGGAAGCGCAGGACCCATGCTTGAGTGACAGGACTAGGAGGAGCAGATCCGTCGCAAAGGCTGCGTGGAAGCGTTTAGCGAACATTGCTGATCAAGTCTGTCACGCCGTGCTACATAGTTGATCGAAACGAGCATCGCAGAAATGTGATACTATCAGCGAGATCGTTACTGATATTAGCCGATAACGGCTTCAAAGTTTATCCGACTACACCTTGTGCCCTGTAGACAGAGCTCGTCAGCACCACCTCCCTCGAATGCAAACATCCCTAAAGATGATATTCACGCCCAGACTCATTGTGGTGCTACTATTGGCTCTTTTGGGCCTTTCATCAGCCAAACTGAAAGCCCATCATCTCCCTCCACTCAAAGAGCAAGCCAAACTTCAAGATGGCTGGCGAGAGGAACGACTTGCAACAATCCCATCAATTCTACAAGAACGGGGTGTAGATGCGTGGCTGGTACATACAACATCTATCCCAAGCATACTCACAATCACTGACACGTCACAGATCTCGCAAAGAGAATACGCCGAAGACACGGCCTTCTGGTCTATGAAAAAAGCAACACAATTCTCGGCTCGACGCAGAACTCTCTCGATCTTCTTCGCCGACCCAGCATTTGAATCTAAGACCTGGATCGACAACACGCCTGGACTCTGGGACGAGCTAAAGGATATTCTTGAAGCATGTGATCCAGGATCTATCGCCATCAACGTAGATTCTGAGATCGCGTTCGCTGGTGGTCTGCATGCTGGTGAGTTTCAACAGCTTCTCAAGCAACTGGGTTCACCGTGGAAGGAAAGACTTTTCGCTGTGCCGTTGGTCGCTGTTCAGTATATCGCTACTCAACCTAGGTCAAGATTGTTTTGGTATCAGAAGCTGATGGAGACGGCTTGGGCGGTCATCGATGAGGGATTCAGTGAACGGACTATAACACCCGATGTGACTACGACTGAGGATGTGGAGTGGTGGTTCCGTGAAAAATTACAGAGTATGAATTACAGTACTTGGTTTCATCCGAGTGTTACTGTGCTTCCTGGGTTCTTGGAACCGAATATGTCTATGGAGATGATTCCACGTGCTGAGAAGGCTATCAAATATGGAGATCTACTACACGTCGACTTCGGTCTTACCGCTCTTGGACTCAATACCGATACCCAACATCTCGCCTACGTCCTCCCTCCAGGGCATAGCAAAAAGGACATCCCAACCGGCCTCCTCGCCGGACTAAGGAAAGGAAACCGTCTCCAAGACATCGTCAAATCTCACATGAAAATCGGACTCACCGGCAACGAAGTCCTAGCCCGATCTCGCAAAGCTATGCATGACGAAGGCATCGAAGGAAGAATCTACTGTCATCCGATCGGAGATTGGGGGCATTCTGCTGGAGCTGTGATTGGGATGACGAATTTACAGGATGGGGTACCTGTGCTTGGTGATTTGCCGATTTTGAAGAATATGTATTATAGTATTGAGCTTTTTGTCGAACATTTTGTGGAGGAGAGGAATGAGACGCTGATTTTTCCACTTGAGGAGGATGTGTATTGGGATCGGGAGACGAGGGATTGGAAGTGGGTGTTTGGGAGGCAGGAGGAGTTTCATCTTGTGAGAACAAAACATGCTGGGAAGGTTGAGATGGTTGTGCAGAAGGGGGATTTGTAGATGTCGTTGGCAGAGGTTCTTGATGATGCCGCGCGTAGCATTCTGGTTTCTTGAAGACATACTCATCTGTCAAATGTAACCCATGCCTCGAAGCAAGGCCGAATGGCAATCCCTCGATCCGTGACCCGTAATGATGGGGTTGAGAGCGTCCTCGACGGCAGCAAAGTCGAAGCGAGGAAGATCGATGCGGAGATCGCGGGAGAGACTGCCAAGGCTTCTCCCGCTGCAGGGGTCGCCTGTGGCTTCCCGCATCAAGTGCAAGCTGTTCGAACTAGCCCAACCAAATCCAGCCGGACTCACTCTGCTCAGGAACACATTGTCGCATTGACACAAACACTTGGCTGGAGAGTTCCTGAATTGACCCGGTTTGGCGACTACCACGCGATGACGATGAACATCTTCAGGATACTCGGTATGCTACACGATCTTGTGGAGAGCTACGGATAGAAACTGACGAAGCAATAGGCGACTTGTCGCACCTCGCGTCAATCTTCATATTGCTGGCCAAGATGAAGTCTTCAAGTGTATGCAATCATCAGATTCTCTCAAGCCCAATACAAGCTGACATCTATTTCCCAGAGCGCATCCGGTATCTCCTTCAAATCGCAATTCCTATACCTCACAGTCTACGTAACGAGATATCTCGACTTGTTCTGGACCGATCCGACTAAGAGTCTTTGGAACACGACATTCAAGATCATCTTCATCGGAGCGCAAGGATATACGATATATCTTATGCTGAACGACTACAAGCCAACACACGACCCGAATCAAGATACGTTCAAGGTGGAATACCTAGTGGGAGGGGCTGCAGTCTTAGGCTTACTGTTTCCATACAAGTACAAGCCGGCTGAGATGCTTTGGGCTTTCTCAATCTGGCTGGAATCTGTGGCTATCCTTCCGCAACTGTTCATGTTGCAAAGGACAGGAGAGGCTGAGACGATCACGACGCACTACCTGGCTGCATTGGGCGCATACCGAGCACTGTACATTCCAAACTGGATCTGGAGATATTTCGCTGAAGGGGGATACTGGGATCCAATCCCTGTCTTTGCTGGCATCATCCAGACTGTGCTTTACACGGACTTCTTTTGGATCTACTACACCAAGTAAGTCTTGCCGCCAAAGAAGCTCTTTATTCGGCGACCTATTACTGACGTGACTGCAGAGTGCTTCAAGGCGGAAGGTTCAACCTTCCGGTATAGCATGCTCGAAGGAAGAGCGGGCCGCGCATCGAGGGTCCTTTCAAGTATGACTTCAAGGGACGATCAAGGGCATGGAGCACTTTTTAATGCATAGTCAGGCGTGATGGCTGCATTGGCGTTGAAAAGAGCCGGTGATATGGCGATTCTGGAGGGCACAATGAGAAGAAGTAGGAGTCCAGGATAAGTCTATGGCTGGGCTGATGATATGATACCATGTACGTTTCAGAGAAGCAGATGCGATGGTGTACGAGCAGTGAGCAAGGCTTGTCTACCGCGACGGCCTGAACACTAATGATACGAAGCTGAACCCATTCCCAGCCTGGCGTGGGGTGGGGTGACAGCAGAGAGCGTTTTGGCGCCCAGCGGAAGCTTCACGTAGGCAGCCCGTATTTAGGCAACGAGACCAAATTTTCACAGGTCAGTCTCAGCAGTGTTGACTGGCAGCAAAGTGAACGAAGGCGCGCTTGGCAGAGGGTGAACGATATGCTTAGTCTAGCATAGACCCTAGCAGCGCCATGGTTCGCGTAGGAAGCATTGGGCTGTATCGGATGCAGGTCCAGAGTCAGGACCCCCAGCTCGGTGCCTTCACCTCACCCTTCTTTCGGCATTATTGTTGGGTCACAGGGAGACGTAATGAGGCGTTCGCAGCAAAGTGAAGTCGGTGACGTGCCATTGCCATGTATAGCATTACTCGCGGCTCAGTTCTAGAGCTACACGTGATGGGCAGGTCTGCAGTGGTGTTTGTGCGCAGCAAATGAGCTGCGTCACACTCCGCGATTGAGCTTGCTGATCGCCGAAGCTTGACTCGCCAGTGCTGCTGCTGAATCCACACCACGCACCACCCAACCACGCCAACTCATTACCCTTTTGTTGCTGTATCGTACATACATGCTTGGGGCGTGCTGAGCGTTCTTACTTGATTCCATCACTGCGCATCGCGCGCGCACACACAATCCGCCATGGCCGATTTGCAAGAGCTGTTCTCGCGACTCAAAGCCCAAGGTCCAAACGATCCAGCAACTCCAGCTCAGCAGCAACAGAACAACGCACAGAGCGGCATTTGGGCATCGTCGCCTCTCCCAACACCACATCAACCGCCATCGGTGTCCTCACCGCAATACACACCACAAGTATCCACGCCCGACCCTCGCCACGCATCGAATGTCATCAGCCCGGTCAATCCATCCTCACACGTCGGAACGCCAAATCCAGATCTCAACCGTACCAGCAACCTGCTGAACCTCCTCAAGTTCAGCAGCCAGCCTGGGCAGAAGGAGCAGAAGGAGCAGACGGGAGCTATGGGTGCACTTCACAATGCTCGCCAGTCGGTGCACCTTCCCACCACTGTGCAAGCTCGTGATAGCGTGCACTCTCGCGGCGAGGCTCGACCGCTGTCTGCTGCCGACCTCATGAATAGTATTCAGCGCTCATCCTCAGGCAGTATCATGACCAGCTCAGCAATGGCTGGCGCGGGGGCTGAGCGACCAGACATGTCTCGCTCCGCTGCCAACTCGAGCACCAACCAGCAGGACTTCCTGCTCAATCTTCTTAAGCCGAAGACAGCATCACCTGCCGTTGAGCAAGCACCACAGAGATCACTCAGCCACCAACCTGACGTCGACAACATGGCCAGAGAGTTTGCGCAGGCCTCGATTGCTACCAAGCAGCCTCACTCAAGCGAAGCCACGCCAGTCCACCAGTTTGGTAGCCCTGCCACGACACCTTTCGCAGCTCCACTGTCCACCAAGTCATCCATGTTCAGCTACGTCAATCCGTTCGATCAACTACATTCGAGCTCGCCACTCAACAAGTCGCGACCGGAAGAGCAGGCAAACCAGCCCAAGAAGATCGAGATTCTCAAGCACGATCGGAGTACCTCTGGAGCTAGGAACGGCGAGTCTCCGGCGCATAAGAGCAGAAGAGTCGAAAGCGTGCGCACTGCTTCGGCACTGTCGGACAATAGGAGTGGACAGAGCGTGTCGCAAGCTCTCGAAGGTGTCGGTGAGCAGGTTGACAAGCAGGTTGAGCAGGCTCTTGCAGACGCCGACCTCAAGGCACCCTCCACCAAGACCGCTACCGACGATGAACTGGTCGTTAAGAAAGATCCAATTCCAGCTGCAGATGACGACGTGGAGTCGAATTGGGAGTCGTCCGAGGACACGCACAAGGAGGACGGCAAGGTCGAAGTGTACAACTTCCCTATGAAACCGTTTGTTTCGCTTCAGATCAAGCCGCTGAAATCTGTACGACCGATCCGTCAAGACAACTTCATGGTCATCGCGCAGTTGAAGAAGGAATTCGACCAGATCGACCGCTCGCTCGTCACTGCTAGCCAGACTCACATCGTCTACGCGCAGGTTGCCACGAAGAAAGACAACGGCGGATTCAGAATCATCCGCCAAGACTCTGGCGATCACAAGCAGGTGTTCAGATCTAGCGGCGAGCGCATCTTCAGTGTTCAGCTCTGCACTTCTCCGGTAAATGGATACGACGTCGAGACTGTGCTTGGTACTGGAGTCAATGGATCTGTTTTCTGGACCTCCCTTAACAAGTCGCGAGCCGAGCTCTTCCCAGACGACGATGTCGATGCGAATGGCTTCATCATGCCTTCAGTTGCCACCGCGGAAGAGAACACCTCGGGATCGCCGTTTAAGACACGCGCGAAGGTGAGCTCACGACACCCGGAGTACTTCGCAATCGCACGCGGAAAGAACATCTTCATTATCGCACCAAATACCGCCAAGGACGCTGCTTACTGTGACCCTGGATCGCGCAAGGTTAACAGCGAAAAGTATTTCGGACATCGCAGTTTCAAGATCAACACTGGCAAGGCTGGCAAAGACTTCTGCTTTTCAGAAGACGACACTGTCATTGCAAGCCTCGACAAGAACGGTCGCTTCAAGTTTTGGGACATCCGCAATCTCCTCAGCAGCGCCATGGACACCACTGCAGGCAAGCACGATCCAGTCGACTTGCGCGAACCACTGTGGCAGATGAATGCCGCAGCGTCTGGCAGCAAGCCGGACGAAAAGCCTTCCGTCTCGTCGATCATGTTCTTGGACAAGGAGCGACCAGTTGTGAAGGGTAGCGCCATGCGATATGTGATCATCGGCTTCAAGCAAAACCACATTCTTCAGCTTTGGGATCTCGGGCTCGGCAAAGCCGTGCAGGAGATCCGCTTGCCACATGAGAAGGATAGCGATGGCATCTGCAGCATAAGCTACCACTCAAAGACCGGCATCATCGCAGTCGCCCACCCGACTCGGAATTCGATCTACTTTATCCACCTTAGTGCGCCTAAGTATAACATACCGCACATGGAGCAGGCAAAGTACATCGCTATGCTGGCTCGCTCAGACCCTGCTTTACCGAAGCCAGAGAGCACTGCAATTATGAGTGGACTTAGGGAGTTCTCTTTCGCCAAAGCAGGCCAGCTTCGCAGCATCGACATGCTTAAGACTCCTGTCGAGAACGCGAGCGAGAAGAACACTGCCGGAGAGACACTGTTTGAGCTCTACGTCATGCACTCGAAGGGTGTTGTTGGCGTAAGCATCAAGCGAGAGGATCTGGGCTGGGATGAGAATAGCAAGATGCTCAATCCGAAAGATGCACTTAAGGAGGGCGTGATCGATGTCACCGATCTGCTCCAACCGGCAAAGCTACCGGTAGGCAGCGAGCCATCAAGCAGTGCAGATACCCTGACCAAGCAGAGCTCCAAGGCGCCAGCGCCGAAGAAACATGAGACGCCTAAGGAGCCATCTCCGGCGAAGGACATCAAGAAGGAGCCACGCAAGACGCCCACCCCTGCTCCCCCTGCCAACGGCACACCTCGCATGCTGTCGCCAGAGCCGCCGAACAAGCCTTTGCCACAGATCCCCACCAATCCGCCATTGATGACGCCAGATTCTTACTCGCTTGCTTCTGCGCGTGCTAAGTCCTCCGCCAGCAATCGATCACTCGAAAAGGTCATCGTATCACCACAGGCCGCTGCCGCGCAAGCTGCCACACAGACAGCGGTCACCGGCGACCAGACTGAGTATCACGCTTCGCTGAGCAAGCACTTCGAGCAGCTCTACGCTCGTATTGAATCTGACAAGCGGGTTCAGGATGCCGCGGCTGGGGCCAAGCAAGATGCACTTCTGCGACTTGTGTCATCCACGCTTACTGAGAACGTGGACCGGAGCCTCAGCAGCATCATTGCTAACCGCATCGAGAGCGATGTCATTCCTACCCTGACCGATGTCACCAGTCGAGTCTGTGACCGAAAGATCGCCGAGCTCCTACCACAACAGCTCAACGCCAGCGTCGCCACCGCCATGAAAGCATCGTTGTCCAACACATTGCAGCAAGCACTCAGGGACAAGGAGGTCCACAAGGCTATCTCTGAGATTACTGCCAACCACGTTGCTCAGAGAGTGCAACAGCAAGTCTCAGTGATGCTACAACAACAGCTGCCGGAGATGACTACGCAAGCCGCTCAGCGGATGGTAGGTGACCTCGAGAACCGATTCGCTCAATATCAGCAAACGTCGGAGGCCCAACGTAAGCAGGATGGTGTCAAGATCGACGAACTGTCAACTGTTGTTCGCAGCCTCTCTGCTACTCTGCAGAACATGGCCACAAGTCAGACTGCTTTCCAAGAGCAGATTCTGAAGATGCAACGTGATGGCCGTGGCACACCATCGGCTTCATCTGCTGCACTCACTGCGCCGGAGCCACCACCAGAGGCCGAAGACGAGGACGTCACACGTATGACACAGATGCTCATGGATGGCAAGTTTGAAGAAGCCACTATCCAGGTACGTCACCCTCTTTAGACTGATCATTTCTATGCTAAATTCTCGCAGTGGATCTCGTCCGATCGACAAGCCGACATCTTCGACAAGCTCTTCGTGCGTGTCAAACCCAGCTACTTGCAGTCATTATCCCCACTGGTAGCACTTACCGTCTCTGCGGCCATCACATCGAGCTTCGACACTTACATCAATGAACGCCTTGATTGGCTCGAGCGGGTACTGCAGCAAGTCAACGTGCAGGACGCCGACATCATGGACGTCGCACCGAAGATTATGGACGTGCTTTCGCAGCGTCTGCAGGGCGCATATATGGCTATCTCAGAGGAGAGACCTAGCGATCCACTTCTCAAGAAGATCAGCAACATCAATCGGTCGGTACAGGAGGTGCGCAGAATTGCATCATGACTAGAGGCTGCGGATAGGAGGGGCATGGGCATGATTGTGCTGTGAAAGCGCTTCCGTACACAGCATACCTTCCACGCACGCTACTTCTCGGTGCGCCTTGCGCATACCACACTTTCACTCAGAGTGAGGGGCTAGAGCTGCGAGACCTTGGCTGATGTTCCTTGGGCTGCCGATGAAAAGGAAAGGCATTTGGAACGGCGTTCAGAGATGCCGGTCTGACGTACAGACAGACCGTAACAGCATTCGTTCGTCGAGGGGGCAGACACATGCATGACTGCAAATCATGACGATGGATGACACCAATGTGACTTGTCTTTACATACCATACCATACCCCTGTACCAATGCTACAGCAGTACAAGCATTTACAAAAAACATATCAATCAGTATCCCATTTTCTTATTGAACTCATCAACCATCTTCCTCGCCGTTTGCACAATCTCTAAAGCTCCCGGACTATCCGAATGACAACACATACTCACTTCATGGTCCCCAACCGGTAAATCAATCGTTTCACCCGTCACAGTAACCACACTCGAAGTCTCGATCTGCGACCTGACGTGTGTCTGCGTTTCTTCTGGCGTCCAGGGTTTCTTCTTCCGGTCTATTACTAACGTGTTGTCGGAGTTGTATTTTACGTCGCCGTATCTAGATCAGACATGGAGCGTCAGTGGAGTAGCGGAGAGTGATTGCTAGACTTACAGTTCTGCTGTGAATGGCAAGCCCATTTCTTTGGCAACTTGCTCTTGACATGTGCCCGCCAAGCCGAACACACGTGTGCCTGTGGGGACTCCGGCGTATACGGCGCGACAGATTTCCATGTCGCGGTACATCATTCCGTATAAAACTCCGTGGGGTTTTACGTGGTTTAGGGGAACATTTGCGGCTGTGAGGAAGGCTTGGAGGGCGCCGACTAGGATAGAAGATTTGTTTAGAATGGGTTGGAGTGGAGAGATGGATGGATGTGGGTGTGATTTCTTTCACCTTGATAGCGAACCATTGCTGTTAATTCTTCGGGGGACATTTTGATTTCACGGCGGCCGAAACCTTGGATGTCTGGGAGACCTGGGTGGGCGCCGACTTTGATGTTGTGTTGTTTGCATTTTTCGACGGTTTGTTGCATTATGAGCGGATCGCCGGCGTGGAACTTTGGGATTTTTCATCTGTTAGTGCTTGTTTATGTTTTATGGCTTGGTGAGTGAGAGGGAGGTCAGCTTACGCCACAGGCTATGTTTGCATGGTCGATCAGAGGGATGAGTTCATCGTCGGGTCCGCATTTGTAGTTGCCGTATGCTTCGCCCAGATCGACGTTGATGTGCACTTTGCTCTGGATTGGGGCCATGGTTTTTCGCCTAACGAATATCGTATAGCAGGGAGAGATTGGACGCAGTTCAGGTCTCCAGATGACTCTCTCATCACACCGACTGAAGTGGAGCTTGGTCTTGGCCTGCGCTCGCCGCCGGGCGGCCAGCAGGTGACGTCCAAGGTGGCATTGTTGAGAGGGGTCAGTCCAGGTTGCTTGAGCAGCAAGTGAGGAGGCAAGGCCTTATCAGGGGTCGACCAGCCGTATTCCCGGGCTGTGGGAGTGGCATGGTCTGGTCGACGAGACCAACCGTCTTCGAGCTTTATTATTCTATTCGCTTGTGTCACACTCATGACATAGCGCGAAGATGGAGAAGTTGAAGACGTTGTTGATCGCGAATCGAGGCGAGATTGTAAGACGCCAGCTCCGTGCAAAGAAGTCGCGGTTCAGATGTGCTGACGCCATTTCTACAGGCGGTGAGGACCATCAAGACTGCCAAACGACTGGGCATCAAGACAGTGTCCATCTACACCTCGGCGGACTCGGCATCACTTCATGTCTCCAATGCAGATGAAGCGGTGTTGCTGCCGACCGTCCAGAGCTATACCGATGGCGACGAGATCATCCGAATAGCCCAAGACAAGGCGTGCGATGCTGTCATTCCTGGCTATGGGTTTCTTGCGGAAAACGCAGCATTCGCAAAGGCCGTGACGGACGCTGGACTGGCGTGGGTTGGGTAGGCATGGATGAAGATGTCCGAAAGTCTGGCATTGACGTGGTGACAGTCCAAACGAAGATGCCATCAAAGCATTTGGCATCAAGCATACCGCTCGCGATTTGGCCAAGAAGTCCTCGGTGCCTATAGTCCCAGGAACTGAGGGTCTGGTCGAAAGCGAGGAAGATGCCCTGAAGCAAAGCGAAGCCATTGGCTTTCCAGTCATGCTCAAGATCACCGCAGGAGGTGGAGGTTCTGGCTTGATCACTTGCTACAATTCCGCCGAAGTGAAGGACGGGTATAAGAAAGCCAAGTCTCGTGGCGAAGCGTTGTTCAAGGACTCTGGCGTCTTCATTGAACGATATTACCCTGAGTCTCATCATGTGGAAGTTCAAGTGTTTGGCAATGGCCAAGGCAAGGCTGTCAGCTTTGGCGAACGAGAGGTACGAGCATCTCGATAACTTTTCCCATAACGGGGCTGATCCTTTCGACAGTGCTCAATCCAACGAAGACATCAGAAAGTCATCGAAGAGGTCGGTCAAATGCATACAGATCATTGGAGGCCTCTTGACATTAACGATTTGCAGTGTCCAAGCCCTTTCGTCGAGAGACATCCGGGCCTACGCGAAAAGATCTGCAAGGCTGCTGTTGGTAAGTGATTCGGATGTGTTGAAAAGATTTGTTGTACTAATCACATGCGTAGAGCTTGCTGAGACTGTTAAATACGGCTCAGCCGGCACTGTCGAATTTCTGGTCGATGACAAGACTGCAGATTTCTTCTTCCTTGAGATGAACACACGACTCCAAGTCGAGCACCCCATCACAGAACTCTGCTACGATGTGGATCTGGTGGAACTGATGCTAAGACAAGCTGATGCTCAGCTGGCCGGAAAAGGAGGCCTGGATGCCGAGCATCTCACGTCTTTGCAGAAACCAAAGCCGTTCGGAGCCGCAATCGAGGCTAGATTGTACGCCGAGAATGTGCTTCGCGACTATGCTCCTTCTCCAGGTCTGTTGACTGAGGTGTATTGGGCTGACCTGCCTAATGCTCGCATCGACACATGGGTGCGGACGGGCCTACGAATCTCCCCCAATTATGATCCTTTAATTGCCAAGGTTATCAGCCACGCCAAAACGCGAGATGCTGCAAGAAAAGGAATGAGCCTGCTGCTGAAGAATTCGAGGGTGCTAGGCCCTCCTAACAACCTGGACTTCCTGGCAAGCATTATGGAGAATGACACATTCCAATCTGGAAACACCTTGACCTCCTTCTTGGGTAGCTTCAAATATGAGCCTGCTGTCATAGACGTCATCTCCGCTGGAGCTTATACACTGGTGCAAGATCTCGAAGGCAGACCATCTGTCGGAAAAGGCATCCCTCGTAGCGGTGCTATGGACCCAGTGGCACTCGCCGCAGCGAATCTGCTTGTCGGGAATGATCGGACCAAAGAAGGGCTTGAGATTACACTGTCAGGACCCGAACTGCGTTTCCTAGGTCCAGCAGTGATCGCTCTGACAGGTGCGTCCATCGAGGCAATGCTCGATGGCGAAAGTCTACCAATGTGGTCACGGAAGCACATCAAAGCAGGGCAGAGACTCAAGATCGGTCGCACCACCGGCGGAGGATGTAGGACTTATCTCGCAGTATTCGGAGGGTTTCGGTCAATCGCAGATTATTTTGGCTCCAAATCGACGTCACCTATTGTAGCCATTGGTGGTTACCAAGGCCGACAGCTTGCACCCGGAGACCAGCTCCAGATCGCGGACAGAATACCAGAGACTTTGTCAGGACACCCTAGCATTCCGGAGAACCTGCGGCCCTCATACGAATCCCCCTGGAAGATCAACGCATTGCCTGGCCCGCACGAAGAAGGCTACTTGACAGAAGAGGACATAGAAATGCTATACGGCACTCAATGGAAGGTGTCACACAACGCAAGTCGATCTGCCATCAGACTGATCGGCCCTGTACCGAAGTGGGCCCGGGAAGATGGTGGTGAGGGCGGGTCACATCCTTCAAATCTGGTGGAATACCCTTACTCGATTGGCTCTCTGAACTGGACCGGCGACGAAGGCTGCATTTTTGCTATGGGTAAGTGATGCCACTTTGATGGCCCGACATATGCTGAGATTACTCCCACTTTCCAGATTCTCCCAATTTTGGCGGATTCGCCAGCTCGGCAACAATCATTCGCGCCGACTATTGGAAGATGGGGCAGGTCAAGGCCGGCGACAGCTTTCAATACCAACGCGTATCTTTGGACGAGGCTCTGAGTCTCCGAAAGCAAGTGGCAGACTACATCGACGCTCTGGAGCTCGCAGTGTCGAAGAATGACTTCAGTGACGTGAAGCCGCTCGATGCCGCCTTTAAACCTTCTGGAGACTATGGCAAGGCCGTCATTTGGGAGCGTGCCGCCGAGGGATCTCGACCACACGTACGATACCGTCAGGCAGGCGATGACTATGTACTGGTTGAATACGGCAACGAACAGTTTGACATCAATTACCGATGTAGGGCCACAGCCCTTGAGAAAGCCTTGAACTCCAGCGACGCGCCATCTTGGCTGAAGGAGAATCTAGTTACAACAGTCAGCTGCTGTACAACCATCAACATATGCTACGACGGATCGAAGATAGATCGCAACCAACTTGTCAAGCATCTTCAGGCACTCGAAGATCAGTTCGGAGATCTCAGCAGAGTCAAGGTTCCATGTCGCAAGTTCAAGCTACCTCTGGCCTGGGAAACTTCCGAACAGCGTGAGGCGACTAAGAGATATATGGAGACACAGCGTCCTCATGCGCCATATCTACCTGATAATCTCGGTTTCGTTGCCAAGAACAACGCTTTCACCCCTGAACAGCTCAAGCACAACATGTTGAATGGCGAACTTATGACAGTCGTTGTGGGATTTTTCTGTGGCAATACGGTCTCGGTACCCGTAGATCCTCGGCAACGCATGGCATCACCTAAAGCGAACCCATCAAGAGTCTTCACGCCAGAGGGCACGTTCGGATGGGGTGGTTCGTGTGCTTCAATATATCCTGTGGACTCTCCTGGCGGCTATCAGATGCTTGGAAGAACCATTCCATGTGAGTTTGCATCAGTACTGTCTTAGAATCTGGGCTGACTTTGCTTTTCTTCAGGCTTCGATCTCTATGGCTTTAAAGCTGGTTTCTCGCCAGAGAGACCTTGGCTGTTTCAGGACTTCGACATACTTACATTCTATGAAGTTAGCGAGGACGACCTCAACGCCAAACTGGAGCTCTTTCGATCTGGAAATTATGAGTTCCAATTTGAGACCGTCGAGTTTGATATGGCAGAACACAACAAAATGCTGACAGAGACAGCCGATGAAGTGACTCGGATCAGAGCTGCACAGCGCAAAATACAAGAAGAGATGATTCGTGCAGAACAAGAATCGTTGGAGAAGTGGCGAGCCGATAAAGCAAAGAAGAAGCCGGATGAAGGCACTGTCGATAACCTGCTTCAGGATCCAGCAATCACTGCAATCGAAGCTCCAGTTGACGCGAATGTAGGCGCTTGCTCACCTGCGTGATTTTCGGTTATACTGATCTCTCCCAGGTCTGGAAGGTGGAGGTCAAAGAAAAGGAAGAGCTCCAAGAGGGTCAACTAGTAGCCATTCTGGAGGCTATGAAGCTCGAAATCAACGTCAACGTACCCGACAGCGTCAAGGGCAAGACGAAGGTCGAAAAGCTACTGGTAGAGCCGGTAAGTTCGATTGTCTACTACTTTCTTTCTTCTTGCAACCGACTAACCAATGCAACGCAGGGAGAGACAGTCAAGGTATGCAGGCAACTACATTTCCGAACTCAGCTCAATTACTGACTTGTGCTAGGCCGGCGGTCGCATCGCACTCATCCGGTCACAGTAAAGCGGAAAGGATGGGCCTGCGCTCAATCAATTCCTAACTCCACACATACCTCGTATCGTGACGTGCTTCATGCAATATCAGGCATGTATCAAATGCAAAATCTCCGAGAAACCTATTGAGAGAGTTCACCGGTGTATATCAAATGGATCCATCCAACCACTCAAGTCTGCCATACTGTACAAGCCACCTCGAAGGAATTGGTGTATCCAAAAGGAGTGACGCTTTCATGAATACATCCAAGGCGTTCGTATTAGATCTACCAAGGGTTAAATCCTCATCTAGGCGGCAGAACAAAAGTGAAAAGTGCTGCAGGATTTGGAAGAAGTTTGCGTAAAGGATTCGAGGCTATGCTTGGCTGTGCACAGCATGCCGATGTTTTCCCCCTAGATTCGCAAGCTGCACATGCTACTAATTCAGTATTGTCAAAACGGGCTACAAAGCGCTCGAGATCACAGAAAACATGTGCATGTACTGCATAGCATTGCATTCACTCTTGCTTCGACTGGATTTGCTGCTGCAAACAGCCAGGAATTCCTGACGAATGGGTTTGTTTGACATCAACTATCGAACGACTCGCGACACCACCGACTCGAGACAATACAATGCAAGACGAGCACAGCACACACCAAGTTGAGTGTTTGCTGCAATGGCACAAAGCTGTACGCGCAATTGCAATAGCTACAAGCATCATCTCGGCGCGGCACCTCTTTCATGATGGCTTTCACTATCCTCCACTTCTATTGCTAGCTCATACGATCATCGCGCTGCTATTGCAGCTATGTGTTGCGAAGAACGATGCGCTGATATTGCAGAGGAGGCAAGGCGGTAGCCTAACTCAATGGACATGGCAGGTCGTCTTCTCGGCGCTCATTGCAGCCGGTCTGGTGCTCGCCTATCAAGCGATGTTGCACACAAGAAATACGACGCTATGCTTGATGGCCTTGGGCTTGACTTGGATCGTGACTGATCGCGCTGTCACCTTGGTCGTCCGCCCGAATCAGAACATCGTCGCCGAGGAGCTGCTTCGTCTGACGACTATCGTTGCTTGCATCGGCTTGCTGTTCTGGAATGAGAGGATGCTTGACGAGAAAGGAATCCAGGTATGCCATGTCCGCTTAGTGATGATGCATTGCACTGACCCAGCGAAGCTCATTCTCTATGCCGCCGCCTGCGGACCACTCGCAAAGTTCCTTCACGACAACAACTATGTCGAAGATCAATTACATTTCGGATTTATCCGGTTCAGCGCCCATGCTAGCGGTCTTATCACATCTGTATTTCTCGCAGCTACTATCCTCGGTATCTCTGGTTGGCGCAAGCGACGAGATTTTCACTTGCACGGACGATTGCTGTGGGTCCTGGTATCTTTGATCGCAGGTGCTGTATCAATCACAAGCACTGCAGTGCTACAATGGATTACATCTGATCACAGCATGGCTCTACGGTTACCCTTTGATTTCGACCTCGGCAGCCCAAGTCTTGCATTGCTTCTGGTCACCGCTCTTGAAATCGACAATCAGGTTGCGCAACATCGGCCAACCATTACATCGACTGAGCAATGGCTTGCTTTCGCAGTAGCATGTGCCTCGACGGTCGATTGGGCGACCGTGCTGTTCATGGACGGACTGTCCATCTCCAGAGCATTGAGACCTGCGCTCCATTACGAGGCCGTGGAACAAGACGAGAATCCATATTAGAATGGAGCACGCCCGGACGTGCGTACTTTCGATGTAGAGGATTGTGGGAGAGAGTTGCAGGGAGCGTCGTGGCGGCGCCAGATCTCCCTCGCTTGGCAGAGCTTTTTCGCCGGCTCATTGCTACTGCTCATTCTTTTCAGCGCAATTCACATGAATCACCCGCACCATGATGCGCCCTCTCCGCGGCGAGGCCGATCAAGCACAGGAGCGGATCTGGATGTGGTCATCGCCTGGTATGGACCATGTGATTAACACTGCAGCTTTGGCTTCTCAGCTCCGCACTACAAAGGATCTCAGCGTCCGGACTGTCGTATACAACAAAGGCACCTTGAACGAGACAGAATTGCGGTCACGGTTTCCGGCAGATCGTGAGCTCGTCATTAGGAATTTGGATAATGTCGGCAGGGAAGGTCATACGTACCTGTCTCATCTGCTTGGAGATAGCAACGACTTCTCGCCGCACACAATGTTCATCCAAGCAGAGCCACGCGAGCACGGGTATCTTCAGAGACGTCTGCAGGATTATTTGGTATCAAACACCGGATTCCTGTCACTGTCCTACGCTCGAAACTTCTGCTCCGATTGTGATAAGTGCAACGACCATTCAGGTTGGCCCGTGGATGGCAATGTCCTACGTGACGTCTTCGAGCGCTCCAATAACGGAACTAGTTGCGGCGACATCAGCTTGACGCATAGAGGACAGTTCGTCGTCTCGGAGGAACGAATGAAGCATTCAAGGTGCAATGGCATGGAGATTGAGACTTGCCTACTGAGTGCTGGTCATGTCGTCGTTGGAGGTCCCATGACATACGGAAATGCAGCATTATTGAAGCAGAGGTCCCAGTCCGTTCCTCATCAGTCATTCGTAGTGAAGTCCATATGGTTCTACGTGTGTACCGAGCTACGGAGCGGCAAATAGGAAGCTACGACAAAAGTGAGACTTCGATGTTCCTAAGTAAAGAAGTAGTTCCAACGCTCCTTAAAGTAAAGCTCTACAATTACACCAACTCATAGCCAGAGTAAAGAGTGGGCGGTCCGCTATATTTACTATTTCTAATATTCTATATCTCTTTTATCGATAGGATATATTTTTGTATATTGGAAAAAATTGTATATTTGACTTTGCTTTTGCTACTGTAAGTGACGCGAGCGAGCTCACGTGATGTGGTCGCTTAGTCATAGATCTTGATTGTTCCAGCTTAAATGAGCTCTAAATAGTCTACTTCCTTCCGCGACAGTAGATACTACTACACAACGCGCCACATCTGCGCCTAGCTGGCCATACTACAACGTGCAGACTGCTCCGGCGCTGTCTGCCAACAGTATCCAGCTCGTCGGCGCGATCTTGCCAGCGGAACCGGTAAGTAGATCTCCGTTTGTCCTTCCTACTTACGCGACTTGAGGCCAGCGCGACCACTTCCACTGTGTGTTTCGCGAGTTCCGCGAGTTCCGCATTGACTGCGGTCGTATCGCACTTGGCGGCATTCATCAAGCACCATGCTCGACTAAAGAAATGTACTGACATTACGGCAGCGCCATAGCATCTTTTGAAGCCGGTAGCGCTTGGCGGCATGGGCAGGTGACGCCGCAAACCCTTTTCTTGGCGCCAGCATGGAGCAAGAAGAGATGCAGGATGTGTCGATGCACGATGGCGGAGTCGTTGAAACAACTGAGTCGTACTCGTCACGCCTGGCTCGAAGTGCAGAACTGCCTGCCAAGCAGTCTCTAGGCTCATACGATGGTACCGGACCTTTACCGAGACAGCACTATTCTGGAGCAGCGGTGCTTAAGGGCTCCGGACTCAGACGAGAGATACAAGCCGCCGACCTGGTCGCCCGCAAAGATGGACCAAAGCCTGCCAAGTTCAGCAACCTGCCTTACGCAACATCACAAACTGGGCTTGTTTACGATGTGCGCATGCGCTTTCACGTGGAAGCAGAACCTTCTGAAGACGATCTACACCCCGAGGATCCAAGGCGAATACATGCCATCTTCGAGGCTTTTGTCAACGCCGGTCTTGCTTGGAGAGAGGGCGATTCGGGGCCCACTAGTGACTACTACATGGGCCGTGTTGATGCAAGGATGGTGACCAGAGAAGAAGTGTGCCTAGTGCATACAGCTAATCACTGGAACTGGGTCCAATCCCTCGGCGTCATGAGTGCGGAGCAGCTGAAGACTGAAGAGCAACACGAAGGTTCCAGGAATGACTCGATCTACCTATCGAACAGTACTCCATACTGCGCAAGCCTTTCGGCAGGCGGTGCGATTGAAGCTTGTCGAGCTGTGATGCTTGGCAAGGTCAAGAACATCTTCGCCGTGATCAGACCTCCGGGCCATCATGCCGAACGCGAGGATGCCAAAGGCTTCTGCTTTTATGACAACGTTAGCATCGCTACCAAGGTCTGCCAGAAAGAGTTCGGCGAGCGATGTCGAAAGGTGTTCATTCTTGATTGGGATGTCCATCATGGTAACGGCATACAACAGGCCAACTATGACGATCCGAACGTGTTGTACATCTCATTGCATGTGCACAAGCGAGGCACGTTCTATCCAGAACACTCCTATCGCGATAATCGAATCGCTTATGGTGATCATCTACATTGCGGTGAAGGTCCGGGACTAGGCAAGAATGTCAACATCCCATGGAGCCGCCAGGGAATGGGAGACGCGGACTACATTTACGCTTTCCAACAAGTGGTCATGCCGATCGCTACAGAATTCAATCCCGACCTTGTCATCATTGCGGCTGGGTTCGATGCCGCAGAAGGCGACATGCTTGGTGGCTGCAAGGTCACGCCGGCCGGCTACGCACACATGACACACATGCTCATGTCGTTGGCAGATGGCAAGCTTGCAGTCTGCTTGGAAGGCGGATATAATCTGGAGTCGATAGCCCGGTCTGCGACCGCTGTTGGCCGCACCATGATGGGCGAGCCACCAGACAGGTTGGACAATTTGTCGCCGACGAACTCTGGAGTCGATGATGTGAAGCTCGTACTTCGCCAGCAGAGCAGGTTCTGGTCTTGTCTTTACCCCAAGGATCTTTCAGCCAGGCTTAGTCAATTGCGCGGCGAGCATATGCCCAATGTTGTCCGTGGATGGCAGGCTAAGACGCTCTTCGAGGAGTATCGCATGACATCGCTCTTCGTACATCGTGAGCAACTGGCAAAGGCATTCGAAGATCAAGTGCTTGCAACGTACGTCAGCAAAGCCGTTCCTTTGTTGTCATCAACTGACTGAGCTCCTACAGACCTAACTACGCCGAGTCTCGACCGTTGCTGGTCATATTGCACGACCCGCCGGAAATCCTAGCATCACCAGATCCCAGGACTGGTAAGATGGAGCTGCATAACACTTGGCTGGTAAGCATCCTCTCCCTGCTGCTTTTTGCAGATAGCCCGCTGACTTGATCAAAGACTGATGTGGTAAAGACGTACATTGACGATGCAGTAAAGCGAGGTTTTGCTGTCATTGATGTCAATCTGCCAAAGCACGTGTCAGAGGACGACTCTGATCCTCATCAACACCAAGAGAGTGACAGCATCGAGTCCCGGACGAAAGAAGCCACGCAGCTACTGACATACATCTGGGAAAACTACATCGAGTTGAACGACAGCACTCACATATTTCTGATGGGCACCAACACGGGCCACGGCGCCATTTTAAGCTTCATCAAAAGCCACGATGATCGTGCCCAGCGAATGATTACCAAGGCCATATCATTTGTTGAAGATGTACCTCTCACATCATGCAAGTCACTCGTGGGCAATGACATGCTTCCTTCTTGGTATTGGAACCACTCGCTGGTCTTTGTGGCTGGCGGCCATAACTACTGGGAAAGCGAATACGCACGAAAGCCCAAGAAGAGATTTGGCAACGTGTCTCGGAGTGTTTCCACGTCTATCAGCGACATGCTCGCAGAACATCGAGATGAAGTGCTTGAATGTCTTCATGACGAAACAAGCGACTGGGTACCAGAAGCGCCGAGTCCAGTTGATGAAATGGATCTAGGCGCACCGCCGCCCAGTAAATTGCCACCTCTTGGTAATTTTGCTCTCCACTCGGCCGCCTCACCTGCTCCTGCGCCGCAGAATGGCAGTATAAATGTCGAACCGCTTGCGAGCTCTCCTGCTCCGCCACGATAGGCTGTAGCGCAGCAATCAGAGGTCGAAACGCCGCCACAGGGCAAAAGTCGGCGGAAGAAAAATAAATCGTCCGCGGCGAAGCGTGCACCCAAAAGTGTATCGGGCGCGAAGTCGACGTGGGTGACACCAAATGCGGCAAATGCGCAAAGTTCACCATCGACTCATCGCAAATCAGTAAGCAGCACTGCATACGAGGAAAGAACCTGTTCAGATGGTATATCTGGTTCATCAGGTTTGAATCGCAATGACTCGCGAGAAGCGATGGGAATGCGAAGACGTGGCCGTCCAAAGAAAGACAAGACTGAGATACACGACTCGCCAAGGCGATCATCTGGAGTCGACCATGAAAGCTCGCCTGCTACTCCGACACATGAAGCTACCAAAAAAAGACGTCGGAGTGGTCGGTCGGTCAGCAGGCCAGTCGCCCTAGAGCAATAATGAGGTGCCAAAGCAGACAGGCTTATTGTTCTGCGCGAGGTCAGTCGCCATCAACGCTTCTACGGAACATTTTCGGTAATTGTCTCATGGGAATTGCAATATCTTGCATTAGAAGTCACCCGGAAGATGTTTGACGGCTTCAGAGGCGCTTAGCCAACGATATAGCTAGGTACGCTCGTCAATGGACATTGCTTGGCTACTGTGGAAGGGCCGTCATGGATGGCAGAACTGCATGTATTGAAACGGACGAACAGAGGAATCACAGGAACGAGTTCTGCTGCATGGTGAGTGCTAAGGATACTAGCAGATATTGATTCTCATCCTGTTTTATACGAAGCTCCTCGAATGGAAGACCTTGCCTGCTCTATGGGCTGAAAGCTCCTTTTACTGGTATGCAGCTACGCTTGTTATATCGCAGATAGCAGAGGCCCTCCGCTGGCATCGGATCACACATGGCCGGCATAGAGGCACAGCTCTCCAGGAGGCACTACTCGCAGCATGCGGTGGATTCAAGAACTTCGCATCCTTCACAATCAAGGCAACGATTCATGGCGGCTACGCATACCACCGCGACCAGCCTTATTGGCAGGTTGAGGAGATGTGAAATATCCAAATATCTTGCTAAACCCCGAAGTGAGGCCACGTCACGTTGTGAAGTCTGCCCGTTCCTTCCTCAACGGCAGGAGAAGGTGCAACAGCAGGTGCGCAACCACGCGACCCGGAATTTCATCAACGCTCTGACGACTCTTCCAATTCTCACGCTTCCAGTGCAACAACAAGTCCGCCATTATGGCCTCTCTTTGCAGCGCCTCGCCTGCCTGCCTTGGCGGAGCGGACGCCGACACTGCCATACATTGTGGCAGTCACACCTACAATGTGCATCGCGCCGTGGTCTGCGCCCGCTCGCCAGTAATGGCAGCCGAGTATGAGTGCGGCTCTCAGGTTCGTCCTCACAATTGAAATTGCTGCTCAGAATATCTACTAAAGCCATGTAGGACTCCGGCAGGCAAGTCATCTACCACTCCTTCTTCGACGCCGATACCATCGAACGCATGCTTCAATTCATGTACGGAAAGTCTTACACCGCTCCAGACAGGCATGTTGAGGCACTCCTCGCTCACGTGCGCGTTCACGCTGCCGGTGACTTGTACGAGATGCCAGATTTGAAGAATGTTGCGCAGAGCAGATTCCAGGCCATCGCGGCCTTGATTTCGGTGAATCAGCTCGACACAGCATCTTTCTTGCTGGTTGCTCAGGACGCGTATAAGTATGCCCACGCCGGATATGATGGGCTGAAAGAGAAAGTCTGGGCGATGTCAATGGACCATGCCAAGCAGGTAACACAACCCATTGCACGCGCCTCGCTCCAATTCGAATCACTGATCATGCAATCAGCTGTCCGAAGACGATGATTTCGTGGTTGAGATGCTAGCGAGCCATGCTCTGAGAGAGCTTGCCTGGGCATTTGTTCGAGGACTGCCAGCTGTCGCCAACGCCGAGACGGATCGAGCACGAGGAGAGCATGCCGCAGATGTAACGGCATTGCATAGGGAGATCGGAAAATTGAACCTCAAAGTCGGCAATCTCGAAGACCATATCACCGATTGCCACGGTCGTATCCAGAATCTATTGATGGAGGTGTCAGGCTTGAAATCTCTCAAGGCCAGGGACACAGAAAATCTGGAGAAGAAGGCCAGAGATTTGGAAGAAGCGCGAATCAATGTCGGCAGGCTGCAGAAAGTTCTCAGGGCCGTGGAACCAGATGCTTCTCGATTGACCCAGTACGAGCGTTTGATCCGCTGTCGACGTTGCAAGGCTCAGCCATTCTTCTATCGGCTTTATCGCAGGGGTGGAACTTGGGGCGTGAGATGTGTTCGTTGCCGCGCTCGACATTGGGACTCTCACTGTCGGAGGTGAAGGCAAGGCAATGAGATGGCAGACGCTACTGGGCACGCGACATGAGGGAACGGAGTCAGAAGACGGGTGAAGAGATCGAGTCGATTCACATCACGCCGTCATCGGTAGTGGAAGCTCCTGTTAATGGCATGGCAGAAAGCTACCGGCGTTGCAGACCACACTGCTCAAAGGCACTGGCAATTTGGAAGCGACCTGGGAGAGAAAAACTGGCGACTGCTCGGAATGATAGCCAAAAAGCTAATTTTGATGTCGGCATCAAGCCGTCTATAAGGTCTCAAATTGCCTCATGGCCGTCTTGACTCGCTCTCTCACATCGAGGTTGGGATCATTGGCAAGCGCTTTGACAGCTTGCTCTATGCCTACGTTGCGGAGTTCAGATGACCTCTGCCTAGCATCCTTGCGATCTCCGTCCTCCTCAATCCACGTGAGGCTATTGACGGCCCACACGCTCAACACCCGTACTCGATGATCGAGATGATTGAAATGAGGCAGCATGGCCTGTAGCAGCGGCTTTTGCGCAATCAGCATCTGCCTATGCTTTGGCGATGCATTCGCGAGGTGAATTATCACGTGAATGGTGCTCAACACCAGTTCAGTAGGGTTATAGACTGCACGACCATTGCTCGTAGCGCGAGAAATTGGTGACAGCTTCTCTCTGAGCAGGTCGTAGACTTTTGATGAGCCGATCTGCAGCATCAGGTGATCGGAAAGAGCGGCACAATCATCGCCGTTGATGAGATTTCGAACGAAATCGAGTGCCTGTTGTTGGATGGCGATCTCATCTCTTCGAGCCGTGTATTCGTCGTTCTGCTCCATTTCGCGAATCGAGGCGAGATAGCGTTGGCGATTGAAAGCAGGCGAACCACCGGCGAGAGTTGACCGCAGCGACGAAGATTGGTAGTGAGTGCTGCTAGCTTCGTCGTAGATGACTTCTCCATCTTCATCGTCTTCGTCCATTGCTTCTGAGGGGTATGACGGTTGTTCATCGACGTCCATAGTTGACGGGTTGAGAATGTCGACCTGCTCGCCTGCTGCATTGGGTGTGCTCAGTCCGACACTCACACCACCGCCACCAGGAGCAGATGTCGCTTCTCTGTGCTCGCCTTGGATAATGCCCACCAGCCAACCAGTTCCGAGCTCCTCCAGGGTCTTCATCTTGACTTCTTTAGGGCATGCGAATACTAGATGCTTAAGAGCCCACAGACTTGAGAGCCGCAATGCCGCCGAATTGCTTCGAGCATGCTCTGCCAGAGTTGATATCACCTTTCCGTCGGACAGGTCATCTCTCATGGGACTGAAGTCGGGAAGCAGGTTGCAGCATACATCGGTGGCGGCAATCTGAACTTCGAGGGATTTGTGATGAAGCAATTGAATCAGCGGCTTGGTGATGCCGCCATCGATCAAAGACGTACGTAGCACGCTGACGCTCCGAGACATGGATTGAGCTGCTCTGCATGCGGCGAGTACGACTGGTGCTGTGTTGCCGTCTTTCGGGGTGATCTGAATGCGACCGTTCGATTTCTCTGTGAGGTCGGGTGAAAATGGTTTGAGCGAGTCGATGATGCAGCTCACCACTCCGGCATCTATAATCGCTCTGCGGTGAACGTCTTCTTTTGCGGCAAGTGCTTCTAGAGCCTTCAGTGCGCCTCTCCGACATCGCATGGAGTGGGATATCTCAGGAGGCAAGATGGTAGCTCCGAGATGACATGATGCAGGAGCGTTTGGGTCGACTTGTGCGCCAGGCTTCGCCGACCACATCGGCTTCGCAAGGGTTACGTTGTCGAAGCTCTTCTTCAGAAACGGGCAGACATACTTAATGGCATGAGCATCCACAGCTGCGACTTGCAAGTCTTTGTTTCCTCCAATCAGAAGAGCCAAGACAGAGCACGCATGCTCCTGAATACCTTGCATTTCTCGCCGTTCCGTCACGCTCTCAGAGTTTCTGCCTTCGCTTGCTGCTTGGACGAGCTTTACTGCGAGCGGCACAGCTAAGAGGGATAGCTGCTTTTGCCGCTCGCGTGTCTTTTGGGCAAACTCAGTTCGATGTGAAGGCCCAGCAGGATCCGCATCGATGGCGTTTGACACCAGTGCCAGGAGTCGCAGAGCGATCAGCCTGTTCAAGCCTTGCATGGAACGAGTCAAGACGATGAGCCAGCCGCATACTGCATTCGAGTGGTCTATATCGCCGACGAGGGGTGTGTAGTCTTGGGCGCCGTTGATTTGTTTTCCGCTTTGAAGGGACTTCAAGGCCGGAAAGTTGTTCGACGAAGGGTTGTGAGTGACTGTGCGATACGCAGGGATGTGCAAAGGCGGGAGTAGGCTATGATGAGGGTTTGCGAAACCATGTCTCGCTCCAAACAGAGCACGATGATCTGCAGAATCAGTGCCAGAGTGGAGGAATAGGTCGCGTATATGAGGCTCCAGGATGAATCGGTGCGCTCGATAATTAGACCCTGCTATGACGGTCGCAATAGCTGCTAATATGCTTGGAAGACACGCATCCGGAGGAGGGTGTGGAAGTTGTGAAATATCGCCTCGGTACTCGACTATCTTGTTTTCAATGGCATGCGAAACCATAAGACACGCGAGCGTGTCCAGTATGCCACAATTGGTGATGAGTGCCTTGGTAGCTGCTGGTGCGTTGTAGACGTCCGGTAAAGCTGAAATGATCTCACAGACTAGCCTCAGCTGTTGCTTGGAAGGCGCAGTATTCGTAGGCTGACGAAGAATATGATCGAAAACGTGCTGGGTGTCAGTATTGAAGATCGCAAACCACAGATCATAATCGACCGGAGGCTCATCTGCGGCGGCCCAGAAGCTAGCAATGGCCTTTAGCCCTTGAAGGACTGCAGTTGCCAATCTCGGAGCTATATCAGTCGAGAGTGCGTCCACAAGGACTCTGGGTATATCGGCAGCGCAGAGGGGGTGCAGAAATGCCTGGCCGCCAGATGCAAGGCTTCCGATGATGAGGATGGCCTGCAACCGCAGCTCATCGTCTATGGTCCATGCAGAGATTTGGTGCAAGGACACACCATTGGATTCTTGTCTCGGCTGTTTTCCAGTCGCCTTGGTTGCGGAAGTGATGATGTCTGCCAGCGGCTGGATTATGCCCAGCCTGACGGCGAGTTCTTTGCGCTGATCGTGACCAATGAGGACATTCTTGAGATGTTTCGCGATCTGGACCTTCCTGTGTGGCGCGGCAGAGAAAGAGGCAAGTTCAGCAATATCGGCGGCCGCAGGGCCTTGCATCGCTTCGCTCCGATTTGCAGACCTATCGTTGCCAGTCCGGATTGTCAGTCGAGGGCTCGGACAAGAAGTTGATGTGAATGCGTGGCGATGGATGGAAGGGTATGGTATGGTATGGTATGGTATGGTGTGGTATGGCAGATGGACGAGCTGCTGCTGAGGCTGGGTTCCACGGGACAAAAGTCTGCGACTGCACTGCACATTCTGTCACCCAGCTTGCCTACGCGTTCTCGTCCTCGTCCGCGACAGAGCGAGCAAGAAATAACGTCGCAATATTTGCATCCTCTGAACCCTTCGACTCTTTTCTCAATCGCACCCAGACCAGCTCTATCGCTTTCTCGCGATCTTGCCACGTGTGAACCTCAGGACATCACGGCCTTCAAGCTCAAGAGAGCCAAAGAAAACGAAAAGGCCGCGCTTGCTTGCGCGCCATCCTGAAAGATGGCTGCAGTATGTATAGCAATTCTTCTCTGTTGGAGGCTTTGACTCACCACTTCGCCAGCCAATAACCACAGTATCCGACTTGAAACAGACCCAAGGACTCAACCTCATCGCAGCGCATTCACATGTCCGCGGGCTTGGAGTAACACCAGACACCCTCACACCAAAGGCCTCTGGAGATGGTCTGGTCGGACAACAGCAGGCGCGGAAAGCCGCCAGTGTGATATTGCAGATGGTCAAGGAGGGCAAGATCGCCGGTCGCGCTGTTCTGATATCGGGTCCTCCAAGCACAGGAAAGACAGCGATTGCGATAGGAATGAGCAAGGGATTGGGCGAGGATGTGCCTTTCACCATGCTGGCCTCCTCAGAGATATTCAGCTTGGAGATGAGCAAGACCGAAGCGCTTGAGCAGGCCTTCCGCAAATCAATTGGCGTGCGGATACGAGAGGAAAGCGAGGTGATTGAGGGAGAAGTTGTCGAGATTCAGATCGATCGCTCTGTGACTGGTAACAATAAGAGCGGGAAACTGACGCTGAAAACTACCGACATGGAGACACTTTACGATATGGGCACGCGCATGATTGATAGCATGACAAAAGAGAAGGTCATGGCAGGCGACATCATCAGCATAGACAAGGCAAGCGGCAGGATAACGAAGCTAGGACGAAGCTACACCAGGAGTCGAGATTACGATGCCGTTGGCTCGGATGCCAAGTTCATCCAGTGTCCAGATGGCGAGCTTCAGGTCCGACGGGAGACTGTCCACACCGTGTCGCTGCACGAGATTGATGTCATCAACAGCAGAACGCAGGGCTTCCTTGCTCTGTTCTCCGGAGATACTGGAGAGATTCGGCAGGAGGTCAGAGAACAGATCAACACAAAGGTTGCGGAATGGAAGGAAGAAGGCAAAGCGGAGATCGTGCCTGGTGTCCTGTTCATCGACGAGGTGCACATGCTTGACATTGAATGCTTCAGCTTCATCAATCGTGCTTTGGAAGATGAGCTTGCACCGATCGTCATCATGGCTTCGAATCGCGGATCAGCAACAATCAGAGGCACAAACTACCGCAGTCCACATGGTCTACCTCTCGACTTTCTCGATCGCGTCGTCATAATCTCCACGAACCCATACTCACCGGACGAAATTCGAGACATTCTCTCACTACGAGCGCAAGAAGAGGAAATCGATCTTTCGCCAGACGCTCTTGCACTTCTCACCAAGATCGGCCAAGAGACAGGTCTTCGATATGCCAGCAATCTCATCACGACATCGCATCTGCTTTCGCAAAAGCGGAGAGCGAAGGAAGTCGATGCAAACGATGTTTCGCGATCATATCAGCTTTTCTACGATCCAGCTCGCAGCGTGAAGCTTGTCTCGGAACAAGCCGCGAGATTTATTGGCGAGGATGGTGGTGTGACACTGGGTGCGAGCACGAACGGCGTGTCCAATGGTGATGCCATGGAGGTTTCGTGATCTTCGTGAGTAGGTGAGCATAGCAAGGCGTAGAGGCGTTAGCGATAACAGGAACCTAAAAAAGCGGGAAGTGAACCCGAGCTCGGCATTTGGAAGAGAACTTGCCGACCCCACCCCGTGGTGAGCGCGATTCTATGCCACTGATATATCATGCAGAAATAGCAAGAGTTGCGCGCTGTCGAGATAGCCATTCGAGAAGTCTGCAACGCATCTTTGGAAATTCAATTTCAAACGATCGAACTCTACTGCCACCAGCATCAGATACCATAAGCAACCATGCCAGCGTCTAAAGACTGGACAACATTCAACCCTCCCCCCAAAATCCCCATCTCCCATCCATGGATCTCCCGCTTCTATCCTTCTTCAACCCTTTTGTATCGCTCATCATCCTCACAGAACGAAGAACAAATCTCAACAACCTCTCAAGAAATCTACGGTCCTCCCTCCGCTCCCATAACTTTCTCTATCGGTAACGGCGGAGCAGGCTACACCGGACTCCTCAAAGTCTTGTCAGAAAACTTCATTTCCGAACGCGGCAATGCTTTTAGAATCGCTTGGGTTTCAAATCATTCGCGCCACTCACAAATCGCCTTGCTAGCGGATGTTGTGCAAGTGGCGTTGACGTATGAACCTGAGAATGAGGCGGTAGCGGAACAGGAGGGGTGGAGTAGGAAAGTTTCAAAGGGAAGGGTGCCGATGCCGGTTTTTTGGGATCATTTTATTGTTGTTGGACCAGCGCATAAACTGAGGGAGGTAGGTGGGAGTTTGGGGTTGAAGGATGTTCTGAGGAGGATTGCGGTGGAGAAATGGAGTTGGCATTCTCGGGGCGATGGATCCGCCACGTATGTGAAGGAGGGGAGATTGTGGAGGAGTATTGGGGTTGATTTGGAAAAGAAGGGAGGAGCTTGGGTTAGGATTTTGCCTGGGACGCCGTATGAAGCTCTTGTGGGAGCGGAGAGGGACAGGGCCTTTTTGATTACGGATCGTGCTACGTTCTTGACGGCGAAGAGGGATGGTGTTATTCCTGGATTGGGGGTGTTTGTGGAGGGTGGGGAGGAGTTGTTGAATCCTTGTAGTGCCATGGTTTGGAATTATGGGTATAGAGGTGCTGGGGAGAGAAGGGAAGAGAATTTGATGGCAGGGAGGTTTGCGGAGTGGCTGGGTGGTGAGACGGCGCAGAACATTGTGCGGGATTTTGGGAGGGATTGGGGGGGTGGAAAGCCTTTGTTTACTGAGGCTTTGAAGGAGGAATTTGATGATGAAGATAGACTCGACAACGATCAGCGAAACATGGGCGCTAAATTATAGGTTCATTCTATCGTGTTCAGTTCTTGCAATGATACGGCCTCCGGCCTGGTTCTACATGATCTGCGGCGTTGGAAACCCCATAGGTCCCAGTAATTGAGGTCCGCGGATGAATGTCATTGACCGCGTAGGGTAGCGGTATGCGCTCCGGTGAAGACACTCGACACAAGACTACGGTCTGGTGCTAAGCATTGCTCGAGCTCTACTCTAAACTCATGCATCGCGTCGATTCTTCCCAATGCTAATCAAGTAGTGCAGACAAGCGATTCGAAGATCTCAAGTTGTCCTCTTGTCCATAGCAGTCTGCATTCATCTTGGCGTAATCGTTCTATACTGCTCGCATGGATTTTTAAAGTGCAGCGAGTACCAGGAATGGCCACAACTAGCAATCTCATGCAAGTAGACACATTTCGCATCGATAACCAGGTCTGGAGATTTCTGTCGTTCCGTTGCACTGTCGAACGCGAGCCGATTCCAGTTCAGCAAAGGCACCACAGATGTCAGTCGTGGTAGTGCTTGTGGCAGCAGCTTGAGAGCCAGAGCTTTCGTCCACTGTCATGTTGAGCATCGACTTTTGCTTTCTTCAATCGATATACTTTGCGTTATCGTGCTTGCTCCACTGCATTTGAGCTCTCATGCCCGGGTTCGTGGCTGAGATTTCGTGCGCTGGACAGCCGGTGTTGTTCTGAATTGTTTACATCTGCGGAAGATAGACATCTGCTTTGGCCTTAGTGCTTCGATTCATATATCCGTCTCTTTTTATCAAGAGCTCCGCCTCTCTTCAGGTCATCCAGCTTGGCTTCGCTTCCTCCTCGCCTGCCGTCTTCTCCCAGGGCTTCTTTCTCCTCGCTGTGTTGCTCTCTGAAGCTTGTCCCTCAAGGATCGTATCTGGAATGTCTTTGATACCAGGGATTGGTTTCCCTTCAGCGATCATGTCACATATCTCGGCAAAGCTCGCTGGCTTCGGAGCATCTGCCATGCCTCCTGACGTGTCTGCTGGGGCTTGCGTATTCGCAGCAGTTCCATTTGTGCGACAGGACTCAACCCAAGCCTTGTACCCATCAAAGTCAACGGGAATTCCAGCCTTGCGAGCGTAGTAGTAGCACTTGGCCCTCAGTGTCAAGTGCTCGACTTGCTGCTCGTTCTCTGCGGAGCCTAGGATTGCTCGAAGCCCGCCTTGGAACTCTGCATCGTCGTCCCATTTGTACTCGTCAAGCTGCCGGAACAGAGGCGTGTTGTCTACTGTGCCCTGGGCAGCCATCTCAGCTCAAGTCGATTGACAACACAAGAGAGGTGGGAGGCATTAGGGTGGAGAGCGACGCAGCTACCCAGCTGGTTGCCGAAGTCAAACCGTGCCGTGCCAACAGTTCTTGCCGTCCAATTTTCTGGCGTGCTCTGTGCCATCGTCCTGGTGTGACTTGTTCGTTGCTCTAATACTCCCTCAGCGCGACTGCCATCCGAGCGGGTCTTGGATCATCAAGGCGGCCTCACTTGGAGGCTCACTACGACTTCGCTCCCCCGCCATCACATTTTGGCAAGGGCGGAGCAAAAGCTTGGCGGCGCGTGTCTTGCATCTTGGTATTCGCGACTCTCGCTTGCCCTGCAACCCGCAAGCAAGCAACACACGAACATCAACATCCTCAGCATACACTCCTACTCCTTACCACCGCACGCGAGCCGCCATGTCCGAATACATCGGCTCGCGCATATCGCTCATATCCAAATCCGACATCAAGTGCGACCGCGCCCATTCTCCGATCCGCAGCCTTCCTTTCAGCTAACACCTTCTAGATACGTGGGCACGCTCTATTTTTTGTACAGTAGTAGTCGAACTGGAACTTTGTTGGCCGAGATGTGAGAATAATAGGCGAAAAAAGCCAAACACGAGATTCCTGGCTCGGATACTGTCTACGATGGCATTGTCTTCCGCGGCAGCGATGTCAAAGACCTCACCATCATTTCTCCTCCGAAAGAGAACCGACCGCCTCAGATGCCAAATGATCCTGCCATTCTAGGCGTATGTGAATTCCCACATCCCCCCAAACACGAAGAGCTCGCAAGATGAAATATTTTTGGATGAAAAACAAATACCACCGATGGCGCAAAAACCATGTGGAAATCTCCATGTTGCCTTCCTTCTGATCAAGAGCATAAGCTGCACCTACAACCTAGAGTCGCGATGGCTTCTGACATCTGCTAACGTGATTCTCGTAGTCATCCGAAGTTCATCAACCTCCACAGCAACAGCAGCCCCCACAACAGCAGAACCAGTTCCGTGGCCCCCAACCTCCATACCAGCAGCAACAGCAGTTTGGATATCCAGGTCAGCCACCTAATCAATTCCAACAACCGCCTCGATTCCAAGGTCCTGGCGGAGCACATGGATTTCCTGGTCAGCCTGGTGCTGTGCCTGGATATGGCATGGGATATGGCGGTCCTCCTCCGCCAGGCTATGGAATGGGTCCAGGCATGGGATTTGGTCCACCACCGGGACATTTCCAGCAAGGCCCTCCAGGCGGCTTTCCTCCACAGCAACAGCCCATTGGTCCTCCCGGCCCTCAGATGAACCAGCAGCGACCACAGCAAATGTCAGCTAACCAGCAGCCACCGATTGGCAGCAAGCAGAATACACCACAACCTGCCGCGAGCGGAGCTCCGCAACCCCCAGCTGTTCAAGCACAGACGAAGCCAGCCGAGATGTCAACCACACCTATTCCAGCGTCAGCAGGACCACCTCCTCCGATCGACTCGAAGCCGAACGTCGCCGCCGCAACAGCACCGGCAGCAGCGAACCATGCTCCATCACAGCCACCTGCCGTTCCAAAGCCAAGGACGAGCAACAAGGTCGCTGTACCACTCACAGCTAGCCCGGCTGTCCCGAAGCCAAGAGCGCCAGCAGCTGCACCTCAACCTCCTGCGCCGGTCGCACAGCCCACTGCTACACCTCAAACTGCAACTGAGGCCGCCACAGCTGCTGTCGCTGCTGCTATGGCGAAGCTGGGAAACGTAAAGCAGTCAGGAGCAGTAGACAACCTGACACAGAAGGCCAATCAGATGAGAGTGAATGATGATACCACTCGAGGCCGAGGCCGAGGCCGCGGTGGTCCCCGAGGCGGAGCACGAGGTGGAAGACGTGAGAGCGCACAGAAGGTTGAGATCCCCAAGGAGGATTTTGATTTTGAGAGCTCGAATGCCAAATTCAACAAGCAGGATCTGGCGAAGGAGGCTATTGCCACTGGCAGCCCTCTGGGAAGCCCGACAAACGGTGAGAAGGCGGACCCACTTTCGAACGGTCATGCGAATGGCGTTGAGGATGTTGTAATTCCACCAAAGCCGGTCGAAAAAGGCTATGACAAGAAGTCATCGTTCTTCGACAACATCAGCAGTGACCTCAAGGACCGCGTTGAGCAGCAAACGAGCGGTGATGTGGTCGATGGGCGGGCATTGCGCAACCAGGAGCGTGCCAGAAACATGGACACGTTCGGCCAGGGCTCTGTCGATGGAGGCTTTCGTGGCAGAGGACGGGGACGTGGCCGCGGTCGTGGAGGTTTCAACCGTGGTGGCAGAGGCTACTACGGTGGCAACGGCGGCTATGATAACCAGAATCGAGGTGGTTACCGCGGCCGAGGAAGAGGTGGCGCTGAGACTGCGACGGCTTAGGGAGGCGTCTTTCTGCAGTAATTGGCTAACACTTTGTCTTCTAAAAAGCTCGCCAGATGCGCGCATGGACTCTTTGTACTATATGGAACGTACGAACTACGAGAGAAGAGAGATACGAATGGAGATAAGGAGCGACAACCTGCCGTGAGCGGTTAGACGCAAGCTGCGACCTTCGCAGAACCACATTCTACATATTTCCAATTTTCTCCCCAAACATACCTCAAGGCAACTTGGTGCCGAACTACTCACTAACAACGAAGAGGCGGATATCGAATGACCGGCGAGGCATGCACTATACATCCTTCCTTGTCAGCCAGCTACCTGCTCATCCTCTACACTTTGCAAGCCACCTCACGACCTTTTCTCAATGATCCAGACTCCAGAGTAGCAACATCGCAGGACAGGCAATATGGCATTCAGTGACCTACAAACTCGTTTATCAGGAAGCTCACCGATTCTGGAAGCGAGGAATCCCAGGCTTCTATGGAAAGATGGAGCGAAATCAGGCGTCAAATTCCTGCTGCTATCATATACTGTACTGTATTGCTTTGCCTGAGACTGATGAGTTATGCGATTCCGGGGTTGGCTCCTGAAAAAGCGTAATAATGTACTTTCGACGTGTAGTTCTGAGGCTGGACTACGTTTTGGGGGTTGAGCCTCTCAGGATCTGTGAGATCCCGGTATCGTGTGACAGCGAGCTGAGAAGCTAGAGAAATGGAGTTGATGTGCCGCCACCAATTCAATTCAGTACACGAAGCCTCGGCGCGATAGATTTTGGTGGTCAGGAGTTGTGCAGCAGCGCTCACAGGACGGCCTTGCGAGCTTATGTAACAAAGTTCAGGACTTCGGTCCTACGAACAAGACTTGTGAACCACTCACGCGGACGAGACGCCATAACGTGAATGTGATATTGCTACCTCCTTCCCGTCACCGAGTGTGTCCGAATCATCCCACATGGCCGAGACAGCGCAAGTTATACGCCGTGCTTGCTGCAACGCGCTGATACGACCCTCGTCTGCCTCTTTCTATCTCGCTCAGCACCTGGGTAATGGATCACAGGATCATGGCATCATGGACTGGTTCTAGCGCACGGCGACACAAGCAACCCATGCTATCGTGGGCGTGGGCGTGGGCGTGATGGGCGACAATCACTGTTCACATCGCCTAGGAGACTTGGCAACCACCAGAGATTCGAGGTTTGACTTTTGTGATATCCCGCAGGATGTAGGGCTGTCTTGTTGTTGTGATGTGTGACAGGATCAGTAAATCCAAATCTCATCAAGCACAGCTGCCTTCTCCACCAAGGACAGTTGCGCGCCAAAGACCACCTGCTGAACTTTCGAATACACCCATGCTCTTTCAGTAAAATAAGCAAGATCTCCCACATTACTGAGGTCAGGGAGACCGAAGAGATCCACGAGCTCCAAGACCGTGCAGAATCCCCGAAAGCGTACGTCGCGACTGCTAATCGGCGACGAGCAGCGTAGAGGTGTCAAGGGAAATCTGGGAAACCCATTGACGTCGCTTCTCTTTCGTGTATGAACGATGCCTTGTAGAATGCCTCCCGGCCTCTGCGTTCCACTGACACGAGCAAACATGGCAACCAGTTCCTCTTCGCTGAGGCCCAGATTTTGCATAGTTGCAAGGCGCGAGTCGCGCTGGCATGGAGCATAATCTACAGGATGATAGTTGAGAACGTGAGGCAAGTGACGTTCTATGTGCCGTTCAATCAGCGCGCTTGCGAGCTGTGTATTACCCCGTGCGTCGCGTCTATCGCTGTCTGTCAAAGGTCAGTAATGCTTGTACCGGAACGGCTTGATGTTGTCGTGCAAGGCTATTTGAGGATAAGATGTGGAAGAGGTGCTTGGATATACGGAAAGTAGCCGCTGTAGATTTGTGTTTTGGAGCGAGATGTCTTCCCTTCCGGACCCATACTGGCCCTCGTGCCTTTGCGTGCATTCGTTTCAAAGCTCCTTAGTCTCATCATCGAAGCCAGTTGGATGTGGATACGTACCTCCATCATTTGCCGTACTGCTAGCCATGTGAGCAAGTCTGCGAGAGGCAAAAGCTCGAGCATCTTCAAGCCGATCGCTTGGATCTAGCTGTAATCCACGATTTGCTACGAAGACTTGTAATGCTTCGAGAAACGGCAGATTGGAGATAGATTGGTTGAGGTGGTTGACCGTGGTATGTAGATGATCCAGGGCGGAGGAAATTCGCTGTCTGGCCAGCAGCTCCCGATTCCTCGCGTTGTCGATAATGCTCTTGAGATTGCGGTTGAGCAGGCGACATCTTAGAATGCTTGTCATTGGAGTGTATGATAGGATGATTAGATAGAGCTCTGCAGGAAGGTGCGAGAACGATGCGGTCTTGCGTGGAGATGCCATGGTGTGTATTCGGAGATTGTCTTTCAGCCTCATGGCTGGAATTATCGGAAAGTTGATGGCGTAAGGCGAAGTGGGTGACTGGTCGTCGTGCTGCTCAGAAGGAATCCAGGCACATCAGAATGATCAGAGGCTGAAGTGTAGTGTATTCGGTCAATCTGCGGCGCATCCCACTGTACCCACATCGCTTCAGCCCGAAATGTCCAGGATCGGTCTGACCATCTTCGATCCGTTCGCAATGCTTGCAGTTGGCACCTTGGTAGCTGTCAGCCTGTTGAAACTTGAAAGGAGACGTAAACACTTTATTTCGAGGTAGTTTGTCTTGGCACTCTAGGTGCATACTTTCCAGACTGTCGGTAGCGACATGTTTCCAATTGGATCAATACATCATCCCATCACAATACCGCTGACGAAACAGTGCTTCTTTGAGTGTGTGCGCAGATCACATTCGCTTCTAAAGTGCCGAATAGGTGCTCTGTCCCGCTATCGAAAGTCCATGTTTGTCTCGTGTGGATGCGCATCTCTGCGCTCACCAATCTGGCTGTATATGCAGCGTGCATCGCGGCGTGTCAGGCAACGGTGCTACCAGCTGTGTCCACACGACTGGAAAATCAACACACATACGGCCTGTACAGCGTCTGCGTCTGGAAATGGGCCATGGTGTAAAACTCGGAGACGCAGAGATGTCGCTGGCTGTGTCACGGGTGGCCTTCTAGGCCTGTGCTATGCCGCGCATATAGCTCGCACTATGCAGACCTGAAGTCGGCAGGCCGGATTGCTTTTCAAGACCAGCTGCAGGCACGATGTGCGCAATAACTTTGGCCGGCGTAGACAAAATTGGGCTGACTGTGCATGTTGCGCTGTGCAGCTCTAAGCACGTTTTCTTGCCCTGACAAATGTGCTTGCGCCAGGTGTCGGCCAGCTCGTACAGCGTGCAAGCTGTCTGGTTCTGGTATTCGCAACAGACTTGATGTGCGAATGCGCCATGCTGCTTCATCGTGGTGTGAGCATTGTGCGCACTCTGTCAATCCGTTTCTGCGCAGCCTCCAGCTTTTCCAGTCTCCTCTTTCTCTCCGCGTCGCGTTGCTCCATAGCTTCCAATTTCTGCTTCAGCCGCTCATTCTCCTTTCTGATGACTTGTGCCACATCGCCTCCGGCAGTCTCCAACTCCTTTATCTTGTCCCGCAGAGCAGCATTTTCTCGACGCTCCTGAGCCACCATATCATTCGCCTGTTGAAAGAGACTGGCACTCAGCTCTTCGACCTCTGCATTCACGGCCTTGACTTTATTTTCCGCTGCTATGCGTGCCGTCTGCTCTTTCACCAGAGTAGCCTCCAGATCATGCTCTCGCGCTGATACCGCTCCGTCAGTTGGTGCCAATGACGCCTTGCGCATGAAGCTTCCCAGGCGTGAGAGGCCAGGTGGTCGCTCCGGTGGATGCGCAGGTTTATGCTCGTCCGAGTGGTTCGACGTCCCCGAGCCCTGACGATTATGCTGTTGTCGCAACTGCTCCTTCAAAACGCGAATCTCATTCTCGTAGTCGGCGAATCGCTGAGCTACACAGATAACGTCAGTTGGCGCATTCATAGAGAGAATGTGGTGGTGCTGCTCTTGCTACCCTGCAGCGCATCGCCATATCCTTTGCTTCGTGCAGCGGTCGTAGCATAGCGTTGCGGCATGGGGTGTGAAGGTTGTTCACGTACCTGCCGCCGTAGCCTTCTGGACCAACAGAGTGTTTTCTTCTTCAAGCTCTCGGAGTTGCATTCCGGTAATGCCATTGGGCTCAACGTCTAACGCAGAGTCGTGCGCACCATGTCTGTGAACGACAGGGACGCCATTCGGGAGTCCACCGCTTGCCATGACCACCAGCACCAGCAACCGAGTCAGGACACAACCACATAGGCGACATGGGCGCCGATGAGAGATGGAAGGGTCCTCCCTGATGGGATTGAAGGCAGCGGCCTGCCAAGGGACTTGACTTCGTGTCTGGAACACAAGGCGCGGATTTGCTCAACCCAAAGAGCCCCACAGATGAGCGGTGTTTCAACGAGCCCAGGACTTCTTGGTTGCTTGCAGCGGAGCGCACCGATCCAGAAGCGCAACTCTCAAAGGGTGCTCAAACGGGCGCTAGGATCCCTGAAGTATGCGCTTTTCGCACGTGGCCGGTGGTGGCTGGATGCTGTGTAGGATCGCACTTGGGACACTTTGTAGGCGTCATCAGGAATGCTGCTGCCAAGATGCATGGCATTGCATTGCATTCGAGAGGTACATGTAGCTGAAGCAGCCTGAAGCAGCAGAGCAAACTACCGATGTAACCGATCCAATGTCAAGGGCGGGGTCGTGAGAGGACCTCCGTACTATACAGCGTCTGATCACATCGGACTGAAAGTGGGCATTCCCCAAACCCTTGCTCCTCATGGATTATAGCGAATAGCAACTTGTTATTCAGTGGTCCGACCCTAGTCACTTTCACTCCGATGTGGTAAGACGCTGTATTCACCTCCGTACTATTGTAGGACCACGGTTGTATGTATTATTGATGCCGGCAAGCCTTCTGAAGCATATTTGAATTTGAAGCGACAAGTCAATGATCAGTTCGTATGCGTCCTTGCTATAGTAAGGTCCTTCATGGCTACCGCTTTCTGCGGACACATGAATACCCTGGTAGTCTTGCGTCTACTACTGGCGAGCTGGCAGGCTGCAACTGTGTAGAAGCCGACCTGAAGCGGCCGCCACAACTTGGCAGCGGCTCGAACTCAATATCTCTAGCCTGAGGCACTGGGTTGCGACATACTCTATTACTCACCTGGTCCCGTTCGTGGATCCGCTCATTCTGCTGGTAAAGCTGTGCGGATATGGAGCGACTGAAAGACTGAAAGAGGCGATCGCAAAGCTAATCCACCTTTTCATGTCAAGCGGAAACAGAGCAAGAGTAAGACCCGCGGAAGCGATTTGGCGGCAGACCGGGGTCCCTGAGGGTGGATTCATTGTGCCGGGACGATTACCTGTGGATTACCTTATGACAGCCGATCTTGAAGTGGTATTTGTGGGCCACAGAATTTGAGTGCTGCGCTCGGCAGGTGAAGAAGATTGAGAGATCCACCACAACGCTTCGGTATTGCATGCTCAAGACGTACAGACGCCACAGGTGCAAGGTTTGTACTTTAGCCGACGCGGGTGGGTAGATGCAAAATGCCAGGAAACCAGTGCATGCTATGTAGCTCCATGTCTGGTTGGTCGCTGCAGCTGTACGGAATCTGAGCCGCGTTGCCAGCACCAGTACAAAGCCGTAGAGCTGCCCGAAATGGGCTGCCTGGACATGTTGAAGTGGGTAACAGAGAGGAAGGTCAGAGAGGAGTCTCGGTATGCCGAAGCGAAAATCGCCCGAGTTGTTGTGTGGTTGGCGTGAAGATTGGAGGCGTCGAGGCTCACATGCTGGATGAGCATGACGACAAGTGTCATGTCCGTGGAAGATTGGTACCAAGAAATTTGAAAAGCGGGTTGGAGCAAGTGTGGCTTGAGATCGGCGATCAAAAGCGGCGGAGCGATCGTGGCTCGTTAGCGGACTAGCGGGGGGCTGGCATCTCCATTTGCGAGTAGTTGCGTATCGGCCGACGGAGCTGGCGCCGCAGTGCCTGGCAGTCAGTTTCTTCGAGCAGAGCAACAACGTGCATTCCCTACCTGCAAGCAAGGGCAATACGACAAGCATTTCGCCTGTCGCAAGTCGAACGGAAGCCTCGCGCCTACCCGACAATCGCAAAACAAGGCTCCGGGCCTCTCTCCAGTTGTGCACCCGTTTGCCACTGCGCTTCGGGGAAATCAGCACTCACCTTCAACCACAGCACACTGTCAATACTGCTCCACACGACTCCAGGATCCTTCAGGATACAGCACCAGCTGCTCAAGCACTTCCCATCGTGTTCAGGGAGGCTTTTAGGCCCCATCGAGCGCTTGGCACTCCAAGAAGTCGACTTTGACGGTAGCTCTTCCAGCATTCGAAGCCTTCGCCACATCGCACTTTCTCATGAACAGCACCTCTTGCGCTGCACCACTGAACAGCAGCAAGACGACGCTTCCTCTCACAATGTCACACGACAGATTGTTTCAGGACCGTCGCCAGGATTCCCACTTCGATTCAGCATTTGATCCTGACCAAAACTTCATGTTCGAAGATGGCGTCAACGACGACATGGAGAGCATGCAGCATCATATCACCTCGCTGCAAATGCTCAGTCCAGAGGATGACGCTGCCCTGCAACCAGACTTCATGATCCCAGCATTCTTCGACCAGGGCAGCCTCTCGCCGACCGAACAAAATTGGCCCGTCGCACCATCATATGAGGGGTTCAATACGCACTTGTCACAAAATGACATCGTGAACGGCCGGCCTTCCAGCGTTGTGCAACAATTCGGCCAGATAACGCCACCGGACGACGGCACGCCAAAATTCTCTCCAGTAAAGCAGCGCGCAATTACCGCTTCACAAGGCGGCACCACTGATTCCACGGCAAAGTCGGAGAGAGCGCGGAACGCCGCTAATCAGAGACATGCAAAGGCCAAAAAGGTACGTGAGCTCAGTCGGTCCCGTGAATGACTCGTGATGATAAATGTCCTCGAGCATCTACGTTTCAGCGTGACGCATTCGGGGCAACCGTGTACCTGTCGAGGCTTCCTCGTGCTTCGCTGACCAGTTTCCAGGCAAAGAAGGGCAGTGCTCGGGACTCCAAGGACACCAATGATGAAGTTGATGAGGCGGATGACAAGAAGGAGCGGTACCGCGAAAAGAATCGGTTGGCAGCTGCCAAGTGTCGTTCTAAGAAGAAGACGCACACCGAGGGCCTAGAGGAGTCAGCTAGATTCATCACTGCGCAGAACAACAAGCTCCGAGCGGAGGAAAGAGAGCTGCGAGACATGTTCTCCAGCCTTCGCCACCAAGCACTTGCGCATGACCCTACCCAAGGCTGCACTTGCCAGGCCATCCACATTTACAATAACAATAAAGCGCAAGAGGCCGCAAGAGGCGCCGCCATGCAATTCGCAGCGCAATCGGTGCCCTCACCGGCGCTGAGCAGCAACAGATCTGCAGTAGCCTCGCCGGTGGATTTGGATGGTGTTGCAGGCCGCACGCAGTCGTTCTCTGGCGTCAGACCGACGGTTGTTCAGCAGCAATCTCGCTCGCAGTCCATCGCTGGACCCATGGGCGTATTGCCGGCAGTCGGTGGCAGATCGCAGCTTTCACCGCTGGTCGCGAATGGAACTCCTTGGGCTGTTTCACCAACTAGCGACACCATCCAGGATTATCAGGCAACTTCTCTGGACCAGGAATTGGAACTTAGCTGATGGCAAGCTCGAGAGCGCATTGAGCTGCGGTGGTGTGCATTATGCTCAGGTGGCCGAGATGGCAGAAACCGAGCTCCAGCAGTCGTCCGGATCTTGCAGGACTTGGACGCGTGGACGTCTCCAGATATGACTTATGAGGCAGTGTTCGAGGGGATCGAAGGTCGTGCAAATTCGATAGCTCGTGAACCAGTACTTTCGGCATTGAGTTAATTCCACCGGTAGCGATACCTAAAAGGCGAGGCGTTTGGGTTGCATTGATTCGATGCATTGAAAGACACCAGGAAACTGTATAGTTTGCAGTGAACGGAAATCGGAATTCAGAAATCAGGTGCAGTTTCCACGGCTTCCGTTGAGCAACCAGGCGTATCGTGATATTTCCATCATTTTGACGACATAGCTCGCTCACAGAGAGTTACCATAAGAGCTATGCCGGGTTCGTGCAAGGCGCCCACATCGGCATCCTGAGTCCGTGGTAGTGGGCCAGTCAGAGCGTAGGTGTATGGCCGCTTCCGCGATTGCTTGAGCTTCTAGCGAGGTCTGTCATAGAAGTACATATTGCTGCAGGGCCGTGCCAATGTATTGATAAGTGGTATGGCTGTCACGTTCTCCTGCTGGCGATTAGTCGAGTTTTGGGTTTTGTCTTGAGCTGGCCTTGTGGTGTTCCGCCGTGCCTCGAGCTGCTTGGCTGCGGCTCCCTGCTAAGGATTGGCCAGAATCCATACCATACAGGCTAGCAATTCCTCGTATAGATCGCTGCCCTCTGGGTTGATGGTTGTGTCACTGGCTAGGCCAAGACCCGAAGCTGTTGACGGAGGCTGTATCCAAACTCCGACTCCTCGGGCCCAGTGACGACCTGCAAGCGTGATTCGTATACCAAACGCCGCACAACAGGTATTATTCGTTCTTAGCGAGCTTCCATCCGAATATACTGATATGGTGGTTGATGTTGAATCCGGATAGGGTTGGTGCGGCATCAGCTGTTAGCAGCATTTTGCGACCGGACTGTCAGATGGCGCGCGCAGCCAGAGCGCAGAGCACCACAACTGAGTGGCGCTGGCATTTTCACGCCCATCGACATCAATATGGCTTGCTCGAGATCGGTTGCTGGTCGATTCGTCCGTTTCTGGAGCGTAGAGAAGCCTGGTGTTGCTGTGTTGATGGCCGTTAGGAAGACAGGAAGTGATGAAATGGAACAGAAGGAAGTCGACTAGCAGATTACGTGGGCAGAGCGTGAAGCCAAAGCAGTGCCAAGCCTTTACGGACTGGTTGACCGTCGCCGAAGCCTCCGCAAACCTTGATCTGCCACCCAAATTGAGATCCCGACTTCCTTGTCGGTAGTCGTTCTGAGGTCACGACAGCATCACGCCGTTCTGGTCTGCTTTCCTGCCTTTTTGCCTATACACGTAGTACTGTTTTGCAACGGCAAGTACTGTCCGTTCCAATAATGCGCATATATTCGTTCGTGCTATATGCATCTTCTGATCAATGACAAATAATGCCATACAGATGTATTGGTTGCCGCAGAGGTGGAGGCGGTGTTGAGCTTCTGCATCCTCGACCAGTTGCCACCGTTTCAGCTTCAGTTTTTGCATTAAACCTGTGTAGACTATTTTGAGACATGTACCATTGCTCAAGAAACATGTAACTAACCCGGAACGCATCTCTGGGGATACAACCCTGACAAGTGCAATGTGTAGGAGACTGCGTCACTGACGAAGTTCTGCTGCTTCTGAGCGTCCTTTCCAACCATACGGCTGTAATACGCAGCTCCGTCTGACTCGACCATTGACCATCTCGCAAACGCAGAGCTTCTCGCCCCAAATGCCCGTCGACCTGTTTCCAGCTGTCGCACTTCGCTCTTGAGAAGGCAATAAGCGAGACGTCGCCCTCGTCCAACACGTGAGTACAGCTGCCTTTTTCCGATTCAAAGAGATACTAGGCCTCCATTTGCATGAGCTTCTTTTGAATGCCTCTCTGCACTTCTGTGCGGACTACCTGCATCCAAGTCCGGCTTGGCTGTAGTAGCTGCGAGGACAGCTTGAAGATGCACGGACTGACCACATGAAAAGATTGTCTCCGTAGACACGAGCATGACCTGACGATCGGTATCGACTCACGCGTATTTATCCTTCAGGCTGGCTATCGCGCTTCGGAAAGAATCGTTGATGCTGATACTTGAAGTCCACCGCTGCAGTGGGCCGTGTGCTTTTAGAGAAGGTCACAATGACCTATCGTCGAGCATGCGATATGTTGTGTATGGCGTTGCCACCACCGTGCAAGGCAAGATGACAGCTCCACTGCGACGTAACAGCATACATGGCAATCGTGTCGTGCATCTCGAGGATCGCGAACGTCGAATGCATTCGCGGCTCAGGTATATCCAATCCAGCTGTCGCCAAAGGCCCTGGCACGATTTTGCTAAAGGGAACCGGAAGATGATGGCCTCAAGGCAATATATCATGTGCAAGTGCGATCTCTGCTGCATTGCTCTTCCATAGATATCGTGTCAAGACCCCCATTGCATCTTCAACGCAGCTCTATCCGGCACTTCCTCAACGTCTTTGCTCGCTCTTGTTCTGATCACGCCGAGCGTCGGCATCTATCGGCTTGAGATAATAGTTTGTTCAACAGTCAAAAGGTTGCATACTAATTGTTGGTAGAATAGAATAGGAGACGAATATAGAGGGAGGCTGAAATTGAAGCTCCGCTCAACCCTGATTGCGTCACCCGGGGTAGCGGTTGCCGATGACATTGAGCTTGAGCAATTCATCTAAGCTCTCTCACAACACTTGTGCCATCTAATGAATCTCTTAGCAGGCTTAGCAGCAGCTGGACAGACTTTGAGAAAGCCGGTCGTATCAGCACTTCTTGCAGTGAGTTTTGCATTTCTGCTTTGGACGTTCCTAGCTGAAAAGAGGGTCAGCAACAAACACGAAAGATGCACATCGAAAGCATACCCATGTGTAAGATTGAAAACCCATCAAGGTGTCATTGACCGTTGCTAAGATATGATTCCTGTAGGGGAGGGGAGCGGCAATAACTACGCCTACCGTATGTCCTTCAAGCTGCAGCATGTGATCAAAGTGCCCTGGTGCTTAATGCTGACAACTCCACCAATGCAGTCGTCACCGATGACAAGACAAAGGACGCTGTGATCATCGACCCTGCAAATCCACCCGAGTAAGTACTGGCCCGACAGACAATGGTATTGGATACGTCACTGACCGTCGAAGGGTACTGCCAGCATTGAAGAAGGCAACGGACAGCGGCATCAATCTCAAGCACATAATCAACACTCACCAGTGGGTTTGTTTTGCCCAACAGCTGATGCGTATCACTGACGCGGTCATAGCCACCATGACCACGCAGGAGGCAATGCCGAGATCCTCAAGACGTATCCACTTCCAATCATTGGTGGTAAGGATTGCGCAAAGGTGACCAAAACGCCAGGCCATGGCGAAACTTTCACAATTGGCGAAGGCATCAAGGTGAAAGCTCTCCACACGCCATGCCACACTCAGGACAGCATATGCTACCTCTTTGAAGACGGCAACGATCGAGCTGTATTCACCGGCGACACTCTCTTCATCGGTGGCTGCGGACGATTTTTCGAGGGCACGCCTCAAGAGATGGACACAGCTCTCAACAAGACACTGGCTGCGCTTCCTGACGACACCAAGGTCTTTCCTGGTCACGAATACACGAAAGGCAATGTCAAATTCGGTGTTCAGGTCATTCAATCGGACCCGATCAAGAAGCTCGAGGCTTTTGCAAACTCGAACAAGCAGACTCAGGGCAAGTTCACAATTGGAGACGAGAAGCAATTCAATGTCTTCATGAGACTAGATGACCCGGAGGTGCAGAAGTATACGGGAAAGACGGATCGAGTGGAAGTAATGGCAGCCCTGCGGGAGGCGAAGAACAAGATGTAAAAGTAAAGAAAGATATCTATTTGCGAAGGCGAAAATGATTCCCTTCCCATGACTCCTGGTTCTTACCATCTCTTGACTCAAATATGCGGTCCCCTGGTACGGAACTGCGGTCTCATGTAGTGGCTCAAGTACAGTAATAATAGAGTCGTCGATCTAGCGTGCCCCACGAACAGTCATGACCATGATGACTGTTGCCCCACACAGCCCATCACCAGACATTAGAATAAAGCACCAGGTTCGACTGATATCTTTCCAAATCATTTGACTGCATCACAGTGCCTTGTCTTTCAGCGCCAGCAGAACTACTATGATCACACGAATACGAAACTGAGCGTGCAGATTCGAGATCGGACTGCGTAGCGGCAAAAGAGATTGCAACAGCGACATCCACAATCCAGACCAAGATGGCGACAAGACAGGAACGATATAAGCAGGCGCCTCAGACAGCGCAGGAGAGACGCGCTGGCGAGTCAGTATGTCAATGTCAATATGCAGACCGATCCTCCAGACAACTGTGATGAAGGGAAAGTAATTTCATCTCTTCATACTGACGTGGTGCCACAGGCATTGAGTGACTTCGCCGACTACGTTCAGCAACAGCAAGCACTACGAAAACCTCCAGGCCCAGCAGGTACTAGCACGCTACCAGCGAATGGCGCTTCAAAGCACGAACACGCCGAACTCGACATTCTCGATACCCTAGACCTCGCAGATGACAAACCGAAAGTCAAGATCAAGCATCTATTTCTTGATGAAGGCGATACCAAGGATGAAAGTACTCAGCAGCTACAGGAGATTTTTAGCACACGTCTAGAGGAGGGCCATGGAGAGTGCCTATTCGATATCGGGTTGGAGGACAATGGCGATAGCCAGTTGTTGACCGAGCCAGAGTGGGAAGCTGCTCTGGCGCGGATACAGGGCATCCTCGAACGGCTAAAAGCAGACTGGAAGATTCTCATGACCAAGAACGTACCGAATAGCACAGTCGACGTCGGAGCCGACAAAAAAGAGCGAGGATGCGTGGGCAAACTCATGGCCAGACGGCGGCCGGAGAGCGTGGACGATACCATTGAGACACGAATAGCGGTTGTCGGCAACGTAGATGCTGGAAAGAGTACTTTGCTGGGTAAGGACTTTGACGCCGCGAGACAACAAAAGCTGCGGCCTCCATATCGCAGACCACAGCTCTATTTCGGCAATTCTACTTGGAGTAACATAGACTTGGCTGACAGCACGCAGGTGTACTCGTGAAAGGCGGTCTAGATGACGGACGTGGAAAGGCGCGAGTTAACCTCTTCCGCCACAAGCACGAGATGGAAACTGGGCGAACATCAAGCGTGGGCATGGAAATCATGGGCTTCGACACCAAGGGAGAGGTCGTGGTTTCTGGCGTGCCTGGCAGGAAGCTGAGCTGGGAAGAGATCGGAAAACGCAGTGCGAAAGTCATCTCCTTCACCGACTTGGCTGGCCACGAACGATATCTACGAACCACGGTCTTCGGGCTGCTCTCTAGCGAGCCGAATTACTGCCTCCTGATGGTCGCGGCCAACAATGGCCTTATCGGAATGTCGAAAGAGCACCTGGGTATCGCTCTCGCCCTGAATGTGCCCGTCATGGTGGTCATTACTAAAATCGATATCTGTCCGCCCCAGATCCTTCAGCAAACCTTGACTCAGATTACGAAAATCTTGAAGTCTCCAGGAGCTCGAAAAATTCCTATATTCATCAAGACCAGGGAGGAATGCATCAATACGGCGACGCAATTCGTCAGTCAGCGAATATGTCCAATCTTCCAGGTCTCCAATGTCACCGGCGAGAGCCTGGATCTAGTCCGCGAGTTCTTGAATATTCTACCTCACCACGGCAAGTACGATGTGGACGCGCCATTTGAGTTCCATGTCAACGATACGTTCTCGGTTCCCTTCGTCGGAACTGTCGTTAGTGGAGTCATTAAATCCGGCATCATCCATACCGGAGACACCGTTATGATCGGGCCAGACAGTCTCGGCCAATTCACTACGACCACTGTTCGTTCCATCGAGCGAAAGCGTATTGGAGTTCCAGCTGCGACCGCAGGCCAGAGCGCTTCTTTCGCGCTCAGGCGAGTCAAGAGGAAGGACGTCCGCAAAGGCATGGTGGTCCTCCTCAACAAATCGGAGACAAATCCAAATTTCGAGGCTCCGAAACCGACAGTATATCGCGAGTTCGTGGCAGAAGTCTTGATCTTGTCCCATGCGACGACCATTCGGACGAAGTATCAAGCCATGCTTCACGTAGGCCCAATCAGCCAGACATGCGCAATCATCGATATTGACAGAGCATATATTCGAACTGGAGACCGGGCGACTGTAGCCTTCCGTTTTGTTCAGAGGCCTGAATTCCTGGCTGCAGGTGACCGAATATTGTTTCGAGAGGGTAGGACGAAAGGTCTAGGTATCGTCAAGCAAGTCGGCTACGATCCTTCTAAGCCCCTCAATCCGGAGACTGCCAAGGATCGAGAACTGAGTGCCGTCGATGAGGAGAAGCAGAGGCCAGCTACGATCAAAGCTGCGACATGAGCTAGATGAAATATGATGCAATGAGTAGTAGCAGGTTGGCTAAACAGCACAGCCTGAGCAGGTCTACCCGTGCAGGGCCATCAAGAAATCAAACATTGATCAGCTCCATGTTGACTCCGATCTCAACCCCTTGCTGTCATTCTCATAGTCCACGTTTACTTTTGTTCTCTCACCTTCAACAGCACGTCGGGATGTCACCAGTTCCGCCTGAATATGCCTGAACAGCTCTATTCGCAAGCTCAACGGCTGGTAACGTTGTTTCAAAAGTCATACGAGGCCCGAATGTCATCTCGAAAGCTTTCAAGGATTCCCAAGCCTTCATTCCTGAAGCGGACTTCATCAACACTCCTGCACTTCTGCTATTCTCTACATTATTAATATCCAGCAGAGGTTTTATCACATGCCAGCAGCATCGACTGTCGGCCTGCTTCGCTTCCTTTGCGACCTCTCATCAATACATCTTCCGGATGATCCGACTTTTTTGATGCCAGCCTCGCACGTCACTCCTGCAATGTCCTGAGACCTTCCGCCGCGGAGCGGCTTTTAGCTGCATCTCACCTGATCAAGACCGTTCATCCACTTTCACCGACTTCGATATGCCTACAGATACCGTGCACAGGCACGCTTGTCATGCTCCAAGATCAAGATAGTGGATACCAATGGCTAGGACACTAGCAAATGTTGTGCCGCGTGGCGCTTCTGTTGCGTGCGCGTCATACAAGCAAGAGCCTCGTCAGTCGACGACATAAGTGTGTATGGGCATGTCACCATGTGCTGTGCACCTTGTCAGTACTACGCCTGCCTTTTGGCTCTTGAGGAAATCGGAAGGCGAGTCAGTCTTTTCTGGCCTATTGCTTTCCAAGTCGCCATTCGTCGGGCCAATTCACATCAGTGGGATTAGAACCAGCAGTATCCCAAGTCATTATCCTCCTCTTCGTTCCCATGGCGTCCACAACTACAACAGCATCACCAGCTGCAACTTCGAGCTTCTCGGTCGACATTGGAAGCGGAATATCCATCAGCACTGCGGAAATCGTTGGACTCGGAGTAGCAGTCACTGTTGCTATTATCATCTTCGTCATCGCGCTCCTCGTGCTATTCTGGGGATGCAGCTGTAGAAGGAAGAGGAATCGACGATCTCTCATTCTCTACGACGATGAGAAAGGCACATACCCTGGTCATATTTCCTCTGCAACCACCTCGGAAATCAGCCAACTACCACCCTCGTACCACCCACCAAGCCGACCGCTTTCGACAGATGAATTTGATGAGAAGCCGCTGCCGCCATCGTATGGACTTGAAAAGAGAACCTCGTCGACGGAGAAGGTCAGAAGTAGTATGCTTGAAAGAGCATCGAGCTCCCGATCGTGGCTTACTCGGGGTTCGAGCGATTCGGGACTGCAGTGAGGGAGAGTTAGGAGTCAGCATATTGAAGTCACATTTTAACGAGACCACGAATGTCATAAGGGAATGCGAACTTTCCCACCTTTTCGCAGCTTCCTCTTTCCCTACCTTTTCCCTGTCCTCATGGTCTTGGCGCTCGGTGAGAGCACTTGCAGATGATACGAGGTTTGCTGACCACAGCTCCACAGGCTGAAATCTTCTGAGACAGTTCACCACCTTCAACACGAAAAACACTAACGGATCTGTGGACGCACGCCACGTGGATCCCTCTCGATGCTGGTGGATCGTCTTCTGCCAAGTTGCATGGTATTCAATGCCAACGGCCGCAAGGGATCATATGATCAAACTTAGTCCCTCCGGAGTTTGAATACAGTAACCCAGTGGTGGAACAATACGAGCTACTGCATGGATTGGACATTCGACTTCTTTTGACATTGCAAAGATGGTAGTAACGGCATGCAGGGATGAAATCCCTCGCTGGGAACAGGAAGCAAACCTTTGCATGTACTCGGAGACCTTCGATACGGGAGAGAGAAACGACTGGTTTGTCCGGATTGGTAAGGAAGTCTCAATGAGTGATCTCGTTATCAAGTTGCCGTCCTAAGAAGCTTCCGACCATCCGGTAGATACGTTGAGCTGGAAGACCCTGCCAGCTAAGATGTATAATGGAAATCGGCAGAGACATCTTCAAAACCAAGCCAGGCAGACTAGGAACACTGATGAAGCGCTGTCCGGACGAGCCTCTCAAAGATGCTGAACTCGACTAACTGGCAGCCAAACATGGCCTCGGGCGCTGGAATTTTTATGGAGCAGTATATGGACCTCCTCTGATCCAAGAAGCTATGCTCGGAGTCATCAAGAATTCATTCCTCCAAGTTCCTGGTTCGAAGTTTCACTTCCCTCAAGATGTTCCAAATAACATTGTCGCGCAAGTGCGCTATAACACGCTGCAAAGAATCCCATCAATTAGCGGGCTGACCTGGGTAGACTGGATAAGATCTCGAAAACATGATCTCGTGGGTGTGAATGATTGATGACCACCTATAAAAGCTCCCTAACGGCTCGCATGGCGAATTTTCGCCAATCGCTCCAGTCGCCGGCAAAGACGCTAAGAAGCAATACGTGACACGTCGCCTCAACAATAAATACGGCTTCGATTTCATCGGCACTTTCATCGTCGGGACGAGATCGAGAAGTGGAGGGTGCCGTTGCCGAATCAAAGGCTCGCAACGATGGATGTAGCATTGTGGCACAAGGATTGAGCATTCTCCTTTCTCGTCGCCCCCCATCCTCTCCCTCGTGTTGTTGGTGTAGGACCTGTGGGACAGCCTCGGCCCTCGCATGCTCCGGCTCTGGCATTCACCGGGCCCTTATTCAGATAGAAGGGGAGACTTTTACTCCTTCGGCGTTCAAACTACTGCAGTCTTTCCAAGGGCTCTGCGAAGATGCCGGCATGGGACTGAGGTATGATGTTACCCTCTCATTGTCAAATTTAAGGTCTTGATGAAAACAGTAATTCCCCTACTTTATTAAAATGTAATAGTATCGAACTTACCTTGCAATGCCCCTGGACTCTAAACCGAGCCCCAGCTATATAGCCGACCGAGCCCCAGCATGACCCGAACTTTTGATTTAGGATTTCAGCATACAATGGCTTCATGTGACGCGTAAGCTCAGTCACATGGTGGCACGTGACTTCTTGGCAGGAGAAGGATTTTCACACTGTATTTTAGACCATAGAATAAGCAGAACATAGGCAATCAACGAAGCCATATTGAACCGCTGGCAAGGCAGTATTACGTAAGTAATCCACTGCGCTGTGCGTGATACTTCACTCTATACAACGCCTCGAATAATACTCCTCTCTATCTATAGAAGCAAGGAGCGACGTGCCGGCGCAGGAGGCTTGCCCTCCAAAGCGTCGCGGGCACTTGAGCGGGCCGCAGGGCCAACGTTGCTGTCCTCGCTGTGAGCGAGGTTTTGAAGGTCTTTAACGTAGATTGATGAGACATTGATTGGTCGCTGGGGCTCGGCTTAGCATCGAGGTGCAATGCCTGGCTACAATAACAGCAGCCGTCGGATCATTGGGTGCATCGCTTTCAGACTTGCGGTATATTCCAAACTTAGCTCTTCGGGGAAATGAAGCGTTTTAGCGTGGTCAACCGCAGATTTCTCTGAATGAAGCAACCCAACATGTGGCACCTCGCCACTTCCCCGAGCCCCAGCTACCCGCCCGAGCCCCAGTAATACAGTGGATTATGGAATCCGCTGTTCCTAACAAAATCGCGTAGGGAAGCGATTTCCGGATCCCCGCAACCACCACCGACCGGGCAACCACTTCTATACTGCTGCCAGCTATGAAGCCAAAGGTTGTTAGCAAATCAGTGGTATAGCAAAATTCAAGGTGTTGTTGGCTGCTATCTAATGTACTCAGGTCCAAGCGGATTACGACCTGCAGCCTTGTAACCACGTGATGCTATATATGCTAGCTCATATTGGTCCCTCATTTGCTGACTAGCCTGCTGCTGCATATGATACTGCTGCTGAGTGAACTGATAGTGCTGTTGTTGCAGCACCTGGTAGTGAAGTGGCCGTCCTGTTGGCTGTGTAATGGTGTTGCTTCGAGGCGCGACTTCGAGGCGCGACTTCCTAGGTAACGCGCTCCGCGCTACCAACCAAGAATGGATATAATATATAATATATAATAGGTGGAAACAGCACGTAATCTCATTCAGGCCGATTCTATATTGGTATATCTACTGGGGCTCGGGCGGGTAGCTGGGGCTCGGGGAAGTGGCGAGGACATGTGGCATAGGTGAATAGGGGCAGATGCCGGACGTTGAATAGGTTTGGCAAGGGCACGGCTGAGATATCATCGCAATGATTCTGCCTTTGTGGAGCGCTAGGCGAGCATCGAGTGTAGGTCTTTTACCAACAAATCCTCGCTAACATCCTGAGACACCGACTTCTGCAACAAAAATTTCAGTCAGACGGCATCATCATGCGCTCGCTACTTCACGCGTTGGCGGCAGTGGTCGTGTCCATTGGCTGCGTTCGTGCAGATGTAAGTCTTCAGAATTTGCAATCGAATTGGTCGTAGTCCCGTTGACTTGAATGCAAAGTACTGCACACCCAGTACTCCAACACTCATCCTCGGCGGCAATGGCGGCTGCTACGACTCAAAGGGGAATCTGAAAGCATACTGCGACTCTTCGTAAGTTGATCATGTCCTTGATCAGCGTTGAATCAGCCTGACATGCGCAGTGGGGCCTGCTCTAAAAACGGCGCGTCATGCAGTGTCTACGCAGCCATTCCATTCCCCGCAGCCAAATGTCATTAGGGATGGAAATCCAGAATCCGCAGAATCGGTAGAGCTAGTGGCAGTGCTGTGTCGCCTTCGAAATGGGTGGATTTGCGGTATAGCGACGGTTTAATAGCCAGAAGGTCAATTACCCTGTTTTGCCTCTTCGATCTACTGCTACATCCTACCGTATACATTACTTCTACAACCACTTGCGGGCCACTGCGGGCCGTAATGCGGACACAGCGGAAGCTATACTTTCCTCCGTGTGAACCAAAATCTCTAGTTGTGGCGACTGAGTTGCACAGCAAGGGGTGCATGGTCTTCATGCTCAGAATACCCTTCGCTTCGTCAGTTCATGGCCAAGCTTGATAGTTCTCGTATGGTAGCAAGGCCAGCACTTAGCATTCTCATTCCGCTACGCAGATGCTCATAGCGTATAATAGTCGTGCATAGCTGCTGTTAATCATTTGGGAAGCACAAGAGGGTATATTGTTTCAATTGCGGCGATCGACACCAGCAACGTAAGCCTCATGTGTAGCGGAAGTAGTTGGATCTCCACCGCGGTTGTTGGCTTTGCAAATCTTTGATCTTCTAGTCTCTTCTTCGATCTGCTGTCGGCAGTATGGTTGTTGTATGCAGCAGGGGTCCGTTCCATATGTTTGGTACGACCGATTTACCGCAGCCCTCCGCACTTCTGCGACTTTGACGTCAGCATTTACTCGTTCCATACGATCATAGCACCTACCATTTCACTGGAAAGACACGAGTTTTCAAATTTGCAGCGTTGCAAGCAGGAGTCCGTATTGCGACAATGTCTCCAAGCAAAGAATCAGGTGCCTTGAAAGAGCTGTTCCAGATGATCTCCGCTCAATTCCCTCCGGATAACAATCCAGCTCTGGAGCGAGCGGTCTACGACCAAGTCCATCAGGCTGCATCCGAAGCTCCAGGTGTAAGCTACGAGAGTACCGTAGTTGCCGGTCGACCTGCAATATGGATTAGGCCCGAAGGCGCGTCCCCAAAACATGCGATGCTTTACATGCACGGAGGTGGCTACTCTTATGGCTCAACGCAGAGTCATCGAAAACTGTCGGCGCATCTGGCCAAGGCTTGCAACACTCCTGCTTTGTCAATTGACTATCGTTTGGCTCCAGAACATCCATATCCGGCACCACTGGATGACTGCGTCAACGCGTACAAGTATCTGCTCGATCAAGGAATCCCCGCCGAAAATATCGCAGTTGCTGGAGACAGCTGCGGCGGCTGCCTCTCGGCGACTGTTCCTTTAGCAGCGATTCAAAGAGGGCTACCCGTTCCCGGCGCATCGATTTCAATGTCGCCGCTGTACGATCAGACTGCCTCTGGCTCAACATACGACTCAAATGAAGAGAATGATGCCCTGAGTACCAAGCCTTCCCTGAACAAGCTGGCAGAGCGGTTTACGGCCGGCAACAAGGCCCTGAGAAAGGATCCTCTGATCAGTCCGCTGCTTGCCCCAGATGTGAGCGGCCTCCCGCCGACTTGGATCTCTGCCGCTGGGTATGATATGCTACTTTGCGATGCACAAGCTTTTGCGGAGAAATTGCAGAAGGCCGGAGTTGAGGTTGTGCTGAAGGTGCACGACCAGCAGCAGCATGTATTCGAATTCATGGCGGGGAAAGCTCCAGAAGCGGATACGAGTATTCGAGATATCGGGACATGGACGAGGGAGAAGATCGGTTCGTGAGGTATGAATGGAGATGGTGGTGCAGTTGCAAGCGTTGAGCGGACGTTGTACTTCTGGGAGTGCTGAAAGTCGCTTCGGTCCTCTCTATACGTCAATTATCCACTGTATCCTGTACTCTTGTGTCTGCAGCTCCCAGCGCCATTGTGCGTCCAAACGTGCCTCTTCACAATCTTCTCCGTTACGCAACCAGAGGTGAGCAAGTCTGTGCCGCGTCGGTCGGAGGAAGTTCTCGTTGAGGGTGTTCTTGCTTTTCGTGAAGAGTCGCAGAGCTCTTCAAGGAGCGAGCTCTATCGGATCATAGCTCCAGCTCCAGCAGACTCGGAGCACAGAAGCGTGAGAGACACATGCATGTGCTGAACGCGCGTGCTCCTTTCCAACCACAACGAAACCATCGGCATCAGCTCCGCCACTCCATGATTGGACATGCGGCTTTGAGACACAGGTCACGTCACCACCCGCCTGCGTCCTTTCTTCTGTTGACACCGGCATCCTTTTCTCTCACGCCTCAACATGCGTCTCGGTCTCTTGACCGATTGTGCTCGGTTGCGAAGACATGGCATCGGAATCTGACACGACACCGGAAGGCCAGGCAGTCGCCAAATTCGCACAGGGAGATCCCGAGAATCCTAGAGCATGGCCGGCATGGAGGAAATGGACAATTGTTGCGAGCGTCGGCTTGGTCGATCTGACGGTGTCAGTATATCTATCTTGCAATGCATGACGACGACGGATGGGAGCTGCTACGGTCGTGGTGTTGAGCATGGCAGTTCGGCCTTGGCACTCGCACGCGGCAGCATTGGCCGTGGAAATAATCGCTGACAGCACGGTACTAGATCGTTTGGAGCTTCTGGTTACTCACCTGCTAGTGCAGACTTCTGTCAGGATTTCGGAATTGGCCATGAGACAGGACAGTTGGGCCTCTCTTTATACGTCCTCGGCCTCGCGTTGGGACCCATGTTCATTGCTCCTCTGAGCGAGTACTACGGCAGAACAGCACTATATCTGATACCCTATGGCATATTCTTGCTCTTCTTAGCCGGCACTGCCCTTGTGCACAACCTTGTCGGCTTCATGATCCTTCGACTTCTATCGGGCACCTTCGCCAGTGTCACGATTGCCAACTTTGGAGGCACCATTGCCGATCTATTCGAAAGAGATCAAGTCGGCCCAGCCATGAATATATTCCTGTGGGCTGCAGTAGGAGGGAGTCCTATTGGATTCTTCTTGATGTCTCTGGTAGCCGAGCATCATGACTGGAGAACTGTGTTCTGGGCTTTGCTTGGCATATGTGCTTTCTGCTGGCTGCAACTGCTGGTGGTATTAGTGCCGTTCCATAACGAGACTAGGCATTCTGTCCTCATTCGAAGAAGAGCGAGACGAGAGAACAAGGTCATTGCAGCAGATGCTCAGGCCAGATCGCTCAACCAGCTTTTTACCGTGACCATCTGGCGAGCATTCAGATTCCTGTCAACCGAAACCATCGTTATTTTCGGAGCACTTTATAATGGCTTTCTGTATGGTCTGTCATTCATGTTCAATAGCGCCTTCGGCCTCGTCTTCGGCAAAGAAGGCTACGGATTCAACACACTCGGTGTCGGATGCTGCTTCTTAGGCCTGGTCGTCGGAATCAGCTTGGGGCCTGTCGTTGGTGTCTGGCAGGAGCAGTATTATCAGCGTCGGGTTCATGGTGATAACAAGCTATCGGAAGACTCAGAGGCGACCGCTTTGCTGAACGACGGCACGAGCAAGCCTAAACACATTCCGGAGGCAAGAGTGCAACTCGGGAAGGTTGCTGCTATACTGTTGCCGGTGAGTCTATTCTGGTTCGCCTGGACATCACCGCCCGAGTATAATATTCATTACATGGTTCCTGTTCTTGCGACGGTTCTCTTCGGTTTCAGCTTCTTCACGCTAATATTCATGGTCGCGATCTACTCTGAGGAGAGCTATATGGTGTATTCTGCATCAGCACTGGCTGGCATTGGGCTTGCGAGAAACATCGCTGGCGCGGTCTTTCCGCTGTTTGGAAGCCGCATGTTCTCTGAACTCGGCTACAACTGGGCTGGCACGATCGTTGCTTGCATTGCCTGCCTCCTGGCCCCCATCCCATTCGTTCTTGAGCGGTACGGCCCTCAGCTACGAGCCAGAAGTCCGTTTGCTTTTGAGCACATGGACGATGATGATTGAAAGATCAGCGTGGTCACGCTCCATTTACAGCCTTTGCCCTGATCACAGGAACTCTGCGGCAATGAAAGAGTGGCTACATCTCAGCAATTCTGTGGGAAAGGCTACATCTCAAGCAATCTGCGCGCTCCATGCTCGATGCTGACGACTATATGACTGTCTACGATGTGTCGACACCACGCGCCGGGTGTAACGGATTTGCGTATAGCGGCGCGATTCCCCAACGCTGGCCAGATGGTGTGTTGATGGCAAATGAGCTGTTTGATTTGCGTGTCATTTTGGCGTCTGCGTATTCGATTGTTTGGTGAGCAAGGAAATGGAATTTGAATCAATGAAGTTGGCACAGCCAGCCAGCCATCTTTTCATGCTTTCCCAGAAACTCAGAAGCTTTGGCTACGCCTTCCTCGATCTTGATTTTAGAGTTCAGCCTTCCCTGATCCGCCATGGACAGCGTCATCTCGCCGCCAAGATGTTTGCTTCCGCGGCGCGAACAATTTCTTTGCTGTCGCCGTCCTCCACTGCAAGGTCAGCACAATTTGACCAGATCTTTCGTGCTGCGGAGGACACAATCCCACGAATGTCCAAAATGGCAGAAACGGTGATCAACATGGCCGTCAACAACGCCTCTCAAGCATCGCGACATCTGGCGCAAGAGGCGACCAATCCATATTATCCGATTGGCAGCTACATAGCTGGTTACGCAGCGAACGAATCGTCCGTTCCAGCTCTACTGGGCGTGTTCTTCGGAGCGTGCACAGTACTGTTCACATCGACATATCTGCTGGTGAAACGAATCCAGCCAGATTTGAGCACGAATGAGATTCTCGCGATTCTCTGGTTCGTGCTCTCGGGAAGCATCCACATCTTCTTCGAAGGATATTACGCCACGAATTATGCTACACTGGCATCGAAACAGACTCTCATCGGGCAGATGTGGAAGGAGTACGCGTTTTCCGACAGTCGATATCTCACCAGTAACAGCTTTGTGCTGTGTGTGGAAACGATTACGGCAGTCTTCTGGGGCCCTGGATGCCTGCTGCTGGCAGCGCTTGTGGTGCAAAGATCGCCATGGAGATATCCTTTGCAGATGTTAGTCAGTATGGGTCAATTCTATGGAGATGCCCTGTACTACGCTACAAGCTTTTTCGATCATTGGCTCTACGGAACTGTGTACTACAGGCCTGAGCCATTCTATTTCTGGTTTTACTTCGTCCTCATGAACTTCTTCTGGATCTTGATACCAGGCAGTAAGTACATGCATGGGCGGGCGACTTTGGTGATCTTGACTGACCTTTTATGCAGTGTTGATCTGGCAGAGTGCATCGAAAGCAGCTTCAGTCATTGCGACAGTGAACAAACTCGAAGCAGCAAAGAAGGCTCGATAGTCTCGACACAAAGCGTACTTCATAATAGATACAGCACATGCTCAGAAAGCTGATGCATGCAGAGAGACACGATAGAAGTCGACAGACTCGGCTAAGACCTGAATAACTAATGTGATATCAACGCCCTAATTAGACCTTCCACCGTTCTCCTATAATTTCATCAAATGACCAGGCTCTCTAAGACAGCTAACGTCCTGCGAGCCACAACGAGAACCTCTATAAGAGAAGCACCCCATCGCAATCCTCACCGATCATTCTCCACAACCTCCGTCAACTCATCCATCCTCGCCCCAAACTCCCTCCAAGAAGCCCTCACAACCGCCTTCGCCGCAGCCGCAATGCTCTCACTCCTCTCTACACGCTCTCTAAGCTTCAAATTCACATCCCGTTCCTTATAAAGTTCCCTTTCCGCATACTCTCTTTCCTCCCCCAAAATCTGAATCTCGCGACGATCGTTCATCGCATCGACATCGAGCCTCGCGAGTCTCTTCTGCAGCTCTGAAATTCTTTCTTTCTCCTCCAAAATTTGCCTATTGAGTTCTGCTTTCAGTTTGTCGAAAATTTCGTCGGCGGATCGCCATGATGTGGGTCGGGTTGTATTTTGGGGTTCTGTGTGATGGATTTTAGTTATGATCGGAAGATGGGAGTTGATATTACGACGTACTTTCGATAGAATAGCCGGGTCCGGGTTCTGGGTCTTGTCGCTTTCGCTTGAACGCTGACGGTCTTGGGATGTCGCCTCTCATTGTGTCTGACCTTGCGTCGCTCAAGTGTTCTTGGTTCATGTCTCTGAGATACTGTTTTGTACATGTGGAGTGTGAAAAATATGAGGACGCCAAGAAGACCGTGCGTTCTTCATGTGAAACATTCGACCACTGAACGTACAGTGGTTGGTAGAACTGCTTACTCATCGCATCTAGCGAGGACGACCACCTAAGTCTCCATCAAAACACGATGAATGCCGCCTCATGCCTCCTCATGCATGAACTCGGAATGCTTCGAGTCCCAAATCGTTTCTCTGACCGTAAACGCCACTTCACCATCGAATTCATCATCATCCGAGTCCTCCTTATCGCTATCCCACTCCTCATCCTGCTTCGGCTTTAGGACATCGAAAGCAATCTCCATATCCTGCGGTCCATTCTTGATCCAAACCAATGCTCGGACCTCCCAGAATTTCTCGCCATCATCCTTTACTACTTGGAACCCCTTGTTCCTGATATCCTTCAACTCGATTGGAAGATCTACCGAAGCCCAGTGATGGACACCTGCGCGGAATTTGCACTCGTCGTCATTGTTTGCATCCTCCTTTTCTTCGAGTTTCCTCGCCGCCATGTAGTCCTTAAGCTTGGCGGTCAGGTAGACTAGCTCCGCCGTAATCCTTGGCTTCGCCATGGGAATCGTATAGACCTGTGAGACTTTCTTCCGTACCACCTGGCCTGGAAGGAGCTTCTGGCCCTTCTGGACAATGATCCTAAGCCGATCATCGACAACCTCAGTCTCTGGATGAAATGGATCGTTTCTGACCCATTGCTTAGTGATGATCTCATCTTCTTCCCAATCTCCATCTTCGTATGAGTCACGGTGAAGATTTGGGTCAAAGGGCTGTCGTTCGAGCAATGCATAGCCAAACTGAGATGGCAGGACTGGCGCTCGTATGCTATCATACCGCAGCAGCCCGCCAACCGCGACGGGGTAGCAGTCGGAGATGTCAGTGATATTCGGGCGAACAACGTCGATGCCTGCGGGCTCGTACTTGTTACGCAGTTTCATCATCAGATGGCTGTTCTTGGCAAAGCCGCCAGTGATCTCGATGACGCGAGGCTTGCGCGTGTCAATGTGCCTGTCGAGCCTCTTCGTGACCTTCGCTATGACTTGGTCCAGAGCACTATGGATCTGCCTTGCATCTAATTGAAAGCTTTTGTATCTGTAATCGAAAGGCAGAAATGTTAGCGGGTGTTCAGGAAGCTCCGAGAAAAGCTTTCGATACAAGTGGTTGTCTTATGCTTGCATCGCATGGATTCGCTCAGATGACCGAAGGAGGTGAAGTTTCTCGACTTCATACTGTACTTACTTGCCTTTAAGACCTCGAATGAGACCTGTTCCAAACTCTTCATTTCCGGCGAATTCCTTCTTGACTCGCTCAATAGCTTGCAGAGCTCTGCGATCGAAGTCCCGCTCAGTGACTCCGAGATAGTCCGCGGTGTCGACGCGCCATTCCGCGCCCTCCTGCTTCTTGAGCATTTCGTAGAGCAGGATATCGACTTGCAAGGACCCACAGATGTCTCCAGTCGAGTGCTCAATGGTGACAAGTTTGCTCTTCGTATCGAGATCCTCATCCAGTTCGTAGGCGGCAAAGTCGCCGGTGCCACAGCCAAGATCGGCGACCAAAATACTGTCACCTTTCTTCAGCGGTTTGTCTAGTCGCTCTCTTTTCTGGGACCACTTGTTGACTTGAAACGATAGGGCGCATTGTTGCTCATAGGCGAGCACCACGAATTTCAGTCCGGCATTCTTTGCAGCAGTCTGTATGCGTCTTCTTGCCTTTGGGCTCCAGATCTGCGGAACCGTTATTCTTACCCGCATTTCGCGGATCATACGCTTGAAGACGGGCTCGCCATAGTGGGTTTTCTCTCCGCATTTCAGAAGAGCCTCTCTGATGTGCTTCATAATAGCTCTGATATGTTCAGTAGTCAGATCGTCTAGTGTCCTGTTTCCGGGGATATCATCAAGGATGGCCTGGATCTTCTTCCTATGCTCTTCAGTCTCTGGACCTTCGTAGAAACCCAGCTTGTGGTGGCTAATAATCTTGTTCGAAAGCTTGCGATCTTTGTTTGCCATAGCCTCGAGCTCGAAGCCCTCCTTGAAATCATCGCCAACCCACGTTGCTATCACAGGCACCTCGTGAGCACGATCTGCGATCATGAGCGGAGTCTCCGGAGGAATGCGTTCTTCATCTTTGTAGATGGCGTAAGCAGCCACCCATTTCGAGGTTCCCAAGTCGAGAACGCATTCGATATGGAATACCATCTTGGTTGACGTGTTGGTGAATTGTATGTGCGAGATGGAGCGAGCAGAGAGAACCTTAGTCGACAGGTCAGCTTTACTACGTCCAAGTGAGCTTTACAACGTCCGTGCGGGTGAGAATGAGCAATGTCAAACCGGGAAATGTGATAGGTAACTTCAAGCGAAAGTGAGCTCGGCTTCCCTAGTATCTCTGCTGCGACTGCAGCAAAATTTTCCTCACTTCGGCCCATAACCTCACCTAGGCAGTGCTTTCCACAATTGCAACGCGATCTCCACTTTCTGACCAGCGACACCAACTACTCGGTGTCGACAGACGATAAGAGCTTTGGCAGAATCCGTACGCAGCCGAAAGATGGCGAAGGAGGGAGAAGATTACGTTGTCCCAGACGTCGGAGAAACGATTCGCGCCATCATTGACCAGCGAAAAGGGCTCGTCGACGCCAAGGCCCAGACTGCATTCTTCCGGAAGATTTTCAAAGACAATAATCCTGACCTCCCGGGGGATGCTGCAACGAGGGGCTACAAGAAATTCCGAGACAAATTGCGAAATGTGGTTCAAGCCAAATGCCCGCCGCGCTTTAAGAGGGAAAAGATCCGGCTCAAGCCTCCACAAGTCGACGACTTATTCAGGCGTGGTGGCACCATCTTCTCCAAGGAGTACCAAGAGGAGCTCGGCATCGACTCTAAGAACGAATCAGCCGAAGAAGAAGAGACAGAAGACGAGGAAGAATCTGAAGAGGACGCAGAGCCAACTCAAGCAGCATCACGGAAGCGCAAAGCAAGCAGCGATGGCACCCAGGCTGAAAAGAGAAGCAGGCCTGTACCCAAGATCGCGCCGGTTCATGCGCCAGCCAGACCATCTGAGATCGTCCCAGCAGCGGACCAGAACTGCGTCACGATGTATATGGACCGCATTAAGCACGAAGTCGAGACCGCAACGCTAGAGTACTTTCAGGAGCATGGAATCGATGCCGAAGCTCAATCCGAGTTTGTGCTCAAGCCCGACCAAGAGCTAGAGTCGTTGTACAGGCTACTTTTTGGTGAGGAATGGCAGATGCATGTCGCCGACCTCCCCGACCGAGGTGTTCTTGTTCGACAGGATTATCTCGTCATGGGCCTCATCGGCGCTGCTATCCACAAAGACGTCCTGCGTGCAACTCTGCCATGGGATGTGGAGGCCAAGTTTCATGATGCTCTTGGTGCCGATGAGAGATATATGGCTACGGTTGTGGACGACTTGGGACATACGCTAGAGAGCGTATTGAAGTACACAGCTGGCAAGCAGATCTTGGATGAGGAATTTCAGAACACACAGGTTGCGCAGCATGCAAAATCGTTGGTCGGCACGCTTGCCTTGGCGCTTCAACCGCACCTACGTCGCTTGACCAGACAGGAGAGGATGGCCGGAGCTGGGAGGCCACTGCAGGCTCAGCGTTGGTATCGGCATATTGAAAGGGCATACAAGGCTGCAATTATCATCAAGCAGCTTACCTCATCGTCGGAGCTAGGGCCATTTGGATTCGCCTTCGTGAAGCACGGCGTCGCTTTGGGGGAGGAACGCCATGCATCGCTCTTTGAGGTGGAGAACGCTCGCAGTGTGCTTCACTTCGTGGTATCAGGTGTTGTCCGAAAGCCGCGAGACGAGAAAGTGTGGTACTATCGTACGGTGGTGATCCCAGCACCAGCTGCAGCAGATGCTCTCCGAAGCGCCGCTAGCATCTCATCGGGCTGAAACACGAGCAGTCAACGAAGGCGCGCCCATTTCAAGATTTCAGCAAATGAAGCCGATCGTTGGGCGGATACGTTGCTGAAGCTCTCTCGGCAGGAGAGCCGGCCACAGTAAACCTTTTGTACATTAAGTATAGCTCTGCTGTACAATACCTACACTCTACACCCACTCGACAGGCTTCTTCAAAACCTGCACCAATCTGTCCTCCCTACTTCCCCTCTCCGGCTCATGCTGATACTGCCACCTCGCCGTCAGAGGCAAACTCATCAAAATACTCTCAACCCTTGCCCCGGGAGTATTCAGCCCAAAAGCGGTACCTCTGTCATGCACCAAATTGAACTCCACATACCGTCCCCGCCTCAACTGCTGCCACTGCTTCTCTTTCTCGGTAAACGGCAGATCCTTCCGCTTCTGAATAATAGGCAGGTAAGAAGGCAAGAAAGCATTCAAACAAGTCTGACAGAACGCGAACAAGCTTTCTTGATCCTTCTCCGTCTCATCCAAATCGTCGAAGAAAATCCCGCCAACCCCTCTCGTCTCGTTCCGATGTTTCACGAAGAAGTACTCATCGCACCACTTCTTGAATCTAGGATAGTAGTTCTTGTCGTGAGAATCACAGGCCTCCTTAATCGTGCGATGGAAATGTATAGCATCCTCATCAAAGAGGTAAGAAGGCGTCAAATCCGTACCACCTCCAAACCACCAGGCATTAGTCGAGCCATCAGAATTCGCAGTCTCGAAGTACCGGTAATTCAAATGTACGGTCGGAGCCATTGGATTCTTTGGATGGAGGACCAGACTCAGTCCCGCAGCGAAGAATTCCAGACTCTCAACGTCCGGATCTAATGCCTTGTGATTGACTCGCATTTTCGATATCGCGGCTCGTGGTAGCGTGCCGTATACCACACTGATATTCACGCCGGCCTTTTCGAAGACATTGCCATCTTGCAGGACGCAGGAGATTCCACCTCCGCCATTGGGCCTTTCCCATTCGTCTATGTGGAATTTTTGCCCGTCGAGAGCTTCTAGTGCTCGTACAATCTCTTGCTGTTTTTGTTTAATGAATTGTTCCATTCGTAGACGCATTGGTGAGTTTTGGGTGACGCCGGATTCGCGTTTGGCAAGAACATCTCGTTCGGCAATTGAAGGACTTTCGAGGTGTTGCCCGGACTTAGGCTGTTGCGCATCTTGAGGAGGTGGCGCAAGGCCTTTATCTGCTGTGGCCTACGTTGACTGTGAGCTTTACTTCGAATCGCATAAAGCCATGGCTTGTACCATAGAGTAGATGAGGCTGCCAATGAACACGATGCCCACTGCTATCCGTGTCTTTGGCGCCCATACTGTGATCTTCTGATGTTCTCCGGGGGCTGCTGCTGTGTCTCTGCCACCACTGACATATCTTCGCGATGATGGAGCTATATTCTGTCGCAAAGCACTGCGGGATACGGGAGAGCGTTGCGACTTCGTGCAGGACCTCAATGCTGCCTCAACGAGAGGCGTTCTGATCGGATTCATCGGTAGTATCTACCAAGCCGTCGTGAAGGGATGATCTCTCAAAGTATTTTTGAAACCACGAAAGGTCAGCAGGATGGGAACCTTGAAGTGTGGAGAGATCATCGGAGCTCCAAAGTCTTGGCAGCCTGTTCCTGGCTAACTAATCTCGCCGAGGCTCAACACTCGCGGAAATGCTCAATCATTCCACGCTCACAACAACAGTGTTGTAAGCAGAGTCGCTAATCTATATCATTTGAGACTGATGAGAAATTTTGCTGCATGTTACATAGTACATCTCGCGCTGTTTTTCGCTGATCCCAGACGCCTGATGCAATGCCACGCCATGTGCCGCCCCAAGGAGATCGACCGTTCCTCATACCATCTTCCCACTCCCGTCTAAAAAGAAACTGAGACTCGTGCTGTAGCAACGAAAATCTAATCCGACATTCTCCATTTCGGGAGCCACTTCAGGTGCTTCCATTGTTGATTAGATCCAACCATACCGAAGCATAAGGCTCGGAACAGCCAGAACATGAAGATGACGACTCCGTAGAGCGCCGTGTAGAGACCCCATTCCACCGGCTTCGGTAATCTGCTCGTACACCAGTCTATGCAGAAGCCGAATGTCAGGATTGCGAAGTAGAGTGCTGGGTAGTAGTGGTGCACGTAAGTCACACGTGCCATAGCAACGAATGGCAGGTAGTGAAGGAACCAGCCAATCACGGGGTATATGCCAGCGTACTGGAATTGATCGATGTCCTTCCATGTGAGTTCGTCGAAGCCTCGCTGCCAGCGAATGGCATACCACGCGAACATGCCGATGAAGAAGAAGAGCGACGCCGTTGATGCCCAGTAGACGAACGGGTTGCCAAGCAGGTAGTACTTGACGTTCTTGTCGTCCCAACCGCACATGCGGAGACCGACGTTGAGAAGTGGCCACTGCCATGGCGCCGAAGCGAGATCGTCTTGTTTGTCTGGGTCAGGCACAAGCGCATTGTTCGAGGTCATCATGGCGACGTTGAGGTGGATGAAGTCGCGGAAGAAAGGCGATTTGTATGACCCAGGATCGCCAGCGGGGACTGAATATGCCATTAGTAAACCCAAACCATATGGTAGGAGATGTGCACTTACGCTTCTCGTTCCAATGTGACTCAACATTCCAGTGCGTGAACTTATCGCGAGGCCTGTTCTCCTTGACACAACTCGTCTCAATCTGCTTAAAACCCCACTGAGGAAGATTGACGTTTCCAGCGCGCAGGTAACAGCCAAGATCCTTGTGTTTGAGACGGAAAGAAGTGGTAAGTGTTCGGACTTTGGACCAATCGCGCGAAGCAGCATCATCGACCACCTCAACGATCCAGTGGTCCTTGGTGTCGCCAATGGTCACATTTCCATAACAGGAAACTTCATAGTCAGCCTTGGTGACGGGAGCTGCAACTTGGTGAGAGTGGAGGTTGCGGCCGGTTTGAGCGTGTATCAAACGGATCACATCGCCGTTGCCAACGTATTTGATGGGAGCTTCGGGGTTGAACTCTGGCTCATTGCGATTTGGATAGAAGAACCAGTCGTTGTTGGCGTCTTTGTGGTGGTAGCAGGTGATTTGCTGCTGGCCCGATCCTTCTGGATAGGTCTGGACGTGCGAGTGGAGAAGTCCTCCACCGTAGCCCATGTTCTTCAAAGTAGCGCGCGATCCGAATGCCACTTCCAGAGGGCTGTCTTTGCCCACTGCGGTCCCCTTAAGATTCGCCTGGAAGAGAGAAGACATCTGCGCGTCGCCGGGTCCGCTGTTCTCGAGAATCAAAAAGTGCATCCAGAATGAGAACATGTAGACGATCATGGGAATAACCATCAGTCCGACCACGCGGAATGCAACGTGTGCTCCGAGCTCAAATTTGGGCATCTTAAGGTCGCCAAATTTGTTCCAGAGATCTTCGATGGTGTAGAGTCCTACCAGCGCAGTGCCAAACATACCAACCCACTTGACACTGCACACGCAACCGATAGAGATACCAGTCATGAACAGCCAGAAGCCCCACGATGGAGAAAATGGATCATGTCTCTGGTTGTGGAACTTGGCCCAGGTGAAGACGGTGGTGAAGGTGAAGAACAGAAGCATGCTGTCCAGCAGGATGAATCTGCTGATGGTCGTGTAGCTGTTCTCAAACAGCACCATCAAGGTCACCAACCACACCGTCGATCTTCTGAAGTGCAGCTCTTTCGCAGTAAAGTAGGCCAGCGGGATGCAGAGAGCACCGAAAGCTGCGTTGAAAACGCGCATGAATTGGTAGTCCACATCCTCTGGATATGCCTCTCCGCTCTTGAACTCGAATGAACCATTGTATCCTGCGAGATAGCCTGATAGGCCGACAAGCATCTTTCCGAGCGGCGGGTGTACATCGAAGTAGAACTCGCGCTTGAGATAGTGTGATCCGAACTTGCCGAAATGTGCCTCGTCCCAGGTGACCATGTTGGAGAGGCCAATCTTCCACATGCGCGTGAAGAAGGCCAGTGCGGTGAAGATGATGGGTGCAATCACGAATTCATACTCGTCGAGGGTGTGGAGGAAGGAGTTGGTCTGTTCGAGGCATGTCAGTATTAGCAGGTGGCTTAAGCATGGGATTTCATCTTCTCATGCTGCGGGCAAGCGGTACGCACCTTCTGCTTGGTCTTTTCGTCGAGCTGCTTGTCGAGCTTGGCGGGCACGAAGGTGCCGTTGGGCTGGCCATAGCCTACGTTTCGTCTTCTGAGGTCGCCGGCGTCAATGCCTGTGGTGGTGGCATTCGGCGTCGCCATACTGGGCGAGTGCAGACGCTGTGAATGCCTTGCTGTGATGCTGGAAAAGCGTTTGCAGGCGCAAGGATGGGCCGTGTCCGCGAAGGCTGTCTAGCTGGGCAGCCTTACTCGAGGCCAGGCCAGGCCCCTCGAACTGCTGGAAACTGGTTTAGGGAGCGAAGGTGAGATGTGAAGCGAGCGAGCGAAATTATTAGCGGACGCTTGCAAGCATCCGATGCGAAGGCAAGGTCGATGCAAATGTCGTTGACGGCGCCTCTGTGGCCAGCGTGCCTGCTGTCGGTGTATTCGACAGCTGTAAAGAGCAGCAATGCAAAGTGTAGGAGACGTACGCGGCTTCGCAGCTTGCAAGGGATTCGGCGGCGCTTGATCTGCTCTAGCGCCGCCCTTTTCTCGTGTTCTGTTTCAGCTCAACCAAGCAAACTGCAAAGACACGTTGACTTTTCGCTGCGCTAACTGCTGAGTGCTGGTAAGTTGTCGCAAGAAATGCGTGTCGGTCGCGATCGGCCTCAGGTCCGCGATATCAATGGCAGATGTTCACACCGACAAGGATGCGCGAGGCAAGAAAGTTCCAGATCGTGACAATCGCGACAGGGCTGCGTGTATGAATGGGCCGTGCACGACTCAAGCATGTGACACTTTACAACAGCGGCTAGCAGCGCTTCGCACAGCGCACACAGTTACTGCCCCTATCTGCAGACCTGTATCCACTACGATCCTACGTTGCCGAGAAGCATTGAAGCACGAAAGATATGTCATCCAAAAAAGGGTCATTCACTAGCAATCTGTCCAATGGGGTAAGAGTCGGGGGGTATCTCATGCAATTCCAAGCTCCATGCCGTAAATTCATCCAATCCATCATATTCCAACATCACTCTATTAGTGAAGGTCCGGCCGAACAATCTTCTGTGGCCTGACACACGCAGCTGAATATCCTCCTCTCAGCCAGCCCTACATCCATCGTCCTGTGCTGTGACTGATGTCCATGCGCTCGTTACAAGTCGTAATCGTCATAAACCAAGGCAAGCTGCCAGAGCAAGCCATGCTGAAATCCTCCAAAGCTATGAACGCCATGCTTGTGTAAATGAAAAGGGTCGCGGTCCAGTCTGATTCAAATGCGATGCGAGATAATGAGGAAATTTCTGAGCCAGGCTCCAGTCGAGAATTATTTGGTTGCTTCTTCCAAACGTCCTTGGAACCATTTCTCGTTAAACCAACCAACATTGTTGAAAGCCTCCCACAACCTGCTGGCCTTGTTGACGTCAATGCTCGTACACGCTTGCGCAGATGTCTTGTTGAACTCCTTGTTCTCTTTGAAATGCTCAAGGCGTGCTTCGAAGATACGGCGCTTGCTCATCAGGTATTGTGCACATTTGAGTCGCAGTGTGCTTGCGAGCTTGAACTCTTCGGGATGCAGATGTTCTCGATCGGGATCTTCGTCCAAGTTCAGGCGGTGCCCATTGGTCCAAGCGGCGTTCAACTCCCGGCCATTGAGGGAACTAGCCGGCGGCGCATAGTCGGGAATGGCCTGCCAGTTGAGGTCTTTGCCGTTAACATTCTTAGAAGGCGGAGCGCGAGTGCGTGGCTTGGGCTGTGAGGCCGGTGGGAGTGCTCCAGCTGACACATCGGGGGTCGATGCCTGTCGACGATGACGCTTGGCTGGTGACTCGCTCTGGATTACAGGCAATGAGTCATCGCCATTGGCCTTTGGTGGCGGAATTCGTGCCACTTTTGACTTCGGTGTCGTTGCCGTGACTGCGGGTTTCTCGATGCGAGTTCTACCCAGAGATGAGAGTAGCTGGTTTGTGTAGAAGTCCCGACGACCAGCGCGACTTGCACTTGGAGGTGGTAGTTTTCGCGCCTCTCGTGCTTCCTTCTGTAGACGTTCTCGCTTCGCATTCTGCGCCCCGATGTAGTTGACGTAGTCCATGCCGTAAGTACTGAGGAGTTCGACTGGTCCAATGGGTCTGGTGTTCGTTTGCCGGGCTTTGGTCTCGCTTGGAGTGACAACGACAGCAGGTGCGTCTGGAAGTTCTTCAAGGTGGACTACCGGACTGTTGCCAGAAGGTGGTGTTGTTGGGAATGAGCTCGCCTCGCTGGCAGGGCTACTATCCCGTGATCGCCACTGATGCACGCCTTGCTCGAACAACGGCTTGTCTGCATTTATAGCGTGCTCATTCTTGCTGTCCGGGTACAGCACTGGGTCGTTTTGCGAGAAGGCGCCTTCTGTTGTCGGAAACGATCTGAATTCTGGCGATGCTGGCGGAGAGGCCGTCTGAACTGGCGCTAGAGGGGCGATGCTCTGTGTGAAACTGTCCACGGTCGACTCCTCAGGCGTCAACAATTGTGGTATCGGCAGGGTCTTGGGTTTATTGGGCTCTTGTCCTGGTTGCGACAACTCCATAGTCATCAGATCTTTGCGTCGCGTTGCGATAGTACAGTAGCGGTGGTGAGTCTCGAGATGTGGAAGAGTGGCGGATGTCAGACTTATAGCGAGGCAGTGGGTGGCGAAGGGCGGTCGCGATTGGTGTTGTCTGCCTTGGCTTATGGAGATGTCGTCCGTCTAAATCCGTGTGCGTGGAATTGCGTCGAAGCGTAATACGAGGTCGGGGGGCAGTTATAGTTAAAGAATGGAGGGAGATTGTCCTCAGATTAGTAGCTGTGGAATAGAATATTCCTTGGTATTATGACTGTTCGCGCTAGGCTGCTGAGTAGCAGTGGCACAGTATTGGGCGAGACAGAAGGAGTGTTTGGTGGAGGGTTGGAGGTTGAAACAGCAGGCTGCAGGCTGCAGCGCTGATGACAGCAGTGTGATGATCGACTTACACGGGCGGACAAACCTGAGCAGGCCAGGCAGGGAGGGACTCAGACAGGTCAGTGGCAATGGAGGAAGGGCCTCCATTGGGAGTGCGCATGGCAGGAGTCAGGCTCTGCGACAAGGCGCTGCGCTGACAGTTGCAGGCCCGCTCGGAACTGGGTAGAGAATGGGCGAACGTTCGTGGGCTGGCAAATCAGCAGCGCGCAAGTGACGCGCAAATGTGACCGGTGTTGGCGCATTGGGTAGGGAGCTCTCCAGCTGGCAGAGGGCCTTGTGATGGGTGACTCATTGCAGCAAAAACAAGAGTGGTCAGGACGAGGACGGAGAGCCTTCCTGTCAGGTTCCCCACGCTCGCTCGCTCGCCACATCCACATTGGCATTGGCATTGGCATTGGCATCCCGAGTGGCGGGTGACGGCGCTGCCGATGATTCCACGACTCTGATACATATGTACAGTACATCTCTGCCATGACCGCTCAGCACTCGCAGTCGCCATCGTCGGCGCGTGGCAGGCGTGGACAATGGGCAGTGGGCGTTACGTCCAGCTCACCTCACAGGTCATCTGTTTGCGTGATCGACTGGCTCCCAAGGGCGAGGCACACCCACAGGAGCATCTAGTCACCGGTGCGCAGCAGGCGTCCGCACGACAGCTCGCAAAGGTGCTCGCTTACGAGCGGCATTACAGCTCCCTCCTTTGTCCCATCGCGCCCTCGTTGCTCGAGCCATCGCTGAGCATCCATCTCTGAATGCCGCACCACCAGCCGAATGGCTCCAAAGGTACAGTACCTCCGCGCGGGTTCTTCGCTTGCCATGGATGATGTTCCAGCTGAGGGTACCATCAGCATTGACAAGCCTGCCCTTGTGACAGCCATTGATGATCAGGCGCTCCGAGGCACCGGCACTGCGCAGTTGGCATGTGAATGCCCCGTTGTGTCCACGCGCACCGATCATGCTGCCCAATGCGCTCGAGATGTTTCAAGCATGCATGGCCGCTGGCCGTCTTCAGCAGCTGTTGCGTTGGCTCAGGAGTGCAATGCGACACCGCCAGCTGCTGTCTCGTGAGCCGAGAGCCTCCTGCTTCTCTCCCCGGAATGCCTTGCTTGTTGCGTTTCAACATCTCAGACGTGCGGCTCCGTCGCGTGTGCTAAAATAAGACCCTGACCTACAGCACATGCATTAACTCCATGCTCGACTCTCAATGTTCGAGGCTGTCTAGAACTACTTCGTCGTCCATCAGCTCGAACATCTCGAGGTGATGACAAGGGCACGCAATAGTAAGGGTGGTGAATGTGTCCTAGCGATCGCAGCAGAGAGCTTCTTGCAACCGAAGCCATCTTCGTAGAGACTGTGCTGCGCGTAAGGGCTTCGCTTTCACACTTTCCTCCAGACTCGCAAAAGGCGGCCTCAGTGTCTCTCCCGTTTCCTTAGAACGAATTGACACCTACGCGCGGCGCGGGATGTGAGAAGCGACTGCGCACATGGATGGCCGTCGCATGGTGACAGCTCTGGTCAACTCAGTACCAAACACAGCAGCCGCAGACCACATCTCAAACCCGCTACGAGATCTACCACAAGAGGCTCGCAACATCTTCCTGACACTGTACGCACTATTCGGGAAAGAACTACTCCCAGCGCTCGACCTTCTAGATCGTAGCCTGGTCACTCGGCTACACACCTCATCCGGCGAAGAACATACATGCAAGCTATATCTCGTCCGCTCAGCACAACCACAAACAAGTAGAAACACACCATACCAACACACGAACTACTACGAAGTCCGCCTAAACGCCTGGACCTGTTCTTGTCCAGCCTTTGCATTCTCGGCCTTTCCAGCAACAGAAGCACCAGACCGCTCAATCAACACCAATAACGAGGAGCGATGGACATTCGGAGGCCTCACACTAGGTTCGGACATGCCCGTATGTAAGCACCTCCTGGCCTGCGTGCTTGTCGAGCATTGCCAGATGTTCTCGCATTTCGTCGAGGAGAAGCAAATCACGATGGAGGACATGGCAGGCTGGGCTGCTGGGTGGGGCGACTGAGACTGAGGCATACTTGCAGGGAAGGCAACCATTGGGTTTGATGCAGCGCAGATGTGGCAGGGCGTAGGCGACGTGGCTCGAGAAGATGTTGAGGATTGGGACCTACTGAGCCAGCGCCATTGAGAGGCCGCCAAGCAGAGTGCAATCCTTTGCGACTTGGTCAAGCTGCGTCATGCCAGGTCTGGAAGCACTGCCTGGCGTTCTATGAGTTGCGAGAATATCAGGGCATCCTGCGCGTGACCCGCCAGTCGCATGGAAAAGGCAAGCAACCCAAGGCTACTGGGTCTCGCTGGACATATTGATCATGCAATGCTTTCGTCTCATTTCGTCTTCAGCTTCCTGCTGCTGGTTGCAGGTTCCAGGGCTAGCTCTTTGAGCAATCACCAACAGCACAAGCTGTCTGCTCGTATCCACTGATAATGTACATATTCGACATGTATCCAGCTTCATTGCGCTGGCCATACCAGCGCCTTGCTTGCCTCACTAGTGCCCATGATGCTCCAGACGCCGTCTATGCTTGCACGCCGTGAGTGATCGCTCTTCCCACTCGTGTCTAAATTTTGTCTAGCTCTTCTTCTTACCCTTCTCATCCTTCTTCACATCCTCAGTTGCCTCCTTGTCGGTCTTCTCAGACTTTCCATTCAGCATCAGCTTATCATCCTTCTTCACGTCCGTCTCCTTCTTGTCTTCATCTTTCTTCGCATCCTCGTCTTCTTGCTGTCTCTTGTTTTGTATCTTGTTCTCGATCAAATCGTGGAAGGCGGTGATGGCTCGAATTAAGCTGGAGAGGTAGATCGACATGAGCTGATCGTTCGTCTTGGTCGACATGGCGCGCGCAAGCTCGGAGTTCTCTGACGAACCGCCAGAAACACCAACGGCGCCATTTACCAAGCCGTTGATTGAAGGCAGGTCCTTTCCAGCGGTCTTGGGCGTCGAGAGGTTGGGCAGGAGGTTGAACACGTCTTGGAGGTTGCCAAGAATGGCATGATTGACGGGAAGATCGCCGTCGAGGACTCTCTGAAGGTACTTGCCGATATCCTGTAACCGCAGATGAAGACCTTGTAATGACTCGAGCTGTGATGTTATGCGCGTGCTGAGAGTGCCTACTGCCACATCGCGAATGTCTCGTAGAAGGTGCTCGACGCCGATTTCTTCTGCTTCTTCTGCCTCGATGGTGCTCGGTGTGTGCACAAAAGTCTTGGCCGTGGTCGTTCCATCCTGGACAAAAGTCAGCCGCCATACGTATCTTCTACTGTTGTATTTCCCCATACATCCTTGATTTCTTCCACAGCAAAGTATGCATCGGTCGGTACCCCGACATCCTTCGGTTGCACATCTATGATGACCAGAAGAGGATTCGGGGTGTATCGCTTGAAGAGCTCGTTGATCTCAAGATCACTCGCCCTCAGCTTGGGTCCAGAGTGGTACCATCCGATCAGCTTTTCGCGCGCGTTGACTTTCTTGAACATATCGTTCATTGACTCGACATAATTGTGGTCCAGGAACCATACCGAGGGGTCCTTCTCGTCTTCTTCGAAAGGCACTGCACAATATGTGTTAGACAGCATCAATACCCGGTATCTTGATGATTCTCGCCGCACCTGCGAAGCTGTTTGATACTCTCACGCTCTTTCCATCATTCTGTCCAAGCAAAACTCCAACAACACGTTTCCGCGTGCCCTTTGCTGACCGGCCATAGTGATCTGCTGCAGAGAGGAGGACGAGAGGTGCCACGGAAACGGTTCGGTTGACCAGCTGCAGCGTTTCTGCTGTGGTCGCAGGCATCTTGGAGGGTGGCTGTATCTCCAGCTATCTTTCTTTGGCGATGGATAGCTGTGCAGAAAGTGTTGGCGAAGATCTCGTGATGGTGGTTGATGTGCTTGGTTTGTAGCTTAGATGAACTACCTAGCGACGCAACTCAAAGGTGCCTTGCGCCTTCCAAGGTCTGTGCTGTGCTCTCCGAGATCCGATTTCACCACGTCCAATTTCACGAAATCACCAACAACTCCGACTCCTGGTTTCGCGCGACGCGTCTGCCTCGTGCTTACTGCCTGATTATGGAGGGCACATAATATTACAATTGTTCACAACTGTGGTTCTGCCAACATCCTGCAAGCACAAAAAATGGCCATCGACACTTCGAGCAACCCTGCCAACGGCACAACTCAATCCGAGATTGAGTCTACCGCACTCTATCAGAATGTCTACAACTACGTTGAGAAATACATGTCCCGATACGATGCATCTCATGACTTCAACCACATACTGCGAGTCCTTGAGCTGTCCAAACGCATCTTAGCCGAAGAGCTCAAGACCAATCCGACCAAGCGGCTGCGAAAGGATGCCGTGGTGCTTGGAGCTCTGCTTCACGATGTCGGAGACAAGAAATACACGCAACCTGGAGAGAATTCAGAACAGCTGGTTTCCAATCTGCTGACCAAAAACGGCTGCTCTCCAATATTTGTGGCAAAAATTGCCATGATAGTAGAGAATGTCTCGTACAGCAATGAGACCAAGCGACCCCAGCTGGTCAAAGCTATCATCGCATCGCATCCAGAACTCGCGATTGTACAGGATGCGGACCGTCTTGATGCCATCGGCGCTGTTGGAATTGGCAGAGTCTTTGCTTTTGGAGCGGTGAAGGGAGCAGATCGCGGGTTGCAAGGCAGCATTGATCACTTCGATGATAAGCTTTTGAAGCTGGAGAACATGATGAAGACGGAGACCGGAAGACGACTTGCTCGTGAGAGAACGGAAAGGTTAAGGCAGTTCAAGGAGTGGTGGAACGAAGAGAACGAGATGCTCGCGCAGTAGAGAACTTCGACGCCTTATATGTTGCATACAAGGCTTCAGGGGCTCGTTGCATGCTGGAGCAGTCCAAATTTTCCACTTTCAGGCTTTAATGACCAAGTCTTCTGAGCGGTCTGATGGTTACAGCAGATACTTTTCTTGATCAATGTTCATGAATCTCAACGCGACAAAGTGATCGGAGCTTCTCCAGTTTTTTGAACCTTATCATTTGTGGGTGAAGTTTCATCCTCAGCTCATCACATTTTCAAGTCGCCGTCGATGATAAGTGCGAAAATTATTCAGTAACATGTCTTTGATATTTCGCTGTATTACACTCAGAAGTGTGAGCTTCCTGTTCATGGGTGGCCGCAGCGCAGCAGAGTGGCAGCAAACACACAATTTGTCATTATTTTGCGCTCCTCCCAGTCTGTTCAGCAGCTATTGTGTCAGTGCTGAGGGAGTACGCGATTCAGTTCTCGTTCAGACGTTGAGGCCAAGGATTGATACACAGTACTCCAGTCAGGCCAGCGAACGGTGAAGTGCTCGGCACTACACCTCAGACGCGGTCCTCTGGAGGACTACAGGTTACGTCCTGGTACCATGCTCCTCTCAAGTCAATATACTCTGCAGTTTCCTAGAGATGTGGCCCTTGGTCCCCAAGAAGCTCAATGACGAGCTTCTTCCATTAGAGACTGGCTGCGCCGGACGTTGCCTCCTCAGCCTCATAAGTATTCGCTGGGCCTTAGAACGCCGTCGATCTTCGATGCCAACATCGGAGGATCTGATATCAGTCAGCCTGGAGAACGTTGATTTATCTTGGAGCACCTACATGGACCTGCGATCCTCTTGCTCAATCACTACTGGCGCTGTGAGCCATCGAGGTCCAGCCTCATCCAGTATACGATTCAGCAAGATATGTCCCAGCATATCTACCACAACTTCATCGCCTGTACCTTTTCCAGTCAAAGCAGACATCTGCAAGAAAAGTGCTCCGAAGCTCTGGGCAAATGCGTCGGCTTCATGCATTGAGACTGTCCAGTCACCTCGCCATCGGTCGATGCGATTCGCTATCACAAAAACGGTATTGCTTCGAGCTTGACGTCTTGGTATTCGTCTTCTTTTGACGTAGACTTGCCGTAACTTGTCTAGTAGATCGAACGACTCGCGACGAGTCACGTCGTATACCAGAAAGCATGCTTCATTTGGCCGGACATATTCGAGCAGCTCTGCCTCTGACATATCACAGACATCGCCCTGTATTAAATCGAATTGTAGATGAACATCCTTGCCCTGAATTGTGACATGTTTGTGCCACTCAAGCTCGACTGTGGGTGAGTCTCTCGAGCCGTCGATTACGCAACCATAGCACAGCTAAGTAGCAGGATGAGCGGAAGCAGAGAGCTGTGATGGAAGGAACTCACCCGCTGGAGTATGCTGCGCTTCCCTACGCCGTCTGAGCCCAATACCGCAATTTTGACAGTAGGGACCTGCTCGTAGCTCCAAAGATACTTTCGAACTCTTGCCGCTTCTTCATGAGTGATGGACATGTCTTGCTTCTGACTTGATGAATTCCCCAAGCATTCAGAGGAAGTCGGGATATTTCAGAGAGACGATGCTCAGCACGAGAGCATTGCAGGGTCCCATTCTAGAACCCTGATTCTGCATGATTCCTTCCTGCAATCTGTGCTGTGGCTGTCAACAACGGCCGGCGGCGTGTTCGAGGTATGCTCATCATAACGGTCACAAAGGTTGAATCAACATTTGAAGCGAGTTCTGTGCGGGAGGCTTGAAATGGGCGAACAAGGGTCAAATCTGGAAACCTCGGCTCGGAAGTCTGATGCTCCTTCATGCCTGTCGCTGATGCTTTCATCTCCACCTTCGTCTCTACGATAAACGACATCTGATATTGCACGGGTCCTGGGCCGGCAGCAGGCGCCATGGAGCAGCTCAAACACGCCGCCGAGCAGACCAAGGTTGTTGTCAAGTTGCCGTCGCAATGGGTCAGCATGTACGGCGACTTCATCACCAAGAACGCGGGCGCGGTCGGCCAGGTCGAAGGCGCATTACGTTCGTTGACTTATCTGGTGCCTGGAGGACTGTCGCATGCTGATATCACGTCTGAATCGCTCAACGCCGGTGTTCAGGTGCTCGCACTGTATCATGATAATCTACTTTCGAGAGCGCTGGCGCAATCATTACGATCACGACCCCGGCATCAGAGCCCGCACACTCGCTATACGAGGTTCTACTCCCAGAAGAGCCCGACTTATCGAAGAACGGCGACGACGCTGCAGATTGTGCAATATACGGAATTGTTGTTGGAAATGATGGCAAAGAGGAAAGGCGAGAAAGCAAGATGGAGGCTTGTGGTCATACTGGAAAGCGTTAAAGCACTTTGCAGACTCATCCTTATGCGCTTGACGAACTCAAGGCCCCTGCTCACGCCGCCATTACCCGAGCGTGAGATAATCGAGGACAAGACACCGCAAGAAGAGGAGGAGCTTCAGAGTCCTCTGTCAGAGCCGTCCGTCGCTGGCAGCGAGCAGTGGACCATGCCACGAACGTCTCTGACATTGCCACCCTTGCCCAACTCGGATGACATATCTTCGTATCTCCTTTCCAAAGTCCTCACAGCGGACGACATTAAGCCCCCAAAAGCCTTGGTGCATCGAACTTCTGGATTCGGAGAGGTTGCGGAAGTCATGTTCATTCTCCGGCCTGTCATATATGCTGCAGCAATGGCGTACTGGTCGCAGAGGGAGAAAGGAAAGGGCAAAGCAGACTGGAGACCGTGGTTGCTTGGAGTCAGCATTGAATACGGCGCACGGCAACTCGCGAAGCACGATCTCGGGACGAGACGACCTGGTGGCACTCGCGGCCTCACGCAACTTGAGCGCGAGGAGCTCAAGAAGCGAGGCTGGTCGCTCGCGTGGTGGGGCATGCGCGGCGCTTTCTACGAGAATGTCACGCGTGGTGTTATTCGTGGTTTCGCATCGAAGCTGAAAGGCAAGCCGCTCCTGGACATGGTCGGAAATTTTGTGGACGACTACGAGTTCCTATGGGATCAATACTACTTTCCTACGGCGACGCTATGAGGTGGGTGACGTCTTCACTGGAGCGATGTCGTATTTTGGGGCTCTCTTGCGCACTTTTCTCTATGTTCTGATCTTCTTGTGATTTAGCGAGCGTTATGTGGGAACCGCGGGCAGCATGAGTGCGCCCTGCTGGAGGGAGAGATACCTGTGTTTTGTACCATTACATCAGCTGCGGCCTCTTTGACCTGTGGGCGCGCGAAGTTCAGGCTTCTTTGTTGACAGCACAAGGACTGTTGAAGTCCTTTGACGAAATCCATCATGTTTCGAGACTTCATTCACACCGTCACATGAATCATCGCCTGCGGTTCTCTGAGCTAGACGTGACGCATGTTCTGAGTCGCGAAGCTGCTGACACATCCGCCGTTAAGCTCGTGACTGCTTCCTGACCCAAACTGGCGCCCCGCCATTCAAGCTGCTCCACGTCCATCTTCTGCCGCCTACGAGCTTCCACTCACATTCCTTACACAACCTACGACACAACACTTCATCTTCGCCACGATCTCGTACGCCGCAACAACAAACACATCTAAGCTCATCACACAAAGACACCGCCAACATGCGATCCAAGTTCAAGGACGAGCACCCGTTCGAGAAGCGCAAGGCCGAGGCTGAGCGCATCCGCCAGAAGTACGCTGATCGGATTCCGGTGAGTAGCGACAATTACACCATACCGCTCAGAATATCGCAAACGACGGCGAGCAGCTAGCGGTGTTGGACTCGTAATTTTTGGGACTTGACTAACAGCGATGCACAGGTTATTTGCGAGAAGGTCGAGAAGTCGGATATCGCAACCATCGACAAGAAGAAGTACTTGGTGCCAGCCGACCTCACCGTCGGACAGTTCGTCTACGTGATCCGCAAGCGCATCAAGCTTAGCCCAGAGAAGGCGATCTTCATCTTCGTCGATGAGGTGTTGCCTCCAACCGCCGCGCTTATGAGCTCGATCTACGAGGAACACAAGGACGAAGACGGTTTCCTTTACATCACGTATGTCAAGATTCATATCATCATATCCAAAAGCAGTGCAACAAGGCTAACATTCCTGCAGATACTCCGGCGAGAACACCTTCGGCGACGCTGTGTAAAGCAGCGGCCCATCTCCCACGACTCAGACCACACCATTTCACGACCACGACACGACATCCTCCACATGCCCACGATCGGACTTCCCTTTTGCAACGGGCGTTTGGGATGGATGCTCTTTGAATTAGCAGGACTAGGAACGCCAGGAACAATATGCTGAGAACGACGATAAGCAGAGCATGACTGTAGAGGAGCTACAAACGGCCAGGTGGGAACGGCCAGGTGGGAACAAAGAGACCTGGCGGACGGCAGCACATGGCATATACTCTCCATGATGAGCTATTCAGATATCCGCAAGCCGTAGCCGCAATACAGTTTTCTCTGCCATTTGCAATGTGCCCACCGCTCTCAGGCTGGCCGATGACGTTACTGATAGCGCGCGTGCACGCCGTGAAGCGTCATGTGATACATCCGCCTGCGCGACAGTTTCCAGCTCGTTGTGATGTTGAACATTGCTCAGATTGCGCCTGATCTCACTCTGTCAATCTCATTTTCAAGCCCTTCTTCATCTTCATTAGTAGTATGCTTGCTGGAGCACACCGCTGCTGCTGACCGCCTGAGCTGTGATTCGTCTCCACTGCGGAACGATCCCGAAAGCTTCCATAATGCCGCGCTTCTTTCATGCTAGAGACACGTAGAGTGACTGCATAGAACTGGGGTGAACAATGTCGACTCCATACCTCATCTCGAGGTAGGGTTCAGCTGTAGTTTGAATACGTTTGACGTGGACTAACATCAGATAGAGCCATAGACCCGATCTTTGCTGTGACGGTGGGCATCACTGCGGCAGCTGTCCGAATCAATCGCGAGGAGAAAGAGAAGGGCAGGAGTACGGAGGAGACGATCGATGCGTTGAAGCGGAGGACAGCTATGGTGTTTGGTGGCGATAAGAGTGCGAAGGAGACGGAGAAGATTGCATGAGGATATTGAAACTGGTGCAATGAGGTGCGCCAGCCAGAAAGGCCTGCATCCGGAGAACGACATCTATCCAGCGCTCAGCCTTGAGTGTTAGGCGAGCGGCTTTGCGCCGGATTCGACTTCCTGTGCTTTAATTTGCGAGAATCAACCAGTGCTGGGGAGGGCGGGAAAGCTCAATCGCTCTCCAAGAGTGTATTCGCAATGGCTTCCGAAAATCTTCACGACATGCCTGGAACAAACATGGCCACGCCTGATAGTTCTTGATTTCAAAAGCTCATGCCTAGTAGCTTCTCTGAGGAAGACAGAATCGCGAGGGCGTGCTAAGCAAAAAGAAATGGAAGGAATGATGTTTGCCATGGTTCATCAGCATTCACAGAATATGGGATTTCATACATGACATATAGAGGCAAATTTGACACCCAGAAACTCTTCCAGCTCATGTCCATCAGAGTCCACAATGGCACCCAAAAACTCCTCCGGCCCATCGTCATCAAAGTCCACAATGACGCCCAAAAACTCTTCTGGCCTCTCGCCACCAAAGCCTACAATGACACCCGCAGAAAAACTTGCCCAAAATGCTCCCCAACTGAAATCCCACTTCGACCAAGCCATCCAAGCTGGCCGTCCAAACCTCCTCACTCCAGTATCCCTGCCAGACGCACATGCTCACACCCTCGCTTGCTACCTCCGCGACATGGTCATTGACCGCAGATTCGTCTATCTCAAAGGCCGCAACAAGCTTCAAGATCTCGGCATTGAACTTCAAAGCGAACACGAATTCCCTGGGGATCGTGGTTATCCGACCTCGCACGAGGATCTCGTGTACCCGATGGCCTCAGATCGCGCCGGAAGTTATGCTATGATGATGTTACAACAGGTTGTGGGGTTTAATCAGAGTATTGTGACTATTGAGGCTCATCTTGAGCAGTTGAGGATTCAGAGGGAGATGCAACAAGGACAGCAGGAAGGGCAGCAGAAAGGAAAGCAGCCGGCAGGAAAGCAGCAGGAGACGGGTGGTCAGGCGAATGCTCAAGAGGAGCAATGAGAGGGTGGGCATGAAAAATCGAGGCCTTGGGAATTGTGAGCTCACAATTCGGCAAGTCAGAAATTAAGCGTGCACATCTTGAAAAGCATTACCGTGTGCTATATCACCGTCAGAATGCAATTGTGAGTGATGAATGTGGCAAGAATCATGGCCTTCCCATGATGTGCAGTTGCAATGTTCACTGCGTATGACTGACTCTATTTGACGGCTGCAAGCACGTCGTGGCGTCTTGAAATCGCAGACGTGAAACTCTCTGCTCGCTTGGAATCTCAAGATGAAGTCTGGGCCATTCCTCCACTGGAAGGGCCCGTCGACCATCTTGTGCGTGTTGCAATGTTGCAGCAACTTCAATACAGATCCATTGCTCGGCAGTTCCGTGGGACGGTCGAAATTGTAGGCTGGGTGCTTCGTGTCGTAACATTCGTGCAAGTCTGCTACGCCATGTGCAGTGTTCTTATGTGCTCGCCAGTCCGCGTACGCTTCCTTGATGGCCTCTGGGAAGACGTGCCGGCAAAGGATTCGACATCGACTTCAGGCACGCTGGCTAAGCTAGCTGTGCTGACATTTCTGGTATGTCCACACAAAGGCGTACGAGGTTGAGTTGACCCTTCGACGGTAGGCCAAATTGTGCTTACATCACCACTAAGGTGGTACGAAGAGTGCTGGCTGGTGAGAAAGTAATCGTTGTCCGTTTGTCCAAGTGAAAAGGAAGTAGGTCGAGTACCGTTTTGCGATACAGGACCAGCTCCGTCCCGACTCTGGACATGTCGTTGTGTCAAGCTGCCGCTACTTCCAGGCCTCAGTGACGCTCTGGATAGAACGGGGCTCATGCTCCGACTGCTCCTTCTGCTGGTGACACGACTTGGACCGTCCTCTGGAGACTGTCCGCGACTTTCGGGAGGTTGTGCTTGCTCGAGGGTTCGAGAAAAAGCGTGTGCCATCCATACAAGCTGCTCATCGTCGCTCTCATCCAGACGAATGGCATCTGGGCTGTCGTAATTGATGGCTCGAAGCGTTTGAGTCGAGCTGGAGGAAAGTGGCGTAGGCTTGGCCAAGGGTCGTGGTGGACTTTTCAGAGCATAGCCTGCCGTTCCATAGGCCGATTGAGCATGAGCTCCGAAGCTTCGATTCTTAAATTCTTCAGGTGTGACCAGACCGCATGCCCTTGCTTCTTGCCACCGCCGTTCTTCCGCGGGCGACAGGGACCGCTGCGAGGAGTGTGTGTCGTGGATCGATGCAGCGACGCCTCGCACACAAGTCGATATGCAGTTGACAGCCCACACGGCCATTTCGTACCAAGCGGCCCAGGGAAGAGCGATGGGATCGGTACTTCGAGCTGGCAAGCATACAGCAGCAAGAAGGGGTGTGATGGGGAACATGAGAAGCAGAGCAAGGCTCAGCAACCACAGCACGGTCACGAACATACAGACGTAAACAGTGGCTTCCAGCAGACCAGTGATGGATTTGATCCGGATCTCGCGTCGTCCATTGGCACTGTACCGCAAGATACCCGACTTATCCATCTTCTCGTCCCGGGAATTCTCTCTAGAGACTCTGTGCTATTCTACACTGTAGAAAGGATGTCTCCACCTCCGCCTCCGCCTCCGCCTCCGCCTCCGCCTCCACGAAGACCACTCGGAACGCGATATCCCGGCAGAATAGAACTACTGTATGGACATGAGTCAGCATTTCCACGTGATTACTCGGCCTCATCTTGGGTCCCGTCGGTCGCGGTCGCCTGCTCCTCGTCCTTCAAATCATCACAACGGAATCAAAGATGGCCGAAAGGACCGAAAAGAGGCACGAGGAGGGCTTTCCGTGGCACCTGGGCGTGTTCGACGCGCATTGCCATCCCACAGACACTCTTTCTACCCTGCAGTCAATTCCTTCCATGCGAGCAAAAGTCTTGACAATCATGGCGACAAGAGCACAAGACCAGCACCTGGTTGCGAACGCCGCCGATCAATACGGCCTTACAGAGCAAGACATAGACGACACCACGATGGACTGGAGGTAAATCACGGAGTCAATGCCGCTTCTGCTTGGCTGTCATGGGTACTGAAAAACTGCCAGCAAGCAGCATAGAATTATCCCAGCGTTTGGCTGGCACCCGTGGTTCTCTCACCACATGTATGATGAGAGTGAATATGGAGGCGTCAATCCCCTCAATTCGGAGCAAAAAGCTGCTCACTATCAATCTGTATTGATACCAAAGTCGAATGATCGGGATTTCCTCGATACATTCCCCGACCCGAGGCCATTGGGTGAATTCATTTCTCAGACACGCCAATATCTACAGAAATACCCTCTAGCACTGGTTGGCGAAGTCGGACTGGATCGTTCGTTTCGGATACCAGAAGCTTGGCTGCCGGCGGACGTTGAGGAGCGCGATGAAAATTTGACTCCGGGCGGTCGTGAAGGCCGCCGTCTTAGTCCATATAGAGTCAGCATGGATCATCAGAAGAAGGTACTTTCTGCACAGCTTGCACTTGCTGGTGAGATGGGAAGGGCCGTATCATGTCACGGCGTTGCAGCTCATGGCATCGTCTATGAGACCGTCGCGAAGACCTGGAAAGGGCACGAGCTTAAGCCTCTTTCCAAACGGGCTCGAAAAGAACAGGAATCTGCAGCAAGACGTAATGCTGGTGATGAGGATCACGATGACAGTCCTCACCAAGAAACTGGACCAAGATCATACCCCCCAAGACTGTGCCTTCACTCCTACTCCGGACCCGCAGAGACCGTGAAGCAGTATATTGACTCTAGGGTACCGTGCGAGATCTTCTTCTCATTCAGCACGACGATCAATTCCTGGTCCGAAGATGGAAATGGGAAGGTTGAAGCTGCCGTACAAGCAGTGCCAGATGACAGAGTACTGGTGGAGAGCGACCTGCACACAGCTGGCGAGCGTATGGACCAATATCTGCAAGAAGCCGTTGAAAAGATATGTCATATCAAGGGATGGGAGCTGAAAGACGGCGTGATCAGACTCGGCCAGAACTGGAGGAGATTCGCATTTGGTGAAGACTGAGTCTGTTCATTGAAAGCAAGCGCTTTGATGCTGTCGCTCCTAAAATTCAGTACAGTGCTCAAGACATCCTCTGGAGCAAGCACCGAGCTGGAAGTCATGGATAAAGGCGTGCTCGATGGGAGCGACGAAAGCTTGGGCGGCTAGCTGACTGGCGATACTCGCGGTAGTATGGAGACTCTCGAAGTGTCACTCCCAGGGCCGCAACCGGTCTCAAAGAATGGCGTGGCAGTCTCGCTATGCAAGCGCTATTGATGCCGATATCTCCCGCCACGTCTCGTCTAGCTACCGGGTTGAGCTGGTAGCTGCAAACGCAAGTCTTTTCATCCGTGCTATTGTATCAATCAGTCAGTTTCAAGATTTACAAGAACTTCCCTGGACTCACTTGTGCTTCCTGAGAAAACAGCTTCCTGGATATCATGGCTGTCCTGCTTCAGATGGCCTCAAAGCAGATGCAAGGTCGCGCCACTTTCGACGTTGGGAAATTGAGCAGCACCCAAGATGGCTACCACTTCACCATCGAGCATGCCTCACCAGGTTTCGAAGCGCCATAACTCCTCGTGGTTTGCGGTAGAGCAACACAGAGACAAGACGGTGAGATTGTATCAGAAGTGTGGAAGGCGTTCACAGTGCCCGCCAGAGCTGAGCCAACAAAAGCCAACCCTCATTCCACTAAAGGCACTGTTTCTGCTGGGATGTTGGCTCCATCCGGCGATGCAGATGTGAGGATTCCAGCACTCTCACCGCAGCCAACCTCTGTCCCGCAACTACAGCCAAGAGCGCAGCCAGGATCACGACCAACGCCAGACAGCCGCCAGAAGGCGAAGACCACAACAGCAAGAAAGCACGGCCAGATGCCCGAAGATCCTCACGCCTATACCGGCGAAGACTACAAGGACATCGCCGACGCCGAACTTCTCAACGGCTCCATTCACACCGACAAGATCTTCGGCGACTTCGCTGGACGAATCGCCAAGGCATGTGGCAGTGACAAGAAAATCCAACAGAAAATCAACTCCTTGCGAGTGAATACCGAGGGCCAGCAAGCACTGAAAAGCAAGAACTGGTTCACTAAGCGGCTATCACTCTGGTATGAACGCAAAGCTTCGGATAGCAATGGCGAGTTCACGAAAAGCGAGTTCGAAGCCAAGTTTCTTGAGGAGCGATATGGTCGTCCAGTTCCTTCGGTACGACTGAACAACCAAGGACAGTACAAGCCCGGTGCGAAGCTGAGTGCGCAAACGCTGGCGAAGCGCAACAGCTCGGCTTCAGCGGATGGTGCGAGCGACGAGGGCGAATTTCCTGCTGAGATGGCATCTCGTAAGAAGAGAAGCTTTCGGAAGTGAGCAGCGGCGTGAAGCTGCAAAAGACAGTATGGAAGATTTCGAAGATTTCGAATAAATGATTAAGTGAATGAAATATAGGAGATGATAAATGAGCGATGAGATATGAAACATGCTACACAAGATGATATGGAACATGGGTGATGAATGATACCCGACGGCATGAGATACGAGTTTACGAGACTGTGATGTACTTTTAGGTGTCTGCAATACACGTGTGCGTTTCATTCATCCTTTTCTTACTTCCACACGATGTATGTTTGCTTCCCACTCACCTTGCGTCCCAACGCCGTGCGATGGGCGCCTCTCCAGGGTGACTTAGGGGAGTAGGCGTAAAGATGAGTTGCACAATGAGCAAGTGAGGCACGACCGTGTCACATTCATGGAGCGCCTCCGCCACAGAGCAGCAAGCTCCGGGCAGAGATGTCGAGCTCTGATGAGTAGATGAGCGGCAGCACGGTGTGGAGTACAATTTAAGTATACAGCCACGTGCTTCACTTGTTCGTGCTGTGCAAGCTAACGCCTTTGCGTCAATCGGTGCATTAAGGTCGTGAATTAATCTCCATCGTTGAGAAGTGTCGTAGCGGATATATCGGCGCCTCTTTGTGGGATGCGAAATCATTGAGTAGTAGGGCTTCGCATCTCGCTCGCGCTCGGATGCCACCTTCTCATTCCCATGATCTCAACCGCGAGATTCGGTATAGGTTCATCATGGCCTTTAATAATGCCCTAAAGCATAGAGTTGAACTCACGTCTCTGGTACGTCCGGAAGGCTGCCGGTACTTGTGGCAGGCTGAGCCATAAAAAGCTCAACGCAGGGCGTGAGGATCAACATGCGCAAAAGCTTTTCGACTCGCTTCCCGTAAGACGCCGTAGAAATCCGATAGGGCTCTTCGACCAAATGAATGCTGAACTTCGTAAGCAAAGACGAGTGACTCGTCGCCAATGTGACCTCATGGCATTCACGTGTGTTTTTGCGGCCCTAGATCCCAATATTGCACTGCATCAGCTAATGGTGCAGTGTTGTATGTGGTCAGTGGAGGGCTTCGGTCCGGTAAGACCACTAAGCTTGTGGCTGCTCCGCCTTTATTGCTGACCGTGCATAGGCCTTGCAGCAAACTGCTCATGATGCTTCCTTTCCTGATGAAAACAAGCGATAACTTGCTCTGACCAGTGCTTATTGCGAGTAGACCTCATCTCTATTGCTCCTACTCGTGTCGAGCGAGTCCTCGTGGCTCGCTCCTGCGTTTACTCCTGAGTGTCACGCTGATGTGCCGCCAATAGCCTGGTGTGATTCAGAACCAAAAACTTGTTGGTCTCGAAAGACACCTCAGGCGAGATATCTGACAACGCAAAGTTCTTTTGGAGCGGTGGCCTTAGTTCAGCCACACCGGTACGTGATGGGCTGAGCATGAATTGTCATTTGGGCAACCACGGTATATGAACTGCAAGAAGTAGCCTTTCCACAAGTTTTGAGCGGTTTCTTTTTTGATCTCTCTACAATGTCCCTAATCCTGTTCCTCTGGTCTGTCACAGCTCTGCTTTGCAGTGGCGTAAGCCTGGAGAGGAGAGCACCTCAATTCGGAGCGGGTAGCGGTCATGGCGGAGGCTCTGGATGTCCATCTGTCTGGACGCAGATAGCTTCTGATCTGAGGTTGGACTTTGCTGGATGCAACGACCTGGCCAGATCAGCGATTCGATTCGCGTTCCATGATGCGGCTGGCTACTCTGTAAAGAACCCAACCTATGCCCCAGCGTCTGGCGGCGCGGACGGCTCGCTACTGTTGAATGATGAGGAGATATCTCGGCCAGCGAACAACCCTTTGAAGCAGAATTACCGGGATAAATATCTCCTTGCGAAATACAACCAGTAAGTCGTTTCCGGCAGTCGGTGGGTCAGAGTCACTGATATATCACTTTATCCCCCAGATACAAATCGAACGGCATCTCCGCTGCCGATCTCGTGCAATTCGCTGGTAGTGTAGGCACCCGAAGTTGCAGAGGCGGCCCGATTGTGAGAACGGTGAGCAGATCTGATCTTTGCTCCGCCGAAATCAGATGCTAATTAATCGCAGGTGGTCGGACGAAACGATAGCACAACAGCAGCACCAGACGGCCTCCTTCCAAACGCTTTCGGTCCAGGATCGGACGCAGACACACTACTCGCACTTTGGGCCGACAAAGGTATCAGTGCCAGAGAGCTGGCAGCACTCATGGGAGCGCATTCCACGTCCAGATCTTTCAGTGAAGAGGCGAATGGCATTCCAGCTGGAGGTTAGTCAGGTATGCTGCAAATTAAAATTGTGCTCAAGCTCATCAGCGCAACAGGACCACAGGACTCCACTCCAGGAGTTTGGGATGTCACATATTACCGTCAAGCACAAGAACGGAGGAATCCTCCAGGGGTGTATCGTTTCAACTCGGATGTGAACCTCGCGAATGCTTCGGCCACTGGTCCCTCGTTCACGCAATTCGGCCGCAATCAAGGTTCGTTCGATATTGATCCAGAAAGGGCATGCGCTGACGTGGGGTAGGCTTGTGGGCGAATGAGTTTTCGGCTGCGATGGCTAAGCTGAGCGTGGCTGGCATACCAGCAAGCACAGTGGCAGGATTTGTAGACTGCACGTCCTTGATATTTTGAGAATTTGATCACCATTTGTGTGAACTGCTCCGCTCTCGGCATTTGTCGTGTATCCACATGCTCCTCACTATGCCGCCATATTATGGCTTGGATGCGAATGACGAGATGCTGGACCAGCGCGTCAGCCGTGACACGCTCTGTGATTGAGAGAGATACAGGATATAATCAGGTGGGAACTCCCGTGCCGAAGTCTCGTATGTCTGGAGATGTGTAGACGTGAAGGTGAGATGTCTGCGCGAAAGAAGCGAGAGCAGCGTGAAGACCTCGGGAGGGACCGCAGAACGCGCTAGTGAGGATAATCCCTGCTCGAGCCGCGTGCCTAAAGCTTGCGATATGTGTTCAACTCGACGGGGCTTCACCAGGCATCGACTCCGAACGCATTGTGCCATCGTGCCCTTGTGCCCTTGTGCCATTGCTGAGCAATCAACAAGTTTTAACAGATAGCGGCCATGGCAAATCGACAAGGCTACGATGTCGTCGTGGATGTCGACGCGGAGGTTGGTTATTGCAAGCACGCGCCCCGATAGCGTGATAATGACCTTGCCTAGGGAGATCTTGGCCATACAGACTTGAACGATGACCTCGAATTCCATAACTCTAGTGCGAGCGAACACAAACTACATCAAAAGCCATGTCTGACCTCATCTTTAGCATTCGAAAACCAAAACGCACGAGGTGGAAATAAGATCCAGCCCGACCAAGCCAACAACTCCTTCCTCAACCCGTCCTCGAATGCGCCCTCATCCTCGAAACGCTATCTTTGGTCAATAGCCTTCTACCAGCAATTCTTCGATGTAGACACCAACCAGATATTGCATCGCTGCCAGGCGGCACTTTTCCCAAGACAAAACTTTCTCGATGTGCTAGAAGGGAACCCAGACCTATATGGTCCATTCTGGATTGCTACAACAGTGGTGGTCATCCTGTTTCTTACAGGCACAATCAGTCAATATCTGGCAGAGAAGGGCAAGGGACACTTTGCATATGACTTCAGACTGCTCTCTGGGGCGGCGGGATTGGTTTACGGCTACACAGCTGTGATCCCGTTAGGGCTGTGGGCGACGTTGAAGTGGTTTGGGAGCGAAAGCGCCAACTTACTGGAGTGCTGGGCGCTATACGGCTATGCAAATTTGATCTGGATACCTGTGGCTTTGGTGTCATGGAGCCCATTAACTGGTAGGTCATGTCGCAGAACATACTGGGTTCCAAGTGGAAGCTAACACTTGGTCCAGCTCTGAACTTCGCATTCGTTGGAGTAGGATTTGCACTTTCCGCGGTGTTCCTGTTCCGCAATCTCTATCCAGTCGTCTCTGCAACGGATGCGAAGACGTCCAAGATCCTCCTGATCGTGGTCATAGCACTTCATGCTGGACTTGCGATCGCCATCAAGATCTTGTTCTTCGCGCATGGAAGTCCGGTGTCCAAGGCTGGGGACAAGGCCAAGCCAGCAGATGGCGATGACACCACGAATTTGCTCTTCAGCATGTGATTATGCCACAGGCGTTGGAGCCGACATAACATATAGCGTCCAAGCAATGCATCCATTTGCAAACTCGTGTCTCAACCAGTCCGTATCTACGGATGTCACTTTTTCGGCCCACAAGTCTCGCTCGTGTTTGCTGCTCTCGTACGGCAATCATGTGTATGCCGTGACTCACAGAAATCTTTCACAGCATACTTGAGCGTAACAAGAGTTGTGGTATTGTTTCGAGTTTCGAGTATAGCTTGTTCCGGGACAAAGCCGACATCATCGCTTGCCCCACTTCGACTCGAAATTCAACCCACTTCCACCTTCCACGCTTGTTTCCGGTCTTCATTGGCAATACACGCCACGCCACACAGGCTATTTCAAGTCTGCAACTCACTGACCGCGCTTGTGTGCGCCTGACCGACATACCGCCTCCGCATCGTAGTATGAGAGCTCGCGAATATTTCCTGAATCCCGATCCGCCTCCCGAGTTTGGAGGCAAATCTTTACGACCGCACTCAACCAACAGCTGAGGCAGCCACCTCTCTCCAGAAATCCATTTTCTACTAGAAAAAGAGATTCATTTACGGAACAACTCAACACTAGCCTTCTAATACCGTCGAAATGGCACCCAAAGGAAAGAAGGGAAAGAAGGCCAACGATGACTGGGACGAGGGCCTTGGCGAGAGCGCCGATCCCATAGCGCAGGCAGAAGCAGAGGCCAAGGCTACTGATGCTGCGGCAGACGCAGAAGAAGAAGAGACAGGCGGCGGCGGCGGTCTGATGGCAGCTCTCAAGAAGAACAAGCAAAAGCGCAAGGCGAAGGGCAAGACCGTCGAGAATGACTTCGTCGAAGGCGAGGATGCTAGCGGAGCTGCTACACCTGCCGAGTCAGCGCTTGATCTCGCTGCCAAGGCGCCAGAGGAGGCGACCATGGATGACGAGTTTGATTTGCCAGCCAAGGGCAAGAAAGGAGGAAAGGGCGGCAATAAGAAGGCCGAACCGGAACCCGCGAACGACGATGACGATGCCGAAGATGGTGGTAGAGTGAAGACCAAGGCCGAGAAGGAGAAAGAGAAGAAAGAGCGTGAGAAGCAGAGGAAAAAGGAACAGGCTGCCGCGAAGAAGAAGTCAGCGCCTGCTGCTCAACCGAAGCAGGCTGAGGCCAAGCCTGTCGAGGAGGCTGCCCCAATGCCAGCTCCAGCCGTCCCTGAACCCGCTGGCGGCAAGAAGAAGAAACTAAACCCGGCGCTCGCAGCTTTGCAGAAGCAGCAAGAAGAGCTCCGTAGACGGCAGGAGGAAGAGGCGGAGGCCAAGCAGAAGGAGGCAGCTGATGCTGAGGAGGAGCGCAAGAGGCTCGAAGAGGAAGAAAAAGCAAAAGAAGCAGCGAAGGTTGCCAAGAAAGCGAGGGAGAAGGCCAAGATTGAGGAGCAGAAGAAGGCCGGTACCTACAAAACTGAGAAGCAGCGACAACAGGAGGCTCAGCAGAAGAGACGCTTGGAGCAGATGCTGGAATCGGGTGTCAAGGTCGCAGGAATCGATGGCGAACCAGAAAAGAAGCCGACTCAAAAGGACATGCGCAAAAAGAAGAACCCCAAGAAGGAAGCTGAGGAGCGCGCAGCACAACAAGCCCGTGAAGAGGAAGAGGCTCGCCAAAAGATGGAGGAGTTGAAGATTCAGCAGGAGCAAGAAAAGAAGGCTGCTGAATTGGCCGAGAAAGCGAGACTTGAGGCCGAGAGTAAGAAAGATGAAGAGGATGAGCTTGAAGACTGGGAAGCTATGGCAGAGAAAGCGTCCGACGATGGAGTCAAGGATAGCTGGGATGCCGATTCAGACGAGGAGCCTCAGCAAGTCAAGCCCACGGTGAACGGTAAAGCAGTGCAAAAGGGCGCCGATGCCGCCAAGGCTGATGCCAAAACGAACGGCGCTGAGGACTCCGACGAGTCCTCGGAAGAAGACTCGTCCTCGGAAGAAGAAGAGCGGCTGTCTGCGGCCAAGAAGCAAGCGGAGCAAAAGAGGCAAGCAACCATTCAGAAGCGCGAGAAAGAAAGAGAAGCTGCGCTCGCTGCGGCCTCCAAGGACAATCTACGTTCGCCAATTTGCTGTATTCTTGGTCACGTCGATACTGGTAAGACGAAACTTCTGGACAAGATCCGACAAACCAATGTCCAGGAAGGAGAAGCAGGAGGAATCACACAACAAATTGGTGCTACCTACTTCCCAGTCGACGCTCTTCAGAAGAAGACTGCTGTGGTAAACCAAGATGGCGCTTTCGAATTCAAAGTGCCTGGTCTTTTGGTCATCGACACACCCGGTCACGAGTCTTTCACCAATTTGCGCTCCCGTGGTAGCTCGCTCTGCAACATTGCCATTCTGGTTGTCGATATCATGCACGGTCTTGAGCCTCAGACATTGGAATCAATGCGTTTGCTCCGGGATCGAAAGACTCCTTTCATTGTTGCATTGAACAAAATCGATCGTCTCTATGGCTGGAAGGCCGTCTCCAACAACGGTTTCCGCGACTCGCTCGGCTTGCAGAAGAAGAGCGTCCAGGACGAATTCCGCGACAGACTCGAAAAGACCAAGCTTGCTTTCGCTGAGCAAAGCTTCAACGCCGAGCTCTTCTATGAGAACAAGTCCATGGCCAAGTATGTCTCTCTGGTGCCCACATCGGCACACACTGGTGAAGGTATTCCTGATCTGCTCAAGCTGCTGGTGACCCTCACTCAGGAGCGCATGACCAAGCAGCTCATGTATCTTTCTGAGGTGGAGTGCACTATTCTCGAGGTTAAGGTCATCGAAGGCCTGGGAACTACCATTGATGTTGTTTTGTCTAACGGTGTTCTGCATGAGGGCGATCGAATTGTTCTCTGTGGTACCGATGGACCAATCACTACTGACATTCGTGCTCTTCTAACACCTGCGGAGATGAAGGAACTTCGTGTCAAGTCGCAATATGTGCACAACAAGGTTGTCAAGGCTGCGCTTGGTGTCAAGATTGCTGCCAACGGTCTCGACAACGCCATTGCTGGTTCTCGTGTGCTGCTTGTGAAGGACAAGGATGACGAAGATGAGATTGAAGAGCTTGAGGAAGAAGTCATGGGTGATCTCGAGAATCTCATGTCCCGAATTTCCAAGAGTGGACGTGGTGTTACAGTGCAAGCCTCCACTCTTGGTTCTCTGGAAGCACTCCTCTCTTTCCTCAAGGACATGAAGATTCCAGTCTCAAACATCAGCATCGGTCCGGTACACAAGCGTGATGTCATCACAGCTTCGACCATGTTGGAGAAGAGCAAGGAACATGCGGTCATGCTTTGCTTCGATGTAAAGGTCGACAAAGATGCCCATGAGTTGGCGGACCAGATGGGCGTCAAAATTTTCACCGCGGACATCATTTACCACCTTTTCGACGACTTCACCAAGCATATGCAGCAGCTTACTGCGCAAAAGAAGGAGGAGAGCAAGATGCTTGCTGTTTTCCCATGTGTCCTCAGCCCGGTCTCGGTCTTCAACAAGAAGGACCCTATTGTTGTTGGTGTCGACGTCGTCGCTGGCAATCTGCGACTGCACACCCCAATTGCTGCCGTGAAGCAAAATCCTGTCACGGGTGTCAAGGATATCATATCCATGGGACGTGTGGTCTCCATTGAGAGAGATCATAAGCAATTGACCATTTGCAAGAAGGGATCGCCTTCTGTGGCTGTCAAGATTGAAGGGCCCAATCAGCCTGGCTACGGAAGACAGCTGGAAGAAAAGGACATGCTGTACTCCCTGGTCAGCAGGGCATCCATTGACTGCTTGAAAGAGTTCTATCGAGACGAGGTGGAGAAGGATGAGTGGACTTTAATTGCCAAGACATTGAAGCCGCTGTTCGATGTCAACTAGGATGGTAGCGGCATATGAAACGGAGTTATGGGCTAGGCTTGGAAATCAATCACGTTACATGCGAATGTGCTAGTGTATGCAATGGTAGCTTCTGTAGGCATTTTTAGTGGCACTCTTCTTCACGCACTCTTTGTCTCTGAACACGTGATATCATGACCAAAGAAGCAGTATTATGCGAACTCTGTTTCCAATCCTGCTGGGACCAGCACACCTTGCTTTCACGTCGACATATCGAGCACCTCAAGCCTCGCCTATTTGGATACCGATACAGATGAGATAAACTCTTGTTGGGCGGCTGAGCCGCTGCAGACAATCACCATGAGGCGCCAAGTCTGTCAGGCGGCGTGTCCGCTGCTCGCTGCAACAACGCGCTCCAAGCTGCGGCCATCAGTCATAGCTTCGCTGGCCTCGAAACGCTTCATGGCGGGCGATACCGGTGATAACAACACTGGCCACATCACGACCGCTCCCCAGCAAGGCATCATTTTCATGGACAGCATCCTTCCTCCAAACTTGTCATGGCTTATGCGACTAACATCCCATTTCGGCGGCTATTCAGGCTTCACCAAGAAGCTCGATCCTGCTATGGGCAGGTATGGTACCGTCAACCCTCAGACTGTCTTTCAAAACGCGGTCAAGAATGCGAATCTTGGCAAGGCCGAAGTGCTGGAGATTCTTCCGAGGTATGCTGAGTGTGCTGCTTTTCTGAAGTTCCATCACGATGGGACGAGTGACTCCAAATCCATCGCGGTGGCTGTCACCCAATATCTAGAAGAGAACAAAGCTCGACCGTGGTGGAATCCGTTTACGCATGTTAGAGCCAGCTTTGTGTTAGGCAGGCCCTGGCTCGAAGATCTTTCGCGAACTCCATCTACACGCATTCGAGTCGAGTTTCTCCCGACCGAGCCTGGAGCTGAAGCTGCAGAACTTGGACAGGAGCAGCTGTACTCGTTCTTTCGGCCCTTCGGAAAGCTGTCAGATATCGTTGCCCAGCCATCCGACTCGAAAGTTGTCCCGCGATATGCGTACCTGGACTTTACGCATCACCAGAAAGCCATCATGGCTAAGAACTGTATGCATGGCTATCTGGTCTCTGATGCTGAAGGCGGAGGTAAGAAGGGCACGATACTGCGATTGACGTACGAGAAGAAGCAGCGCGCAGGCTGGATCAAGGATTGGATCATGAACCATCCAAGAATCGCGCTGCCGCTACTTCTTGCTCTCATTGCTGGAATCAGCTATACCATTTTCGACCCTCTACGGACATTGTCTATCAAGGCTCACATTACACGAGCGTTCCATCTGGAGGAGAAAGCAATCTTTGCTTGGTTCATCCGGCAGGGCGAGGATCTGTACAACAAAGTCAAATACTTTGGGTCAGACGCCAATCATGGCGATGGTGGTATGCAAGTGGTCTGGGATGATCGACAAAGCGAGATCCAGCAAATTCAGTCATGGCTGATGGAGTCTGCGGACACGTTCATCGTAGTGCAAGGGCCACGAGGAAGTGGCAAACGCGAATTGGTTATTGAGCATGCTCTCAAGCATAAGCGCGAAGCGCACAAAGTGCTGGTCGTGGACTGCAAGCCAATTCAGGAATCTCGTGGTGACGCTTCCACCATTGCTGCAGCGGCGGCACAGGTTGGCTATCGCCCGGTCTTCTCATGGGTCAACAACATTAGCGGACTAATGGACCTAGCAGCACAAGGTATGACAGGAACCAAAGCTGGCTTCTCAGAGACGCTTGAGAATCAGCTCATTAAGATCTGGACCAAGACCACCGCTGCCCTGAGGAGCATTGCTCTAGACGGACGAAGCAGGGACGACAAAGATGCCAGGATGTCAGACGATGAGTACCTGGAAACACATCCCGAAAGAAGGCCTGTTGTGGTGATCGAGAACTTCCTACACAAAAGCTCGGAGCCCGGTGCAGCGCTTGTGTATGACAAGCTTGCTGAGTGGGCTGCGACACTGACAACATCAAACATCGCTCATGTTATATTCTTGACAAATGACGTCTCATTCAGCAAGTCACTGAGCAAGGCTTTACCGGATCGCGTCTTCCGCCAGATTTCGCTGGGCGACTGCTCGCCAGAAGTTGCAAAGCGATATGTCATCTCCCATCTCGATTTTGATGCCGATCTTCACAAGGTTAAGGGCGGTCCTGATGAGGAGAGCAAGTCTCTTACGCCTAGCCAGAAGCGAGAAGACCTTCGAGAGTTGGACAATGTCATTGGCTACCTTGGAGGTCGCTTGACTGATCTGGAGTTCTTTGCACGCCGTATCAAAGCGGGAGAAACACCCTCAAAAGCTGTTCAGGAGATTGTCGACCAATCTGCCTCCGAGATCTTAAAGGCAAGGCACTTCAGCAGCACTTTCAACCCTCAAATTTCGCTGATCTTGATTACAGATGTTCCTCCTCCTCGGAAGTGACAACAGAGAATGGACCTCGGCACAAGCATGGCTCCTCGTCCGCGATCTCGCAAAAGATGAAGCACTACGTTACAATGAGATCCTGACCAAAGGACCCTTCAGCAATGGTGGCGAAAAAGCCATTCAGGCCCTCGAGCAAGCCGAACTCATCACAGTACAATCCTGGAACGGCAGACCCTACAGCGTCAAGCCCGGCAAACCAGTCTACCAACCCGCATTCCAACGTCTCGTAGAAGACAACGTCCTCCGCGCAAAAATGGAGCTCACATTACTCAGCGACGCCATCAGCGGCGAAAACAAATCGATCGAAAAATTCGAGACGGAATTGGAACTTCTTTCGAAGCTCAGCAAGCAGCCGAAAGAATTGTTTGAGAGGATACAATGGTTGCTAGGCAAGATTTCTGCCAGTCAGAAGAATATTTTGAGTTATGAGAAGGAGCAGGCGGAGATGAAGAAGATTTTGACTGAGGAATTTTAATCCGGGTAAATACTCAAATGGGACACATTGGCATGGTAATTACTCGAATAGTAAACCTCTTACTAGGATGGGACACATTAGCATGGTAATTACTCGGATAGTAAGCATTGGCATACTAATTACTCGGATAGGATTTCTATATCCGCAGTACATACTAGCAAATATAGAAAATCCCCTATTGCTACTACTTAGTTGTAGAGTTGTAGTTTTCTTGTAAGTCCGGGACAACTATAGTTAAATACCATTTCCCCATTTCTATATTATATGTATATTATATAGAATACAGAAATGCGGCAGTAATCTACTACAGTTAGAGTCCTAAACCTCCTTTACCTTTACTCTCAACCTTTTACAAACTCCTAGCTTGTTTCTACATTTCTGTATTGTATATATATTGTATAGAATGCAGAAATACGGCTACAATTAGAGTCCCTCCTAGACCTTTACTCTTAACCTTTTAAAAACTCCTAGCTTGTTTCTGCATTTCTGTATTCTATATATTAAGCCCTACCTAAGGCATCGAGACCCTAGCTTCACTCGAGCCCGGTTATATGCTAATCACGTATAACCTCTTTAGTCCTGATATACGCTTCCCTTCTAAAGGCCGCGCCTTCGTAGCCGGTCTTTGTTCTAGTCTCAACCTCTATAGCTGCTAACTTAGCAGGTCTAATAAGCCGCTTAGTCCGCGCTGAATTGAACGCACAACCACCGATTATGTAACTATATTAAACCTTACCTCTAATATAATATAATGTCTAACTCTAACTGCGCTATCCTTGTATATAGTGAAGTAATATATAACTATAAGAATTAAGGACTATCGACTAATTACAACACGAGCGCGTCTTCCCTACTATAATAGGTAGACGTACGAGGTATTGCAGCCCTGCCTCCGTTCTGAGTAATGTCGTACCGAGTTCTTTGCGTCTACTCTTAAAAGACCTAGCAATGTCCGCTTCCGAGGGTTTGTCCGTTCCGAGGGCTATTATTTACTGTCGTAGTTTCGCTAGCCCCAATTGGTTAGGTTTGGCAGCCTTCAATTGTTAATCTTATCTTATCTTTTTAGAAAAAACACAGCTCGTCTAGTTTCTATAGATAAAGGCTATTATAAGTATAGTAGTAGAGGTTCGCCTCGCTTAAAGGGTTAGATAGATCGAGGAGTAACCTATTGTCCGCAAGATCGACCCCGGCTAGCTTAGCTCTATAGTTTTGCCCTTAGTTAGTCTATTGACTTAATCTTTTAAACCTTAATATTTTAACTTAGCCTTAAAGTTTTAATTAAACCTTTAATACAGCTATTCTTTTGACTTGATTAGTATAGCGCGCTTCCGGCCTTAGGCCGCAGTGTAGGTGAGGTTGTCTTCGTAAGTATAGCGATAACAGTAAGTGATATTAACAATAGCGGCGCTAGTCGTCTTAGCGCCAACTTCACCTCGCTTCTAATCTTCTTCTTCGACTAATAACACACTCTGCAACACCGTTACTAACATAGCCGCGCCGGCCGCGCCGCCCTCGCCGATTGCCTAGGCCTCGAGGCCTCGACAGAATAAAGGAATAAGAGGAGGGCCTATAGGGTGCGTTAGTAAAGAGGTAGAGTCCTTAAAAGAGTAGGCGGTTAGTTAACGCATTATAGCGCGTTTGTTAATACTCGGTGCGCGTTCACTATAGTAGTGTAGTCTTATTGTCCTAGTTTGCCGGCCTCTAATTAGTTAGCTAATAGCACCCCGGGGGTAGCATTAGTTCTAGGCCTTAGTAACATTACGAGCTTTTAGCCTTCTTCTTGTTCTTTACGCTAGTCTAATACTTATAGCTATGAAGAAGGGGCGGCTATAAAGAAGGGGCGGTAGTTAGCTATAAAGAAGTAGCGGTAGTTGGCTATCGGAGGCAGCGGTAGTTAGCTATAAAGAAGCGGCGGTGGTTGGCTATAAAGCGGCGGTAGTTAGCTATCGGAGGCAGCGGTAGTTAGCTATAAAGAAGTGGTAGTAGTTGGCTATCGGAGGCAGCGGTAGTTAGCTATAAAGAAGGCGGCGGAGTTGGAGATGTGTCTATACCTCCTCTTGCATTTTTATCTAATAACAAGGTATAGGCCATTCAATAATATCCGCTGCTAGTAAACACTACCTCTTAACCCTCTTAACATAACTGAAACACCTACCTCTTAACCCTCTTAATATAACTAGGTTGAATAGATAGTAATGCTAATAGGGGGGCGGCTAAAAATCGAATTTCTGTATCCGTAGTATAGCTCTCTTAATATACCAATTCCGCGTTCGCTAGCGACACTGCGAGTACTATCCTTTATTGTTGAAGAAGTTAAGGGTTAGCTATTGCGGCTTTCAATTGACATTGAATTTCTGTATTTAGTTAGCTATACACCCGCTAGTGCCCGCATCTATCGACTAATAGCGAATTTCTATATTTATAGGATATAATATCTTCGCTACCGTTGTCTAATAATACGGCCGTCTGTGCTACGCAGGTTTGTTACTACAGTATGCTAGTTGCTAGTAGGCGATGTGCGGTGTCTCTAGGTAATGCGTAATAGTATGCCTATAACTACTAGCTTCGAGGTCATTTTTGATTGCTAGCATAGAGGTTGTTTGTAGCAAACATTAGGTCGCAGTTAGTATTCTCTAGAGGTATAAAGCATTCGTTACTTCTCTATACTCTATATTGTTACTAAGACAGCCCTTACCAAGACAGCCCTTACTAAGACAGCCCTTACTAAGACAGCTACTAAGACAGCCCTTACTAAGACAGCCCTTACTAAGACAGCTACTAAGACAGCTACTAAGACAGCCCTTACAAGACAGCTATTAAATCGCTAATATCTTTACTAAATACACGAGATCTTTAGGCCCGGGCAGCCCGAATCGACGCCGAAATACAGAGAGCTGTTCGGCAGGGCTCTAGCGGCACCTAAGTTAGTCTAGGCACGGAGGCCAAAGCCTAAGTAGCAATCAACCGAGAGCGTATAGTAGAAGAAGAGAGGTAGCGGTAGAAGGGGCGCGAGCAGTATAGGCGGATATAGGGGAATTATCTAGGGGAGACACCTCCGCCTTCGCCGTCTAAAGGCAGCTAGTATAGCAGCAAGGGCTAGAAGCAAGGCGGTAAATGTACTACGCTATAGGGCTGCGGAGATCCACCGAACATGCTACTACTAGCACTGCTAGCCCTTCTAGCACTACTAGGGCTAATAGTTCCTCGACTAAAAGCCCGGTCCTCTAGCTAGGAATCTGTACTGCTTATCTAATAAACTAATGAAATCTATACTGCTCTTCTTAAAACCTGCTAAAATCTATACTGCTATTCTTAAAACCTGCTAAAACTTATGCTACTCTTGCTAAAACTATACTGCTCTTACTAAATTCTACTCTTGCTCTTTACGGAATCTAAGTGCTACTACGCTTAGTTAGGGTCTTTATAGGCGCTAGCGTATAGCTCTTTAGTTATAGTCTTAGTCGTAGTCTTAGTTGCTATCGGCGTAGGCTTTAGCGCATAGCTCTTTAGTTATAGTCTTAGTCTTAGTCGTAGTCTTAGTCGTAGTCTTAGTTGCTATCGGCGTAGGCTTTAGCGCATAGCTCTTTAGTTGTAGGACGCTTGCCGTCGGCGTAGGCTTTAGCGTATAGCTCTTTAGTTGTAGTCTTAGTTAGCGGCTAAGTAACAACGGTGTCTTAGTATCGTTAGGTTTCGATAGTAGGACGTAACGTAACGATGCTAGTTCAGCTTTGTCGTTAGTAATGTAACGATACTAGTTTAGGTATAATCTAAGACCGAGCATTATGTCGAGTTTTGAATTTCTGTATTTATAGCAAGTTGCACAGAATACAGAAATTCGGCTACGCCTCGCTTGCTTGCGCTTACTTAAAGCCGGTTCCGCTTTGTCGCTAGTAATGTTACGATACTAATTTAGGTGTAATCTAAGACCGAGCATTGTGTCGAGTTTTAATCGTATAGAATATAGAAATTCGGCTACGCCTCGCTTACTTGCGCTTGCTTAAAGCCGATTCAGCTTTGTCGTTAGTAATATAACGATACTAGTTTAGGTATAATCTAGGACCGAGCATTAGGTCGAGTTGTAGATTTCTGTATTTATAGTAAGTCGCTTAGAATACAGAAATTCGGCTACGCCTCGCCTGCTTACATAACACTTAGACTCTATATATATGCTCTATAAACTATCGAACTTTAGTACTACCCCCTTCGTGTTCGTGTTAATACCGGATAATAACACGAAATATACAGTCCTTCGATCGGCTATATCTAAGCTTTAAGTGCGATAAAATACTCCGCGGCGCTGTATTATATGTTTCCGTCGTGTTCGCCTATCCCTTCGAAAGTATAACCTAATAGATAAAGGTATTATATGCCTAGACTATATCGACGTATATCGCACCTAGTGCGAATTTCGGGTACCGAGGACTCGCTACTACCGCTATATAAGAAGAAGAATAATCCGTAAAATAGACGACCCGGACGCCGTCTTCCTGCTTTGCTAGGATAATGTTTATCGCACAATTAGAGTCTAGTTTGTATACGAATCTCCGGACGAGACCTGTCTAGTATAGAGCAATAAATGCTTCCTTATATTCCTATATACTAATTACATCTCGGTAGAGTGCATCTATAGTATACGTCTAGTCTAGAAACACTGCGTTAAGGTAGAATAATGCTAGTAGTAGCGCTAGGTAGAAATCAGCTAGCTCGGCCTATAGCAATAGCTCTAGGGTTGTAATTATATATCTCGATACTATCGATATAGCTTTCGGCGCGTTGTTAGCTATATTAGCGCGTCGTATCGGCGTTGTAGGAAGGATACGAATACGGTAGAGGAGATAGAGTAGCAGGCTAGCTAAGACCTAGGCCAATTCTTACCTAATTCTATATCAAACACGTTAAATAACTATATCGCGTCCTCTGCACGCTTCGTTACTATTACAATAACGCGACAACTATAACAGCTACTAACCCTACGACTAGACGAGCCAATCCCGGCACTAGAATACTTCCCTTCTACGAGTATAAATGCACTATCGACGCTTAGAGGCTTAGCCCCTCCTCTACTTGCCTAAGACTAATACTATCTAGATATATAGACTATAGTAAAGGCATTCGACTAGTATATAGCATAGAGAGGTTAGGCTTCATTTGCAAGATTATCTAAGCCAACCCGTAAAGAGT